CAGAAGGACCTCTTTGGGTAACTCAGCTAAAAAGTCAGGACTTCAGGGACAATGCATGAAAGGTACACAACCCTCACTTTTATGTCATACATTGCTAGCTAACGGCGACTTTTATCCAATCATCATTGTTGCGAGATCCACTGCATGGGAACGATGCCCCTGCTCTAGACATTCATTTCCATGATTAAAGTAGGTTGATCCGAGCTGATTTGGTTGAGTTACGCTCACACAAGATTACATCGGTTGAGCTACATCGAGCGTGCTTGATGTCCAGAGTGATGTAACCTCTCTTTGACCGCAGCTCAGTCAAATCAGCTCGGATCAACCTACTTTAATCATGGAAATGAATGTCTAGAGCAGGGGCATCGTTCCCATGCAGTGGATCTCGCAACAATGATGATTGGATAAAAGTCGCCGTTAGCTAGCAATACGTGCCTGTTCCTACGTACTAATATCACTATACATAAACAACGAATCAAAGTGGAGATCGATGATGATGACAATAATAGTGCGACTCATTGTGTTCATGATGCTGGTGATTGGATTACTTCCTTGCACACTGTAAGTTTCTGCTATGATGTTTGGTGAAGCGGGTATTGATAATAGGTGTATGATGTGCCAAAACACATGCATGAATGATGGTAAAGGCTCGGATACCTACACTTTGCCAAAAGGTCTTGTAGGGTAAACTAGGTACGGTATCATGTTTGCAGTCTTACCTGATTGGAATTGCCTTGAGCATAGATACAATCACCATGACATAGCGCTACTACCATGGTAGTCATGACAACCCAAACGTGGTATGCATGACTACACTTCACTTGGGACACCAACCGGGCATAAGCACACAAGCATATCATAGGCCAGCACGGGAAACCTCGTGAACCTTTGGTTTCCTTCATCTTTTGAGCACGAAACGAACAAACAGGCAAAAAAGGAAATGTCGATTGAGCAAGCGCCACACTACAGCAAATCACGTCATCCTTCAAAGATGCTATATTGCTGGATCGTGGTTACCACCAAAGTATTCTCTTCTATAGCCGGTCAAATGAGAATCAACTTGTTGGGTGTACGCAACAGGATCTTGCCTTAGCTCAATAATCATGGCCGTCAAAGATCTTGCTTACAACCAAATGTACGCTGCGTTTGTGTTTTGTGTAGCTTGTTGTTTTCGTATTACTCGTGTCACCGTATACCGATTATGGGGATTGGTTGCGTACCACTTTGACTATTAGAAGATGTGGGACCCTACAGTAGAGCAGGTTAATGCTGCGGAGCGGGGATAATACGGATGCATAAAAACCCGACCATGGCTATGGATTTGTAATCAAGGCAGCAGACATAAATACCTGGTAGCAGATGATAAAGACCCCTGTAGAGTGCTTTTACCTCTTCACACATACACATATTACATTATGGCAACAAAAGAATCAAAGATGCAATACGTTCGCTTTGGCAACACGGGATTACGTGTATGTATGATTTGCATTGGGCGTGATAATTGTTTATAGTACATGCGTGTTTACCGGATCATTCTACAGGTGTCCAAGATAGCACTGGGCTGTATGTCGTATGGGTCTTCTCAGTGGCAAAGTTGGGTCAAGGATGAAGAGGAGTCGTTGGCCATGATTGAAAGGGCGTACAAAGCTGGCATCAACTTTTTTGATACAGCCGACGGATATTCAAACGGCGAAAGTGAGCGTATTCTCGGCAAAGCCATTAAACAATGCAACATGGATCGTAGCCGGATCGTGGTGGCCACCAAAGTCTTTTTCCCTGTAGCCGATCAAGTGGGCATCAACTTGTTGGGTGGACATAATTATGCCCAAGACCCTGTGTTGGCAAACCAATATGGATTGTCACGCAAGCATATCTTTGATGCTGTAGAGGCATCCCTTAAGCGCTTACAATTGGACTATATCGATTTGTACCAGGTATGCATGCAATGCATGTTGTTTGTCGTTTCAACCATAACGTGTAGGTAGCTTATTTTTTACTCCTCCTCTCCGTAATACATTCTAGATTCATCGGTTGGATCCAGTAAGTTGACGTCATCGTCATCATGGTGATGATGAACAAGAAGGATTGACAGCAGTACCACATGTTTAGGATACACCTATGGAAGAAACCATGTCCGCTTTGAATGATCTTGTTAGAATGGGCAAGGTGCGTTACATTGGTGCAAGCTCCATGTATGCCTGGCAGTTTCAAAAGATGAACAACATTGCCGAAAAGAATGGATGGGCTCGTTTTGTCAGCATGCAAAACATGTATAATTTAATATACCGTGAAGAGGAACGAGAAATGATGCCTTATTGTGCAGATCAGGGTATTGCTGTGATCCCGTAAGTGGTTGATGTTGTGTATTATTCAACTCAATGGCTGATGATGTATCATCATAATAGATGGTCTCCATTAGCCCGAGGTTTATTGACTGGCAAGAATCGACAATCAACACGATCCTCTACTGATCGTGCTATCAAACGTTTCTTTGATCAAGCAACGGAAGCCAATAACGATGCGATTGTCGATCGAGTGGTACAAATTGCCGAAAATAAGGGACTTGCCCCGGCACATGTAAGGAGTTTTTTTTTATATCCACCTGTCATATGATTGCTCATTTTTCCTACTACTACTTATGTTAAGGTTGCGTTGGCATGGGTGCTTTCAAAACCATTTATTACAGCACCTATTGTAGGGATCACGAAGGATGGTCATTTGGAAGATGCCATTGCATCCCTTGAAGTTGAATTGACACAAGAGGAGATTGAGTCTCTTGAAGCATTGTACATGCCAAGAAGCGTACATTCAATGAATTAAATGTGACACAAAAGGAGAAGGGAATACTGTTTATGGCAACATGGAAATAAAGACGAGGGCATTGTTAGATTTTCTGCATGCGGCCCGGGTAATTGTTGGGGGGAAGTAAATGGGGGGGGGGGAGATGAGAGACACATGTGTGGTGTGGTGTGTGTGTGTGTGTGTCTAATGCTGGTTTAGGTGTGTCCTGTCACTTTGTCTTTCTCTCTCTCTCTCTCTCTCTTTTCGCTCTCTCTCTCTCTCTCTCTTTGTTTCTCCTCTAAACCGATTATCCTCTTCCCGACTCTTATACTTTCATTATGGCACCTCACAACGACAATGAAGACGACGATCAACCCGTTTCATTCCAAGAACTAAAGAAACGGTGGGCTCAACACGAAGCCAACTCTTCCTCTCCTCAGCAACAGCAGCACCACCAACAGCAACAGCAACCACAGCAACCACAACAGCAGCAGGAACCATCACCCCCGCCTGTCATACCCGATACTTCTTCACCAACACCAACACCAACACCACCACCACCCCAATCGAATGCTGTTAATTCAAAGCCTATACCTCCACGATCCCCTATTCAACGAGTTGCCAATGTCTCGGGAACAATGCATAAAGCGTCATCGGCACCACCCATTCCACCCAAACCAGCAGCTGCAACCATTCGAATGCCAACACCCATGAAAGCACCTACTGATCCCTCGGTGGTTGTCGACATGAGCATTAATAAGCAGCAGCAACAGCAGCAACAAAAAGAACCCAAGTCTTCAGTATCAGTATTAGCAAAGCAACTTGAAGGACAGCATATCACCAAGTCGCCATCATTATCATCATCGTCATCAGCAGCAGTGGCAGATATTTCCGAATCACCATCACCTCTTCAACAAGATCCTTTTTGTGATGAAGAAGAAGCTTCAGATGATGATGACTCGAGTAGTTGTACCAGCACAGCGACAAGTAATAGTGAAGATAGCGAAGTGGATGATGAACTTGTACGCAAAGTCCAGATGCGATATAGTGGTGTATCACCAGCCATAAGAACACCACCACCACCTCCAAAGGATGCTATTACGACGACTACAGCCAAGAAAAGTGGGAGCAGTAATACTCCACCTCCACCTCCACCACCCAGCAAAAAGTATCATAGCGTTGCTCGTTCCATTGATATACCAAAGACAACATCTCCAGTGGATGCATCTCCTCCATCATTACCACCTCGACCATGCGCTTTAGGAAAGAGTTACAGTGAAATGGATCAACAACATAGCAACACAATGCCAGTATTACCACCACGACCTTCTCCTTCAGTCATTGCACGTTCACATACAACAAGCAATCATCGATCCACTACGACGAGTACTGCTTCGACACCTCAAAGATCAGCGAGTGCACGTAAAGCATTCAAGAATTTCTCCCATGCCACAGGTGTTTATCCTGATTTGAGTGAAGCATCACGCAAGAAGCCTTTTATCAATGGACGTGATCGACGTATTCCAACGGGTCATCGGGGAACCATACGTGCTATTGCTATACAAGGTGCATGTTTGGCTACAGGGGCTCATGAAACACGTATCTGGAATACGGACACCAGCCAATGTTTATATTCAATCGATGCCAATCCTGGTGAAACCAATGACAAGGTGAGCGCGTTGGCATTTGCACCACCACGCCATCCACGTGATGAAGGTACGCGATTATGGATTGGACATCGAGATGGTGAATTACTCGTCGTGGATACGCTTTCTGGGCGCACGATTGAAAAGATGCAGCAACAACAGCAAGCCATTACAGCCATGCTTCGCTATCGCAACACCGAATTGTGGACCATCGATGAAAGTGGATTATTGTGTATATGGGACGCATATGATATGCATATCAAGGAACAGCGTATGGTGATGCCGCGATCCGTTACGGCGTTGCTGCGTGATCGTGATTTATGGATGGCTTCAGGTCGTACGTTACAAATGTTTCCTGAACATGGCAGCAGCACGCATCGTGGCGATCAGGAGGAGGAGAAACGCATTCGTATTCCCAATGATCTCGGCAATATTACGCAAATGGCTACCATGTCCCATCATCCTGGAAAGGTGTTTGTTGCTCATGACAATGGCAAAGTCAGTATATGGGATGCTTTTACACTCGAAAAGCGCGAGACAATGATGGTTTCCATGTATGGTATCACTGCCATGGTCGCTGTGGGCGAGTACTATCTGTGGATGGGCTACAACACAGGCATGATTTATGTTTACGACACACGTCCGGAACGTTGGGTGGTGATCAAGGCATGGAGAGCACATCACAGCGCTATTGTCAGTCTTCAAGTCGAGGATATTGGTATTGCCCTTGGCGATGAAACTGTGCAGGTGGTCAGTGCCGATTCACATGGCTATGTGGCGTTATGGGATGGTCTTTTGCCCGAACATTGGAAAGGTAAATGGGGATGGTGGTGATGGTATTTATTCAATGAGGGATATTGACTTTTGCTTTCTTATAGATCACCAAATGGCCCAATACAAGCATGATTATTGCACAGAGCGGGATATGAATCTATTGATTTGTTCTTGGAATATTGATGCCAACAAACCAGAGAAGCTCTCTGTCAGCGATGATCAAAGGATACGAGAATGGCTTGCAAGTATGGAGGATCCAGATATCATTGTCGTGGGTATTCAAGAGATTGTGGATCTCGAGTCAAAGAAACAAACAGCACGTGAGTAAACCTATGCAATGCATTGGCGATCTATTTATTAACATTCTTTTTGATGCAGGGTCCTTGTTTGCGTCACGTAAAAAGGTGGATACCTTGCAGGAGGCCAATGAGCTGCTCACACATCGATACAGCCTATGGCACGACTACCTTGTGCAATTGATCTATGAAACGCATCCATACAGTGAATACACGGTGATCAAGACCGACCAGCTTGTGGGCCTCTTTAGTTGCATCTTTGTCAAAACCAGCGAGTTGCGGCATGTCTCTTTGGTGGAATCCACTGTGGTCAAAACGGGTCTCAAGGTTATGCACAAGAGTTTGCATGGCAACAAGGGTGGTATCGCTATTCGTTTTCGTGTTCAAGATTCGACGTTGTGCTTTGTCAATTGTCACTTGGCTGCAGGTCAATCACATACACAGCAGCGCAATTCAGATGCAGAAGGCATATTGCAAACAGCTGAATTCCATGCATTTGAAAACAATGACGCAGGTATCTTTGCCAATGGTGGTGATGGTAGTATGATCTTGGACCATGAACATTGCTTCTTATCGGGTGATCTCAATTATCGCATCAACATGAGCCGTGAGCGCGTTTTACAACTCCTGGCTGGTTATGATCCCGAGCAAAGCTTTGATGCACTTCAACGTGAAGACCAACTCCTCAAGCAACGCATGACCAACCCACTCTTCAAGTTACTTTTGTTCAGCGAACCACGCATTGATTTCTTGCCGACTTACAAGTATGATCCTGGCACGGATTATTATGATCGATCTGAAAAGAAACGTGTACCTGCATGGTGTGATCGTATCTTGTACCGATCTCGTGACGCACACAATTTGTTTTATCAGCGACATGAAGTTCTGGCATCCGATCATAGGCCTATTAGTAGTGGATTTGTTATTCGCATCAAGCAAGTCGATCGATCCAAACAACGTCAAGTGGCTTTTCATGTCGATGAAGCTTGGCATCACCACTATAGCCGACTGGTTCAAGCCGCCAAGATTGCTTATATTGTGGACTTTGGATTTATGGATCATGATACAGCTTCAAAGCAACTAGAGGCAGCTCAATGGGATGTTGCTCGTGTCATGGATCAAGCAGCCATGTAATACTTTTTCTACCGCCTCCTACTCCTCCTCCTTCCCCGCCATTTGTAAATTCTACCATGACAACAAATACATACATAAAGAATAATAATAAACTTTCTATTCATCTACAATTGGATGGTTGTGGTTGGGGGAATATGAAGAAATTTACAATGGGACGGATGCGGCGCCTGCGACGCGACGACCCTGAACAAAAACGTGAGCAAGGGATTGATCACTACCATTAAAGAGGAACTTTTCAAGCAACTGGGTCTTATTTTCATGACCCATCACATCAACAGGGCTGTTGGCAAGATCGAGATCGACAAAGAGAGCATCAAAGGCCTTGCCTTGTTCAAAGTTACCAATGGTATCTTGAAGACCAAGGACACGAGCACCACCCATGGTAGCAAGGTAAACGAGTTCAGTGGTGCCAAGCACCTTGTAATCGGGCTTGTTAAGCTCATCACGATGGCGCATGAGTTGGACCTTGGAAGCGAAGAAGGAAGAGCGTACGGCATCCAACATGGAAGGAGCATAGCCACCAGCCACATCGGTACCAAGACCCACCTTGACACCACTTTCCAAGAATCGTCTCACATCACATACACCACTCTGCAGAGAAAAGTTGGAGTTGGCACAGTGGGAAATGCCGACATTGTTCTCCTTGAGCAATTGAATTTCATCATCCTCCATATGAACACAGTGGGCCATGTAGACGTTTTCGCTGGCAGTAAACAGGCCGTGGTCGTGGTAGATACCGGTATAGTGTTTGGAATCAGGGAACAAGCTGCACGTAAAGTTGATCTCATTGTGGTTCTCGCACAAGTGGGTTTGGATGGGGACCTTGTATTCAGATGCCAAAGCACTCAAGCCCTTCATCAAGGTGGATGAGCACGTGATGGCAAAGCGTGGTGTTACAACAGGTGTCACCAAGGGACCATGGGGCAATGTGTATTCAATAAAAGCACGGGTGGCGTCCAAACTCTCTTGGGTCTTTTCCACATAAAAATCAGGGCTGTTTTGGTCCATGTTGACCTTGCCGACATAGGCACGTTGACCTAATTCCCGAATAATATCCACCAACACCTTGCATGCTTCGAGATGAATGGTAGCAAACCAACTGCAGGTGGTTGTACCATTACGCAAGAAACGTGAAACAACCTTGGTATAAGACTTGCGGGCCATATCCGTTGATGCAAACGATGACTCCACAGGGAATACGTTGGCGTTGAGCCAATCCAACAATTGCAATTCCATTCCCGATCCAGCAAACACGTATTGAGGTGCATGCTATATATACATATCATGAATACATACATAACGTCATTAGGCCGATGTTGATGATGATGGCTACTTACAGCATGCGTATCGATAAATCCAGGAAGTAGGAATTGGTGAGGACTCATTTTGTGTAGCTATGGCAACCACCCTATTAGTACCGCTGTTGCCATGTCATATCAACCCTCATTTTACTCACTTCATAGGATGATGCATCCAAATCCTTCAAAGCCTCTTCAGGGTTGCTAACGTTACGTTCGAGACGTTGAATGACGCCACTGGTGCGATCGACAATCAAGAGACCATTCTCAATGATCTCCAACTCGGTGAGCGATTGCGAGTGAATGATGGTACCGTAAAACACAGAGAGAGTCTTGGCAGTCATGGTTGCGTTCTAACAGGAAAAGCGAGAAAAAAAAGGGATACATCTGGATCTGGAATGCCAGGTTTTATACTAGGTTTCAGGGCCCAACATTGAGTTTTGCTGATTGAATATACTCGCTATTTTTGTGATACTTGTCATATCGCACAGACCTGCCACAACCCAGCCTATCATTCAATCCCCCACCAACCACTTGTAAGACCTGCCATCCTTTTTGCATAATAGTAGTCATAATAGTAATATAGTAAAAGGGCATGCGTATGCGGGATAATAATAATAAAAGTATGCTGTCTCTGTCTCTCTCTCTAACATAAACGTTTTCTAAGCTGGCTATCCAAAATCTTGCGTTGTCTCCCAAGCCAGGAGGAAGGTGTGGATCGAAAGGAGGGATTCGACATTTCACGATGGTTACGTAGTGCAAGGTCGTACCACCCAGATACAATAAGTTGTTGTTCCTTTTGTGATTGTACACGTACATTGTGGATTTGTTTCTGTGTAATAAAAACATAAGTATAATTATACTCAAAAAAGGACTTTTTACATGCTTACCTTGAGCAAATCATATTCTTCTTCTTTTGTACGAGGTGTACGGTTGAGTAATCCTGGTTCACCCGAACGCCTTGCACCATTGTTGGCATTGAAGCGTGCCGTCATCTCTTCCAACAGCTGGGTATATAACTTGATCATCTATCATCATCATCAATGATTAGTTACACAGCATATACATTTGCATAAACATAGAGCTTGCTATACTTACATCACGCACTTTACGGATCTTGCCTTGATTCTCATTAATTTCTTCTTGTAAATGCAATACGCAAATCTGCAAATTGGCATTTTGCTCCTTGATCGTCTCGAGCTCATCACTACACACCTTGGTCAATCATACCTTCGTGGCATCCCCTTTCCAAAACACTTACTCGCTTAATGCCGGTCGATCCTTGAGGCTACCATCACTATTGATACCATGAAGATAATTGGCTTCCACAAGCATCCGATTAATGTCATGCAATTGCATCTTGGTGATATCTTCCAAACGATTCAATCGATCCTGGATCTTGGCTTGCTCCTTTTCATATTCGCGTAATGTAGCCGCATCCTTGGTGACGCTCCTCGTCCCTTGCGACACCGTCGTCTCCAATTTGATTGTGCACTCCTTGAGGAACTTGCACTCCTTGTCAAGATCCAAAATACGAGACCGGAAAGCCATGATGGTTTGTGTCTGGTTCAGCAGGGAATCCGGTATACCATTCCGGATATGTGCAAGCTCTTTCCTCAGCTTATCTCTTTCTTCAGCAACCATAGCCAGATCCTTGTAATAGGTAGTACAACAAGAAATGAGATGGTGCTCATACACACAATGGATGATGTTATCACCACCACCCACCATCACCTACCTTTTCTAGCTGATCCTTATCTTGCTCACCACCGGATGACGTTGATTGACCTTTCTCCATCTCCTTTATTTTCCTCTTTAACCGTTGAATATCCAGACGTCTGAAAAGGATCATGAGTAACGGGAAAACACACCTTCTCTAATCCAATGACAAACTTACAATTCGGTCACATTCGCCTTTTTCATGTTTTCTTCCATATTGTTGGCATCATCCATATCCTCGTCCTCCCCGAGATGTATGCTTGGATCGGAATTATTGATAGCCTTCTCCATCATCGTGCCTATATAATGTTGATAAGCAGTCCACCCATTATACGAGCTATATGTATATAGGTACATACCACCACCTAATTCCATTTCCTTGATTTGCTCTTCCAGTAGTTGTACTTGCTCGACGTTGCGATCACGATCTTGCTCAAGATAGGCACATGTCTCGCTCATCTTTCGCAATTCTTCCTCAAAGCGCGCCTTTTCATCAGATAGCTCCCTGTTGTTGGCGGCCAATTGTTGTACTTGGTCCTCAAAAGATCCCATCACCGTTTTGAATCGTAACACTTTACGGTATTCATCCTCCAATTCATGACATCGTTTGAGCAAATCCGTGTTTTGAGCTTCCAGAGCCTAAATCATGTGATACGTTCATTAGACATGGGACGATTCATAGGCAGAGAGGCATATAAAACAAGGAAAAAGTTACCAAACCTTGACCTGTTCTTCCAGATCGCTCTTGTCTTGCGCTTCACGTTCATATTTCTCCAATGTTGCTTGTAATGTGCTCATGTGTTCCACAGCTGCATGATATTCTTCCAACTCGGATCGTAAATGGTCAGCTTCATCCGCTTTTGCTGTCAGTTCGGTAATCTAAAATAGTGATAGGTTAGTATCAATACATCCTATACGCTTGCTCCCATGTATTACCTTTCGCTTTAATTCATTGATGGATGCATATTGGCTATCGAGTAGAGTCTCTGTTTCTAGTCGTTGCTCTTCACACCGCTCTCTAAAAGAAACCAGTTAACATGTTGTCACGATGCTTAGGGGGTCGTTCTGTATACATACAAGTCCTGCTTAAGGCGGTCAATTTCAGAGCGCATAATAAAATCGGCTTTGCTGTTATTACTGGTATGCAGAATTTGGTCATCCATATCTCTCAAATGGGCTTCAATGTCCTTTTTCTCTTGCAAAAGTTCATCCTGACAACAACAAGGAGGTGTAAGTAAGAGACGTTTTCCCACACATGCATGCCTACTTACAAATTGATCTCGCAAGCTATCATATTCAATGGCAAGTTGCTGATAGGAAGCTTCATACTGTTTCTTTTCCACCAGTAATCGATCAAATTCCAATTGATATCGATAAGGCATGTCACTAACATCATCCATGAGACTCCTCCCTTTCCATGTCTTTCCCTTCCCTCATATACCTGTCAAAACTTCGAGTGGTCGTCGCTGAAGATGTGGTTGTTGAAAGCTGTGAATCACGTGGATTGATAAAATCACCACCATTGAAATGATTCATGACCTACAGGCGTTACACAGGGTTAGTGTTACCTACATACCCAGAGAGCGAGAGAGAGACGACAACCAACCAACCTCTTCAATCGACAACATCAATGCATGCTGACTCTTTTGTGATAGACTTTGGATCATGTCGATATAAACGCGGTTGTTGTCACATTGAACGGCGATGGCGACAATAAACTGACACATGCGTAATAATTCGGAGGGATTGGCGTGCTTGGCAATAGCAGCGAGATCAATGGATGGTAAGAGCTCAGGGTCCTGCCCAAGCACCTCGTCGAAATAGCGCGTGATCAATTTGTGGATTCGCTTTTGATTGTTCAGTCGCATCACCCAGCTACTATCGTCGTTCATGTCGGATAGGATACTATTGCGCTTCCTATTGTTGGCTTCACGAGCTGCGTTGCTAAGTTGCTTGAACCATTTGGCGTCACTAATATGGGCGTTGTGTGTATGTGTGTGTAAGAGAGGTATACATGTATCCTTCCCCCTCCCCTCCCCCAACTTCTTGCCGTATCGTACATGTCAATGAGCACTTCTGAAAGTACAACACCATCGGCCAACTGGACCAACGTATCGATTGGACTGGATTTCCCGTCAAAGGTGTTGATCTAATGGGGCGCCATGGCTCGGTTTCAGTGAACAAGTTGCGGACCATGCGTATGGCTTCCTCCCCCCCTTTTGTTACCCATGCGACAAAAGCATCCTCCAATGTAGCCTCCATTCGCGAAAAAGTCATGGTAACGACGCAAACGTATATCTATGCGTGTGAATTCGACGTGATGAAGAAAGGGTCTGTGTGTGTGAAAGGGGTGGAAGTAGAGTGGAAAAAGGTACCAAGTTTAAAGCGGAGGAGAATGAGAGAGAGAGAGAGAGAGAGGGCTCGATGTCTATTTTGTAACAGGATGTGTGTTATGAATACGATGCCATCCTTACTTTTTTATCAAATAAAAAATTCGATATCATTGGACTATGCCAAATCGTCGTTGTTTCCTTGATCGATACGACGTTTTTCCTTCTTCATAGGAGAAGCAAGCATGATGAGTCGGAACCGGTGTTCCGATTATTATGTGTGCACAACGATGATCATCCAGCGGCAGCAATTAGCATCTTTATTACACTTTCCTTATACGTTCCAAGGATAACGGATACGTGAGCGTGCCTAACCAATGTCGAATACTATGATGGCTTTACATTGGGTTTACAAATGCATGCACATACCACAGCAGCTTGATGTCGTGTGATGCATATTTGTATCTACCTACGTCGTACTTCCGCTATGATGGCTCTCCTTCTTCCTGTGCCTGAAATCTTTATTTGCATAAGCATCATGTGATCATTCCATTTTTCTGGTCATCAAATGTATTCTGCTTTCTTTGTAATAAACAAAGAATACCCAGTCATTGTACATCCTTTTTAATTATAAAAGCCCCAGTATCCCAGTTGCCATGGAAACGGTTGTACAATGAAACAAATTACTACACATTCCCTTCGTATGTAGTTAATTAGGAGGATTTGATGGCAATGAACCATGACCATGACACTATTTGAATGAATGATGGATGGATGGAGGAGATGATTGTTCTATCACGTGACCAGGGAGATTGAGGGAGAGCAAGTGTGTGTGGAGTGGGGGAGGGGGAAAAAGTCAGCAGGTCTTGCTATGACCATCTTTTCTCCTCCGCGCATCATGCACTCTACGTTATCCTCGCCACATAATAATGAGCCAGCAACAGCCAGCAACAGCAGACGATGTGACATCCGGTCGACCTCGATTTATCAATGTACTGCCCTTTGATATCGTAACCAAGATCTTTTCACGGCTTTCTCAAGATGACTGTCTGGAATGTATGGCAGTGAGTCGAGCAATGTACCAAGACGTTCCTTGTTATTCAACCAGTGTTTGGCGTAAACTATGGCTGGGCAACCAGCAGCTTGTTCACCATCAACGTCTTGCTCGTTGTCTTGGGCCACATGTGGAACAAGTGACACTGGCGTCTTGTCGTTGGGAGGATGAAGCACACGCGTTCTTGCAAATGCTTGTGGAACGAGACTGTTTGGATATCAGTAGTATAGGTAAGTTGATTCAATTCTCATCTAATGAGCTCATTGTATTCATTGTTACATGTCTCTATAGAGTTTGCTGATTGTTACATCATTCACGTGGATACATTAATGCAATTACTGTCACCGTTTCGACGACTACGCCGATTGTCATTCTTGCAACATCCCCGACCCCTTGTTCCCGAGCAATTGATCCCACATTGTACCAATACCAACATCACTCACTTAACGGTGGAAGTCGACTATGATGCAGGATCAGAACAAGTCACCTATCCACCACCACCGCAACCATCATCATCATCATCCATGACATCGCAAAGTGATACTAGCAACAACAACATCATTTATCTACGCTGGCAAGATTATCGATTAAAATACTATCTCTTTGAAGACATGGTCATGCCAACTCTACGCCATTGCCCCAATCTTCTCTACTTGAGTACATCCAGTGCTATCATTCGTCGACGCGTGGCCTTGGTGGATATTCTTGAGTTATGTCCCAAACTACGCATGTTTGAAACGACATCATGGTGGGAAGGATACAAGGATGATATTTGTTCAGCTTTATCTTCGGTTACAGGTGATGATGATGATGGTGATGATAGTAGTGGTGGTGGTCGTCATCCACTACGCTACCTTTCTCTCGAGGGAAGTTTTGACGACGATGGCAACCATGATGATCCACAAAGTCAATCGGCATTCAGCAAATGTATCGAGGAACGTTGTCAGGCACTTCAATATGTGATGCTTGCATCCGCATCTACGTTTGCACTAAGAGCATTAACGCAATTGGAACGACTTGCAGCATTACATTTACGTCTTCCGATCTCTTGGGAAAACAATGCCACGCCCAATGATCTCGTTCATCTTTTCACCAAACTTGCTTCCAATACCAAACTTCAAGTCCTCAATCTCGAAGCGGCACAACTCACCACTCGACCTGTTTTGAATGCAGTCGCCGGTTTAAAGAGTCTCCAATTTCTCAATATCCAACCTGCTCCCGATATACAAGAATCCGATCTCATCACATTTGTGTCAAGCTTGACCCATTTGGAGGCATTGACATTGCACAGCGTAGCCAACGTATCAAAAAACTTGTTTAACGCCATCGCCAACCTTGGACAATTAGCATCATTAACACTGGATGATTGTGATCGTGTGGATGTGGAAGGCACAAGGATACTTGTTGACAGGAAAGCTAGGATGAAGGATAGGAAACAATTTGTACTACATACAATGTATAGTCGTTTCTCAGAAGATGATGGAATTGAGGATTATGCCAAAAATACCCCTGGTATCCTTTTTATTTCTTCTTAATCAAATAAAAGCATTGTAGTCATCGTTTTACTATTGAGGCATCCATCCATCCATCCTGTGCACGTGACCCAACTGACATTTTTGACATTCAGGCCCTTTCAAGCTCCAAAGGGTCACGCTGTGTTTTCTTTGCTTTATATAGTTGACACTATGGGTAAAAAGAACAACGCCAGCGGTTTTCGTCCCAAGGCTTCACCTATCAAGTACAACCGCGTATCACCTACCACCACACCACCAACACCTAATGGAGGAGCTAAATCGTCGCCACGGCTCATGCCTATTCTCATTGGAGGCGGTCTACTCTACATTACAGCCACCTACGTGAGCATGAGTGTTTTCAAGAGCAAGAGTGATACGACAACTGGACGTACACATGATCATTCAAGCCATGATACACCTGTGGATGGCAACTTTGATACAGCACCTGTGTGGGAAAAGATAGCCAAGGATTATGACAAGGAGATCGATTGGGATGAATTCGTTATGGGTATTGGTCTTATGCGACGATGGTTGATTGGCCAAGCCAAGGTATATACATACATCATCTTACCATTACCCGTCCTCTATTGACATGGTGTGTACTACTAGGGTGATGTGCTTGAAGTATCCACAGGTACAGGCCGTAATTTCAAGTACTACAAGGACGACCAGTTATCATCCGCCACTTTTACGGACCGGAACGAGGGGATGCTCACTCAAGCCAAAAGCAAGTTCGCAGAGTATGCCGGTCAATTCAAAAAGACATTTGTGGAATTTAAGCAAGCCAATGTGGATCATGTGCACACATTGACCAAAGAGGATAACAATGGAAGGAGGCATCAGCAACAATTCGATACCGTCGTGGATACATTTGGTTTATGCTCCTGCAAGGACCCTGAACAAGCATTGATTTCACTGGCGGATGCCTGTAAACCCTCTGAGGAATCAAGGATCTTACTTTTGGAACATGGTCGCTCCCATTATGATTGGCTCAACCGTATCCTGGATACCAATGTCGACAAGCATGTACGCCGTTGGGGTTGTTGGTGGAATCGAGATCTGATGGAATTATTCGAACGTGAAAAGGTCAAGGAGAAGCTTGAGATTGTCAAAGTATATAGGTGGCATTTAGGCACAACATGTTATATCGTAGCAAAACCCAAGACATCATCATCTTAATATAGTATATAAATCACCATTGCATTGATTGCTAGATATTCTACATATGATTTGAATGATGTTCTTTATAGCCCTCTAATGAGATCGGATCAATGTTGTAGTAGAGCGATCTTAAGAAATGATGGTCACAACGATAAAACCTGTACTACCGAAATCGGCCTTCTGCTTTTTGCATAGGACTTGTGAGGTTCCCCGACCGATGAAATTTTATTTTTCTGCGCCCAGTTTTGCGTTTCCCTCCTCTCTCTCTTTTCTCTTCAACTTATTCTAATCACTTACAATGAGGTATGTATGCCTACAATGTCTTTTATTGGACAAGGTGGATGTGGGTGAACGCTCTATAGGATACACTTGAAAAGGCTGAAGGGAGCGGGCATAATGAATAGGAACGGAGAGGCAATATGGGTTATAAGCGATACTAAGTATCCTTTGTTTCTTGTAGCAACGAGCCTTTGCAAGAAGTTACAGACCACGAGATCGAGGTGAGATGGTGGAGATGGAGGACCTTGAACACTGCATCTCGGCAATGGACCACTGACAATCGTTTTTGTTTTGCAACTTTGTAGTCCAACTGGGAAGAAGTTGTCGACAACTTTGACAACATGAATCTCAAGACCGAGTTATTGCGTGGTGTTTATGCGTATGGGTAAGTAGGAAAATGAATACAAAAAGAGATAGGAATCCATGCTAATCCTACCTTACGCTAGTTTCGAACGTCCTTCAGCCATTCAACAACGTGCTATTATGCCAGTGATCAAGGGACATGATGTGATTGCCCAAGCTCAATCGGGTACCGGCAAGACCGCTACCTTTTCCATTTCGATCCTTCAGTCGATTGATACAAGCAAAAAGGAAGTGCAGGCTTTGATTTTGGCTCCTACTCGTGAATTGGCCTTGCAGATCCAAAAGGTGGTGCTTGCTTTGGGTGACTTTATGGGTGTCGAATGTCATGCATGCATTGGTGGTACCAACATTCGTGAGGATATTGCAAAGTTCCAAGAAGGTTGCCATGTGGTCGTCGGTACGCCTGGTCGTGTATTCGACATGATCCACAATCGTCGCGCATTCAACCCTGAAAAGATCAAGATGTTCGTTCTTGATGAAGCTGATGAAATGTTGTCTCGTGGATTCAAGGATCAAATCTATGATGTCTTCCAACTCTTACCTGGCAGCACCCAAGTTGTCCTCTTGTCAGCCACCATGCCATCGGATGTACTCGAAGTCACTACCAAATTCATGCGTGAGCCTGTACGCATTCTTGTCAAGCGTGATGAATTGACCTTGGAAGGTATCAAGCAATTCTATATTGCCGTCGACAAGGAAGAATGGAAACTCGACACCTTGTGCGATTTGTATGAGACAGTCACCATCACCCAAGCCGTTATTTTCTGCAACACCCGTAGAAAGGTCGATTGGCTCACCGATAAGCTCCATGCTCGTGAATTCACCGTCTCGGCCATGCACGGCGATATGGATCAAGATCAACGTGATGTCATCATGAAGGAATTCCGCTCAGGCTCTTCCCGTGTTCTCATCACTACCGATCTTTTGGCTCGTGGTATCGATGTTCAACAAGTCTCTTTGGTCATCAAGTAGGTTTATAAAGAGTACATGGTTATATGGATGATGATGACTGACGCTTTATATCTATAGCTACGATTTGCCTTCCAATCGTGAAAACTACATTCACAGAATCGGTCGTGGTGGCCGTTTCGGTCGTAAGGGTGTTTCCATCAACTTTGTTACCAATGAGGATGTCCGCATGATGCGCGTAAGTGTTTTTCACCTATCACCAGGATAAGGGAAAACTCACCAACTTGGCTATCTTTAGGATATTGAACAATTCTACAACACCCAGATCGAGGAAATGCCTATGAACGTTGCCGACCTTATCTAGATTTGTGCACACAACAAAGTATTACACTTGCTTTTCCCCGTTACCCCCATTCCCTTTGCTGCGATAGTGAATCTGTAAAGAAGAAAAAAAAGCGAATAAATTCAAAAAAGACTATTGGACACTGACTTGTGTTCTTGGATATTGCTCCCTTTGCATATTGGTAGCTGGTTGTTCTCCCCATGTGTTCCCATGAGATGGATGTACACCTTGGATACTCGATTTACGGCACTAAGGAGCTGATGTTTGTTCACCTACGTACATGAGAATCATCATACGCAATGTCTTGTATATGCATAGTAGAAGTGAATCACTCTATCATGCATTTTTCTCCTTTGGGTGTATGCAAGGTGTCTATAAAGGCGCTGGAAGAGGTACCAGTTAACGTTTGTTCCAAGCACCTCAATTCTCCATAACGGCTTTCACAATGTATGTTATGTGAAAGTTTGCATGTATATCCTTTTTGATGAGGTTGCTTATCAAGTCGTACTAGAAATAACCATGGAAGAAGATGGTATACAAGCAAATGTTTATTGCCCACCCATAGATGCACCGTATGCATAAGAGTACTTGCCGCTCAACCATCATACAAATGCCTTCTCCTCCTGATTACAGCCTGCTCCTGCATAATACTTTTATCCCCTCCCTCTTTCTCTGTTCCCTTTGACATTATGTATTGCTTAGCTATGGGCATGGTAGTAGTTTTCTCTATTCGCGGGCCGTGAAACAAAGGCGACCTCTATGACATATAGGAGATAGTGATAAAAGGTTATAAAAGAGGGGCCATGGCGCTCACATAAAAGTCAACTAACTAATAACTACCAAAAAACTAAATCAACATGCTGCGCTTTTCAATCCTTGCTATGTGGGTTGCATCTTTAATCCTCTTATCCTCTGTACAAGCAGCTCCCCAAGGAACATCCCAAAATGAGTCCCCTCTTTCAGAGAATACAGGTCTTTTCGGTCAGGGATCGGATTCATTCTTGCCTAAGTCTCTACTTGAAAATTCTCTTCAAGGACAGGTTGCCCAAAGAGAATCCCAAAAGACGACCCAAGAATCTTCTCAAAGTGATTCAACCACAAAAGCGAGCAAGGATATTAAACAGGCGTGGGATGCAATCATGCCCGATGGTTTAACTCAAACTTCTATTCAAGGAGCAGCCTCGTAGTCGCGTTTTACATGTTGCTCACTGCTTCAACAAGTATTACTAGCTAGTTTAACGGTATAACAATAATCACGACCAATAAGAAAACTAAATTGCTCTACACGTGTACTCTTTTACGTGTACCAAATGTGTATGTTTCCTTCAAAACATTATGGGACAAATGCAGCTATGTTCAATGTTGCGCATCATTGATGATTATTATACAAGGCTAGCTACGTAACCTAAACACGCATACGCATTCCAGCCAATAAACACACTTTCGAGACTCAAGCTCTTTACAATAACTTGGTTAGGTTTTACAATGACGACTACGACATAATGAAAACACTAAAGTCTGTTGGTGATGATGAGAGATTGTGCATGGGATGATCAACTCTATCCTTTTTCACCAGAGCCTAGCAGGCGTCCATGCTTAAATCGACAATTGAAGATTCATTGTTGTACCAAAATGAAGAAAGATCAAATCACAAACCACGAGGGTGAAAGAAACCAATACGCATATCCGAGTACTCTACAAACAGCGTGCTTTGCGATATAAAATTTATTCGTTTGATCTACAAACGCTGTTATTGCTCTTTGTGTGTATATATAGGTTCATGCTGAATGCATTATTATGCTAATGATACAAGGTTTGAGGGGTTTACATGTAGAGAGAGAGAGATGATATATGATGGTGAGGTGATATGGGAAAAGAAAGGAGCGATGACGATGATGATGTTGAATGATAATGTGGGGTTCGTGGTAGTGGTGGTGGCGGTAGGGCGAATGATAAAAAAAAGGTTGATGATGAGGCGCAGTGGGATCAGGGTTTTTGAAAGGGACCGACCGATCAATCCAAGGAAAGCATCCTGTCACCTGCATGATGAGCAAGCGTGGCTGTACTCCGGTCACGTAATAAATGGGCTTTGAGACCTTTCTTGAAATTAGACCAGCAGATACCAATGTTGGCAATCGTCAGCACCAGCAGCGCTAATGAGACGCTTGCGAAAAAGGTCAAAAAGTTCTTGATGTTTCTATATTTCTCTGCCTGCGTCGGATCGAAGATGCGCACAATCTTGTAAATAAAGTATGCACAGCCTGCAGCTGCGCCTACGAAGAATATCAACACAAGCGGCTTGGATTCATGTCGAACCTACATAAGAGGGATGCGTCAGATGATCATGTATAAAGAGGGGCTGATGATGATGATGATGTCGGATCAAACTTACCGCATACACAGCGAGGACCAAAAATAAACATGTCAGCGGTAGCGCAATGATGGTAAGAGGAAATTCGACATCGCCTGACTGCAACACGAGAACCAAGTATTGAATAGAATAGCCGAGGAAGAAGAACATATCGATCTTGAGGATCGTCAACAGGATTTGATACCATCGATACATGTCTATACAAGCAAGCAATGAGATACACATACACACATATCACCCTAGGCATCCTTTACTTACTTCGAATCTCAGGATCAGCACCGATTTTCTTGTAGATACGCCATCTACAATAAAGGTAATGTATGTAAGCCATCCATTTCTTTGATACGTATAGTTTTGCTATTCCTTTACCCAAACTCTTGGTATAACCTCGCACCCAAATACAGATAAATGAGCTCACAAAGTCCAATGACGATAACGTTGGCAATCAAGAGACGATCGATCAAAGCTTTGAGGTCTGAGAAGTCGACACCATACATGGCCACGGTGGATGTGAGGGCTGGATTGTTGTTTTGTATATCGTTCAATGCTTCCGAGATTTGTTGAAACTGAAAGCTGCCATACATGAGACAGCACAAATTCAATAGAATGAAGGCAATGACTTGAATGGTATTCTGCATCCGTACCTGCCCATTCAATCAGCCTTTGGTTAGAATCCCAATGTTGCGTCTGTATCCCCTTAAATCATCCACTTACTGCATCCCATGCAATGCCGACTTGATACACTTGGCAGATGATGAAAATCATGAGGTATACAGGAATGCCTTGCCCTAGCTCCTCGTTCGCACTATCGGATTCATGCGTTTAGTGTATTGCGTTCCCTTACGCTATCGTCGACGATGATGATACCCATCCATCCACGTACTGATGCTGTATGAACTTTGCAAATATGACGGCTTCCAACGCAATGACAACGATGGCTTCGAAAACTGATGTCAAGACAAGAACAACCGAATGCCGTGAACTAGCAAACTAGAAGAAGAAGACATAAATAAATACCGCCATTGAATGAGTCTTCAAGTGACAATGAAGGGAAGAGGCTTACATTGAAGCGTGATTCAGTCCTCTCAGTGGGGAAGTCGTACATTTTGTGGGAGGTTGGACCTGAATCGAGGCAAGATGCGGATAGGTTCTCTGTCGACATTGGTTATGAGAAATAAAAGGGGGGAGAACCAAGAACCAAGGATAAAGAAAGAAAGAAAGAAAGAAAGAAAGAAAGAAAGAATATGGAAAGGGAAGAAGAGCAAGAAGGATGAATATTGTTTCTATGTGTCCTCTCTTTCGTTGCGTATGTGTGTGAGTGGGTGCACCCGCTCGGGCGCAGTAATTAAAATGCAAGGTTAGTTAGTGCCTTCATGAACTGCCTTTTGTGTCAATCGATACAAAAGGCGAAGTATTACTTAGCATTGTTATTGCTGTTACTTGATGTGATGACTTTGGTGGTGGTGGGGGGGGAGGGAGGGAGGGGGGGAAGGAGGAGAGGGGGTTGCTCATATCATCCATCCATGACCTTGATGTATGCTGAACCATCAAAAGCTTCCAAAAAGACAACTCCATTGTCATCACTGACGATCAAAAAATCATTCGGAATGCGTCTTCGAAAGTAGGGTGCGGCATAATGTACCATGAACAAGTTCCCTGCTCATAGGTTACTTTGTTGTACCATCTGCTTATCCTTGTTGCCATCACCGACCCACACACAAACACAGGGATTACTGTTACAGGTAAGGGGTTGCTTGGATGATAAGTGATCAGGGAATAGAGAATGGTGTCATTAGTAGACACAAGGCCAAGGAAAACGGAATAATCGATGCTTGTGGTGGTAGTAGGTATCATTATTATATCCAACCCTATGATACATTTGATTGGTTGCTATGCTTTCATCCTGATCTTGCATAATAAAATGATACGTTTCTTTGTCCCTGGTTACTGTTTTCTTTATGACTTGACAATGCTTCTTCCACCCAAAGATGCTCTGCATGCTTCCTTTGTGTATTTCCTCGAGGATCGCTGTGGTTGGGATTGCTTTTGTATAAAGGATATGCGTTCCTTGGCGTGCTTATTGAATGGCATGCAAGTAGCGGATGAGATTCGTTATTTTTTGGAAATCTAAGATCTATTTTACTTGATCGCCATGGGAAACATCCATCATCGATGTGTAATGAATGTTGTGATGAAAAGTTTAATCTTGTGTGCATTACAAACGCGGGGTTTTCTCTCTTTCTAAAAGTGTCACGAGCCACCCACCATGCATCGAATTTGGAAAGAAGGAGACATTGAGGGAGAAGAGATCAGGTCAAAATGTATGTGCGCGCTTTTCGGAAGCGCTTCTGCATCGGATATGTTTATGCCGAGGCTTATCCATTAGGTGCACGCTATCTGCATTAGCTTCACCACGCATGCAGCAACGATGGCTGTTTGCTCTCTTCCATATTGTTTCCATGTTTCTCTAACCAGTTTCGTCATTGGTGGCAACCTTGGGAGGAAACTTTAATGACTCCTGAGCCAGAGGCATCTTTGTTTCCCAATTGTTATGGGTGTGCATGTACGTCTGTGTGTGCATATGGCCTGTGCTCGCACCATAGCGGGGAATCTGTGACAAGGATGATCTCAGCATTGTGGGTGGCGGGATATTGTGCGTAGCTCAGTAAGTGGAGGAGAAGGTTGCAGGTGCAGTAAGGGGATGTTAAATGCAGTAAAGAGATCACTGTATGAGATGTTGCAGTTAAGTTTCAGTTATGATCATAAGATTTTCGCTGGTAATACACGCTCTATGTCTTTGCTCTCTCTCCCTCGCGATATTTCACTCTTTGAGCCATACAAACGCGGGTTTTCCAAAGACGGTCTTTTCGATAATCGTTACACAAACTGCGTCCTTTAGTAGCTACTACGGAAAATGGAACAAACCGCTCTTTGGCCGCCTATGACGAATGATTGTCATTGTTTTATGATACTTACACAAGGTCCCTTGCTCAAAATGGTCACCTCCAAGGCCTTGCCCCATCGGCGTTTCACACTTTTTTGAAAGAACCTACACCAAAGCATCGATTGCTCGGGAACGCAACCACATGTCCCAAATCAGATTCTCCTCCTCCGAATGTGTGAATATAATCCAAATCATCATCATTTCACCCGCTTTCTTTTTTGCTTTCTTTCCCGATTTATTTCTCTTTCATACCAGCTTCTTCTCTCACTTTTTCACTGGTATCATCAAAATGAACACACAAACGAATACAACAACGTTACTTTCCTCTCCAGCTAGCAGTATGACATCCAGCAGCTTTGCCGTCATCGATATCTTCAACCAAAGAGCAAGGCACCATCATTACCACCAACAAAAAACAAAACCAAACATCAATGTCGTGTGCATTGAAAAACGCGATCATCAATGGTAGCCGACAAGATTTCAACAACATTTGCGAAAGAGCATCCAGCCATGATTTGGCCCAAGAAAACAATGACATGGCGTGTTGCGCGTGTCATACAATACCCCCCTGAATGTTCGACAAGAGGCCGTGCGCAAATTGGGCCCACTCAAGAAATCGGGTGGGTGGCCTTATACAATACATTATTGCTTCAAAGGTGCGTGTGGCTATTGCCATGCTTGAGTTTTTACAACAACATTGTGCACATGAACCATTGCGTTACGCTGTCAATCGTCAATGGGGTTCCAACAATACGGCTTTGCATCTAGCTTGTTTCTGGAATATGCCTCGGCTTGTACGACTCTTGCTAGACCTGGGTGCCGATTGCAATACGGAATGCCAATCTTGTTTCCCCGCAGATTGTTGTCGCACGGCCCCTCATAGCAATGATTGCAGGGCCATGTTGTCATCCTGAAAACAGCATCAGCAACAACAACAACAACAACACGCTATTCGTCCATCCATGTTGTTGAAAAAAGGCAATGGAACAACACTATAACAGCAACATGACGACAACATCATCCATCATGGACTCGTATATGCAAACCACCACCACACCACCACCATCACCAGCAGCTATTCCTCCCGAATACTTTGCTGCAGGGGTACCATCAATATCCACATCCTCATCCATGCTGTCAGCTGATGGCTCATCCACATGTTGGACACCACCCACATCACCTATGCGTCGTCGCATGTGTTTTTTCACCACCTGTCAACATGCTTCATGAAACGCATTCAAACAACAGCACCAGCAAACATGTTCGTTTTGATCCTCAAACATTGATCCATGATGCTTGCATGCGTGGTAATTTGCCAAGTTGCTCAACCAAGGATATGGATGCAAATCCTTGCCTACGTATGGTGCACAAAAGACCGCACGCTTTTGCAAGTCGCTATCATTTTGGTCATCATCAACTGGCCTCATTTGCTTGAAAAAAGCAGGATCAGGTGGATCATTACGATACCCAAGGTAAGTGTTTTAAAGAAAAGTCATCATGAATGATGATACGTTATTCACACATACGCACATTCATTAGGCTGGAGCTTCAGGAGGGAGGGAAGGAGGGGGAAGGGGGTTGCTCATATCATCCATCCATGACCTTGATGTATGCTGAGCCATCAAAAGCCTACAAAAAGACAACTCCATTGTCATCACTGACGATCAAAAAATCATTCGGAATGCGTCTTCCGAAAAGTAGGGTGCGGCATAATGTACCATGAACAAGTTCCCTGCTCATAGGTTACTTTGTTGTACCATCTGCTTATCCTTGTTGCCATCACCGACCCACACACAAACACAGGGATTACTGTTACAGGTAAGGGTTGCTTGGATGATAAGTGATCAGGGAATAGAGAATGGTGTCATTAGTAGACACAAGGCCAAGGAAAACGGAATAATCGATGCTTGTGGTGGTAGTAGTTTGTCGTGTACTATCAACCCTATGATACATTTTTGATTGGTTGCTATGCTTTCATCCTGATCTTGCATAATAAAATGATACCGTTTCTTTGTCCCTGGTTACTGTTTTCTTTATGACTTGACAATGCTTCTTCCACCCAAAGATGCTCTGCATGCTTCCTTTGTGTATTTCCTCGGATCGCTGTGGTTGGGATTGCTATGTAAAGGATATGCGTTCCTTAGCGTGCTTATTGAATGGCATGCAAGTAGCGGATGAGATTCGTTATTTTTGGAAATCTAAGATCTATTTTACTTGATCGCCATGGAAACATCCATCATCGATGTGTGTAATGGATGTTGTGATGAAAGTTTAATCTTGTGTGCATTACAAACGCGGGTTTTTCTCTCTTTCTAAAAGTGTCACGAGCCACCACCATGCATCGAATTTGGAAAAAAGAAGGAGACATTGAGGAGAAAGAGATCAGGTCAAAATGTATGTGCGCGCTTTTCGGAAGCGCTTCTGCATCGGATATGTTTATGCCGAGGCTTATCCATTAGGTGCACGCTATCTGCATTAGCTTCACCACGCATGCAGCAACGATGGCTGTTTGCTCTCTTCCATATTGTTTCCATGTTTCTCCTAACCAGTTTCGTCATTGGTGGCAACCTTGGGGGAGGAAACTTTAATGACTCACAGACCCAGAGGCATCTTTGTTTCCCAATTGTTATGGGTGTGCATGTACGTCTGTGTGTGCATATGGCCTGTGCTCGCACCATAGCGGGGAATCTGTGACAAGGATGATCTCAGCATTGTGGGTGGCGGGATATTGTGCGTAGCTCAAGTAAGGGGTGGAGAAGGTTGCAGGTGCAGTAAGGGGATGTTAAATGCAGTAAAGAGATCACGCATGTATGAGATGTTTGATTCAGTTCAGTTATGATCATAAGATTTTCGCTGGTAATACACGCTCCTTGTCTTTGCTCTCTCTCTCCCTCGCGATATTTCACTCTTTGAGCCATACAAACGCGGGTTTTCCAAAGACGGTCTTTTCGATAATCGTTACACAAACTGCGTCCTTTAGTAGCTACTACGGAAGCCGGAACAAACCGCTCTTTGTATATGACGAATGATTGTCATTGTTTTATGATACTTACACAAGGTCCCTTGCTCAAAATGGTCACCCCTCCAAGGCCTTAACCCCATCGGCGTTTCACACTTTGAAAGAACCTACACCAAAGCATCGATTGCTCGGGAACGCAACCACATGTCCCAAATCAATTCCTCCTCCTCGAATGTGTGAATATAATCCAAATCATCATCATTTCACCCGCTTTTTCTTTTTTTGCTTTCTTTCCCCGTTTATTTCTCTTTCATACCAACTTCTTCTCTCACCTTTTCACTGGTATCATCAAAATAGACAACACACAAACAGGACACAACAACGTTACTTCCTCTCAGCTAGCAGCAGTATGACATCCAGCAGCTTTGCCCGTCATCGATATCTTCAACCAAAAGAGCAAGGCACCATCATTACCACCAACAAAAACAAAAACCAAACATCAATGTCGTGTGCATTGAAAAACGCGATCATCAATGGTAGCCGACAAGATTTCAACAACATTTGCGAAAGAGCATCCAGCCATGATTTGGCCCAAGCTCTATTGACATGGCGTGTTGCGCGTGTCATACAATACCCCCTGAATGTTCGACAAGAGGCCGTGCGCAAATTGGGCCCACTCAAGAAATCGGGTGAATTTGACGCTATACAATACACATTATTGCTTCAAAAAGGTGCATTGGCTATTGCCATGCTTGAGTTTTTACAACAACATTGTGCACATGAACCATTGCGTGCCTTTGTCAATCGTCAATGGGGTTCCAACAATACGGCTTTGCATCTAGCTTGTTTCTGGAATATGCCTCGGCTTGTACGACTCTTGCTAGACCTGGGTGCCGATTGCAATGCACGGAATGCCAATCTTGTTTCCCCCGCAGATTGTTGTCGCACGGCCCCTCATGGCAATGATTGCAGGGCCATGTTGTCATCTGAGAAACAGCATCAGCAACAACAACAACAACAACACGCTATTCGTCCATCCATGTTGTTGAAAAAGGCAATGGAACAACAACACTATAACAGCAACATGACGACAACATCATCCATCATGGACTCGTATATGCAAACCACCACCACACCACCACCACCATCACCAGCAGCTATTCCTCCCGAATACTTTGCTGCAGGGGTACCATCAACCACATCCACATCCTCATCCATGCTGTCAGCTGATGACTCATCCACATGTTGGACACCACCCCCATCACCTATGCGTCGTCGCATGTGTTTTTCACCACCTGTCAACATGCTTCATGAAACGCATTCAAACAACAGCACCAGCAAACATGTTCGTTTTGATCCTCAAACATTGATCCATGATGCTTGCATGCGTGGTAATTTGCCAGAGTTGCTCAATTTGCTCAAGGATATGGATACCAAATCCTTGCCTACGTATGGTGCACAAGACCGCACGCTTTTGCAAGTCGCTATCATTTTTGGTCATCATCAACTTGTACCTCATTTGCTTGAAAAAAGCAAGGATCAGGTGGATCATTACGATACCCAAGGTAAGTGTTTTAAAGAAAAAGTCATCATGAATGATGATACGTTATTCACACATACGCACACATTCATTAGGCTGGACGGCGTTGCATTATGCAGCCAAGTATGGTCGCTGGGTTGCCATGGAACAATTGGCACCTATTGCCAACATTCATGCAAGAACGCTCGATGGTTGGACCATTTATGATTGCCCAAAGACACATGTTGACAAGCAAAAGTGCAGAGGTAAAGAACAATGATGCCCACCCATGGCGTGTATTGATGCATGTATTATCCTATAGCCATCGTCGAGAGAGCTTTACGTCGACATCACCATGGCAACAATATCACCAAACCTTATCACTCCTACTAACAATGACACCTCTTTTGAATTCAACCCCCTTCAACAAAGCATACCCTAATCCCCCATATATACTTATACCTATATACCCTTTCCTCCACAAAAAGCAAATGCTGTTTCCATCTACTGTGTCTATTTATGTATTTCTAGCCCGCTCGTTTGTATCTTTCTATCCTTTCAGCTGAGCACATGTTTTTTATATAGCCTCCCATCCCCCAGTGTATTCTTATTTTACATTACCACCATCACCTTCATTGTTCATATGTATACTATGCTGTACCCATTTCTCTATTATTGTATTCTACAGACCATCATCATCGTACACCTACTCCTCCTCTTTTTATTCATCTCCCTTTTTCCTTTTTCTTATGCGGACCAATTCCACTCGTTCTTTTCTTTCAGGTTCTAAGAGACGCTCACACACACACACACACACACACACACACACACACACACACATTCACAGAGAACTATAAAATGATTGACCTTTGTCACATTACTATTTTTGGGGTCCCAAAGAAAAGAGAAAGAGAGAGACTACAGAATGATATAAGCTATTTACAAAGAGTAGGAGGAGGAAAAGTAAAAGAGAGGAGGTGGATGATTAGGAGGATAAAAGAAAGGAGTGATACTACATTAGGGTGATGTTATACTGGGGTCAAATAAGGAAATGGGTATAAACACGACTTGCAGGATGCACCTGCATTTCATTGCACTTGAAGACATTAAGTTCACTTCTGATCTCGTGGGCTATTTCAGGTGTCAGGTGGATGCAAGCTGCACATGGATCGGGTTCTCTGTTGTACTCGATGCGTGAATAGGTTGGATGCACCGTAACCTTTTTGCTGTATCGCACCTTGGGTTCTCCATTGGCTCTTGGACGTTGTGGTTGATGTCGCCAAAATCGATGGATAAACTTGTACCGCCGAGCCTTGGTATAATTGGTGGATGTTGTTTTGGCACAAGTTGTTGTGTAGGTAGGCTTGCTAGTATCATCATGAGTCTCTGCTGCTGCTGCTGCTGCTGGTAGCAGTGAAGGATCATCGTTGCTTGTCGTTACAGATTCATCCGCTTTTTTGCTTTGCTTAAGGATACCCTTGATAGGTAATGAATGGCAAGGTGCTTTGTTGTGGATATACATTGGTGGAGGTGGTGATGGTGATGGTGCTGAAATGCGTAAAGCTTGTTTGAAGCGCTTCTTGAATGATGGTGGATACTCTCCAGCAAGGGATGATGGTCGTTGTTGTTGCTCATCATCCTCGGGTGTCAATGTAATGTCACTGTCACTGCTGTTAAAAATAACAGTGTCATCTTCCTCCGCATCGACAGCCATTGTTGTCATGGTAGTTGTATCTTTTTGATCCACCATAGTGATATCTTGTTGTTTGTTCGACTGCTCTTCCATACAAAACTATAACACCCATCTCATTAGCTTACATGTCATATAGCATGTTTTCGACAAAGCTTACCATGGCTGATGGCTGTTGTTGATATACCACCTCCATTGACATGTAATAAATGGTAGAGGTAATTGAAAATGATTGAAGCACTGACACTTGAGAAACGAGTAGCTGGCTTTTATATATGCAAACGTGAGAATACAGTACCCCAAGTTGTACGTGCCCTTGATACACACCACCTTCCAATGTCCAAGGAGATAGCAAATGTAGCAACTAGAGAGGGGAAAACTGGAAGGAGCAGGTGATAGTATAATAGTATGGAAGGCTTACGGGTGAGGCATGCGTAGACATGTCCCTCTTAGGATGATAACAGAATGCATTTTGCCATACTCGGCTAGAGGAGGGATATCCACGCCTCATTTCCCCTCAAAGGGTGGCCCGAGATGGCAAGGGCAAGTGGTAAATCCATTGTGTGTGTTTCGATTGACAGGTTTTATTATTTGTTTTTCCCTCGAATGCTCCTTATGGATGCTTTTGTCTCTATTTTCTCCTTGAATTGGTGTCACCACAACAACAAGCACACACCTTTTTTCTTCTGTCGTCTCCTTGTTGGACAACATAAAGGACACCTGTTCCTGCTGCTGCTCTCCCACTTGAAATCAATCATAAGTCCCTTCAAACGTGTATGTGCATGCGTGATTCGGAGGAAAAGGATACATTTATTCAGCTACATACGTATCAAATATTGATGTCGACGATAAAAGATAGGAATGTTTATTAATGCATATGCATTCGTGGGCTTGGATATGATGCGTTCCAATTATTGGGTTATAGATGTATGAGGTCAATGCATACCCACATGTGGCGCCCGACCAATTACGGCATAAAATGTCGTTGCATGTCCGTGACTGATCAAGTGCAAGATTGGTGGTACGTACCAATAAAGTACTTGTTTCATTGTTGTCATATCCACGTATAGTACATGTTTACCAAGTGCACCAGCAACCGGATTAAGCGTGGCACAGGATATAAACAAGCCTGGATCTCCTTTGATAAGCTATAAATGGATCACTGACAATGGCAACATTTACGTTAACAAAGACTATTTTAGATCCCTGTAAAGAATTATGCAACTCGTACTCCTACATCCAGGCGTGACATGGAATGGTATTACTTGTCATACACGCAACCTCTTCTTCGTTGGATGTTGTTTATGTACCTTTCTAAAGGCGGCTGTTGTCCCATTTGTGCAGTAACCTGTCATTGGTGGTATGTGCGTGTAATCATCACGTGCCATTCACTTTTCTTATAATGGTCTCGACACCATCGCATTGTAGCAGTAAACAAGCTCCATCACGCTTCTTGCAGTATATAGGCGAAACATGCAGGCACTTGTTCCTTGAAATTTTCTTATAATGAAGCATGGGGGCTTTATGAGAACAAAATTGATCAGCATCCCCGAGAGCATCTTGCGAGAAAGTTTTGAATTCGAGGTTGCCAACCTCAAGGTAATGGACCGCCCACCCTACTTCCCGCCATTTCTACATTTGGACCCTCCCATTCAAAACTTTTTATAATGAAGTCAGCGACTTTTAAATGAATGAAGTTGATCAGCATGCCCAAGATCATCTTGTGTGAAATTTTCAGGTTCGAGAGGGGAAATCTCAATATCAAAGTTTAATGTACAGTGTTCATGCATTTTACAAGTGGTGTCCGATCTTAATTTCCATTCTCAGCTTCTTCCCTCTTCCTTCCATTCACAAGTGTTGACCCATTCAAGTATACAACTACCACCTGCAAACGATTGTCCTGCTTCAACCCATCATGTCAATCCTACAATTGCCGTGATCCGATTGTCTTTGGCTGAATGGCAAGTCCATGGCGTGTACGCAGCCTTGTTGTCACTCTTCTACAACGCACGAATCTCTTGACACAACACCTTCTCTTGTGCACTCCTCTATCACCATCAAGCGTAACAGCATTCACTCCAGCAGTGTCTATCAGCGATGTCTTTACTCCATTGTCTCGAACAGCGTACTTTACTTGCAGCAACTTGCCTTACAGCCTTTTCTTACGTGAACAGCACGTAGCCATTGTATGGAAGCAGCTTTATTTACGTGTAGCAACTCGCTTTCGTGCATACGGATTCCAATGGATGATTCCATATCAGCTATCAAGTACAGCACGATTCAAGCAATCTTCGTCTGGTTGAGGTGCGTTGGAAAATAGAGATGGATCAACAGCAGGATGGGAGAGGAAGCATATCAGCAGCAATATTGGATTTGCGACAGTTATAATGGATGGATGGATGGGATCAAGTGCAGTGATGAGAAATCCTGGAATGTTTCTTTGGTTATTTGGCGCGTCGTCAACAGAAACGATGGATCATATCATATGAATGCGGCTGAGGATGATGATGGCGAGAGGTGTTTTACTGCCATGGATGATATTGGAGTACTCAAGTCAATGCACGCAACAGCTACTACTTTGCAAATCATGGATGAAGGATATCTACAACGGCGGCAAGCAAGAATAGAACAACACAATTATCCCTGTTACCTCTATCCAATTCTCCCGTATCTTATTCAATCTGCAATACTGTTCCCTTTATCGTGTTTACTTGATAAACATTCACACTACCATGATGCTATTGTTCGACTTTTTCATTGAATAAAACTTGGTCGCATATGAATCATAGCTGCCAACGATGCTTTACTCAAAAGAGCAAGGCACCATCCCGTTCCACCCATAGCAAATAAACATCCACCATATCAGTAGCTGCTGTCCTCAAGCGACCTTCTTGGGTAGGCGTCATCAGAGAGACACATCATGCACTGCAACAAATAAACCCGGTCTTGATGAAATAGCATACGCGAGAATATTGATTTGCCGAGAGAACGTCCAAGGTATCCATACAAGTACTTGAGGAATGAGATCCGTCATGACACCGATAAAAACATTGCTATGAAGATCCACCGATGCAGAGACGACTTGGCAGGTAGCTGTTTCCCAAAACCATGGAAACGGTATCCTTGACAACCACAACTATAAGATAGAGATCGCTTGCTTGCTTCTGAGAAACCCACCCAAATTCAAATGTTGATTTTCGACTTTCAATGCAATAGGATTCGCCACTGACATCTGTTAGGAGACCAAATGGATTCTGATGGCGCCAAAGAGCATGCGAAAATATAGCTTGATGGAATGATGGGCCTATAAAAATGCATATCACTAATTTATCTCTGAGGTAATGGTAACAATACTTAGCCAGTGTCATATGAGAATCCACGATGTTTGATGCCACCCAGTAACCAAAACACATTTCCTTGCTGCAGAGATGTCGACACAGTGACTAATTCTGATAGCCGTTTCTCCAAGCGATACTTGATGATGAATACCTTGAGAGATGGATAAACCTTGACAGCACCAAAAGGACACGTAACATTGTTGCTAGTTGCTGATGTGATACACCCATAGAGACATGCGCTGTAGAGTATTCTTGAAAGCAATCGCCCAGAAGAAGAACCACCAGAGGATGAAGTAAACGTTGTTGACACCAAAGATATGGACCCTATTGTTGCTCATTCCTGCTTCTTGCTTGGTTGCTGATATGATCCACCGATACAGGCATGCATATATGAGGATATCCATCGAAAGGATTGTCGACAACTAGAAACACAATCATAACGCTTGGCGACACCAAAAGATATAGAAGATGTTGCTTGTCGTTGCAGATGCTATAAAAGGAAGTGTCCAATAGGTGGTACAGTAACGAAAACCATCGAACGATTTAATAAGGCAAGCTGACACTGAAGGATGCTGTCGACGTTGTTCTTTGACCCTGACATGATTCACCTATAAAAGATGCACGGTAAACAGTTTCCCGAATCCATAGAACGATAATTAGCAATGACAGCTGCATCCATGAATATTCCAAAGGACCAAAATACAAGTAGTTTGCTGAATAGCACACATACTATAATAAAAGAGGGGGTTGGTTGGGATTGGTGCCAAAAAACGGATCATTCACTACTTACCATTGAATGATCCATATGAATAAAACCCTGTCGACATCCAATGATAGCTGCATCCATCAAGAATCCAAAGGGAACAAGACAAGTAGCTCGCTGAATAACTCACATGAAAGAGGGTGTTAGTAGGCATTGAAAGAAAGAATGGATCATTATTTACCAATGACAGCTGCATCCATAGAAATCCCAATGCACTAGAAGACAAGTAGCTTGCTGAATAGCCCACATACTATAATAAAAGAGGAGGTTGGCAGGCGTTGAAGAAGAGAACGGATTATCATTTACCAATGTAGCCATACGCACGAAAACATGTAGGCATCCGATGGCAGCTGCATCCATATGTAGAAATCTCAATGCACCAGAAGACATGCAGCTTGCTGAATATCTCACATACTATAATAATAGAAGAGGAGGTTGATTGGGATTGGAGCCAAAACACGGATCATCCACTATTTACCACTGATAGCCATATACACGAAAACATGTTGACATCCAATGACAGCTGCATCCATGAAAACCCAAAGAACCAGAAGACAAGTAGCTTGCTAAATAGTCCCCACACTATAATAAAAGAGGAGGTTGGTTAGGATTGGAACTAAAAAACGGATCATCCCATATTTACCAATGATAGCCATACGCACGAAAACAGGTTGACATCAATGACAGCTGCATCCATGAAAACTCCAAATGACCACGAGACAAGTAGCTTGCTGAATAGTCCGCACACTATAGTAAAAGAGGATGTTGGTAGGCATTGTAGAAAAGAGCGGATCATCATTTACCAATGATAGTCATATGCACGCAACCCTGATGATATCCAAATCCAGTCGGTTCTTTTCAATCGTCCGCTTGTTTATAAGGCCCGCTACGGTGGTACTCGGCTTGAAAGCGATGGAACGATACTTTATGGGCATTTGCAGTGAGAAGGTTGAGTAATATTGATACCACCAAAGATAGCATACTTACATGATGCCGAAGAGCCCTTACAAAGAGAGACAACGAGACAATCCTTGCTGCCCAAGACCACATGCAAATCGAGAAAGCATTGTGCATCGAAAAGCCCAAACCAGATCCTAGCTGCGGAGTGACGTACATATGGCTAAAGAGCGATGTGAATGGCAATCGTTTTTCATTGGAAATCGAATGCAGCTTGACGATGAATGCCTTGAGGAGATGCATAAATGACCTTGGCAACACCAAAGATGTCAACGCGGTTTCTCATTGCTTGTTGATGACATGATCCATCCATAAGACACGTATAGTTGTAGAGATGCATCAAAGGAATCGCCAACAGAACCACCAAGGAATAGAAAGGTTGCTGATATCAAAGATATACCCAAGTTGTTCCTTGCTGCTGATGTGATCAATCGATAAGAGACCTTCATTTCAGGATGCCCACCAGTGCCGATAACGAGAAGAACCAGATGATGGGATAAAGCTTGATATGGATGTTGTTACTTGTTGCTGATACAATCCACCCACAAGAGACTTGCATTGGCGGACACTCTTCAGAGAAATCGCCCGTTGCTTGGTAACCAACCACCAGAAATGAAATAAAGATTGACAACACCAATAGATAAACGCGCTTTTCCTCATGGCTGACATGATTCACCTATAAAAAAGATGCACCATAAACAATTGTCCAAACTCATCCAACAATATAGCAATCATAGCTGTGATCTTGTAAACTCCAAAGCACCAAAAGACAAGTAGCTCTCTGCAATGGTCCCTCTAAATAATAATGGTAGGCGTTTCAGCAAAGGTCCCAAAAAGCATGAGAGTCATACATACCTGAGCCATGGTGATCACAAGGAATTGCAACCAAATACACCATCCGAAGGCAATACAATAATCAATCTGCAGCGTCAAGGTATGCCACCATATGTACTATACTCTCATTGGATCCTGAAATTGGCATCATAAGAGATATCCACCTTCTCTCTGTAGGCAAGGAAATCAATAGCCGTACTTGGATGGAGGCCGTGTGCACAGCGGATGCCTTTTCAAATTGGCCTTGCCATCGCATCTTGAGTCACACTGTTTCCGGGCCAAAATTCCCCAGGAGAGCACAGTACTATACAATGACATCCTTGACGTGCAGCCTTGATAATAATAGTATTGCCGGAAGAGGCTCGGCCACTGTATGGTGTTTGGTAAGTTCACCTGCTGAATCCAACCAATCCCGGAATGATGCACTGTACCTCTAGGTATTCCCAATACCATTGTTGCTGCAAATAACCTGGTATTCATGCGATCCAGTAGATGCTGCTGCTGTTTCATTGTAAGGCTTGTTAATTAACATGTTTTGCTTTGTATACCCAATGCCATGCATACCATTGAGCCAACCATACAGCATTCTTGCTTTGAGGTCCTTAACTTGTTGCTGCCACAGGTACCATAAACCAACGTGTCCAAGCTACAGTAAATGAAGTGTAAGGTAACAATAGCATTCGCTTTTCATGTCGACATACCCATAGTAACAATAGGTTGCGACCCTCCTTGATGACAACCATGGAAAGCATACACACGACACACGACGCCCCCTTTGAATCTCGTATGAACGCGAGAACAGCAAACTACACGTGAACTTTAGAACCACAATGTCCAACTTGAATAATAAAGTAATGCAGCGATGGAACGTACATGTTGTATTGCTGTCGACTTGAGTCATGGGCAGATCGCGCGTACTTGTTGTTGAATGTCTGCAACTGGAAAGTGTCGCCATTGAGCACAATGTTCACCCCAATGAACGCTGTACATTGTAAGAGATAACACCAATTAACGCGTTGTAGTTTGTAAATGGAGAAAGCTTACCTTTTTTTGTGAAGTAGAAGTGAAGAAGAGTGGTCTCTTTGTTCCTCCTGTTCGCTCCAATTCGTGCACTCCATGCCACCCCGCTTGCTACAGCTATTACTGTTTATACGTAACCTCAACAATATCCTATGCTCTTAGCTCCATAAGAATGACCACTGCTCAAGTCTTCGATTGAGAACAGCCCTCGTAATTAAGCTATTAGGTCTGTGCGCATTACATGAATCCGTCAATGGGTTATGCAACTCCACTCCTGAACCAACTTGTGTAACCTATTATGTAACCCCCTTACCAAATATGATATCTCGCTTTCCACCCTTCAATTTGCTGTCCCCCTTTCAATGCAGAAAACAACCAAGTGATCTACCCCTTGCACATCAGAGCTAATAGTAGGATACCCAAGTATTATGTTGGATCCAATTTTCATTTAATAAAAAGTCGAAGAACACGTAGACACGGTATTGTGGATGTTTATCAAGTAGATACAAGATACATAAGGGAAAAATATATCCAAATTGAATAGGCTATGGGCGAAGCACAGTATATAGTCACCAGGGATAATTGCGTCATCCTTTTCTTGATTGCTGTCGCCATGATCACCTTTCATCCATGGTTGCAAAGTAGGTGCTGTATGCTTTGGCTCCAGTATCCCAATATCTTCATCCATTGCTGTGAAACACCTTCTTTCGTCAAAGATCAACAGATGTGGTTTTTGGATTGAAAAGGGGAATAGGAATTTGAAGGTGGGAAGGCGAGATTGGATTAGTGACATCATTGTATGGATCAGGGTGCTTTTGTTCTTTTGTGGCATTTTGCACTCGTTTAAACTTCCTAATGCACATGCTAATAAACAAAAGGCAGTGGCAATTATTGAACGCTTGCATTGCAAAGATTATTGGTTGTTACGTAAGATTGGTTCATTGTAAGCTTAAACCATTATGTTCAAGAAAGAGTGAGCTTGGCACGAGCACATTGACAAGCCATGCTCATCTATGCCAATTTTCATCTAGCCTATCTTATCCAACCCTACATAAGAACGAACAATGCCATACGTGCTATCATAGGCGGACCTTACTATAGGCGTAATATAGGGGTCAATATCCATCATGCACTCCCACCAATAGGATCTACCCTTCAACTCGGCTAGTTACACAAACACACCCCTCTGCATCCTTGGTGTCAAGCTACTTGACAATGAACAAAGACCACTTCTCATATAGCATCACCCTTACAGCATATGTAAAACATAAAGCTGCCTGTATCTCCAAACTTTACAATCAAACGTGGGCTCTTTAATAGATCAACGTGCTCGTCGGGGTCAAAGGAATCTTGTGTCAAACTATGAAGTCCATCGTGGCCATTCCCAGATTTCGCAATGTCGCCACCAGCCAAACTGGATCCGGGGGTCGACCTCTTCGACGACGACGACCAAAAAATATTTTTTGGGCTGTTTGCGACATTGAACGCGAAACTTTCACACAAGGTGCTGTTGGCCAAGCCGAGCCCATTGCTCTATTCAAAACCCCACGTTTCATTGTAAAGTTTGGAGATACAGGCGCCTTTATGTTTGTAAGTGTGATGCTATAAGAAGAGTGGTCTTTGTTCATTGTCAAGTAGGTGGACCCTGGCAGAGCAAAAGATGCAGAGGGTCGTGTTGTGTAACACAGCTACTTTTGCATGAATGGAAGGGTCAATGTATAATTACTTTATGGATCATCTAGGAACAGGCATGTATTGCTAGCTAGCGGCCACTTTTATCCAATCATCATTGTTGCGAGATCCACTGCATGGGAACGATGCCCCTGCTCTAGGCATTCATTTCCACGATTAAAGTAGGTTGATCCGAGCTGATTTGACTGAGCTGCGGTCAAAGAGATTACATCACTCTGGACATAGAGCACGCTCGATGTAGCTCAACCGATGTAATCTTGTGTGAGCGTAACTCAACCAAATCAGCTCGGATCAACCTATTTTAATCATGGAAATGAATGTCTAGAGCAGGAGCATCGTCCACCTACAATAGAACGCACAAAAGTTGGGAATGCACAAAAGTGGCTATTAGCTGCCAATGTATGACATAAAAGTGAGAGTTGCGTACCTTTCATGCATTGTCCCTGAAGTCCTGACTTTTTAGCTGAGTTACCCAAAGAGGTCCTTCTGCATCTTTGGCTCTCCAGAGTCTAGCTACTTGGCAATGAACAAAGACCACTTCTCATGTAGCATCACGCTTACAAACATAAAGGTACCTGTATCTCTAAACTTTACAATCAAACATGGGGTTTTTATTAGAGCAATGGGCTCGGCTTGGGCAACTGCACCTTGGGTGTAAGTTTCACTATCAAGCTTGCCAATCCCAGATTTCGCAATGTCGCCACCAGCCAAACTGGATCCAGGGGTCGACCTCTTGAAACTTTTTTCGACGACCAAAAAATATTTTTTGGGCTAGTTGCGACATTGAACGTGAAACTTTCACACAAGGTGCTGTTGGCCAAGCCGAGCACATTGGTCTATTAAAAACTCCATGTTTCATTGTAAAGTCTTGAGATATGGGCGTCTTTATGTTGTGTGCGTGATGCTATATGACAAGTGGTCTTTGTTCAATGCCAAATAGCTAGGCCCTGATAGAGCCAAATATGCATAGGGCGTGCTTGTGTAACGGAGCCATTTTGCATGATTGGAATGGCCAATGTATGATATCACATACACTCCCTATGATTGGCAGCTAACAGCCATTTCCTACTATTTCGATAAATCATGAATCCGGCGCTGTCCTGCTTTCCGACCTCCATAGTAAATCCCACATTGCACCCTCCCATTCAATATTTTCAAATGGAACATGAGGTCTCTTTTGGATCAACATGATCAGCATTGTAGCATTCACAGCTACAAGATACGCTAGTTTCACTGAGATTACGACATTACGATTATAGACGAGCTCATATCTTAGATACGAGATAGCTTTAGCGTAGTTTAGATGTATGTGTATAAATACAAGTGTTGTCGACGACCCGACAACGATGGTCTTTTTCCACTATCTCTCTTGACTGTAAGTAAGACGATCTTCATGTATCCCATTTAGTAGCTTGCTACCCTTATTCATCTACGATTGATATGGGACCTGCAATGCTAGAAGCATGTCCAAGAGCACCTTGTGTGAAAGCTTGAGGTGCGAGATGGGCAATCTCATAATCAAGGATTGATGTACAGTGTTCATGCATTTATACAAGAGGTGACCTACCAATTTAATTTCCACCTCTTCCACCCCTAGCATCTTGCCTCTTCCTCTCATTCTCAATTATTGCCCCATTCAAGTATACAACTACCACCTCCGAACGATTGTCCTGCTTCAACCCATCATGTCGATCCTACAACTGCCTTGATCCGATTACCTTTGACTGAATGGCAAGTCCATGGCGTGTACACAGCCTTCTTGTCACTCTTCTACAACACACGCGTCTCTCGATACGACACGCTCTCTTGCACGATCCTCTGCCACGATTAACCACACCAGTATTCATTGCAGCTGTTACCATTAGCAAGGTCTCCAGTGTCTCAATCAGCGTTTTTGCCTTGCAGCCTTTTTCACGTGAACAGCAGCTAGCCATTGTACACAAGCAGCTTTATTTACGTGTAGCAACTTGCTTCAATACGTACGGATCTTCTGGATGGGATGCCATATCAACTATATAGTACGCTGCAATACAAGCACTCTTCGCCTGGTTGAGCTGCGATGGAAAATGACCAAGAAAGAGATACATCAACCGCAGGATGGGAAAGGAAGCATATCAGCAGCGATCACATGGCTCTTTTAAACCAACGTATTGGATTTGCAATGGTTATGGATGGATGCAATCAAGGACATTGGCGTCCTGGAATGTTGCTTTGGTTACTTGGCGCGTCATCAGCAGGAAGGATACATCACGTCATGTGGATGCGGCCGAGAATGATGATGGATAGGCTGGCATTGTTGAGAAGACTTATTTTTTCACGAGAAGCAGTTTACATCCATGGATGGGGGATTGGAGTACTCGATTTTTTTCGGATAATGGAGCAGAGGCATGGTATGAGCTTATGGTTGGAAGCACTTGACAGCATAGAATTGATTGTATATCCTTATCTACAAGATTCATCGACACAAACACGAAGGCACATGAGGCACCGACTCTGGTCTTACTTGAAGCTACTTATGCTGGATGGCATGGATGATTCTATAATGGTAAGGAGATGAAGGGAAGGATCAAGGATAGCTTCAAGGTCATTGTACATATCGCCTTGGCTGTATGGGATTGAAATGGGTCTGCTGGACGGGATGCTTCTGGATGGTGCATAGCTAGATGGTTTCAACATTGTAGCTAGCGGACGTTGACGTTTTTATAAAAGCACGTACTATGTACTGTAAACTATTGAACCATGATCCGTATGCTTATTGATGACAAAAATACAAACAAGGAAGGGAGGAATGTAATATCAGGTGCAATGGTGGATGCGCTTGGATAAGGACAGACACACAAATATGAAAAGTGAGGGCGAGAGAAGAACGCTACTGCTGGAAAGCATTGCCTGAATTATTGGATATACTACGAGGGTCATACAACATTTGAGCGGGCCCTGTCATTATCTGCACATCTGCATCCAATGCTTAAATCACGACACGACAAAGAATTGTCCTATGCAACAAGGGCATAAACCCAACATATTAGAAGACCGCAGACTGGTACAAACGTTGTTGTTACCCAAGCAATGATGACCTTGTCATAGCAACATGTGCACCATACATTACGATGGATGATGCTATTATATCGGAGGAATAGATTAGACATGGACCCTATGTTGCACAAATGGATGATTGCTGAAGGTCAGCTAAAGAGTGCACGGACCATGTTGTCAAGGAGATTGCATTATTGTCGGTGAGTTAAAAGGCTATTACCATCATTGTCTGCACGTATAGATGGCCATCAGAGTCGTTTTATTAATACAAACAACAGCTAATGATATCTCTGTTGCGTTCATGTCAAGACGATGCATGCTATCCAGAGGCACGTGCCTCGATCGACATTTGTATGGTATCGCGAGCAGGAGCAGGGACGAAAACACGGTACACTGCAAGATACCACTAACGCGAGGTATGGACCACAGCGATAACGATACGAGGACAAGCGAATTAAAATAGCTGTAATCACAAAGGCAGCTCGAAGGCCATTGGCAACGTTCTCCATTCCAAGCGTTCTTGATTCCAAAGCAACAACAACAACAAACTGCGCGATTCCAACGCGACTCTATTGCCATGGCAACACAGCTAGTATGTCTCAACATTACACTCTTTTATTGCTAAGTTGAACGTCTAGATCTTGAAAAGCTATTATCTCCTTTGGCTTACACCTCTTTTCAGGATCCACCTTCGAGGAGCACCAACACGGCAGCCCATTTCAAAGGCGTTCCACTGATCAACCAATGTCCATTAGCTCTCGATCAAGCTCCCAATCGTCCAACACGACGAGCTTCATAGACACTTTAACCAACACGCAACTTATACACATAAGAAGTTATTATACGAGTTATTAAAGAACACTCATTTTATTTGATAAACAAAGACAAAGTAGACAAAGTTATTATGAAACAACCTCTTTTATTGAAAACAAAGAACGACAAGCTAGCTAGTGTGCGGCTGTTAGTTTCCTTGAGCCAAAAGATCCAAGTACTTACGGAGATGACCAACGTGAAGGTCACCGCACATCCATGTCCCCTCTCCACACGGGGCACCTTCTGCGTGTGTCAAACGAGGTGATTGCAAAGTGAGGGGGGCAACTCTACAACCAGGTGGAGTTAACCGCAAAATACTCTCAGAGCAAAATACTCTCAGAGTAAAAGCGTTGGGTACCTCCCAGGTTGCCTGGCACTTAAAGAAAAGAAAAAAAAAGAATGCTGCGGCGTCTGCTGCCCTCTTTATATTGCTTTCAAACGGCGTTTGAAAATCGTTCGCGGTTGTGGAATCCCTAGGTCATGTGATTTTTCGCCATCGTTTGTTAGTCGTTGCTATTGAAGATAAACGCCCGCTGGACCATTTATTACTCACCTCGACATCCCAGCATAACATGATCACATCCAACGTGTTGTGCTGTATTATTCCTTATTGGAAGGCCGCCGTGGTGATATACGCTGCATAATAATAGTGCTTCGACAAAATTCAGACGCTCTTTTCAGCATCGATATCATCACGACAAATTAATGTGGGTGGTATTGGTGGCAACCATGCCAGATTTGCTAATTGACGTCTTTTATTATAGAGATGATGATGATGACTATAGCGAGATGATTATAGATGATGAAGACGACAATGGCAAAGTAGCTTGAAACACGCGTGCATTGATTACCTTCTACTACTTAGCTAGCTTATTCCCTTCTTGCTCTCAAAAGAGATAAATACAGTGGCTCCGTTATCAGACTCATAAGAAATATGATTCAACAATGCTAGTTGGGAGGTACCTGTAACTCAGCATTTTACAATCAAACGTGGGGTCTTTGATAGAGTGACCACTCTCAAATGTAACCAGCATTTCCATGGGGTATAAAAAGCGAGTTTATATATAAACAGATGCTATGGTTTTTAGCTATTGAAATCCAAAATGGTTCGGGCTTGATTCACTTTTTCCTTGGAAAGGCGTCCCAAACATCGATCAACCAATGCCTGCAGGTCACCACGAAGGTCGCCTTCACTCTCCACTGCTTGGCTTAGGGATCGTAGTGATTCGTAAAAGAGCGGTTGTGTCGTCAATTTGGTGCGCCATATTTCTTTCAAAGGACTCTCTCCAGGTTCATCTTCCATCACAGTTTCAAGAAATGATATCGCTCGTTGGCTCAACAATATTAACAAATGCCGTGCCGAATACTGTGTTTGCTGTTGCCGCTGCTTCTGTTGTTGTTGTTGCTTACGTCCTTTCATCTTTTGCCATTTGGAAGCTTGCTGTTTCCTCGATGTCGTCACTTTACGCTTCTTGTTTCCCATCTTTTGCTCACTCCCTGAATCCCATTCCTGTTCAAGCATTGCTGGTGGTGGTGGTGGTGGTGGTGTTGTTGTCTTTGGGTAGTATTCTGGATGGTTGTGCGCGAATTGTAATTCTTCACCAATTGAAAGTAGAATGCTGATGATAATAAATACAACTTCATCGTCTCGGTCGTCGTCGACTTTGCTGTATTGTTCATGTGATCGCGAAAATAAATCAAACAACGTCTCGATTTCGGGTACGTCTCCAATCATCATCAATTCCATCATCGTTTTTGAAAATTCATGTTGATTCGTTGAGGTTTGCTGATCATGTTGGATGCCAATGTTGATGAATTGCTCAATCATTTGTTTGATCTGGGCAGGGGCTTTGTCGTACAAGCCAATGAGCTGAAATACCCACTTTTTGGAAACCGAAAATAGGGTGCCATTGTCCTTGAGCCATTGACGTTCCCATTCAGTCACCAGCCTTTGTGTTTTGACCTTGTCACGCAATTGTACCATCTCATGTAATAAAGACACCATCCCAAGATGTTGAACCGAAAATACATTGTGCTGAGTTGTCACGTGCAAAATCTCAAAAGCTGAGGGAGGAATGATGTCGCTGCCATTCAGTGATGTGCCGAGGAAAAATTCATATGAATCAGCATCGCTTAGCATACGATGAAACAATTGCAATGCCACTGAATCCTCTTTTGATTCGCTCACCATGGTTACAACAGGGCCCATAAAATGATTGGCAAACCAGGCACGAGAATCGGTGCTGTTGAGCTCTGTGCTCGGCATCACTTTTTGAAGCTTCCTGAGGAGATTGTCGATAAAGTGTTTGGACCTGGTTTCCAATAAATGGTTGATCAAAAGCTGTGTCGATAGCTGTGGATATCCCTGAAAGTACTTGATGATGACTTTGCTGCATTTGGATTGCTGAAGAAACCACGACCAACGCTCATCAATGATCGTTTTCAAAATGACAGGTACAACGTCCATGGCCAAGTCCACCATCCTTGTACTTCCAAGCACCCATTCCATGAGTCTGCCATAGGGAGATGATTGAGGCTTGGTATGATTGCACTGCTCAACGAGCCAACCAACATACCATACCGCAATATCCGGATGTACATTTTCAATGCACGAAACGATCCAACCATAAGCTGCTTTGCTGCTAGATAATCGCTCAAGCATTCGACAACATCCGCGTAAAAGTGCTGGATTGCCATAGCCAACATAGCGCGATACATTGATCTCGGCGCCGGCTGTGATGTTGTATCCATTGGTGTCGCTCATTTCATCAGCACGTCCACTCCATCCTTTGAAATACTCAATGAAGGCGTAATAGGGCGATGCACGTTGGTGATACTTGATCTTCCCCAAAATCTCCATAAATGTGTCAAGGATCACATCCTGTTGGTTTCCATAAGGATCACGAGTTGTCCAATAGGCCACAAGCGCATCAAGTATTCTTTTGTTGTCGGTGGGATACTGTGATTTGAGGAGCGTTTGCAAATACATATTAAACTGTGTCTCGCCAAGCTTTTTGTATTCGTTCATCCATATCAGTATAGCCTTCTGCAGCAGCTTCATCTTGGCAACGGCGTCTCCTGGAAGCGATTCCTCCACGATTGGGTTCAATAATGGATTGTCTTGTTGTACTATATGAGAAAAAGAGAGAGATAGGTTAGGTAACTATGATACCATTCATGTATATCAATGAACTTACTTGAAGCTTTTTCTGTATCAAGAATCCTTTTCAAGATTTGGCAGCTTGTAGGGAATTCAGAAAGAGCACGATTGGACGTGAGTCGAAGAGTGGCATAAGCAATGACGCATTCATCAGTAGTGAACGAGGGTCGCCACAAGACATTGCCCAGCTTTTCATCGATTTGATATAACAAAGACATTTGCTGTTCCTTGAGAATGGTCACCATCGATTTGATACACTTGTTCCATCCATCATCATCTTCGTTGTTGCCAAGGATACCATTTAATGACTGAAAGAAGAACGACTTGGTGTCCTTTTTTTGGGTATCATCAACTGACCACAAATACAACCAGATGTGGCACATGATGGTGCTATGCTTGGCCTTGATGAATTCCACCAGCGATATTGCCCAATCCTCCAATGTCAATGTATCTCGTTGCGTCGCAATTGTCAACACCAATCCATACAAGTAGATCAGAATTGCTGGATCCTCTTTTTGTTGCAGCATACGCCATGTCATATCGGAAAGTCGTCGTGGTAGTTGAATCAGCCATCCAAATCCATGTCGTTGTAGTAACCCGTTTATGCATGTACGCAACGCTTCCACCACGATCGTCATAGTGTATTGAGATCCAAAAGCTTCGTCCGTATACTCGATTGATAATAAAATACGAACGAATACGTCAAAAAACTCATATGTGTCGTCCATGGCGTCAGGGAAAGAGAAGGTCGGATTGGTGATGCGATCGAGCTTAGTGCTGCTTTCTGATTGAGAGAGAATGCGTTGTAGCTCTTCAAGGTCCAAGCCCTGTGAGCCCTGATTGAGAAGGCTGCCGAGATCCATGAAGCAATGGTGAAAGAATGGAGTGGGTGGAAAAGAAAGAGAACGCGTCTCTATGTGAAGAAAGAGAGAAAAGTCGGACTGAATTTAGGGCACCCCACACAAGGCTCATGCATTGCACGCACCTGAATGAAAATACTTGGCCTATGATTGATTGATTGGCTATCTCTTTATTGACATCTTTGACATAAAAAGTACTATATATCCGTAGCGTTGTCTTAGATCGTGTGCCTCGTGTATAGAGTAAAAGCTTTTCTTGTTGATGATTTTTGGCTTATAGCAGTTCTTGTGAATCGTACAGTATGCTCTCGTTACTCAGTGAGCTGGATATTTGATTAGGAGGCACTTGGTAGTAAAAGGCATACCGGCAATAATACATACGCTTTCATGATTGGATTAAATTACCTATACTACCAAGAAGGTCTCCAGGTGGCTAATGTTTGTTGTTTGTAAACAAAGTGAAACGTTTATTGATTGATTGGATGCATGATGTAAACTACTTGACATCTCGTTTTGAACGGGCAACACAATGGAAAATGCCTAAATGGTTCAGAAGAATATTCGTTCGATGATCATGATGATGATAGTACGCCACAAAGAGATGGGATTCCTACCACCACGGTTTCGAATATGAGCGATGAGACACCGTTGCAGCAAACAAAAAGGTGTGGGTTGCTCGAAAAAATGACACGAGAGACATGGACTCGGGTAATTTCCATCTTTTCCTTTCCAACTTCCAAATGACAACCTTGGATAAAATGCTAAAGACAGTACTCGTACTGCAATTGATAATACTTCAGCGGGTATCAGCAGCTTCGTCAACAAAAGAGCAGCAGCAGCAGCAGCATTCAGGTCTTTCGGGTCAATGCGATTGTGGATACGTGGATGAACCGGTAGCGAATAGCAAGTTGCAAGATGCATCACGTGTGTGGACCGATATGTGGCATGTGGATTTTGCCAATGGTCAGGCGACCGAAACGATGAATGACCTATTTGTGGCGACGTACAATATTGAAGCCAAATATGAAGGAACGCATGATCGGACATTCACCAAAGACAATGTGTACATGAACCCATCTGGAGGTGGATTAGTGGTGGCTGTTAGCATCAATGGAGAAACGATGCATTGTGGTGGATTCGGTACACAACGAAACGATTTCTTATATGGTTCATTCCGTGCCAATATCAAGACGACGCCTGTCAATGGCACAGTATCAGCCATGTATTTGTACAACCCACAAGAGGAAATTGACATTGAAATTCTCAGCTCGGTTGCTCCCCCACAATCTTATTTCGCTATTCATCCAGGCTTATTGGAAGATGGCCATGCTTCTCACTTGACCCACGATAATCATCATCTTGGATATGACCCAACTGCAGTATGATAACACCCTTTTTTATTATGACTAGAATACTCAACATGCGTCTACGTATATAGGAATTCCACGAGTATCGTTTCGATTGGCTACCCAATCTTGCCATTTTCTACATTGACGGTGTCGAAGCACAGCGATTGACAACCAACATTCCTAAACTACCAAGCCGCTTCATGTTCAACCACTGGTCTGATGGCAATCCAAACTTTAGCATGGGTCCTCCCAAGGAGACAGCTCGAATGGAGATTATGAATATCACAGCCTTCTTCAACCATAGCCAAGTCGATCCTGCAAATGGTTTCAACACCGTGGTACCAGCATCCTGTCAAAAGACACAAAAAGCTTGTAGTGTGAATGGTATGTGTGAGAGATGGTAATCATGCGTGTCTATTTACAACGTCATACAGGGATTGCCGATTATCTTGCACAACAAGCATCCAACACCAGCAGTGCAACCAAGAATCCACTCACTCAAACTGCCCAATTTCCATCCAACGATGACGATAATGCCATCCCTTCCTCGTTCAGAGATCCACAATATGGCAAAGCAAATCCATCCTCTTCATCGTCGCTATCATCATCCTCATCATCCAATTCGGCTGGGTCTCTCATTGGTATCAATGCATACACATCATCCATTGCCATGGCGACCGTTGCTATCCTTTTCTTCGTTGGCGGGATGAATGTAATGTTTATATAGATTTATACATGGAAAACAAACAACAATAATTAAAAGCAAAATGATTCGGAAATTGTATACAAGGTTGGCTGATGTTGCTGGTGGGGTGGTGTCTTGGCATGTATGGAGGTTTTACTTTGAAGCTTTGCCTTTGCCCTTGACATCAGCAGTTGTGGTGGTAGGATTGGGATATACGGTGGAATGATATTGCTGTTGTTGTTGTGGATGAATGTTTGTGGAGGAAGCGGATGATGACGATGTTGATGAGGAAGAGCGGAAAGAAGGCGTGGGTACTTGTGAAATCTCAGGCGGGGGTGGTAGCATGAATGACGGGGTAGCGGTATGAGCAACTAGCATGCGTAAACGTTCAAGGGCAGACCATGTATGGGAGGAAGAGGACGAGGAGGATGAAGATCGATTCTTGTCATCATCATCATTGTTGAGCCATGCCATAAAATCAGAATTCAGTAAGGTTTCTGCATACATGCTATCGCCATCATCACCCATGGATAATTCAGGGTCATCTCGAAAACATGTGCTTTTTCGGTCTGCAGGCTTGTCATAAAACTCGCCAAGATCGTATTCGTAGTAGCGTGGTAACAATACGTCAAGAATCTTGTCACTGCGTTGCCATGATGATGTTGAACGTGGGAACTTTGCTGTAGAGGAAGAAGCAACTGCTGCCATAAAGAAATAGAAAAAGAGTAAAGGGAAAACAAGGATCGGCAAGAAAAAATATTACGAGACGTTAATATAAGCAAACGTGAAGGGGCTGATCCGGAGTTGCCCGGCAACAACACACCAATCGCATGGTGGTTTGTAGCCTCTCCGATTTTCATGTGTCAGAATAGTGTGAGAGAGAAAGCGCTGAAAAATAAACTTGCAAAGCATAAAAACGTATCGTATGAATTTTATGGCACACGCCATATTATTATTATGTGTACCCTGATTGCTCGTTACTCTATATCATTCCCGTGGATTTGCGGCACACTAGATATCTGTGTTGCGTAACAACGTGATGTGGTGTGTGCGTGCGTACCTGTTATTGCATTTACTTGATCCAGCATCACACCAAAAGTCTTCCCGAGCAATGACAACTATGATGCATTATGATGTGTGTGAAGCACATCATGATGATCGAGTGTGAATGCGTACGACATATACATCGTCAATACGCATATTTCCCATAATGCAGAAAAATGTAGTCCGCTAGCGCATGTGTATGTGTGACAACAATTGCATGCTTAAGCAAGTCTGCATATTCCAAAGGACACGACATTTGTTTACTGTTTGACCGGAAAAGGATGAATGACCATGGGAATTCTTTTTACTGTAACTGGAAACCTGAGACGTATCCTTTGTTGCAGGTCATTCCATGTCCTCCCCTTTCATTCAAAACATGCTTTCATTCTTATCGAAAGGAGAAAGTGGCTTACCTTTTGTTCTTTCTTAGCCGTCATAAGCAATATCAAATGACCATCATACACACAATGAGAAGACTAAGGAACAATGACTGCGTCACTTTTCGGAACGCATCCTTTACTGTAGCCGACGGAAGTTACCTTTTGTATTTCATCCGGGATCCCCCATGACAACAATAAAGAAGATTCAAACGAGAATTTAACATGCATCCACTCTTTCTTTTTCCTTTTTACTTCCCATACACTTTTTCTCTTAAATGGTGCATCGTTCGTCTTCACTTCATCGGCAAATGCCCACTGAACGCGATTTCTATGATAATGATTTGATTGAGCGCCGTCCCAACAAAAGCCGTAAACCACCTCGACGTCGTAAAAGTAATAGTAGCAAACGACGTCATTCATATTACAGAGATGATCATGCTTTGGAAGAGGATGACTTTTATTACTGGGACCCTTGGGCAGCAGCAATGGCGATGGAGGGTGCTGACAACGAATGGGAAGACTATATACCTCCAACGACATCAACAGATTATTACTATCCATATTACTTTGACGACAACAATCAACGAGAGATGAAATCAACAGCTAGTGTTCGGCGACACAAAAGCACAGGCACACAACGAATTCGTGAGCAACAACGAGTGCCCCAGCGACCGATGGAAAATGATCATCAGGTGCCACAAAGGTGGGCGGATATCATTATCAGCGATGAGCCATTAGATGAGCCAGTTTATGCTACTATGCAGCAACAGCAACAGCAACCACCGCAACAATCTATACCCGAAAGACGACGCACGATCCATGAGCCACGTGCACCACCTATTGTGGCACAAGATGTGCAGGGCGATGATGATAACAATGTATTCTTGGATAGCGCACAGTCACCTTTGCTACGTCGGCGACATTCCTTGTATGAACAACCAACGAATAGCCATAATCTGCTGATGAGTAGCCCTCCCATGACACAACAACAACAACCCATGACTGGCTCATCACCTTGGGTGTCACCCATACCAGCACAGATGAATATGATGCAACAACCTATGCCAAGTGCACCCATACCACCAGTACCACCAATGCCACCCGCACCCATGATACCCCCACATCATTCGTTCATGCCACCTCCAAGACCACCACCAGCATTGATGCAAATGGGCGTTGGACCCATGATGCATCCACAAATGACTATGCCCTTTAATAATCCCTTCAATGACCTTTTAGGACCAATGCCTCCACCCATGATGCATGGGGCACCTTTTGTCCCACCTTTTCGTCATCCTGCTGCATTTGGTCCACCTCCTCCACCACCACCACCTCCTCCACCTATTGGCCCTCCTCTTGAACAACCACCTCCTCCACCAAACAATCCACCACCTGCATCATCATCATCATCATCTCAACCGAAAGAAATCAAAAAAGAGGAACCCAAAGAAAAGAAAAAAGAAGAACCTAAAAAGGATGAAGAACCCAAAAAAGAAGAACCCAAAGAAGAACCTGCATCAGATACCAAGAAAGAAGATGCACCCAAAGAGAACACTGGTGAAGAAGAGAAAAAAGAAACATCGGCAACAACAGCAGCCGCTGAAGCAGCAGCAGGAGCCGTGGTAGCAGCAGCAGCGAATCGAGCCATGCATGGTGGTGGTGGTGGTGAATTACGACGTAGTAAATCGTTATTTGGTTGGTTTGATAAAAAGAAACCACCACCAGCTATTGTGGATAGATCACGTTGGGATCCATCAGCAGTCATGTCTATAACCGATGCTGCTTATCGACCTGCAACTCGTGCTGTCAAGAATAGTCTTTATCCAGCGGGTCATCCTTTGAATGAACATCTTACAACAACAACGGGACCATCCACATCCACATCATCATCAGCATCATCCGTATTATCTCGTAAAGAATCCACTCGATTAAATAACAAGGCACAACGATTGCGTACACGAGGTTTTATTTGGTGTTATCGACCTATGCATCATGACGTTGCTGGTGATACAGTGGTGTGGGCTGCATTTGATGTAGCTAACCAAGATAGACTTGATCCCTATATTCCTGCCGTCATCCATCATCAGCCGTTTCATGGTGCTCCACTCGTCAACTTGGGTAGTGAGCCTGAATTGCCGGGTCTTACAATGGTACGTCCACTGGATGGTATTGGCTTTCACTACAAGAGTGCCCTCTCGTCGCGACCCGTCATGCTTGAAATTCGTTGCCTTCCCAATGACAATAATCTCATGGTACGTCAACCACCACCACAAGCTATGCCGCCCATGGATACTGCACCGCCTCTATCATTTGCATCGAGTTCATCATCCGGTGGTGGATTAGCTGGAAAATTGTGGAACGCCATTGCGAAATAAAAAGATTGTTCAATCCTTGCTGTACTTTTGTTGAAGTTCTTGAACCTTTTTCATTTGCTGATCCTATGTATGACCACCCAATGTATCAATACATATAGAGTTACCCCGATATGAATACATACCTTGATGTACTTTTCAATGTCAAATACAAAAGGCTGATTTCCAAAGTTGACAACCACGGATTCCCCCGGTGAATTCAAACCAATGCATGGATGTAGATCAATCCCAAATCGTACAGCATGAAAAGCTCTTCCAATAAAGCGGCCGTTCTTTGTGTAAAAGATATCACGACGCTGCATATCAATGCCACATCCAATCACATCCAATACGGTGTATCCTGGTCCAAAGGGCAACCCTTGATCATTGCCGCTGTTGCCATCGAAAGCACGGCCATCGTCGGCATGGTAACCCCACGTATCAGTCCCCCATCCTGGTAATTGCTCAAGGTCGGCTTGATCAGAACATACGCCAACAACGATAAAGCCATGTCGTCCTGCATCCATCACTTTGGCTTCAAAGTAAAACACGTCGCATAATTCAGGTATCGGCCTATTCGATCGCACAATGCCAGCATAGTCGTCTGTACTGCCACCACCTAAAGATAACATCCCATATTACTATCTACATGTACAGTGTTGGATATTGCTTACCGATAGAAAACACATGCAGATTGCTGTCGTGAAGATCGAGGTTATACGACATGTCAAGCGCGTTGAGCTGTGTTGGTAATTCGTCGAGGGTGGAACAAAGAGAATGGGCTTCGCCATACACCGTATACTCTGCAATGTATCTTGGAACAACAGGAATATGGCGTCCTGATCGTCGCAACGTTTGCATTGCCATTGTGTGGAGGAAAAAGAATGCGGATCAACCGTTGAAGCTGGGAATTTCATCAAGCGTGAATAGGATCACGTGTTTTTGTAACTCAAATCAGCCAAGTGGTGGGATGCATGAAACATTATCAATGCAGTTTATTACATCTGTTTTTTTAAGGCAAGCTTTTTTTCTTTTCTAGTACAATTACATTAACATGATCTTTTTCTCTTTACTCCCTCTCTCAATTGATTTTTGGCAGGAACTGGGATTACAAGCCGCTACCGGCCATCATAGATTCCATGCCCATACCCGATTCCATCTGCTCGCGCATGATCATTTCAAAGTACTAATAAAGAACCACAATTAATATACACCATCCAAATTGGTATTCCAATTCCTTATCACTTTACCTGATAGATGATAGTGACGCAAAGCAAGATACCAGTACCCGAACCAATAGCACCAAGCATGTCAGCGAGAACTGAAATGGCACCAAGACATGCACCACCAAAGGAAGCAGCAACAGGAATGACACGCTTGAGTTCCTTGTACATGGACGAATCACGATAGCCGACAATGACAAGTTGTTGATCCTTGAGTTCACGTGCAACATCACGAGCAGAGGAGCCCGATACTTCAATCCAGGTCTTTGAGAGGAGAGCACACATGGTAAGGATGATGGTGATATAGACTGCAGTGTGGATAGGATCCAAAACAGCTTCAATCAAGCTGCGAGGAGGAGACAAGTAGTAGGCAATACCACCACGAGCAAACCATTGGTTAGATCCATCAAGAGGTTCCCATACACCAAGGGCACGAACAAGGACATTGGAGCCGAAACGCTTGTAGAGCATTTGGGAAATCATGAAAATGTTCGAGGTGATAGTGGATTGCAACATGATAGGCATGCTCGAAGTATAGAAGAGCTTGATGGGATAGCTAGCACGTTGACCACGAACACGGTTTGACTTTACAGGCAATTCAACACGGAAGCCTTGGAGGTAGGTAACAAGACCAAAGATGGCAAAGGTGGCAATCAAGTTCATCACGTTGGGAAGATGCGAACGGTAAAAGGCTTCCTTCAAAGCACGTGCCTTGCTCTTACGCGACACCAACAAGCGCACCAAGGCAATCAAGGCACCTTCGGGTTCATCACCACGACCAAGGTTGACGGTGGTAGGAGACAAGGCCTTCCAGAAGATAGTCTCGCAAATGTTGGTAGCAATAAACAAGTTGATACCAGAGCCAAATCCATAACCCTTTTGCAAAAGTTCATCCAAGAGCATGGTCACCAAAGAGGCACCAACCAATTGCAACACAAGAAGGACGCAAACACCAGCACCAATTTCCTTAGGGCTGCCATACAATCCAGTCAATACGGACACGGTAGCTTGGCCAATAGCGATCAATACAGCAAACACTAAGGGAGTCAAGGGGGATTAGCAAGCTATGAACAATGATGCCCAACCCATCCATACCACTTACACTTTTGAGCACCACTGAACAAGGCACGATCTTCCTTAAGGCTATAATCCACATGGATAAGATTGGCACCAGAGAGCAACTGCATAATCATGCCAGAGGTGACAATGGGCGTAATACCAAGTTCCATGAGGGTACCACGGTTGGAAGCCAAGATGACACGCATCCAGTATAAGGGATCAGATGAATCGGACGACATGATACCATACAATGGCACTTGCGACATGACGAGAAAGATGAAGAGCGTCACCACGGTCCATAAAGCGCGTTGATCAAATGGCACCTATTCCATAATACACGCTTACATGAGCATCCTCTTTCTTCCAATCCTCTTCCCTCTCTCTTTTTGTACTCGTTTTACCTTGCGATCGGGAGTAGCAATCTCGGGAAGGACAGCCATGAACGGCCGTACAAGATTAAGTGCCCTGACTATAAGACATATGCATGAGATATAAATTTGTATTGTTTGTTCGTATCAACTTACAACCCATAATGCTTGTTTGGTGGAGGGAGTAAGAGAGTAAAGTTGGGTGAGATGTGTGGGAGTTTGAAAAGCGCGTTGTCGGGAAATGAGGAGCATTTCATCCAGCAAAAGATGAACATTGTGGACCAATCAAATTGATCCAGGTTGTTGCCACGAGATGGTACACACCCCTCCCTTCTCTTGATACGCACGGTTGAGATGATTGAATGCTGTATCTTTTTGAGATGTTTATCTGATTACGGTGTGAATTTGCAGCAATACATTAAGGGACATGCGACAACGTAGAGAATGAATAGAGAAAAGTAAAAAAGATGTGTGAATGTTATATGTTCACGGGAATACTATGTTGTTGCTATACTACTGCTACAGAGAGAGAGATTGTTTATGTGTTTATGTTTATGCAAAAGCGGCCACGGCAAACAAAGCAGCAATAAGCAATGGACCATTGACCATCATGTTGCCAGCAGCTGCGCTTTCATCATCACCGGAAGCAGATTGCTTCTTGACAGCTTCACCAGAGGTAGAGGTACCATCACCATTCTTCTTGCCATCGCCATTGCTCTTGCTACCAGAAGAAGCAGACTTGACATATTCATCAAAGGTGGGGAAGGTAACGGAATTCTCAACGTAGGGGTTAGTAATGTTCATGCAAGTAGGAACATCAATAACATGCTTGTAGGCCTTGGCAAGAGCATCATGGTTCTCCATAGCCATGGACATGGTCATGTTGTTGATTTCGTGAGAAAGAATAATGGCACCACTTTGGCTAAAGGTACCGTTCTTGCCCATCTCAATGAAGTCCTTGTAGTTTTGCTCGACAGTTTCAGTAGTAACACCAGGAACAGCATTGGCAGCCCAATCATCAGTATCAATGTTCCAGAGAATGGCAGTAAGGTTGAGCTGAGTGGCAATCCAACGAACACGATCATCAATGTCGCCTTGAGCCTAAATAGCGAGGAAGTTAGTATTCTTGAATATATGCTACAATGCAATTCAATCACTTACAGGTCGCCAATAACGGGGCGTCAATCCGGAGACGTATTTGATGGCCTTGGTGGAATAGTAGAGCTCGGCAAGGACTTCCTTGTTAGACAAAGTGGTCATGAGTTGATGAGACCATGTGTGGCCAGCAATATGGTGACCATCCTTGACACCACGGAGGGCACCATAGGGCCAAGCAAGGACATTGGAACCAATGTAGAACATGGATGCCTTTTGCTTCTTTTCTTGCAAAAAGTCGTAAAAAGCATTATGGGAGCAGTTGGGACCATCATCGAAAGTCTACAGCAATTGGTCTTAGCACAAAAGTCGTAAAAGATCGTTTTGGGAGGACATACCAAACCAAGAGTCTCGGGCTCATCACAAGCATAGATATCAGCATTGACATCAGGCAACTTGGGTTGAACACATTGGGAAGCACTCCACCAGCAATCAGGATCCTTGGGATCATAGCCTGTCATATTAAGACCACCTGCAGCATCAAGCGTTCTAGGATCGATCTTGGGGGCCTTTGACCAATCAATTGAATCATACAAGGCTTGGAACTCGGCGCTAGTGTTCATGCCATTGCTTGTGGCTACTTCCCATACGGTGGGCCATGTAGCCTTGTCGTATGCAAATTCGGAATCGTACCAAGCGCACTCTTGGGTAGGATCTTGAGAGGTAGTTTGAGGGATGTCAGGGATAGTGATTTTGGTGGGATCAGTGGAGCTGGTGTAATTAGTGGTTGCGGCACCATTGACACCGACAAGCAAGGCAGCAGAGGCAGCTGCAATGGTAGTCTTCCAGTACATGTTGTTGTTGTAAGAGTTGTTTAAAGGAAAGGAATGAGAGGAAGGGAAAAAAGTATGGATTCAAGGATAGTGATGGAAGATGTATGTATCTCAAAAGGCGAGACCGTCAATAAGGGAAGTAAAGGGAAAGAGGGGGGGATCATGCATCCACATCAGGTAAATTTATATATGTAGGGGAAAGGGCGAAATGGTGTGTGCTTGATGGATGCACAAGGGCGAAAAAAGCAAGTTTCAACGAGCCAGCTTTCAAACTCCATCATGATGATATGGATAACAAGTTAGAAATCAGTCCATTTACTAAAGCAAAAGCTCAGACATCTGCTGCTTGATCTATTACGATGCGCGTTGTCGGGCTCAGTAGGCTGTCATCCCCCTCGTGTTGACAATGATTGCATTTGATACATACATCATTATTGGTGATTGCCAATGGAAATGCATGCAAACCCAACAACCTACCCCCTCTTCGACTACACCACCCCTCGAGCTTCTTTTTTCCCTCCCCTCACCTGATTCAGATGAGAGAAAACAATGAATACTTATACAATGGGTGGTGCAATTCTCTTACTAGACATGTTGGGTCTAGACGTTACATTACTCCTGTGAGACATCTCGTGTACGACAGCTATTCATACATCGTATATATGGCACAAAATGGGATGTGCACGTCGATCCCGCTGCAGCTGGCGTATTTCAGGGTCAGCGTTGCATGACCCTATTCTACACACACACACACGTAGCATTCACACACCCATTATACCCAGCATGCTTTATTCAAGCAAGCAAGATTCCAGATGATGCTATGCTTGTGTGGAATGATACACGTACTATAGCTCGATAGATCGTCTTTGAAACAAGCAAAAAGTAAATGCTTGAAAGGGTGTGAGCTTTAGGGATGCTGATGGCAAATTCGTCCTGTAACACGTGGCAGCCTTAATTTGATAGATTTGTGTGCTACGCTATGTGAGACAAAAAAGACATGAACGTAGGTGTACACATGACTGAGTTACTCCTCTTTGATCTCCTCTGCTCCCACAGCTGGTAATTTTCAAGTCCTAAAAAAAGCATATTACCCGGGAATTGCTCTTACCATAACGTTGGTGCCTCCATTATACCGCGTACATGGGGTGTGTTTATACAATTCTTGTCGTCTTCGTGGGGACAACAATGTCCTTGTTGATCATAAAGGCTCTTGGTCACTGCACAACAGATGAATCCCTGTGCGATGATGCCATACTCAAGCGAGCTATAATAGCTTTGTGTCCCGAAATTAAAGGCTAGTAGTCATGGGGAAACAAAGCTAGCTTGATTTGTGTAGTGAATAGCATGAATGATTTAGCCTTGCATACCACGTATGCATAGCTTGTTTCCAGCATCATTGTTAAGGCGTTGCGCGGTAATTCGGCTAAAGGATATAAATATGGATATGCACACGCCTAATCATTTAGGTATTTCAAGATCATGGGATAATGTACGATGTATATTATATGATACAATGGTGGGGGGCAGTTTATTTTAAATGACATGAGCAGGGGGGGATGTAAAATAGTATACGAGAATGCAATGGAATGAATGATATTATTGAATCTTATGTATCTAGCGTCTAGGTTTACGTTTAAAGTAGCAGACAATGATCAACATGGCGAGATCGAAAATGAAAAATGCAATCATGATGCCAAGGTCTCTCCATTTGTTTGAAGCTGACCATCCAAAGTTTTGTTCAAAGAACTCGGTACCAGAGGAATAGGCACAGTATTGGCACGCCGTAGTATCATTGGGATTATCGATATAACCGCTTCCGCCAGAGTTGAAAAAGTTCGTCATGTACTCACCACATGTTTGATTGGGTGGTGGATTAAAGGTGAGTAAGTCATCCGAGTTGCACGTGACTTGGACATTGGATAATTCGTTGGTAGCAAGGCCTTCAATGTAATAGTGGAAGGGATCTATTACGGTGCATTAACGTAAGTTGTATTGCCAAAATATCCAAAGACGACATGATAACTTACCAAGCCAGTACATCCATTTTCTCCAGAAATAAGGCATCGAAGCTTCAGGCTGCATCAAACCAGCAAAGAGAATAAAGATGGAAGCAACCAAAGGATTGATAGAAGCTACAACACATTTTGCATTAGTCCACAGCATACGACTTGTCATCAAAACGCAATCCTTACCAGCTGACGTGGGGTTTTCAGTAATAGCAGCGATCAAAAAGCCAATGCTAACGGAATAAAAGACAAAGAATACCACCAAGATGAAAAAGTAACCACACGCCTCAGAAGTATTGGCAAAACCACCCGTCCAATAAAATCCGCACATGTAAGTAGCAGCTGTAAAACGTCGATTATTAGTACGTCGATCCATGGCAGACGAGGAAGTCACTTACAAAAGAAGATGATGTAAGGCATCTCAACAAGCATCGGGCATAAAGCAAATGGAAGCCAGCCATAGTATCGAGAGGCATACTCGCGTCGGAAATAGAGTCGTTCAGTCATGAATTTGGGTTGGGACAAGATAATCTGTAATGGTATATCATTAAGTACATGTATCGATAACATCTATTGCAAGTGACTTACCAGAATATTTGACATGATAAAGGTACCAAAGAGAGCAAAGATGCGATTCTGCATATCGGTTTGGGTGTTTGACATCTTCCAAAAGGTGAAACCGGTAAGTAAAGAGTTGAACATGAGCGTTGCAAATCGACCAATATTGTATTCAGGGGAACGCCAATAGACTAAAAGCATACGCTTGAGCACCAAATGGAATTGAGTCGTAAACGGCGTGGCGTATTGCAAAGAAGGACGTGTTGGGTGCATGTCAGCTTGGTTTTTGATGAGATCAAGTTCTTCTTGCAGAGCCTTTGCTTGAGGTGAGCCAGCCCAGATATCAGCCCAATCACGTGTCGCCTTGCCAGCTGTACCAGCACCCACCACTTCAAGGATATACTCTGCAGGATTTGCGTCTGGGGAGCATTTGGGACCACCATTGGATTCAAAATAATCAATCATTGTGCGTGCATCAGGACCAATCTCACCGTGATAGGCGGTTCTGCCACCACGCACCAAAAGCAACAAGTGATCAAAATGCTCAAACAGGATAGCGGAAGGTTGATGGATCGTACATAGCACAGGCCAACCAGCATCAGCAAGCTTGCGAATAAAGCGCACAATGTTGTATGATGATTGTGCATCCAGACCTGATGTGGGTTCATCCAAAAACAAGAGCTTGGGCTTGCTCACCAACTCCATACCAATCGTCAAACGCTTGCGCTCCTCGACCGAGATACCAACACCAAGCTCAACTTCACCAATTTGGGCATCCGCAATATCCTCCATCTCAAGCAATGTAAGAATGGTCTCCACATAGGCATCCTTTTCTTCCTTTGGTACATCGGCATCTTGACGAAGATAGGCTGAAAATTGCAATGCCTCCCGCACCGTGACAGCAGGCTGATGAATATCCATTTGCTCACAATAGCCCGTAATACGCTCAAAGTCATTCATCAATGCCTCGTTGTTCAAAAAGACATCTCCTTCAACCTTGCCAATGGTCTTGCGCTTTGCCAATACGTCCAATAAGGTTGTTTTACCAGCACCAGAGGAACCCATCAATGCAGTCAAGTGGCCTGGTCTGACAATGCCTGAAATGTCATTGAGCAGTTGTCTTGTACCACCTTTAACGGGGACTGTATAATTCACATTGTGCCAGGAGAACGTTGTACCGGTAGAGACCTTTGCCATGTTGTCAGTGATATGGGCTTGGTGTTCACGACGTGCGTTTTCTTCCTCATCGGTACGTGGCTTGGGTGCCTTTCCAGGGAGATACAACTTGGTGAGCGATCCGGATGACTTTAGCTGAATCTTTTCCATGGCCAAACAGTTCAAAGCCGTAAAGAAAAGGAAAAAGCCAACGACCACCACGAAATCAGGTGCCCATCTCCACCATGTACGGAATCGTCTTGCAGCAAAAAGATAGTCGTCACCAAGTACAAAGTCTTCGCCAGGGTTGCCACCTTGCATAGTGCACACCTTGTAATTCCAATCATCATAACCAGGACCATAGGGAACAGAATTTCCAAGGCCATCGCATGAATAATGTTGACCCGTCAATTCATTCGACACAATAGCACGATAACCATAGGCGAGTGGATTGATCCAATAGATCCTAAATACGTACCCCATATCAGTAAACAAATTCCATCATAGATACAATGGTACAACACACTTACCAATAAAGCCATGGATGTTGTGTTTGATAAGGGATCACATAGCCAGAGTAGGTGACAAGGGCAACAAAAAGGGCACCTGATACTTGTGTTGCGACAAAGAAACTGGATGTGATGGTACCAAAGAAGCGGAAGAATCCATTCATGGCCAAGTTGATGAATATCAAAATGATAAAGTAGGTAAACCAACGGCCGGCGTCCAAGTCAAGATGCATCAAGAAGTAAGAGCAGATCTCATATACAAGTACTAATCATGTATCGTTTAGTAACGCGTCTTGTTCATAGTTTTCTTGAGCTTACCTTGTACAACAGCATATGGGATATCCATAGCAACAATGGAAAGATAATAGGCTGAAGGACGATACATGGCAAAGTGCTTTTGCTTTTCGAGAACAGGACGACCCAAGAAGAAAGAAATCAGAGTAGATTGTGATACGAGCGCATTGAATAGAACGGCAAAGAAAAGAGCACCACTAATGGGATAGAGTTAGCATGAGGAGAAGACGAAGAAGAATGGGATCAAGAAGTACCTTCGACTAAATGCGCCATTGGCAGTGAGAGGAATGCTGAAAAACACCGAGCCAGTGATGAGCGATTGAACAAAGATGGTGCCATAGCGAGAAAGAAGACCCTCGTGATCCTTGATGAGGAGTTGATGTTGACGGATGGTGAGTGCCTTGACTTGCTGCCAGAAAGAGCTGGTGTGGGGTTGCGACTTCGGAGCTAATTTTTGATGCTCATCGCGCATGGCTTGCATGAATTGTTCAGCTGGCTTGTCACGTGCAATTTGCTCTTCGTATGCTTGCATCTCGGCCATCATTGCCTTGTACGTGGATGATTCATAAAAGCGTTCCTCGAATTCATGCGCGTGTTCAGGTGTCTTTCCATCAAAGCCAGGTTGGACCTCACGTTCCAAGGGGTTACATAGACCAGTAAGGAAATCCGGCAATGATTTGCGAGGTGGACAATGGAATCCCATGTGTTCAAAGTATGCCTTGGCTTCACTGGTTGGTCCAAAATAGATACAATGGCCTTCATCCAAGAGTAACACCTTGTCAAATAAATTGAAGATGCTGTTGGAGGCTTGATACAACGTAGCGATCGTAGTCTTGCCAAATACATCGGTCATGATACGCAACGAGCGTACGTAATCAAGGGCAGAAGCAGCATCGAGACCACGGGTAGAGCAATCAAAGCAAGTGATAGTGCTGCGTGTCGTCATAACTTCGGCAATGGAAAGACGCTTGCGCTCACCACCAGAGAGACCACGGACGAAAGCATTGCCAACCACCGTATCCATTTGCTTTGTAAGTCCCAGCATGTTACCCAGCAAGTAAATGATCTTGTCAACAAAATCCCTCTTGGTTTCATCAGGAAGTCGAGTGCCAGGTGTCTTTGTACGCAATGCAAATTGAAGCGTTTGCTTGGTTGTCAAGGTAGGATAATGCTGATCCTCTTCCTCATTGTATACCACTTGACCACGGTAATGCTTTGAAAAGGTCTTGTAATCGATACCGCCATAGGTTACTTCACCACCAACATGGGTATAAGGAGAACGGATACAACTGAGTACTTTGAGCAATGTTGTACAGCCTGCACCAGGTCGACCAAGCACCAACAGCATCTCGCCGTTTTTACAAAATCCATTAAGGCCGCGAAGAATCGTCTTTTTCGTACTCTTTTTGCCGATGCCAAAGTATTTCCAAAATTGTAATACATCGAGACAAGCACTCGCCACATTGGATATCACATGTGCATCAGCACCGAGACCCTGAAATTAAAAAGAGTTAGAGGAATGATAAACGGTGGCGTTACTACTATACAACATACCTCAACAACAAGGTCTTTCCATAGGACACCAAGATGTTTGGGTTTGTGGCCTGCTGAGCTTTCTTGGTTGGACATGTCGTGTAAAAAGGCATCGAGATCGAATACTTCTTGATCGGCAGCACCTTCCTCAGCTTTGCCCTCGGGTACAGATGCACGGCTTATACGCGATAATTCACGCTTGAGAGTATCGTATTCGAGCTTTGCCTCTATAAAACAATAAAGGGCCTGTTAGCTATTTGAATTTAAGGAACGTTGATAAAAAAGGATAATGACCATCAATGTTGACTGCATTTGCATCGGGTTCACCATAAGTGCCATCATTTCCTTCGATTTCTTGCTTGTATGTGATGTCTTCATGGATGGTATAGTCAGACCGGGTGGATGAGCTGTCGTGGTTTGACTTTTCCATCGTGATAAAGCGATGAAATGTGTTTTGCAAAGATACCTCGTATTTATAAGCGATGTTCAAATCGTGGATGAAGGTCGTCGGAGACGATGTCTTTTTGATCCGGCCAAAGCTATTGCTACTGCCCGGCTCTAGTGGCGGGTGCAAAACTTCTTCCCCGCCTCCTATTACTGCTTTGCTTTTCTCAATGCGTATGCTGTTCACCACCCCCTATCTAAACCCGGTTACCATTCATGAGGAATGAAAAAGAATAATAGACTCTTTTCTTGTATATGATTTTGTTCTTTTGGATATGTAGTTTTCAAGAGTATTGCTTATGAAAAGGGTGATTGACAATATACCCGTGAGGGCGCGGCGATGTCCGGTAAAATATTCAAGCAACAGCCGCGTCTCAAATCTGAGTTTGTGATTGGCTGATAGTAATCCTGCTTGATGAATGATGCCCAAAGCTTTCAAGAAGTGTCCCATCAGATTAACGAACCACCTCAAACAAATTACTTTCCATCCACCCATCATGTCATGATATGAAACGTTAATTTAGATGCGTTGCTACATAGGCATTGTGGTAAATTGGTGGCCACGGCACTAGAGCAGCCTATCTGATTGACTACCTACCACAACAACATGTGATAGAGTATTGTTGTTACGCCCACCATCATCATCATTGGGACCGTATGGCACTACACTACTACGCCACATCTTGATAACACCATTCGTGATAGGTATTGCCAAAGTGATTCAAAATAATGGGTGCTAATGTTTGCTAACTCCTATCTCGGGGATATCGATTGGGTGTGGGTAGCATCATGTATGACTACTCTTTGTCGATAAAGATAAGGCGTCATCGCTTGTTGTATTAGATGCTTAGTAAAATTTGATCCGTTGGTAGCGGATGTCTGCCGCATCAAACGCATGGTTACTTTCTACCGACAATGGTCGGCCATGGTTCCGAAACACCCCGCGATGCATCAATTGAAACAACCCAATGTCGATCAAGCAATTCATCCGGAGTCACGTGAACCTCCTCTCATCCTTTGTTCTTCAACCACATGGAGAATTAAAGTGTGTAAGATATTGCATCATGGTAATAGGTGTCATTGACAAAGAAATTTTAATAAGGTAGCTTCCATTATGGTTGCACCCTTTGTTACGAGGCTGCATTGTCTTACCATCCTCATTGTACTCGATTCTTACGTACTCTTTATTACCATTCCCATATCTTTACTTGTCATGTCGGGGATTCCAATGGTACACAAAGCCGTCTTTATATGAAAATCGACATAAAAGGGGAAAATGTAAAAAGTGTGCGTAATGTACAACATCACCAAAAAGCGGGTCGTTATATATACAAAATCAAGAATTTATCTTTAACGTTGTTGCTAATCATTGGAACACCTCTTTTTGGCCAAGGGAGCTTCATCACCATAAGCACATGACTCCTTTTCAGTTTGCATGTCGTTGATCAAGGTTCTGACAAAGGCTTGCTCGTACTTTGAGTTTTGGAACACGGTTGTCAATGAATCGGATGGACATCGTAAAAAGTTGGGAGCGAAAACCATGGCAAGATTGTTGACATTCATGCGTGTATATTGTGTCACCTCCTCACGGTTGAATTCCTAATGATGATGATGTATGCCATAAGTTATCAAACTTCAAGTGTAGACATGCATTCATTTACCTGAACAGAAGCGATCATGTACATGACAATACGACGATTCAGATCGGGTAAAGCGTTGACAATGGCGATGGCTTCATCTGAATTCTCGGCAAACTTGACGCATTCATCATACAATTCAGTGGGTATTAATGGTTTCTCAAGGTCTCGAAGCCAGTATTTGAGTAAAGATGCTGGTACATTGGGATCGGTAATGCCACTTGCATCATAATTGCCATTTTCAATCCGAACACGCTATAAAGAAAGGGGGTGGTTAACATCAAATCGAGTATTATGCAAGGGCAACACAAACATACCAAATCCGTTACTTCTTCAGCGTCACCGGGAACACGAAAAATGCCTTCCGATTGTAGACCATTCATTTTCAGCACTGCATCAGCGAGGAACGGTACTATCTTGGGTATTTTGAGGCCGTTATCGCAATGGGAAGGTAAGGAGATGATCAACTCGAGGTCTTCTCCAAAGATGGAAGGCTTAAAGGGTGCTTCCTGCAAAAAAGACAACACCGACATTAGCATGTGATTTCCACGTCAACTCTCTTTTTTTTTCATCCATTCATTCATTACCTTGGCTCGTTCAATTTCTGCTGCCGTCAAGACCTTTCCTTTGGCGCCCCGCGCACAAATTCGCTTTAGTCGGGTAGATACATATTGGCTAATCACATCCACTTGATTCTGGGTAACATGAGTGCTTTGATCCACAAAGTTGTTCAGGTATGATTCAAGATTCTTGGATGGTGGAAAGGTGACGCTGATGACACATAAAATCTCCCAACCTTTTCGAATGCTTTGTCTATAATAAAAAGAGGTGTTAATCTACATCGATCATCATTGCATGACGCTAACTTACCCGTTGGGGTTGTTGTTTAATTGCTTGCATACTTGTACATAAATCTCATCACGCATTTGTCCTTTGCTGATACCACATCCAAGCAATGTCTGATACTCCTCGATCTCAGTGGATTGTCGTGGTCGTGGTCGATCGCCCATAATGATTTGGATCAATTTGAAGCATTTGAGTGCATCCTTGTACAAATCCTTGTTGAGCATAATCAGAGGTTGTTTGAGTGAATCCTTGGTCCAACGCAGCATCTCCTCCATGGGCACTTGTCGTTTGAAAATGATCCCTCGTTTATGTTTGGCGAAATACTTTTGAGCAAATCCATCAATAGCAAATTGTGTGATCTCTTGTTGCAAATTGGAAGGAAGGATCGGTCTAATGCATCATGCATAAGTATCCTCCACTTTTGTGTGTAGCTCTCTCTCTCCCACGCAATCCCACTTACTTTTTCTCCTCGGTCTGAGCCTGCAGACTGAAAGGATCCATCCATTTAGTTGGGTGCATAGCAGCTGCTGCTTCTAAAAACGATATAAGTAAACCCCACATACAAAATCGGTAAGGTTCATTTTGTTACCTGGATTGCTCACGGGTGTGCTGACAGCAATTGAGTTACGCGGAGATGATTGAGTGCGTGTCACGAGATTCTTCCAAGATGACGAAGTCTTTCCTCGAAAAGCAGAAAAGTTTGACAAACGGCGTTGACGAGCTGCTGCTAGATCACCCATTTCTGAGACCTTGGAATGGATTAGTTAGTATAAGGTCATATGTCCCTAAATGAAAGAGAAGAGAAAAAAGCACTTACCACGCTTTGTTTTCGAGTCCATCTGAAACCAAACAATCCCATAGAGCCATTGGGTAATGCTGCTGATAATGAATCATGTGATTCTTCTTGGATGCATAATGGAGATGTGTTGGTAGTCGTCGTAGTGGTGGTGGTGGTGGTGGTGGTAGTAGTCATCATTGGCGGAGGCGGGGGTGGAGGTGATGGTGGAGTCGTATTGGTGGTAGTGTTGGCGTTGTTGCCGTCTGATGTGGATCGAGTATGATGATAAGCGGTAGTGGGTGGAATGGATCGAGTTGAAGGAAGATCAAGAGAACGACTATTGCGTTTCAAGACTGAGGAACCTGCCTCAGGGACCACTTGATCAAGTCTGATATCAGTCTATCATGTATTGCTTTAGCCTTTTGCTTCTCTTTTGTTTCAAATCGAGATGTATATCCCGCGCACTTACATTGGTAAGAGAAATCACTGGTGTGTCAGCCGGCTGATTCCAGTGAGCTTGTCCCGAAGTAGTATGGTAGTAATATGGCATATCGTTGGCATCATCCCATAGCTCCCACCATTCGCCATTGGGGTCATTGGGTTTGCTACAGTCCATTTCATGAGTCTCTTTTTTCTATACTATAATAAAGGCGTCCCTTACATTATCCCTTGTTCGGGTTTGTCTGTCAAGCATTTGCCAGTGGTCTATAGAACAATGGGGTTGAGTAACAAGAAGGAGGGTCGACATGAGGCCCATCTGCTTACGGGATTAACGAAATAAATGTCTTTGGAGTCGGGATGCACCACCTGGACCCAATCATAGGCTACAGTTGTCATGCCGAGGTGGTGGTTGGTAGTGGTGGTGGAGGTAGTGAACGTGGTATGAAAGGGGTATTGGGCGGGAAAGAAAGTGGTTACTACAAGGCAAAAAGTGGAAAAGGGAAAGTAAATGGGCGGTGAGCAAAAAAGGTTATTGTACAGAAGGATGGTCTGATTCCTTGTGAAGCACCATGTTACACACTTTACACTATTCCCGAAAAAGACAACTCGAAACGCCGATGGATGGGATTGTTTTCAACGCTCCCCCTCTCTCTCGCTCTACTACTACTACTGCTATAGTCTGCTTTATCGACATTCCAGGGGTAACCCATCATATGTTTCATCACTAAAATATCTTTGGCGGTATGGGAGTGTGAGTGATTGTGGGTGTGGGTGGGTGTAATTGCCAAGTGAATGGATGATAAGCATTAAACCAATCACAATGGTTCCTAATTGTGTGTGTGCGTGTGCATGTGTGTGAATCAAGAGTATGCTTGTAAAGTGGTAATAGCAGCGATGAGCGGCGGGAATATTCTTCCCTTTCTTGCCTGAGACACACTAAGATAAAATGTGTTTTCATGATGCAATTGGCGATCGCTGCTCAGGTGATCGAATCTATATTCCCGCTCAATCCACTAAAGTATTATATTACACACGCGACAAAAGACATTTGGGGGAAACACAATGAGTTGGGCATTCTCATTGTTGCCAAGACGTCCTTTTGTGTGGTGTCTATTATCTGATCATCACCACCAGCCACATGGGATGGCATCCCATATTCATGCTCAGCATTCCATCTCATGACAACAATGACCTTTTTCCTAATTCTGTTGTATTGTTACAAGAAGATGAGCTAACAGGAGGTGTGAGATTGTAGTCGACACCTTGAGCCATTGTACATCCATACATGCTATATCTCAATCCTGCTCCTCTGCATTTATATATACAACCCCCCATGCGCCCTCCAGGCAAGAAAGGCAAACAAAAAGTTACTACATAGTCAAGGATGATAAAGAGCAGAGGTATAATACTTGCTCATTTACTCCCCCAAATCATATGGCAAGCGGAGATTGAGTCATGTGTAACCCCAGTAGCAGCACTTTGCAATTTTTGATTTGAAACCAGAGAAATAAAAGTGAGTCTGTGCGGGCATCATTTAAAAGTCAAAATGAAGTTGTGCTATCTTTTATATTAAGAGCGTTATTATAAATAATAATCTACTGCTGCTGCTGCTGTTGTTGTTGTTGTTCCTCCAGCTCTTTGTTAGGTTCCAGGTAAAAGATGTCTTGGAATTGCTGGTTTCTACTATGCACAATGCAACCCTGAATGACCAATGGTTCTCCGACAAGGTATCCATTTCCATTATAATAAGTAAGGCGTGAATCGTTGCCTGGTATCATTTGAACAAGATCACCCTAAAAGAGATATCACCTATCAACCACCCCATTCCATCATCTTCTTTTCTCATACTTACAGTTTCCACATGTCGTATTTCAATGAATCGCTGATCAAAGGCGATCACATAGGGGTGATGATATACAATGTTGTCGGGATGACTTTCCCACTCACACAATAGTGCCGATCTATACATGTACATGCATTGTGTCAGTCACTGAAACCGCATAAGCGTTTCTCCTCAATGTCCCCGATCCTCATAGTCGTCCCCCATCTTTGACTTACGTTTCGTCACGCGGAACCAATGATTGGTCACGGTTGTTGACGTAAAATGCAAACTTGTTGTAACACAACAGGAACTTGCTTTGCATACGATACATGGCCAAAGGTCTCAATCCATCGCTTCTTTGTTCCAAAAAGTCAAATTGAGGATCTTGTTCATTGGGGATACTGCGAGAGCTGCTCAAATCTTCAGGGTCGATGATCTCAAAGGCCTTGTCGCACACCACAGCAAATTTGGATTTCAAGAAATGGATATTCACAGCTTGAGCTCCTACCGAGAATTCCTAAAAACACCCCATTTATCAGTACCATCATCTTCTTCCTATAGGATGATAAAGTGGACGTTACCTTGTAATCTTCGAACCAAGGTGATTTGGAACTATGGCTGCGGAAGAAGCCTCGATGGCCAAGACTAATACCTCGCGATCGGCTTTCGGATCCAATAGAGCGGATAGGCTTAAGCGCTGTGAAAATGGTGTATACGGTCTTTTGCCTGGCATAGACCACAAGTTCAACACCATGACACACACCGGTTTGGAAAAAGTGAACAGGCTCGCTTATTTCATGTGCTAATCGATCGGGTGCTTTGCTGTTTTTGGGTGAAGTAAGCTCGTCCAATGGATAAGCGTATAACATTTTATCTGCAAGGTGCCATGTTGTAAGTTGTTTGTCCGCACAATCATGCAAGACGAAATTCTGTGTTACCTGCAAGTACCAAGAGGATCTGATATTTCTGCATCACCCCAAGTTGTGTCACATTCCGCAAAGAGAGGATTGGCCGGGCACGTCCACCCTTCAATGGCTTAAAGTAGACACCCACACTTGTGCCTATAGCCAACATCTCGACATTGTTCTCGGTCACTAGATGGTATAATAATGAGCATAAACAATAGATAACAAGAAGCACGCTACTTACCAAATGGCACGGTGCTAGTGACCTTGCCACAGCCTTCACTGGTAGAAGAAGCACCATAATCTCTGAAAAAGGTACTCTCCATGCTGATGATATTGAATGCATCCACCAGCTGCTTGAGGTCACTACGTGCTTGCTTGAGAGCAAATAGCCATTGGTCCTTTTCTTGTTGACTAGCACACTGCAAGTAGTATGTCTCTCCATGGCGACCAGGATGCGTGAGGACAAGTGACAAGTTTTCACTACGCATGGTGAGTGATGGTTTCAAGCTGGCATACGTTGAGCTGCTCGTCATGGATAGCTGTGATGGCAATGTGAAATCGTTCTCGATGCCTTGGACATGCAACATTTGCAATGGGATGGGACGACGCCAAATCTTGTATTCGGTGGTATCACTTGTCTTGCGAGCTTTGGTAAGCAGCACAATGTGGTCAAACACAATCACGTGGATGAACTTTTCACCAATGTCAAGACCCAAATTTTCCAATTTCAAGTCGCCACGATAATAAATCTTGCGTTGTGGATCAGTGAGCTTGAGATCGTAGAATTCGCCTTGACGGCACGTGAGTGCGTTATTCAAAAGAAGGATCTCAACACGCGTCTTCACCGTGGCCGTGAGTTGATCACACAACTTGCACACTTGGGCAATCTTTTCATTGCATTGAGCGAGTATCTCGTATTCAGGATCCTCCTTATCGGTCTTTTTCATCAATGCTTGCAGCAAAAGTGGATAGCGTGGTAGACGCAAAACCGGCCGAAGCAAAAAGTGGCGGAAAGGTTGTCTGTTGAGTCGTGGATCGGAAAGTCGACTTGTCAAGAATTCATTAAAGGCTGGATTGGATCGCTTCAAGTCGGCCACAATATACTCGGCAAGATTGACATTGGGTACATAGAGAGCATAGGGGTCACGGAAATGATCAAGGTGCTTGAGCAAAATATCACCAATGCCAGGAATACATCCATCCTCATGTTCCTTGAATCGCTCGTACAAGTCGTTAAAGAGATTAATGCTGAGTTGCTCCAATTCGACATGATTGTTGAACACATCTCGTGCAAAGAATTCCCATTCGGCTTCATCAATCACTTGAGATTCTTTCAATGGATCAATAATTCCCTATTACATGGTTGTTGCTTCATCAATAAAAAAAGTTCATGGCATATAGATATATGCTCCTCACCTCACGCAACAATTCGAGATCCTTGAGATATTGCTCTTCACCATAAATGATTTCATTAATGGCCTCTTGACGATCACGCTCACGCTTATCCACGGATTGATAGAATTCAGGATCCATACGCTGACCCCATGTCTCTGCCACTTGCATCTATACATGACCATTGCTCTTAGTTAAATACCCTTACGCATGTTTGTATATATACCACCTACCCCTTCACTGTGTGCAATGGTTCTTTGGGAGACACTTCTTGCCAAGGCATCCTAATACCATTCATCAATACGCGTTTTGCATAAAGGTCACCCTGCCAATTTCTTACCTCAGTCTCTTGTTCTTGTACACTCGCTTTGTTGGGACAACGGGGTGCATAACAACCTTCACCAGGTTTACATCCGTTCACATAACACCGAGTCATGGGAGTATAAACACCAACCACACGAGTGCTCTTCAATTGGAAAGTCTCTTCAGCAGAACCTTGTACAATTTGTCGTTTGACCTTGTTGAAGGGATCCACCGATACCAAGAGTCGTTTGGGTGAAGAATTGTGCAAGGCGGTCAATAGGCCCAAACAATATTCCCGCATGTGTTCATTTCCTGGATATTGGCTTTGCAAAAGTTGCGTCATTGTATCCTATTCATCATGTCAATGATGATGATGATACCATCTAATCCAATCCAATCTACTACTTACCAAGGCTTCTTGACCCGTAAATGCATTAGGATACTCATCGGTAAAACTAAGTTGACGCAAACGAACCACCTCCTTGATACTCCTTGCAAACATCTTGGCGACCACCGAAAGTAGAGCTGGATCCGTCGACTCGAATAGTACTCTATCATCATCATCATCATCATCGGATCCTGTGGGGACTACGCCTTGTTCAGATGGAGCAGGTGGTAAAGGCTTGCTCTCAAGACCTCCTTCATCTTCTTGTTCTTCATCACTTGAATCCTCCGTGGCATGTTGTCTTGTGCTATCTTTACGAAGTAACTGCTCCCGAAGCTCTTTTCTTGCAGCATGCTCAGCTTCCAATACTGAAGAGGGTTGAACAGTGGATGATCTGAAACGACTAATAAAGTCTTGAGCGGGTGGACGAGCATAGCCAGGAGGTGGATACGAGATTTGAGGTTGAAATGCATAATATCGATTTCCACCAGGCATAGGCATGGGCATGGGCATTGGCATGGGCATGGCTGGTGATGGTGATGGTGAAGAAGAAGAAGCAGGAGGAGGTGGAGGACGATCACCACCACTATGAGGCATAAGCATCTCGGATGAAATGGAAGGCGATGGTACAGGAGGTGGATACATGTGTTGTTGTGGTTGTGGAGGTTCCTGATGAGGTCGTGGAGGATATAAGGGTGTTGGCATGGCATCTGGATGTGGCATGTGAGGCGATAAATGAGGTGATGTATGTGCCGATGATGGAGAACTACGATAATCATTGTCATTGGGTGGTTGCAATTCATGCTTCTCCTGATGATAAGGTGACGATGGACGTGGTGGATAAGGTGACTCTGGACGATAAGGAGCACTTGGCGTACGTGGAGGATACAAGGGTTGATGTTGTTGTTGTTGTTGAGGTGGATACATAGCAGTATTAGAAGGATGTGGTGGTGGATATGGCATTTGAGATGATGGTGGTGGATACATTTGAGGAGCAGGCATTGGCATTCCTCCTCCTCCTCCTCCTTGTGGGAAAGATAACCAACGTTGATCATCCCGAGGATCACGAGGTGGCAATGGTGGTGGTGCTGCATTTCTTGGTGGATAAGATGGTGGATATCCTGCTCCTCCTCCTCCTCCTCCATTGTTGTTGTTGTTGGGTGGATATGGCATTACCATGCCTCCCTCATGGTAATACGGTGTTTGTTGCTATGATACATCATGTCAGCCGATCACTCTTACATGTACATAGACATCTTTTACATACGCTCGGCATTTGCGCGTTGTTCATAGGGCCTGTATGACCTTCAGAGGCACGATTGGTATTGCCGTCGTCATCCGTCGAGTATGACCCTCCAGAATGGGGTATCGATTGTTCAGACATGAGCACCTTCTTGGCGTTGGAATACAAATGACCAGGTACGCTGAGATGGGGTGGAATAGTTTCGACTACAGCCAACATGGTGAGTTCGATGGCAATTGCTCTCTCATTGGCGCCATTGCATACTTACAGAATGGAGTGTTCTCGAGTAGCAGACCCAACCTTTTGCGTGCTTGGACGAGAAGAGAAAGGGCACAGACTCGTGTCCCGAGCTTGTTACTGTTTTAGACTTTTGAAAGCGCGCGTTCTTAAAATCCCTCCGCTGCAGTATTCGACATTTAACGATCCATTCAATCATGATTCTCAAGCACTATACCTTTATCGTTTCCTCTATGTAACACCAAATCTGTACTTGTAGCTTGTCTCATCCACACATGTCATATATGAAAATGCCGTTTCCTTTGTAAATGATGTAATGCACAACTTGTCCCTCGTATTATTAAAGCATAATTTCGGAGAAGAAGCTTGATGTTGACTATGCAATCATGTACATACCCCACGTATTATCCTTCGCTATTAAAGTGGTCACCGCATTCTTTGCGTAAAGGGCTTATAAATGCATTTGCACACCCAACTATCTGTTGTTTCATCCTTGGCTTGCTAGATCAATGCTACAACGGTAGGCGGATCAACGAATCAGGTCGATACGCCACTTGACATTTTATAAGAACCTTCCATACATTCCATACATTCGGGTTAAAAGTGGCTCTGCTCTTGTGGGGTATGAAGATGTCAGCCTTGAAGCATCTCGTAAAGCACGTTTGCCTTGTCATGTTTGCCCCATCGAATACGCATGCATTTTCTCAAGGATCAACTTTGCTAAAGGACATCACTAAACGTTAATGACCAGCAAACGATTGTTTTGTCAACATCGCAAAAGGATCGTCCATCACGCATAGTTTTGTAAAAGTTAATGAATATACATGAAAAGCATACCACATTACGAGACCGATCAATCATGGCATGACATACTAAGGACAATGCAAAGTTCAATGATGGTTGCCCATGTTTCATATTCACATGGTTAATATGAACGGAAGAAAACATGTGAAAACTCCTGGAGAGGGCGATGATGAAAATTCATCCGATCTTTCGGTGATTAAAGGTTGCATCATGAAGCCGCATCAAATGGTGAGCAATCAAGTATGGACAATGGCGATAAGAAAGGATTTGGTATCCACAATAGCCTTGTGTTTGATGTTGTGTTTCAATGCCTGTATCTTTATAAAGATCATAACCTTATCGAAAAGTATAAAGTACATTGTCACTGGGATGATCATCTCCACCTGTCATTGGCTGGGAGACGTAAATGATGTTTGTAAGTTTGTACCTGTCATTGTGGACCCCCACCCCCAGGTCCGAAAAATGGTGACACCAATGGCATCGATTCAAGGTAGAAAAATAGAAAGATGATAAAAACTCTTGGCAACACATGTACAAAATTGAGTTTTACCCATAGACATGGATTGACCCTATGGCAGGTAAAGTAATGGTGATATGGCATGATCCCTTTATATCTTTCATCAACGTGAGGAGCATCATGACGACCCTGTTTTGTTGTTGCCCTGTTGTCGGAGATCCCGGGGAAATCCTCAATGCAGGTATTTTTTCCGTAATGTAGTAGAGTGGCCAGTATAACCGGACGACAAGTTAAAAACATCCGGATCTGCTAATGCCACTTTTGAACAAAGCTTTCCCACGAAAACATCATTTGGCAATTGTAGTATATATATGTATGTGCATGTCAACTATGTGCTGCGTGTGATGTCTCTCTGATAACTTATCGGCGACTTGATCGCCCACTTGTACTGCTTGTCAATCTATGAGCCGACTAGACCCCATATGTGTTGTGCTTACGATTTCCCTTACTTTTAACTCGTTCCCAGCCCTCTCTTTTTTTTTCTCAGATCACTTGCTTATCACGTTAGATCTCCAGCAGTATTATCGATTAGCCGATCATCACTCAACTTTATACCAACCATGGATTACAATCATACCAAAGTCATGAAACAAGTTGATTTATTGTATGGATAACATGAGAGGGCGAATAGGTTTCCATTGTTTGTTTAGGGGTCATTGTATTGCAATGAGACTCAACCATACAGCAAGAAGGATTGTCCTGAGTCACGCACACGACAATTGAATAGTGAGAGTGGAAGGCTGAAAAAAAGTCCGCATGATTGTGATTTGTGCGTGTGCTCCAAGCTTCCTTATACGACATATCCGAAAGAAAGCAGCTACCATAGTTGAATTACATCTTTCTCCTCTTTTTTTCTTCTCTTTTTCTATACCACTTGTCTCTACTCTCAATAAACACGCTACGAATCGTTATGTTCCCATGGATCATTCGGAAAAGCCCAACCTACGTTTAAACTCGATTGACAAGCAGCCTTTTGAAAAAGAGTTGACTGCATTGTCGCCTTCAACACCTTCCGGTGTGGCAGCCACGCTCTTGTCCGACTCTTTATTTCCACCCAAAAAACCAAAATCTCCCAATGCCATGGACGACGACAATGACAGCGATTCCGACGCCTCTGAGAATGGTGGCACCGGCAGCAGCAAAAAGGACCCATTAGCAACACAAGTGTGGCGGCTATATACCAAGGCAAAGGACACCTTACCTAATGCTTCACGCATGGAGAATTTGACGTGGCGAATGATGGCCATGACACTCAACAAGCACAAGCTAAAGTCGTCGTCACCTTCCACACCACGTTCAGAGAAAGGCGACGAGCATATGGATACTACCGAGTCTTTGGAATCACCCTCTTCTACAAGTCATGCCACTTCACCACCAGCTCCAGATGATAGCACTGAACTTTTATCATCATCAGCACCGCCTTACATGATTGATTTCCTTAGCGGTGGTCCTCCATTTCAAAGATCGGGTAGCCCTGGCATTGCAACCCCACGGCAAAATAGACATCCTTCTCAACAATATCCACGAAATAAGAGCGTGTTTGTGTACGGCTCCACTCGTGCAACATCATCTTCATCATCGGCCGCGGCTCCGTCATCTCCGTCCCACGTTGCATCACCCCAAAGTGTAAGTTGACTGATAATGATACAAGAGCGTCAATGATTAATCATTGTAAAAAAAAAGCAGGTTACGGACAACAGTGGATCTTATTTTGCACTAGCAACGGCACCTAGCAACAACAATAGCAACAGCATCACTATCCCTGTTGACATGCCAACCGATTCAGATATGGAACAAGATCATCACCATTACCATGAACCCACCTCGCCTTTCTCAGGAACAGGTTCTATCGACACAAATAGCTTTCTCAGCCATTCAATGCCAGCATATCATCATGTCAATTCAATGCATGGTCAAAGCTTATTACTTCAACACCCGCATCATCCTACTACTACTACCACCACTACCACCACAACAACAACGGATATCAACACGCATCATCAGACCTCGCAGGCGCGGTCTTCACATCCTGTTTTGATTCCAACATCAACAACTCTTAATAATGCCAATCCTACGTCTCATCATCCTGCCTCTATGAATTTGGATGCAGCTGCTGCGGCTGTAGCTGCTGCTGCTGCAAGTCGTGGTATTCATCCAGGTGCAATGAGCTTTGAAGATTTACTCTCAATGTATTATGCTGGTGGAAACAATGCTACTGCTGCTGGTGCTGGTCATGGTGCTGTCACGTCACCTGGAGTAGAAACAAGCATGTTATCATCTCTTATTGCTGGTCAAAATTCTGCTACAACGCATACAAATGATTCATTTCATACTCCTGTGACATCATCATCAGGTATGTGCTTGTCTTTGATATCAATGCACAAGGTTCTCATTCTTTTGTTATAGTTCCACGACCCATTGTTCCTCAAACACCACCTCCACCACCATTGGCTACTTCTGAATCAGCTCAACAATCCATTCACTCACCCAAAGTCACCAATAACAAGCCATCATCTTCAGCGAGCAACAAAAAGTCTGATGATGGCTCGAAAAAGGAAGGATCAACGACGGTCTGTACCAATTGTGCTACAACCACCACACCACTCTGGCGTCGTAATCCGGAAGGACAACCCTTGTGTAACGCTTGTGGTCTATTTCTCAAGTTACATGGTGTCGTTCGTCCATTGAGTCTTAAAACGGATGTTATCAAGAAACGCAATCGTAGCGGTGCATCGAGTGCCAATCGTAACGGGGATGGAATGAATCGAGCCAACAACAGCAACAACATCAGCAACAATAATAATAACAACAGCAATGGTAGTGGGAATGGATCAAGTGCTGCTGCTGCTACAAAAGGAAAGGCTATTCTTCAAGCCAATCCTGCATCATCCACCATCAACAGCGGCGCTAATGCATCACAAGGATCTACGATGGGTGTGATTGGAAAGCGTTCCAGTGGTACAGGCATGATTAATATTGCTCCCAATGGCGGTATCAAGGTTTCCATGCAACCCATTGCTACTGATACAACATCCTCTCCTACCACAACGACGTCACGACCCATTGTCTTTGCTCAACATCGTACAGCATCCACGAAACGACAACGACGCCATTCATTGAGCAATGAGGAAAAGGGAGCATCTACATCATCATGTTTGGAAGAGTCTTCGGGATCATCATCAGCTATTATGATTTCGGGATCGATGCCCAATCAATCCATGTCTGCAAGTGATCGATTCAGGCATATGTTATTACCCCAACAACAACAACAATCAAGGAACATTCTTCCAAACAGCCAACAACAACGTTTACCTCAACATCCACCATCAGCAGCAGCTGCAGCAGCGTCTTCGGTCATGCCCACAGTGGGTAGTGCGCCAACAACGAGTTTATCATGGATGGGAATGATGGCTGATAACAGTAATAATCCAAACGCCTTTGGTTCTCCTGGTTCATATAACAGTGAAATGTCTCATCATCCATCGTTATCATCACTCACGCCCGAACAATTACAACAATTACTTCTTATGCAACACGCCGCCGCTGCCGCCGCCGCTGCCACATCAACAACGTCATCAACACCGCCTTCTATGAATGCGATGGATCATGATCATCATCCTCATCAGCACACTTGGTCATGAATCGATATGCACTCTTTTTATATCTCCCTCTCTTTGTAATGTAAACCACCCCCACCATGCTTCTTTGTTTTTGTATATGCCTCTTTTTTTTTTCCTTCCTCATTCCTTTTGTTGTTGGCGTTGTACACCCATCACCTCCCCCCTTTTTGTTGTGTTTTCTAGATTGACTATGCTCTCACTCCCAATACCATTCTGCTGACATTTATATAAATCGTTCCATTTACTAGGCGCCAACTGGCTCGGTTGTAAATCTGATGCGCCATTGTGATGCGAGATCCTTTGAGAATGTAATCGAATGCATAACTGTGATGGGAGAAAAAAATGCTTCCTTTGACAACATGAAAAAGAAAACGCCCTCGTATGAGACACTCACCTGCAGCTGCCTTTTCGGGGTCCCCTTTTTCCCTTGACACACCCACATGCACTTCCAGCACATTTGATCCATGTAATGCGGTTAACGAAATATCATTGAGAATCATCCATCGTCGTTTGTTACTGCTATGCTCTTCAATTGAGAGCGATTTGTAATCAATAGGGGGAAGGAGGTGGACCTAACAATGAATGTAATTTGATGCATCACTGTGATCCGAGTTTTTTTGCAACATACAAAAGGCTATGTATGTGGGCGCATATGTACAGTAGTAAAATTGTCATTTCCCTCCCCACTCCATCTTTTTAATAACGGGGATGTGTATTAGGCGTACAAGTGATTGATTTCATTGATAGATTTCTTAACACCCGCCCTAATTTGGACGATGTATGCATAGACAACATTAGACCTAGGCCCCTCAGACCTAATTCTGGTATATGCGCCCTCACCACTTTATCAGCTCATGGATCAAGTTATCAATGCATCATCCCCAACAAACAGAATACCCACGCCCAATGCACAATAAAAGGATGTTGTCGCCGCCCATCATACTCCCACACGTTTCTTTCTTCTGTCATTCTTCTTTGATTGCTTACAAGGTCAAACTTCCAAGATTTTGTATGTACGTATCCCATTTCTTGCAAACTTTGTGAATAAGCGCTGATCCTTGTGGTCTATTATAAGGTTTCTTTGTTATCCTGCTCTCATTGTTGTTGACGTCGTCCTCATTGTGATACCTTGGATCCTTATAAAAATGTAAGCCTAATCGTATTGTTTGAAGAGTCACTACTCATACACGCTACCTTGTTTCTTTCGATAGATATAGCTATCTCCCATGATGCATCTTTTTGGTTACGGTGCCATGGTCTACGTACGTCGGGTGCTGAAGTTGACATGGTGCATATAGCAAAGTCCGTATGCTTTATGTTGACAGCTTTCATTAGCGGGGATCGGCAGCTGGGTCCATCCCAGGCTATGCCAGGAAATCCACCACATCCGACAATCGAAGAGATCTCCTCCAAACAATGTGCAGGCTCTTGGAAGATCGATCATGCGTCGACAAAGCCTTTGTATCAGCATGCTCCGATTCATCGCAGCCATTACACCAACGCGACGCAACGAAAGGTCGGCTACTGGATCAGCTTGACGTAGGGAACGCTGAGATGGTACATTGACAACCTAACCCATCTTACCCTCTCCAAATGTTAAAGGCGTCGCAAATAAAACCCCATGCATGCACTCACAATGCACGTCCTATACGCCATCCTTATCACACTCTATGGTAGTTTTATAAGATAGGAGACACATCGTCTAATACGAAAAGCTCTACAACTACACTTGTAAATTTGAAATTCATTCGTTCAACAGTAATACAGATATAATGTTCAAGTTGATACAATGGATAGATGACTGCAGAGCTCTTTTTCACGCGCTGTACATATACAGATCATTCAAACCACTATACCAAAGTAGCCTTCATTACTCATACCATGTATAGAAGTGCACATGTAACGCTTTTATATAGCTGCTAAAATGATGATAGGGCTGGGTTGGATGGGTGGGGGTGGTGGTTGGGTGTGCGTGTGGGATTGGATGGGTGAATGGGTGGTAGAGTGAACATGATTGCAGCACACGTAGTGGTAAGCCCTTCCACGCAAAATCGACGTTTACGAGCGAAGCGAGCAGTTGGCGGGCTAGTCAACATTCAACTATTTTTATAATAATAAAGATTCATCCTATGTTATACTTGTTTGGGGAAACATAAGGGACCAGGATAGGCACCTCCATACACCATTTGGACACGCGTACCAAACTCGAATGGGTTGCCATTGTAAGCAACAAAGTCAGCTTGATGTCCTTTTTGAATCGATCCTACTTGATCTTGCAATCCAAAGATATGGGCCAAGTTCCACGTGACCAAACCGACGGCTGCTTCTTGAGTCAAGTTGGCATTATGAGCAAGATTCCATCCGGCTTCCCAAATCATGTTGCGTGCACTACCATCGTCAGGATCAGTGCTGCCAAGACCCACACGCACACCATGCGCAAGCAATACGTCCAACACCGAATCAGATGTAAGGGGTGGTCCATACAAGCATTGTCGAGCCTGCCATGATTTACCATAACAGCGACCTGGTTTCAATATCACTGGAATATCGGCATCGGCAAGTGCATTTGCTGCCAAGTGTGCTTCAGCACCACCCAAAATGACAAATCGAGTCTGAGGCAGCTCTTCCTTTTTTAATCGGGCAATGGATGCAATCTCGTCCTTGTTGTCAGTCTCAACAACCACCGGTATTTCGCCATTAGAAGCACGTAAAAAGAGAGGATCAGGGCGTGTCACGACATCTCGAATGGCTGCTATTTGCTGAGATACGGTAAGTTTGGCCGTGGCGGAATGGCTAATTGTAAAATGGAGGGCTGCTTCTCTTTCAACATAGGCATCGCTCACACCATAGGCTAGATGTACGTATGTTAATTTTCTTTTTCATCTATGATTTCTTTATGATTGATGATACCTGTATCTTGCACACCAGTATGGAAGGCAACAGAAACACCAGCAAGTGTATAATCCCCATCGATCAATGGCTGCGATATAGAGGTAGTGATGCCTGCTCTGAACGCCTTTTGCATATGAAGCCCATTGAATTGCACACCATAAGCAGCACGAGACATTTTTCTATGGAGGTCCTTATCGAACAAGTCATGCTTTGCATAACCATCCAATGTCGCTGGCTCAGCAATGATTTCTGTCAAGCCCAATGGTGCACCAGCAAGAAGAATACCCTAAGAAACAACACCATCAGAACCTTACATATCAAATAGGGAGGAATGATAACGACTTACAGGTATGACAACACCACCATTGAGATCGAATTCAGCTGCTTTCTCGTCATTGATGCAATTGGAGCTGATGCAGGTGACTCGACCCTCTTTGATTGCCAATTCAATAGGACCATCATAGGTTTGATCAGGACCTGCATGCAATCGACTGATGTTCCGTAACACAAACGTATCCACATCCGGTGCACAAGCAGCCTTCGTATCATGGACTTGCATGGAGGTTGCTGGTTTGGGAGGTAGCGAATGATCCGATGCTTGTACGTGCGTTTCATGCTGATTAGTGCTTGATGGCTTTTGAATCTCCTCGTCGACATGCTTGGCCCATGAGGTGTTGAATTCTAGCTCCATACCATCGATAACAACATGCTTGGGACGTGCACCCAGTGTCAAGGGATGTTGATCCCAAACCACAAGATCAGCGTCTTTGCCCACTTCAATGCTATAATCACCACACATACCGTTTCAGTATCAAGTATGGATAATGATGATGATGATAGCCTACCTTCCAATTCGATAATCCAAACCCAATGCTGCAGCTGGTACACTAGTCACTGCCTTGAGTGCATCATGCTCGCTAAACCCATAATGGTATGCCTTTTGTGCTTCATGCATCAAATCTCGCTATGGTATTATGTCAACCACTGGTTTTCCAATGTTGATATTCCAATACTTACTGCATCTGTCACTGGATGATCGCTTTTGAGTGCCACAGGGATACCTGCCTCGGTCAAAATACTTGGAGCTTCCACATTGGTGTCCCATCCTTCATGCTGTCATCATACAAGAGGAGGCGTTAGCCGTCTTGTTATACTTGTCCTTATCCCATTATTCTACCTTGTATCCCCACATGTCTATCATAAAACATTAGCTTATGGTATAAAGGGAACAAATCATCGTAGCGCATACCTCCAAATGTTGCAATAGTAATGTTGGTCTTGGCTCGCTTAATGATATCGGGCACTTGCCAAGCTGATAACGCATGATGGAATGCAGCAATATCGAAATCAAACTCCAAAGAATGACGCACCATAGCTTCAATGTCTTGAGGCAAATAGCAGTGGACATTCAATTTGACTTTGTGCCGCATGAGTGCCACCAAGCTTTCCAAATCCAAATCCTCTGGGAAAGGCTCATCCAATCGCACACGGCCTTTGGATCCAGCATGTGTCGAATTCAATCGTATGGCAGCTTCACACCAATCATCTTGAGCTCTTTTCAATGCATGAGCTTCTTGGAAACGCTTCCGGAAAAGGTAAGCTTCGCCCATCCCTTTGATGAAACCAATTTCAGTAACCATGTAGACATCTCGTCAGCATCGTCGCTACTCACGTGTCTTTGGCATCTCGTGTCGTTCAAGTCCATACGCGCGTCTCGCATTTTCTCCACACGCCATCTTCATGTAACGCCATACAAGTTCATCTTTGGGAGCATTGGCGGTAACAAGCATGTCTTCTCCTGATAATGTGGGCATAGGTCTTAGCTTAACCACAGCAGCTTCTCCGCCCATAAGATTTCCAGATCCAGGAAGAATCAACGAAGTAGTAACACCGCCACTTGCAACCACCTTCAGTGCAGGATCACCGGGGTTGATAGCATCAATCACTCGTACCTATTACGAAATCGTTAGAGTAAATAAAGAAAACCCATATCATTATCCCACATACAAACGGTGTCGTCGGCTGTGTCATTTCGTTATTATCAACGACGGCATTGAGTTCATAAAAGCTTTCCACCAGCATATGCGAATGCATGTCAACAATGCCGGGCGTGACAACGCTTCCTCCCGCATCGATCACCTTGTCCACTTGAATCTGATCTCCACGATCTCCTCCTATGTCGCGTATCACACCATCTTGTACGAGCAAATCACCATCCACATAGCGATCGCCTAACCAGAGATGACCATTCTTGATCAATAAGGTGCTGTTGGATGTGGCACGTGGATTGGTTCTTGAAATGTTGTCAATGGAAGGAGATGGCTCTTCAAGGATGGATTCACATTGCGAAAGACCATATTCAAACGATGCGTGCCCAATACCCGGTGAAACAACCTTGTCATGGTGCGAGACAAAGCCATCTTCCAAAGAAGGTAGTTGGGAAGTCAAATACAACGAAGTCGCAACAAACAAGGCAATGGACGCAGCAATGACACCATGGCGTCGTCGCCGTTGTGCTGGAAGAATCGGACGATCCGATGCCATCTTGGTTGACATGAGGCAATGAATAAGAGAGCGATAGAACGCGTGAGAGAAAAAGAAAGAGAGATAAACAAGTAGGCCTATATGTATGTGTGTGCCAGTACGATCGCCCATTCCCCACGCACACACATCATGATCGTGACATGCGTTACACACACCCTGTGCATAACTGATTTTCCTCCGGCTCTTCGGCAGCATGAATGTATTCAATCAACCTTCCCTTTCCAATAGTGCTCTCACCAGTCATCAAAGAACCTATAACATACCTATCAACTATCAATAAAATGCACATAGAATCATCGTATCCAAGGTCACTGTTGTTGCTATATCAACCATAGATGTTTTTCGGAATGCGGGGAAACGACATTTGTTCTTCGCGTCGCATTACTGATTCGGTAAAAAGCTCCCATTTTGGGAAGAACATTGTAGTAGAAACCACTTTTCCGGGAAAACGAATGCATCCAGACGATTAATAATCCGTTCTTTACGATAATATCGATCCCAATCATGACATCGTGATAAGGAATCAATCATTTGGGTGGTGAAGCGGATGAAATCAAGGAGCTGATGGTTGATCTAGAATTTGCAAAGAGAATGAAATCACATGCCAAGTCGAGAGTGGGTTAAAAAGAAAGCAGTTGCTGCATGTCGTCGTTGAGGCGTTGCTAGGCAACTCCCTATCAACCATCCTACTTATAATATGGAGCGATACACGAACCCATCACCCTATCTCATAATGCATAGGGAAGGTAGGTGGCTCGTTCCCCACCATCAACGTCGATTGTGATGAGGCATTTTGCCATCGAGAATTAAGGGATACATCCTATTCTTCTAGGTGAAAAGTGATACCATCGCTATCATCTTAAGATTATGGCAAACGATCCGTTGTCCAAGCATCTACAATTCATCATCGTAAAAGTCGTCCCCAACATCGTCACGAAATCCATGCATAGACAACGCTCAATGCTCCCATTTATTTCATCCATGATCCCATCCATAAGACTATTGACTACTAAGATAATACGCTATCGTACACGATTATGATCGAATTCTCCCATCGTCCAAGAAAAGTTGTTCGCTTCGCGTGTCGATTTCGGTAAACATAGCCATCCAATCTTATCGAGCCACTCTTCCCCCTAAAACGTATAGCATAAATGATGTTCAATAACAAGTGGTTTATTCTTCAATACCATTACACACGGGGAGTGGGTACGTCCTTTACTGCTCATATCAAGCGTTTTGAATTTTGCGCTCACCAAGCAATCCCTTTGTTGACATGGCGTCAATACAGAACAAACACTCTTTCAAGATGTTACATTTCCGTTGACTGATGGGGTCCATGCCAAGGATTGAGTCGCGGTAGATCCTCTTAAGTATAATCACTGCAGTCAAAGGTGTGTGTGTGTATATGTCGATAGTCGGCCGAGGCAAATCTTTTAGTCTGAGCTCGAAAATTGAAGGTGAGTGAGGGTTGCCAGGCAACGGGTGGTAGCGTTTATGCTGAGGACAAGTCTTTTTGTAGATCCTTCAAGATAGGATATTGCATCGGCTGATCGTGGTGGTCCATTGGCTTGGGTCGATAGCTGATGGGTGGTTGTGGTGATACATTTTTGGCTGAGTAAAAGATGTTGTCTTGGAACACCCATGGATGGTGAACGTTTTCTTTGACGTGTTCAGATGCAGTAATGCATTACTCTTATTGCAGCATTGGGAGGTATGTTGTGTTATTATAGATGTGGATGTGTAAGTGCAAGGTATAATAGGACGAGGGACGCATACTATTTTACTAGCATGAATGGCGGAGGATACCGAGCCTCATCATGGTGCGTTATGAATGATCCCATTTTCTCCAGCCCCATGGTACGCGATAACAACCATCATTGTTGTCCTCCTCCTTGGGTATGATATGGCATTATGTTTATGGTGACGTTGTGATTAAATGCGTTCCGGCAAGTAAGGGCATACTATATAAAGCCTTTCTTTCTACCCAGCAGCACAATGGCTTGCTCCCGCTACTACACTCGCTACAATGCTTCTTTACGGCACAATTGTCCATACACCCAAACGAGGAACGATCTCCATTCACACCAATGCTCTCTTGGCCACCAATGAGGATGGTCGCATTGTCGCGTTGAAAGACAACATTCCTGAAGACAAGCTTGACAGCACCATTGACACCCTTCAACTTGGTCACCAACGCCAAAGTCTTTTGAAGCTTTCACCAACGCAGTTCATTCTACCAGGCCTTATTGACACTCATATCCATGCTCCACAAATCACATACACCGGAACGGCGACTGATGTTCCTTTGATGGATTGGTATGATGATGATGATGATGATGTGGGTGCACCTTGAATGTTTCAATTGGCTGATCACATGACAGGCTTCAAAAGTACACATTTCCAAGCGAACGACAATTTGAGGATCCTGAATGGGCACGCAAAGTATATGACGTCCTAGTGAAAAGATTGCTTCGTAATGGTACCACAACTGCATTGTAAGTAAAAGCCATGTCCTTTTGAGTCAAAGTACTCATCTTTCATATGATGATAGATACTTTTCATCCATTCATCTTGAAGCATCCAAGATCCTGGCTGATGCAGCATTGAAGCATGGACAACGAGCCTTTATTGGCAAAGTGTGTATGGATCAGCATGGTGCTGAAGGATACATTGAAACGACCGAACAATCGATCGAGGATACCAAAGCCTTCATTGCTTATTGTCAATCCAAGCAACGACCCCAGCATCTCGTTCCAGTCATCACGCCACGCTTCCTTCCTACATGTTCTCCTGCCTTGCTCGAACAATTGGGTGCACTAGCAAGACAACATGACCTGCCCATTCAATCTCATATTTCCGAATCACTTGACGAGGTGGCCTTTGTGCATGCATTGTATGGAAATGAGGATACGGATACCGAGATATTTGATCGTATGGGATTATTGACACAGCGTTCCGTCATGGCGCATGGTGTGCATTTATCGCCCAACGACGTGGATACCATGGTAGCACGGGGCTCAGCTGTGGCAGTGTGTCCACTCTCCAATGTTTATTTTGCCAATGGCGTATTCCCCGTTCAACCTTATCAAAAGCTCAAGATGGGACTTGGCACGGATGTGGCAGGTGGCTATTCTCCCAGTATGCTTCAATCCATTCGACATTGTGCTGTTGCATCCCGATACCTTGCTACACAAAAGGATCATGATCCATCACTCGTGGTAGATTGGATGACTGCTCTCTACATGGCTACCTTGGGAGGTGCTGAAGCGCTTGGACTACAAGATGAAGTTGGCAGTTTTGAGATGAACAAGTCATTGGATGCATTGCTTGTGGATATCGCCACGGAGAATTCGCCCATTGATCTCTTGGATGATATCACTCCTATGGATATGGTAGAAAAGTTTATCAACCTAGGCGATGATCGCAATATTATTAGCGTATGGGTATCAGGCGAACGTAAATTGTAATGCACATGTTGTTGTATTGAATAAAAGGAAAATGGATGACAAGATTTTCTATAACCTACTCTATATCAATAGAGGGAAATGTGTGTATGTGCGTGTAAAGGGTGGTGGAAAAAAGAAAACAAATATACAGATTAAGAAAATCAGCGAAACAAGAATCGAGGGGACATGGTGTGGTTGTTATGTTGAGTGCGGAAATACAAGGAGAGTCGATGTAGGATGGGATGGCATGGGATGGCATGTGTGTATGTGAATTTATGCGGTACCAGCAAGCTCATTCTTGCCGATAACATTAACCTTGAAACCAATGTCACGGAGCTTGGCAGCATTGACCATCAAACGGCCGTCAAAGAGGAAAGCAGGCTTGTGCATACCAGCATAGATCTTGTTGTAATCAAGTTGATCATCACGGAACTCATCCCATTCGGTGACAATGATGACGGCATCAGCACCCTCAGCAGCTTCATAAGCACTGGAGCAAATTTGAATGTGCTTTTCAACTTCCTTGCGAGTATCCACAACACCAGGCTCAGAAAGATCCATATAGATTTGCTCATGTTCAACCTTGGGGTCATAGATAGCGACACGGGCATGCTCTTGGATAAAGTCCTTGATCAAAGTGATAGCAGCAGACTCACGGGTATCACCAGTGTCCTTCTTAAAAGCGAAACCAAGGACGGCAATCTTTTTGTTGGTGATAGTGTTAAAGAGAGTCGAAATGATCTTGCGAACAAAGCGCTTCTTTTGGTATTCATTCATAATCACAACTTGCTTCCAGTAAGCAGCGACCTCGGGCAAGTTGAGTTGCTCAGACAAGTAGACCAAGTTGAGGATATCTTTTTGGAAGCAAGAACCACCAAAGCCAACGGATGCCTTTAAGAACTTGGAACCCAAACGAGTGTCACGACCACAAGCATAGGCAACTTCATCCACATCAGCACCAGTAGCTTCACAAATGGCTGAGAGAGCATTGATAGAGGAGATACGTTGTGCAAGCATAGCATTGGCAGCCTATTATAGATATGCAATGTTATTAATGGGTCATTCAAATCCAGCTCCCCATTGAAACTCACCAATTTTGACAATTCAGAGGACCAGAGGTTGGTAGTAATGACACGATCAGCAGGGACCCAATGAGTGTAAACATCCACCAAGGCCTTTTGAGCTTCAATACCCTCCTCTGTTTGCAAAGCACCGATCAAGACACGATCAGGGTTCAATAAATCCTTGATAGCAGTGCCTTCTGCCAAAAATTCAGGGTTGGACAAGATCTGGAAGGATACATTGGGAGTGGAGTTGGCATCAAGAATAGTACGCATGCTTTGAGCAGTACGGCAGGGCACAGTGGACTTCTCAACAACGATCTTGGAGCTCGTGGCGACTTGTGCAATGCGACGAGTGGCACTTTCAATGTAACTATGATTGGAGATAAGGGTGAGTGAGACATTGGATTCATTTCCTTCCGAAACATTCAATGAACAACAATACTTACGCTAAATCAGCAGCCATACCAGCACCCATACCACTCTTCTTGGTAGGTGTGTTCACAGAAACGAAGATAAGATCAGCTTCGTTGATAGCACCATCCACATCAGTGGTAAAGAAAAGGTTCTTGCCGCGACGGTCAAACACAACTTCTTCGAGACCAGGTTCGTAGATGGGGAGCTTATCGGAATTCCAGGCGTCAATGCGAGCAGGATTCACATCGACAATGGTGACCTTGATGTCGTGGCACTTGTAAGCAATGACAGCACAAGTAGGACCGCCTATAGAGAGAACGTATAAGTCAATAGATAGCTCAACCCATCAATAAATGGTTCCACTACTTACCGACATAACCGGCACCGATACAACAAATGTTCTTGACAATGGCCATGGTAAAAGTGATGAAAGGAAAGAAAAAGAGAGAGAAAGGATAGAAAACAAGTTGTCTCGACGATCGATTTTTTTAAAGTGGCGAATGAGTTGGAAGATTGGAACGATTGCTACTACCTCTATTTATTAGCAAATGCTTATCGCCGACTCAAACAATCCCAATATGGATAACAAGGATCGACCTGGTTCGCCCTAAAAATAAAAAGGAAGTGGGTGATACAGGCGTATCAAACCTTGGTAATAATCACCGATGCCAGGGTCTTGAAAGCACTAGTAAACGTAAAGATGACAACCACCACCACAACCCACTGTGTACTAGCACGTGCTATTTTCTCACTATGTATGTACTTTTCACCTTTTACCCGCTTTGCTTCTAAATACATGATCAATGCTACATGGCATTGTTATTCTATACTACTACTACTACCCTCCAGTAGTTGACACCATCTTCAACGCTAAAGCGGCCTTTGCCACTAAGTTAGCAATTGGCTCGTCTCAGAATGTTTGTACCTGAAACGACTGCTTAACACTCATCCAATGATTGTTTGCAAATGTCCATTTTGTTTTTCGTCACACGTTATATTGAACCCCCAGGGAAATATAGCTTTTCGGTCAATCACCCCCACCCACCCAACCTACGATTTATCCCATCATCCCCCACACGTAACATCCACCACCTTTTAACCGGGAAAAACAACATTGCAAATCGTTTGGGAGATCAATCCAATTGCTCATTCATTACAACATTAACCTTATCTACGGGCGATACTGTGACTTTAGCTTTGTATAGGATAGGATGGTAATGATGATGCTGCATAAGGAACAAACATGTTGCTGGATCACATCTTTATGTCACAAATTTCCCTGCTTGGAAAAGTACAAAGAGTCCTGATCCTATGGTATCCACTTGATAGCTTGCCACGTTGGTGGTAGGATGGACAACATAATCTATCTGATAATATAGATAGGGATATTGAGATGGATGGTTTAGGGGTCTGTTACACCAACCTTTATATTACGTGCACGAGCACCATGTCTGTGTGCGTTCAAAAAATAGTCGTCAAACAACAACAATCAACCCTGTATGTAACAACAAGGCACAGACACACATGCATGACCCACGTGTTGCCTACTTTGTAACCCATATAAACATCTTCTACATTGTCGTCGTCCTTTTCTTTTTATTGTGGTGGAATAGAGTAGGTGGTGGTATAAAGAAGAGGTGGTCATCATCATCATCATAGCTTAAGGTGGGTTCCAAGTTTACTGCTACATGCAGGGCAATAATGGACCACATCTACAAAAAAAACACGTGGCAATTGTTTGAGTTCTTTACCATACACAATGAAACCCAATTCCCTCATTATCCCATTTTGACTACCACCTACCTTTGAAATACTTGACATAGAAAGGGACCCAGAATAGGAATACTGTACACAAAAACCTATTTCTGGCACGTCAAACAAAGAGGACATGGTGGATGGATCCAATCACACACTTACAGGATGAAAGCAATGAGCCATGTTAGGGCACCTGTTCGATATCGAATACGAGATTGTACATATTTTTCGCATGTGCTACAAAACGCCTGTGTTTCGAAATCGGGCAGGCTCTGCTGATCAATAGCCAAGAGAAGTCGTTCCCTACGTCGTCGCCAAGACCGAGTTGTTGTCGTCTCACTGGTCGTACTCCGAATACTCGGAACAGTCAAGTGCGCTTCACATTGCGACGATGGCCGTTGTTGTTGCGATCGTGGCAATGAGGCCATGGACTCTGGTTTAGGAAAATAGGATGCCGGTGTGCCGATATGGAAATGCTGTACTCGTGCCGACAAATTAGAGATGCCCGAGCATGCGGATCGCAAGGATAAAGATCGTCGACGACTATGAATTGAAGAAGAAGAAGAGGAGGACGTAATAGAGGATGCAATGGATCGGGGATAACATGGTTGATGATGATGAATAGCAGGAGGTGTAGGTGGTGGTATTGGTTGTTGCTGTTGTTGTGAAATCACATTATCATTTTCTTCTTCCTCCCCATCCATGACAGCGGCGGATGAAACGGTGGGTTTCAAAGTAATCGACCAATTCGTTGTATGATGACCACTATCAGACCGTTTCCGCCGTTTTCGAAGAAGCCATGTCAGCTTTTGTTTAAAGAGGTGTTGTGGTTGTTGTTGTTGCTTGTGTGTGCTGTTCATGATCATGAATGGCACTATATTATAGACACAAGTGCGTGTGTGTGCGTGTACTATAAAGAAAGAGAGAGAGAAAAAGAAAAGGTGGGTAAAAGTTTGATTGTGTAAAGCAAGAAAGAAAAAGAAAAAGGGGGGCGGTTGGTGTTGAACAACAATGACCAGTTATATAGATCAATATCTCATGTGCTGTTTAGTGTGGTCGATTCTGTGTATAAAGGTGCATATAGTAGCATACACAAAGCGAAAAGCAATGACTTTATATGGTGCACCGTTGACTTGGGAAAATCAACGAGTTTTGCTGCATCTGTATTTAAGGTTACTAACCCCTTGCTCCCTCCTTTTCAACGCTCTGTCCTACGCTACGACAACACCATCCTAGCAATTTGGGGGAAATACACAACTTGTTCATCATGCTGTTGACCACCTTATTCAATAAAAGGCCGCTTCTTACGTGTAGGATCATTTTTGTTACATGTTGGAGGAGGAATGGATGATGAAAATGTAAAGGGGGCTCATGTGACTTGATCCGGGCACTGATGTGTGCCATCTGATCCATTACCCATCATCAAATTATTCACGGGCTGGCTCATGCAGATCGTGTGGTGTCTCGTGAAAAAGCAAATAGATACACAAACAAGGCATCCCGATGACGAGCTAAAAAGGAAACAAACGGCACATTATATTTACTACAGTGGAATTAATACAGAGGATTATAAAAGTGGGTGTTTTTTATATAGACCAAAGCATCAAGTTTTTGTCCTTGGTATTATGACTTGCGGATGCAACCATTGTTGTCCCATCCATGGGGAATGTGCTGGTGGTGGAACATGCAAGCGCTGCTACCAGGCCAGGTTGTGAACCCGTTCGTTTAGGTTGTGCTCCAGGCACGCTACATTGCCAGATATAGATGGCTTCGTATTCGCCAAAGATCACTTGAAGCTTATCCGTGCTGCCATTGCTTTCATGATTGACAAACGCACAACTCGCTGTCTTGCCTTGTAAAGAATGCGAATTGACCATCTTCCAATGCACCGTATCATACACTGCAATCAATCCTTCCGAGCATGTCACCAAAAAGTTGCCATCGGATGACCAATCCAATGAAGTGATGTTTTTAGAGTCGCTTGTTTGGATTGTCTTGATGCCATCCATGTTGTTGTTGTTATTATCGCCTTTCAATCGATGGATGTCAATGACGTAAAGTTGGTTGCCCACTGCACATGCCACCATGTTGCCGTCACGGGGATGAAATCGTAATTGGTTGGAGCTGACCGTTCGCATTGGCTATGTATGATACGTTTCAAATGAGAAAATGATGCCAAATGACGCTACTATGTATGTACGCCATGACTTACCACTTGAAGTGTTTTATCCTTTTTTTGCGTATTCATATTCCAAACATTCAATTCTCCTTCAGCATCCATCGAACATAAGATTTCAGGTCGTGTGGGGCAAAAATCAACAGCGCAAATGCGAGTCCGGCCTTCAAATTTCAAGACTTGTTTAACGGAAGAAGCATTGGAAACCAAGGCTGAGCCCACATCCCAAACGCGGATTGTCTTGTCAAAAGAGCAAGTGGCCACCAAATTCCGGTCATCTGCACTCCATCGTGCACAATGAATGACGTGCGTATGACCATCCAGGGTATACAACTTTTGCTTGTCTCGTACACTCCATACCATGACGTGCTTGTCCTTGCCACCACTCACCACATAGTGGCCATTTTTGGAAAATGCACATGTCAACACCTTATCCGTATGTCCTGCCAATTCGCCTTGTGCTTGCAACGTCTTTTCGCTGGCACCAGAAAGTGTCAAGGCTGCTGCATTCTCCATTCCAAGATTGCCTCCTCCTCCAAAAGACCCGGCTAGAAAATGGTTGTTGAAACCACCATCCATATCATTCCCATCACCTAGCAACAAGGCAGGATCGGCACTATCATCCGCATTCGCAAAAATATCGGCAAAATCACCTCCGTCACTCATCATGAAACGCTCCAAATCAAACGACATGCTGTTGCTAGTGGGTACCGCTGTTGCCATGCCACTGTTGTCAGGGATACCAGGGGATGATTCAGATTTCACCATGCCACCATTTCCTTCCATATCACTCCATCCAGTGGTGCTTGCATGCTGATGTTGTTGCTGAGGCGTTTGTTGTTGGCTAGGTTGTGTTTGGGGCGAATCTTGAGACGATGTTTGGAAGGGTGCTCTTTGTTGCTGTTGTTGAGATAACACTCTTCCTTGTACTTGCTCCGGTTTAATGGTGGTAGCAGATGGCTGTTGTTGATTCATCGTATGTGGACTACCCGTGTTGCTTGTTTGGGGAGATGCTTGAGCCATAGGGGGGTTTGAAGTCTCATTGTCAGGATTAGGTCGAGGACGTTTAGCAGGATGTTGTTGTTGTTGTTGAGATGGTGGTGGTGGTGGTCGACCTCCTTGTTGTTGTGCAGCAGCTTGTTGTTGTTGCCGATAAAGTTGTTCAGCCTGTTGAGCTTGTTGTCGCTGATAATTCATCAATGCTGCACGTGCTTTTTCAGGATCATGCTGTGGATTGAACCCACCCATCATCATGGCTTGACTCGTTGGTACAGTCGCATTGTGACCTCCTTGACTCATTTGAAGTTGCTGTTGCTGTTGTTGTAACATGTAATTACGATTCATCATGGCTTGGTGTTGTTGTCGAAGGGCCATCTTTATATATAAAAAACGTCAATATAAATATATATGTACTATGATAATGATGCTATGTACTTGCCTGTTGTTGGGGAGTGAGACCAGCTGGGATTTGCCCTTTGCTTATCATTTGTTGCATCATCAGCATTTTGGCTAACGAGTCGAATAATGAGCAAATGATATCGTCTTTTTCCTTTTTTCCTTGTCCTTCCATCAATCAAACTCACAATCACCAGAAAAAGGAGTATTTGGATGTTGCATTGCTCCAGACATTTGTGCAACAGGTACACCAGGTCCTGTCATACCCATCGATGCATTCATCATTGGTGGTCGAGGTTGTCCTATACATCAAAGATATGAGACAAAGGGCATTCCTAATACAATGTTCCTTTTATACCTGCTTGAGCCATTCCAGCATTTCGATTTGCCATATCCATTGCCTGTTGTTGTTGAGGATGAGGTTGAGATTGGGAAGGAAGTTGACCAGGTCCTTGTTGAGGCGTCATGGGTTGTTGTTGTTGTTGTTGTTGTTGATTCATAGCTAATTGTTGCTGTTGCTGCATTTGAAGTCGGGCTTGATGGCTCATCATCATGTTACTGAATACAAAAAGTGTCAGCTGACAAATGTATCACAAAGTTGACTACTTGACAACTTACGGGTTATTACGCATCATCATGTTGTTTTGAATAGCCTGGCGTTTGGCATGCATCATGTAGGCATTCTAAGAACCATGTCAGTGTATTTTGGTGAGGAGATGAATCAACTTACTCTTTCCTCCTGTGTCATGGATTGCAAATCACGGTTCATAACGCCCCCAGGAGCAGCAGCCATAGCGGCAGTGGTGGCAGTGGTAGAAGTTGGTGTAGTAGTTACTGCTGCTGCTGCTGTAGTAGCCATACGTGGAGTGGAATGGGGTGGTAGCGGTGCACTTGTAGCTGGTAATTGGGGATTGCTAGTCATCATATGCTCTGTTGGATGCTCATTGCCAGGACGTTGATGTTGGATTTGTTGAGGAGAATAAGAGGGCGATGCATGGATATGTTGTTGGGGTAAAGAAGAAGGCATGCTTTGTGGGGTATTTACAATGCTGTTGTTGCTAGGATGATGATGATGGTGGTATTGATGAGGTGGTTGTTGTTGTTGTTGCTGTGGTGTTGGTGGTCGTTGCATCCCATTGTTTGGTAGTGAAATAGTACTATTGGCGGGTGACGGTCGAGGATCGCGTGACATTGCACCTTGTTGTTGAGACGATGGCTGTTGCATAGTAGGAGGTTGTCGCTGTACATCAGACATCCGCCGTTGTTGAAGCATTTGTTGTTGCTGTTGTTGCATACTCATTGCACGATGTTGCTGTAACATTTCCTCCCGTTTACTTCGTACAAGTGCCGTGTACTAACATGACATCAATCATTCAATATCCCCACCAAATTCATTCACATCTACGCTTATTACTTACATGCTGATACGTTGCTGCATCCTTGCTAGCCAATGTCTCATTATACTTTGCATTGTAAACATCCCAAAATACACTCCACCAATCGCCTAGGAAGCCTGACGGGATATCAATGGGTGGCATCTTACCCACTTGTACACCAGCCTCTTGTGCGAACGCCTTTGCTGCTTGTCCAAAGTTGTGTTTCTTGCAATAGTCGTATATGTACGTATGAAGAAGTTCAGTAGCTCTTGCCTCTGGTAACGATGGTCCATTCTGCCTACAAGTAAAAAGTTAATGGCGTGATCGGCTTGCTGTCGTTATAGTAACACACTCCTGCCGTTCCCTTCTCCTTCCGCACATAAAGAATAGTGGCCCATAGATACGCAATCTAGCCAACCCATCTTGCCCAACAACAGATGAATTACCACCACCCCATCACTTACCCTTCCCAGGTGTTCCGTCGAACTTGAGATTGAGCCATGGTCGACTATGTTTTTTCCCTTGCAATAAAGGACTGAAGAGTACGCAAGAAAAAGGGGGGGAGGAGACCACACTGACTTTAAATAACGAGATGGCTGTTGACATCACGCCGATGTCACTTGCTCACTCTTCATTTCCTAAACGCATATAACATGCATTATTGATCTCGATATTGCGTTCACTTTATTTCATTGTATGTGCTGATAGCCTATGACATTATCTATAAAAAAGACATTTATTACCTTGCTTTGAAAGGTTTCAGGTACACAGACCATCTTTGGTATTTGCATGATCCATCACGTCGTACCAACATTTACCTTTATCTCCATGTTGCCTTGTTACGGCTATTGATCAACGCTGTCAACCATTCCCATGCCACTAAATGGAATCGCGTTGCCATGGGGATCATGGGATTTGACATTGCCCTTCCTCTTTCCTCTTTTACCTTTGCATACGTTGGTTGAGACAATGAAGTTGCCTTTCAATCTCCCCCTGAATCATTACTGCGCCGGCAGAAAATGGAATTTCATTGTTATCAAGTATCACTGACACAACCTTAAATGTGAGCTTTCCACCATTCCATTCATAATGCATGTGTCCAATGGTTGTAAAATGATAGAATAATTCGCTTTTATGTGGAGGATGATGCTTATGTACCAAACTGGGATTTGTAGTAGGAGGGTGGTAACTTTTCCAATACACTAAACTTGGGTCGTTCGACCATGACCATGGAATCCTTATCAATAAATTCACAAAACAAAATCTGCTGATATCGTGTTGATAGCTGCATCGGTATCGGTGAATCTTGTTTGTGAACATCCGGAGCATCGTGTTTCCGTTTATGGGCCTTGGATTGTTTGGGATGCTTGTTGTGGACCATCTTGACATTACACATGAAGCTGCTGCCATACACGATCATCTCATCAGGCGAACTTGGGTTGTATGCAACGCCTCGTATGGATTCACGCTGATTGAATAATGCTGTATTTGTAAAGTCGCGATGGGCTTTGGACCAAGGAGTCAGTCGTTTATGCTCAACATTGTAAATATACAATTCGTTTGTGGCCTGCCCGACAAGCAACTCGTTGGGTCGAAGGTCGTTGAATGATAGTGCTGTGTGATAAGTGTATGAATGCGGAAGTTCAATATGATGCTACATGGACAATCACATACATTGTCAATATTCATGCATACAAAAGATAACCCCCTTAGCACACACATTGCCCTCACCTTGAGATTGTCTAGGTTGAAAATATGAATGCGGTTCATGTCGTCGCCTGTTGCTAACCATTGGCCATCAGCACTGACGGCAACTGTGATCACTGTGGCTGCTTCTCGTCCTTCGATACTATTGCCCTCACTATCCAATCCACGATGATGACCGAATTCTCCCAAGACTTCAAACGAGCCTTGTTCCCAATGTCGTAAATCAATCACCAAGATACGTGATTCCACTGTGATAATAATAATCTTATCCGAGCCAGGCGTAAAAAGAACATGGTGCGCACCCGATGCAATGTTGTGCTCTGACAAGTATTGTGATAATACGGCATCAAAATTTCGTGCCTTTTTTGCTCTCAATTGACCGGGCATTCCTTGCTATATACATTTCAAAGTCAATAGATTGAAAAAAAGGAGTCGACGTACACACACACACTTACTGCTTCTGTCAATTGGAATAATCGAGTGGATTCGATATCAGCAACAATGATCCATTCGCCGTTCTCAGAGATGGCACTCGAAGTGATGTTACAATCCGCCTTCAATTGTAGCTGTAATACTTGTCGATGAGGTTCCAATAATTCGGGAATGATGACCTTGGAGTCCGTGCTATTGGTTGCGACAGCTATCGAACGCAAAATATGAGCTTAAGCTATACATATTTCATTCATCCATTCTCCTTTACCTTGACCAAGTCGCCACACACTAAGCGAATTAAAGTATGCTGCCATAACCAGTTGTTGCGATTTGGATGCTGAGACCAGATATTTGTGGGGGAAAGGTGGCAAACGCATAGGCTCTACCTTTTTACCGAGGTTGGTAGACCAAGCAACAAGTTGAACATCCACACCACCAGAAACCAATGTGCCGGTACTGTTGTTGATAGCAAGAGCACGAATGTCGTGAGAGTGATATTGACGACTTTCAGCTGTAATCCATGTTGTACGCTTTGACTTTTTACGATCCTCGTTGACTTTGCGATAATTGGTCATTTTGCAATCGACACCAGCAGAAAAGACTTGTGTGCCATCTCGAGATGCTGCAAGGGCAAGAACATCAGCTGCATGGGCACGGATGGTTTGCTTCATGGCACCCGTCTTGCTATTCCAAAACATGATATGGCCTAGAGAATCACCCGATACCAATGTACCATCCCTATCATGTCATTAGACATCATGTTTTCCTCCTATTCATCCTTGTTCCAATATTACTTACTTGAGAGCGGCCACCGACCATACCAATGTATGTTCCTTACGTACTCGATCCACTGTCATACGTTGAAGCGTTTGTCCTGTGCTAACATCCCATGTACGAATGGCACTATCCGATCCACCGGAAACAATGTAATCATCATATGGGCTCCATACAACCGAAAGCACGCGACCTATGTACATTTCATAAGTGATCCATCAAGTATATAACCCACCATCCCTTTCTATTACCTTTTTGTGGAGTAAAACTGCGGATATACTCAAGACCATCATCTTCAATGTCGAACAATCGAATACAGCCATCCTCGCAGCCTGCTGCAAGTCTTGTGCCGGTACTATTGACAGCCAAACACCATACAGCACCGCCATTGGAATCCACCGATCGCTAATATTATGATAGTAATGAGTTATTCATGTCATAATACTCTTTGAAGCAGCACCCTTTTTACCTTGACGGTCATGGATGTTGTATCCCATTCGACGATATATGGATTCAATCCTGACGAGAACAAACGTGGAGGCTTACTCAGTTGTCGCTTGAGTTGTTGTTCGATTTCTTCGGGTGTATCGTCCTCATCCTGATCCACGATAATCGATTGGTGCGCCCAAGCAATGCTTTCAACCGATTGACCTTCACCACCGGGGATCGTCTTTTCAAGTCGAAAGTTGTGCGATGGATCCCAGATCTCAATGTTGCCGTTTGCTCTACCGACGGCGAGACGCGATCGCTTCACTGTAGGTGGCGTAAAGTCTAGTGCATTGATGGCTGCCGGCTGATACTCGACAAAACGACAGCGATGGATCTGCATGGCTGTAAATGTGTTTTCTTCTTGACCAAAGGGTGACCTTCAAAAGAGACAAGGACTCGAATTTTTCAAAGATGGTCGTTTAGAATTCCGCCTTGACAGCCACCACCACCTCCACAACAGCCTACCTCCGACCTTTTGGTTCTCAGAGCTATTATATCCCTCCATGACTATTATTACGTACATCTTTATGTATGAATGTGTATATAAATATAGATACAATGGTATTACTATTATCATGACATCTTTGTTGGTTGCTCCTGTGGCAAAAGCATAGTCAATGCCCGAAGTCGTTTCAATTGTATCTATATACCAAATCATGAGCTTTTCCTACTATGTGTATACCTCGTTCGTCAAGACTTACCCAAGCTGGAAGATAATTTTGGGGCTTTCGATTCCTTGGCATGGGAACCTCGAATGGATTCGTAGTATCATCCATAGGCACTGAATCAAGTAATAAAACATCGTTTGCATCGCCGCTGACAACATGGGATGCCACAGCACTGAGTATAGCTGGTTTGATGGGATTCTGCAATACCACAATCATCATTAACGCACTAACCCACCACTACTTTCATTCAACGACATACCTCATAATCAGCGACTTGGTAATTGGAAATGAGCTTTTGTATCTGTGTGGGCGATAAAAGCCAACAAACTTCATAGATGCTTTCTATTTCAGCAACCGTTGCCTAGGATACCATCAATGAGCTCAGCCCCAAAACATCAATTCTTCAAAATGAAATACCTTTTTGAGTTGAAGTAACTTTGTGGTCTGCATGAGATATTCCAATTGCAATGCACCTTCGGGGATGTCATGACCTTTACACCATTCCTCTAACCGTGTCACGTTGTATTGGATTTGCATGGCACGTTTCCATGACGAAAAGTTCTTTCGCATAAGCAGATCATTGAATGCCGTTACACCAATCATGCGTAGGAGCTCAATCAATACTTGATGCATGATGGAGGGGTCCACGTGATAACATTTCAAAGTTCGCCACATCTTGTTGAGGTAATTCAATAGATCATCCGTGCTGTAGGCGGGTTGCGAGGAGCCTGACAAGAGCTTGTTTAAGAAACGACCCGTATCGGCTGTGATAAATCCAGGTAATGATTGGCTCTCAATGACGGCAGGAACGATCATCTTTTTAATACGCTTCTTGAGCTCCTTGACCAAAGTATGGAAAATGTTGTCCTCGAGACATTGTAATTCAAACTTGACCGTCGCTGCAAGCTTTTCAAAATCTTGCCAACCCGAAGCAGTGCCATCATCATTCTTTTTGAATAACGCCTCCTCAATCTCGTGCTCGGTGGTGCATATAATGGAAAGAAGCTCATGCACATTGGATAACCAAAACACACATGGCGTAATTGCTTCATCACCAGAAAAACTCTATTATCCTTGTATGTAAGTACATGCACAACATAGATGATAACATATAATAATTACCAAGCATTGCTTCTGGATAACATCCATGACCGTAAACAAGAGACGCTCGGATTCTTGAATAAAACCATGACCCCACATTTGTGTCAGGCACAAGCTGATCATATTGACAGGGAAAAAGATCTCTCTTTCGGATGGCGGATTCTGCGTACTTGGTAATGGCATTTTGACATCCTTGATAAGACCTTGAGTAATCTCAGCGAGTAAAGTCTGCTCATCTTGCAAGATCTCTAGAATCTAAAAGTACTATTAGTACCCACCTTCCATTAAAAAAATCTTTACTTTACCTCTTCTTCAGGATTCTCACTCGTAGTAGCTGATCGTGCACCTGATACTGCTAGCAGGCTACTGTATTGGTCAATCGATGTAGGTCGTGGATTCTTGGTAATAGGTTGTGATACACCACTTGTTGTAGTAGCACCTCCCGTACTACTGCGTCTCGCTTTGCGATTAAGTAAACCAGGAGATCGACTTCGTTGACGATCGGCATATCCAGCCGGCTCCAAACCTGCTACACCTTTGACGGGTGAAGGGGATACATTACGCCCTATGGCAGGTGACAGATTTCGAGATGATCCTTGTCGTCGTGGTGCACGCATTGCTTGTGCCAATTGTTGTTTAAGAGCAGCAACTTGGTTCCTGAGCTCTCCCACCTCACTTTGATCCATGTCGTGGTCAGCCTTCTCTTTGGTATCCATAAGCTGTTGATGTAGCTTTTCCTTTTCTTGCTTTTCATTCTCGAGTTGCTCTTGTATCTTTGCAATGTCTTGTTCACGCGCTTTGAGATCACTCAATGAAGAAGCATAATTCTCACAAAGCTTATCATGCTCTTGTTTCAATGCATCCCACTCGGCTTGTGATACCATGGGCTCATTCAATTTGGTCTCGTTCTCTTTGGATGTCTGTTCAAGTTTCTCGTACTTGACCATCCATGTCTTGATCTCAGCTTCCAATGCTGCCACACGCTCGTTCATTTTATCCTTTTCACCCGTCATGGCTGTGATCGTTTGAGTCAACTCGACCACCTTGTTCTCCAACTTGTAAGACACCTCCTTGAAATGGTCGGCGGATCGAGCTTCTGCACGTAAAGCAAGCAGCTGCTTACGCCCAAATCGGCTTCGAATATGGGATTGTAGGCGAATGACAAAGTTACGCTGTGCCTTGTATCGCTTTCGAGCAAACCTACATGTCGCATTGTTACATTATTAGATGAATGATTGTTGTGTGCATTTATCGTACATACCATCCTCGTGCCATCCTTTGGATCTGGATAGCTGCATGCGTCTCTCGAGAAGCTGACATCGTTTTACGTGCCCATCGACATCGAATGGCTGTTTGTAAACGCAAGATGAATTCGAGCTGCTGAAGATAATGGTGTCGTGCCTTATAGCGTCGCCATTGAGTCTGAATACGTAAAGCTGCTTTGCTTTGTACCAAGAATTGCATTTTGGCTTTGGCTATCCTTTGTCGAGCAGCACACTGTAATCGCAAAGCAAGATCACGCATATGAAGGTATCGAGATCGATAAATGAAACGACGCATGTGCTTTTGTAAGAGGATTGCACATTCATTGTACCTATCAGTACGCAGGCGTTCAAGATGTGCTAACTAGTAGCGTAGAGGATTATTAGACATACGCTATCATTATTACAGCCATCATCTTACCTGACCAGCACGGAAGAAAATCTTGGTCACGCCAATCTGATATTGATCCGAATGCTTGACCGATACATCAAGAATGGTGTTGCATAGTTGGCGAATGTCTTCCTGAGATTGAGCATTGCTCCAATTTTTGGATGGCACAAGTGCATAATATCGCTCCGCAAATTCTTCAAACGTCCATCGTGATGGATACCCAGCACAGCTAATACGGATTGTCTCGAGCACACCACATGCACGCAATTGAGAGAGAACCATATTAGGCTCGAATTCCCATGCCGCCTTCGCTTCATTGGGTTTGATGCAACGAATATAGTGAACATTGGTATGGCCGATGGTTTCCATAAGCTGGATCAACGAGAGCTAGCAATACCCTAAATTTAGCAAAACACGCCTTTCCTTGCTGCCACAAGCTTACCTTGAATATGGAACCCAGCGTTGGTTTTCTCGAAAGAGTGCTCATGCGCTTTGACTTTTCAGGCTATGTGGACCAATATAAGTTTCAAAAACATGTACATAATGATAGGCTCTTACCGTCGGAGCAGGATTGGCAGCAGCAGCCTTGTCAAGTACTTGTCTCAAAAACTCAAATTCTGAAGAGTTCAACAATGACAAGTGTTCATCAGGCACGGTATCCTTGTTCTTGTCAATAAAGTTCTCAGCTTCATATTGGACATCGTGTGCATAATGGGCCACCGTGAAAGCTTGATTCGAAAACCGCGGCTTTTTGAAAAAGTCCTTATACTCAGGCTTGTCAAAGTTGGTGTACAGCTTTTGGCAAAAGCTTTGATCCGTTGCAGATGGAAGCCTTGATTCCTATTATACGATATGATTAGCATGAATGAAAACGAGGGTCTTGACAAACCACGACAACGCACCTCATCGAGCAATGAAAGGATACCCAATTTTCCTTCAATCAAATCGATACATGGCTGATTGTCGCTGAAATCGATGAATGTCCAATTGATCTTTTCTCTAAGGTATTCCTCTTGCTCCAATTTGAAGACGTGTTGATTGAACTTGAATGAATGTTAGATCCATGCGTGATCGAAATGATGATGATGATGGGTCTTTTTACCTGTTGTTGTAACTTCTCATTGGCATAGTTGATACAAAACTGCTCAAATGAATTCTTCTTAAAGTGCTCAAAGCCATAAATGTCGAGGACACCAATAAAGGTTTGGATGGCATCTTGATCAGGTGATATGAGACTCTCGTTGATGACTGCCACGAGCCAATCAAAAAGATTAGCATAAATATACTTTGCTACTGAATCCCTTACGACCACAGCCTGATCGGGTTTAAGGTTGGTCACGATCTTTTCTGAGCGTGTGATGATCTGCTTTCGGATGATCCACTTTTTGAAGTCTGCAGCTTTGATACCCAGCAATCGTGTGGAGGTCACCAGGGCATTGTCTGTGTCAGCCACCGCCGCATCACCACGACCCGTGATTTGTATATTGCCCACATGAACAAGCGCAGCCAACAATCGAAAGATTTGCCATTGCAATTGGAGAGATAAGCCCACCGTGGATAAAGCACGTTGTGTTGTTTCAAACTCGGCAGCATCATCCACACCAGGGATGGTTCCTGTACCACTCTGGTTCAAGTAATGGAATTGGGTATAATCACCAAGCTCGAAATCCTTTTTCTCTGAAGAAGGTGCACCTGCACATAACTACGCTTCCATGTCAATAACCCTACTTTGCTTGTTGGGATGATGTGATCTTGGTTACCTGATAGAAAATGTGATAATTGCGTTCTGTGGCAGGTTGAAATATGAGACGAGAGCGCTCCAATAGGTACGTCCTGATCTTGGCACCGATAATGTTGGCATCCTTATCAAATTGGATCTCAATGTATTTGCCGAAACGTGAGCTGTTGTCATTGCGTGTGGTCTTTGCGTTGCCAAAGGCTTCCATGATGGGATTGGTTGCTATGGCAAAAGTTAAGATCCTTTATCTACTACACTTTTGATCCAAATCACCACCCAACAACATACCTAAGATTTGTTTCTCGACCTCCGTCATGGCACCATGCTCTTTTTTCTTCTTGCTGGCAATTTCTTGATCATCTGCAGTGGCAAAATAGCGCATGATATACTTTGCGCTGACGGTCTTGCCTGCACCACTAGATACAAAGAATAAGAATGAGACACTATATCCCATTTTCTCGATCTTTCGCTTACCTTTCTCCTGAAACAACAATCGTTTGATTCATTTGTTCTCGAATCATGCAGCGAAATGCATCCTCAGCAATAGCAAATAGATGTGGCTCAAGTTCCCCACGACGTCGACCAGCGTATTGTTGTATAATATCCGGCTCATACAAAGAGACACGATCAAAAGGGTTGACAGCGATCAAGACGATGCCCGAGTAAGTATAAATGAGATGCTGCATGTAACGGGTGCGGATAGTGTTGAGCACTGCAATCCATATTGTGAGTCATGTGCATGTTGTTATTGTTGTTATTGTAACAGCAGCTATACCTGCAGGCTCGTTGAGATAACTCAGATTGGTCAAATCATCTGTGTACTCCATTTTGGGTGGGTTTCTTAAGGGTGGTAATGTAGATGCATCGTTCTTTGCAATGTCGGCTAGTGTACTTTCAAAGACATGCTCCTATTATTATTATTGTCAATATCCTTCCTTGTCTTTTCTCTCATCATCATGTGCGGATCAACCCTACCTTGGAATCGTCATTATCATCTTGAAAGACCAAACGCACATTGTCATCGTTTATGGAGGTGGAAACACAAGTAGCCGAGACCCAGCCTTCTTGTTTGTCTGAAAACCAGGCCACAGTACCCTTTGTATAGACTTGTACAGCCTGCCTGGCCTTGTCCGATGCAGCAGTCATTCCAATGCAATGTCAATGGGGGTAATGGGCTGAGCAGCCGAGTAGGATAAAAAGAGAAAAGAGTGGAAGAGAAAGAGATCAAACGTGACCAGTGCAGCAGCAGCGGGTGATATTGCGAGACAACAACCGGGATGATATCCGAGAGTGCCGTAAATGTATTAAAAAGAGTTGTGTAACCCAGCAACATGAAGCATAAATTAATGAAAACAAGCGAGGAGGATTGGGTATTGTGTCACACATTTATCTCTCACTCACTCACTCTCACTCTCTAATGATATAAACAAACATAAAAAAAAGTTATTTCTATAATGCAAAACGACATTGATGGAATTAATCTGTGGCTGATGTATTCTTTCACACAAACTTCATCTTCTATGCCTGCGAGTTGAGATATTGATCTCGTTCACGTTGAGCTGGTGTCCTGCTAGTAGTAGTTGTTTGTTGTTTTTCATCCATCCAGGGCATCACTCGCCGTTTGCTAGAATGTCTTCTTCCAAGGCTGACCGTATTAAAGAAACTTGATGTCCCATTATTATTCGATTGACCTTGATGATGATGCGCTGTTGACTTTTCTTGTGATGGTTGCTGCTGTTGTTGTATCAATGGTGGACGAGAAGGGTTGCTTCGGCCATTCCAAGTCTTGTATCCATTTTGAGCTGAAAGCATAGTAAAATTGGTGCCATCAATTTCAATCTTTTCTTGGGCCGCGACACTGGTTAAGGATTGCTGTTGTTGTTGAGAATCAGCTTCAGGGACTACTGTGCGTACAGTGGAAGAAGAAAAGGATGCCATTGGAGGTGGACTAGATGCTTGTTGATCATCTATAGGACGAGGGTGGGATGCATTACCACCACCACCAGCCGAACGCAATAAAGGATTTTGTCTACCATAACGTGCCATGCTTGAATTGTTGCTTGCAGCTACAGCAGCTTCGGTCGTTGATACAATGCTTGCCATGGATCCACTTTCACGTATATTGGCTTGCCATGTTGCTTGCAACATTTGGCGTACATTATCGACATTGCCACGCTGTTGTTGTTGTTGCTGTTGTTGCTTGGTTGCTATGGTTCCTTGGTCTTGTGAAAACATGTTTTGAATAGGAGGTGCTGGTCGATGATGAGGTACACGTCCTGCCACTGTAGCAGTGCCATTGTTGCTATGACTACCCTTGTCAGGGAACCATTCAGCAATATCACGTGCACTTGCTGTATTGCCTTTGTTACGTGCACGCATGGCTGATACTGAAGCACTTTTTTCATTCATTTCACGTGCCAAACGACGCACCGATCCTGCTGCACCTGCTGGCAATGGTGCACGCTGTTCTTCCGTAGAGCTGTTTCCATTGTCGTTGCCAAACATTTTCATGACATCATCTTCATTCACAAGCATGGATCGTGTCTTGCTTTTTCTGGATGCTGTACGTATCACTCGACGTGCTGCTGCTGCTGCATTGCCATTGTTATTGGTACTGGGTTTTCCAGAGCTATTGTAAGCAGCACTAGCAGCTTCCTCTACAGCTGCAGGCAATGTGGTGGTGGCATCTTGATCAGCAACATCATGCGTTTGTGTTGGTGGTGCTGGTGAAGGGGGCACTGAAATTTGCTGTTGTTGATAATGTTGTTGTCTGGATGAGGAGGAAGGTGTAGTTGGTGTGGGGGGTAATGGATGATCAGCCAAGGAGGGTGTGCTACCAGTATGATGTGATGAAACAGATGGCGATGCTGGTGGTTTGTTGTTGCTGCTATCATTATCAAACAATTGATTGAGAGGTGTGGATCCACCACCTTTGCTGGTTGATTTGCGTCTTAATGACATACGCACTGTACTACGAATGGTGGCAGCCTTTTGTTGAATGTTGGCTGCAAATCCACCGCCATTGTTGTTGTTGGATTTATCTAAATCGGCATTCATGTACCTATCAAAGAGCTCCATGGCTTCCTCAGAGCTCAATTCCATCTTGTCTGAAAACAGTGAACTAGAAGCTGGTGGCATAGGTAGGCTGATCTTGCTTTCATGTTTGCGAGAACTTTTTCTTTTAGCCTGATTTTGTTGAGGTGGTTTTTCTTCAGGACATGGCTCTGTAGTGGAGATGGGTGGTGATGGATGGGTGTCTTTTGCAGCATATGAAGGTGGATCGCTGATAGTGCTGGGGTGTTCTTCGAGAATAGGTGCAGCAGGAATCGCTTTTTCAGAGACATGAGCTTCAACATCGACAGCTGGTGCTGCTCCTCGTCGCTTTCGAGATATGAGAATATAACCACCGATACCAGAGAACAATACGACTACAACAACGACTACAACAACGATGATCCATATGGGAAATCCCATGTTTAACTAATGATTTTTTGTTAGCAAGACTTCTTTTGCTTACCCCACATCATGTTGTCACATATATATAGATACATACCTAGATGATGAATAACGAGAGGCTAGGGTGAATGTAAAAAGGAAAAATGAGTGAAGAGAAAGAGGAAGAAAGGGAACAATAAAAGAGGTTCGTCACTCGTAGGAGTGTATCATGGCTTCTCAGCTTACAGATAGCTGTGGATGTTACCTGAAAGGTATTACGGCATTTCAAACTTGCAGTGGACGAGTATTAAGGGGAAGTAGAAAAAAGGAGTACACGAGCTGACCAGCAATATCAGGACGAGGAGGTGGGATCGTACATACACTCGATCCATACCTATCTTTAGTATGCTTTCACGACTATCACTGGATTACTGATAATGTAGTTTTCTGTGATTGTAAGGAGTATTGAGTCCAAGGAGGAGAGCTCAAGCTCGTGTTTTATACACACACTCTCTCTCTCTCTTTAGTAGATCTTATTCCTTGGTCGTTCTCTCTCTCTCTCTCTCTTTATTCATCTCACCCCTTGATTTTGTAAATCGTTTGATGTCAATTACTATATAAAAATGCCCCACCACCTGCGTACATTTCATCTGTTTGCATTTAAGGTGCTTTTATTGTAGATCAGTACATGTATTGGATGCAGTTATATATATTGGGTGGCAAATGATATTAGCTACTTGTATAATGCTGAGGCAGTAAAGGAATCAAAGAGGGTGGCTTTGGTGCCACAAGGCAATTTTCAAAAGGTGGAGAGTAAAGTATTCCCGCTTGACACAAGACACTTTTTTTTCTACATGCCCAACGACGATAGTAACAGCAGTAAACCAGTGGCCGTTTCGACACTATTCGTCGGCAATTTACCGAGAAATGCAACCAGCAAACAGTTGGAAGAGTTCTTTAGCGACATTGGCCCGATCCGTAATTGCTTTGTGGTCGCCGATCGCAGCAAAGGCAAAGTCAAAGAAGACGATCCCCAGTTCCAAAACAAAGGTGTCGGCTATGTCCATTTTGCTGTCACCGATGATGCTCAACAAGCTATGGAAAAGTTGAAGAATGCAAAGTTTTTGGGTCGTCGTCTCAAGTTGGACTATGCACAACGCAAGTCAGCACTAGGCGAGAAGCGACAAAAGCCATCCTCAGCACTTGCAATCCCTGAAGAACCCAACAAAAAAGCACGCACACGAGCAGCACGTCTTATCGTACGCAATTTGCCTTGGAAGTACAACGAAGACGATTTGCGTCGTATCTTTTCAGAGCATGGTCAAGTAGAGGATGTTTCTCTACCACGCAAATTCCCTGGTGGTCCTTTACGTGGTTTCGGCTTCGTTCAATTTGGCAAGGTCAAGGATGCTGAAACGGTATGTGTGACAGTGTGATCTTATTTATGGTTGTATGTATATTGAACGGCTTTTTTAGGCTATGGCAAAGCTCAATGCAACACAACATCACGGTCGTATGATTGCTGTCGATTGGTCATTATCAAAGGATCGTTATCAGAAGGCTGAGAATCACCAAGATGAAGAACAAGTGGATAAGGATGAGAAGGATGAGAAGGATGAGAAGGACGAGGATAGCAGCAGCAGCAGCAGCAGCAGCAGCAGCAGCAGCGACGACGATTCTAGTGATAACGAGGATGAATCTGAATCAGAATCAGAGGCTGAGGATGCCGAAGTTGAAGCTGGTGTTGAGCAACAGGAAGAGGAAGACGATGAGGAAGAAGATGACGATGAAGATGAAGATAAGGATGAGGATGAGGACGAGGAAGATGAAGATGAAGATGAAGATGAAGATGAGGAAGAAGATGATGAAGAAGAAGATATCGAACCCATGGACGTTGACGATTCGACCGAGACGGATCAAGATGCGAAAAAGACAGCCAGCAAGGAGCATACTTTACCAGCAGCATCCGAGGGTAAAACGCTCTTTATTCGTAACCTCTTGTTTGAGTCAACAGAGGAGAGTCTCAAGGAAATGTAAGTTGAATCATCACCTCGTTGTGGATTTTCATACTAATTTGAATATGAAAAACACTAGTTTCAAGCAATGGGGACCTGTCATTTATGCACGAATCACACGCAACAAAGTCAGCGGCTTGTCACGTGGCACTGGATTTGTTTGCATGAAGAACAAGGCTGATGCTGACAAGTGTCTTGAAGAGTACAATCGATTCAAGAACAGCGCTATTCGAGACGATGATGAGGCAGCAAACGATTCCGAAATGCTCATGACCAATCGTGAAAAGAAGAAAAAGGGTCTCGTGTTTGACAGTATATTGACCCCTGATGCTGGATCAGGCAGTGGTCTGAAATTCACCTTGGATGGACGTGTATTGGATATCACTCGAGCTGTGGAACGAAAGGATGCAAACAAGTTGACCGAAGAAAAGGAGAATTTGAGAAAGAAGGAAGATAAACGCAACCTGTACTTGATGCATGAAGGTGTCGTTTTTCCTGGTACACCGGCTGCAGAGTCCATGAGCGAAGCCGAACTCCAAAAACGACAATTGGCCTTTGCTACTCGTAAACGATTAATGAGCCGTGACCCTGCATTGTTTATCTCCAAAACACGTCTTTCGGTGCGCAATCTCCCCATCAGCGTTGACGACTCTGATCTCAAGAAGCTTGGTCATTCTGCTGTTCAAAAGTTCAAAGAGCAAGTCAAGCGTAATCTTCGATCGGATTTGACAAAGGAAGAAAAAGAAGAGGGTTGGCAATATTTACCAAAGGTCAAACAAGCAAAGATTGTACGAAGCAAAGATCGTGTCGATTCCCAAACATCAAAACTTCGAAGCAAGGGCTATGGTTTCTTGGAATTCACTACACATGCACACGCACTTGCAGCTCTACGATACCTTAATAATAATCCCGAGATCTTCAAGGGCAAGCGTCTGATCATTGAATTCTCGCTCGAAAACAAGGATGTTGTTGAAAGACGCAAAAACCGTGGCAAGGCTAGCGATAGCAACAACGTCAAGATCAACAGCAAGAGACAATTTGCTCAATCTGAACGTGGATCAAAATCGGGTGGACCCAACAAGAAGACCTTCAACAAGAAAAAGGATGCTCCAGGTGGCAAAAAGTTTGCTGGCAAGCCTCCTGCTGGTAGACCCAAGAAGAACTTCAACAAGAAACCTGCTCCCAAGCGTAATTAAGTAACGCCCTCTCTCCCTTTCATCCATAAAACATTGTAGCATAATCATCCATTTCCCTCATTTAATTTTGCAAACAATTAAGCATGTATGTTTATGATTTATACGGCCTTTTACTTATGGGATGTTGATATGGTTGGTGGTATGCAATAATGCTATTAGGATTGGTTGCTAGGCAATGCTTGGCTTTAATTGCAAGGCAGTGGTAGGCCAATAGGGGATGCATGGGTCTAGGTAATGGGCTCCTAGGCAACGGCTTCTTGCTCGCTTGTAGATTAAGATAGCTTGGATGGAATACAGGTGATCCGTTATCGGTCTTATAAGAAATAGATGGATAATCTGATTTATGCAGCAACCTATCAGTTACTTGTGCATGTGTAACCACCACGTGCCATTTCACTCAGCTCTCCATCTTTCCGTTGATGCAGCCGACACCATCCACTAGGAAAAAGCAACTCCATCACGCTTACGGCATAGGTAAAACATACAGGTGTCTGTATCTCTAAACTTTACAGTGAAGTGCGGAGTCTTTATGAGGACAAAGTTGCTCGGCGGGGTCAAAGCGATCTTGTGTCAAAGTATGAAGTTCATCGTAGCCAATCCCAGATTTCGCAATGTCGCCACCAGCCAAACTGGTTCCGGGGCTCAACCTCTTTCGACGACGACCAAAAATATTTTTTGGGCTGTTTGCGACATTGAACGTGAAACTTTCACACAAGGTGCTGTTGGCCAAGCCGAGCCCATTGCTCTAATAAAAACCATACGTTGCATTGTAAAGTTTGGAGATACAGGCACCTTTATGTTTGTAAGTGTGATGCTATATGAAGAGTGGTCTTTGTTGATTGTCAAGTAGATGGACCCTGGCAGAGCAAAAGATGCAGAGGGTCGTGTTGTGTAACACAGCTACGTTTGCATGAATGAAAGGGTCAATGTATAATTACTTTATGGATCATCTACGAACAGGCATGTATTGCTAGCTAACGGCCACTTTTATCCGATCAGCATTGTTGCGAGATCCACTGCATGGGAACGATGCCCCTGCTCTAGACATTCATTTCCATGATTCAATTATCTTGATCAGAGCTGATTTGGCTGAGCTACGGTCAAAGAGAGATTACATCACTCTGGACATAAAGCACGCTCGATGTAGCTCAACCGATGTAATCTTGTGTGAGCGTAACTCAACCAAATCAGCTCGGATCAACCTACTTTAATCATGGAAATGAATGTCTAGAGCAGGAGCATCGTCCACCTACAATAGAATGCACAAAAGTTGGGAATGCACAAAAGTGGCTATTAGCTGCCAATGTATGACATAAAAGTGAGGGTTGCGTACCTTTCCTGCATTGTCCCTGAAGTCCTGACGTTTTAGCTGAGTTACCCAAAGAGGTCCTTCTGCATCTCTGGCTCTCCAGGGTCTAGCTACTTGGCAATGAACAAAGACCACTTCTCATATAGCGTCACGCTTACAAACGTAAAGGTGCCTGTATCCCTAAACTTTACAATCAAACGTGGGGTTTTTATTAGAGCAATGTGTTCGGCTTGGCCAACTGCACCTTGGGTGCAAGTTTCAAGTTCATCGTGGCTAATCCCAGATTTCGCAATGTCGCCACCAGCCAAACTAGATCCAGGGTCAACCTCTTCGACGACGACGACCAAAAAATATTTTTTGAGCTGTTTGCGACATTGAACGTGAAGCTTTTTCACACAAGGTGCTGTTGGCCAAGTATTGTGCTCGAATAAAAACCACGTTTCGGTAAAGTTTGGAGATACAGGCACCTTTATGTTTGTAAGCGTGATGCTATATGAAGAGTGGTCTTTGTTCATTGTCAAGTAGGTGGACCCGGCAGAGCAAAAGATGCAGAGGGACGTGTTTGTGTAACTGGGTTAAAAAGTTTGGACTTCAGGGACCATGCATGACAGGTACGCAGCCCTCGTTTTCAGGTCATACATTGGCAGCTAATAGCCACTTTTGTGCATTCACAACTTTTGTGCATTCCATTGTAGGTGGACGATTCTCCTGCTCCAGACATTCATTTCCATGATTCAAGTAGCTTGATATGAGCTGATTTGGTTGAGTTACGGTCGAACAAGGATTAATCAGCTGAGACATTCGAACGTATGCTGGTGTATGGATTGATGTAATCTCTCTTTGACCGTAGCTCAGCCAAATCAGCTCGGATAGATAATTGAATCATGGAATTAAATGTCTGGAGCAGGAGCATCGTTCCATCGTAATGGATTAGACAAAAGTTGGGATTGGGTGGAAGTGCCTGTTAGCAGGCAACACATGCCTATTCCTAGATAATCCATAAAGTATTATACATTGACCCTTCCAATCATGCATAATGAGCTGTATTACAAACAGGCTCCTCTGCATCTCTGGCTCTATTATAGTCATACTACTTGACAATGAACAAAGACCTCTTTTCATATAGCATCACGCTTACAGCATATGTAAAACATAAAGGTTCCCGTATCTCTAAACTTTACAATCAAACGTAGGTCTTTAATAGAACAAAGCTGCTCGGCGGGGTCAAAGCGATCTTGTGTCAAACTATCAAAGTCGATCGTGGCCGATCCCAGATTCGCAATGTCGCCACCAGCCAAAGTGGATCGACCTCTTGAATTTTTCGACGACGACGAAAATATTTTTTGGCTGGTGGCGACATTAGATCTGGGATCGGCCACGATCGACTTGATAGTTTGACACAAGATCGCTTTGACCCCGCCGAGCAGCTTTGTTCTATTAAGTTTTACGTTTTGATTGTAAAGTTTAAAATTCTGAGACTATATGTTTTATATGCTGTAAGCGTGATGCTATGTAAGTCTTTGATTCATTGTCAAGTAGTATTTTTGTATTGTAATGGTTGTTTATTGAGGATATCATACCCCAAAATAAATGCTAACAAGTTGAGTCTTAAAACCAGTAGTGAGGGGAGACAAAGTATAAAGATCTAAGGGTAGGTCACAAAGACCAAGCAAGAGAGAAGGGAAGACAAGGCAAAGGTGGGTTACAAGAACCCAAAGACTAGGTCACCATATCATCGGTGGGCGGGTCACGTGAGTTGGGGTAGCGGATGTGTCCATATTGTCGAGATTGCGGTGCGGGATGTCAGGGTCAATAGCAATGTCAGTATGTGGATCATGACTTGTCTTTTAGGCGGGGTTGAGAGGTGTCGTTGTTAATTGGCGGGGTGAAGCTGAATGGTGTAGGCGAAGGTGATGGTGATGTTGGTACTCGTTTTCTTTTAATCGGCGTTTCTTGTGTTGTATAATCGGGGCTTGCAGTTTGTCGGTTGTTGATTGGTTCATGGCGAATTGTGCAGTCTTTGGAGGTGTCCGATTTCTTGACAGTGATAACATCTTGGCTGGGGTCGGTATGAGCATTGAGGTACGTGTGTCCTGGATTATGGCAATAACGGCAATGAAGTGGCATTTTGGACCATGTTGCATATATGCGGGCGGGATGGATCCGTCTTTACGGGAGACTGAGATTGTATGAGTTGGCTGTAGTGGTGGTACGCTTGAATAATGTTTGTAGTCATTGGAGTCGGAATTGACATTGAGGTACACATAGCCTTTCCTGTGAAAAGATGCTGTTCAAGATATAAGCCAAGTTCTAGTATTTTGTCAAAAGGTTTCAAAGCGGCAATGAGAGCTTCGCAAATGGCGTCGGTTATATAGCGGTATGTTCGAGAGGTTGATCCTGATAACATCCCAGTCTTCGGGGATTGGAAGTGTACCAAAAACTTTTGTTTCATCGGCAAGCGTTACTGGTAGATGCATGTGACCCACGTACTTTGGCATCGTTGAAGGCAACTTCGGCAATGACATGTTTACGGGTGCGATGGATGACAGCACCATGGATGACTTCTTTGAGTGGGGACTCACTGAGAGCCGTGCGAAATTGTGCGTCTGTTACTTGGACTTGGGATAAGTCGTAAAATAGTGAGCTGGGGTGTTCTGCGCGACGCCATACGGTTCTCGTGTTGGCCGGGGTTCGTTCATACAGTCGAGCTACCTCTGGTTCATTGAAAAGGGAGGAATAAGGGCGAGGTTTGTCTGGGGGTGGCTTGTGCCCCTGTTGTTTCTGACTTTTGGCGGGAAGAGCCATTTCTCATTGTCAAGTAGTATGACTATAATAGAGCCAAAGATGCAGAGGGGCGTGTTGTGTAACTTGAGTCAGTCAGCACGGGCGATGCATGATACTTATACACTATTTAGGTATAGTTCCTAAAGCCAGCTAATAACCCAGTCCTCCCATTCTCCATTGTTGCCCAACCCAATGCATGTGAATGATTGTCCTGCTCCAGCCCATCATTTCCATCATTAAACTTTCATGATCCGAGAGGATTTGACTGAAAAACGCTCAAACACAGAAACATCATCCAATATCAGAAGAATCAAATTGGTAAGTTATTTGTAAACTGCCACTTGATAGCCCATTCCTCCCATTCATCTTTGTTGCCCAATCCAATGCATATGAACGATTGTCCTGCTCCAGTCCATCATTCCCATCATTGAGCTTTCTTGATTCGAGGTGACATGGTAGTATGGCAACAATGGGTGTTGTTGGATCATCATTATCATGTAAAGTGTAAAATGACACACATCCTTTTGCTATACGATTTCTTTTATTTACGCGTGCCTATTGCCTATCGCGAGGGTGATGATGGATTATGATGGGTGAGTTGTGTGTTTGGGTGGATAGTGTGTGTGGGGTAATTGAGTGACTCAGTGTAATAGCAGTAGGGGGATTTAAACTTGGGGGACAGCAGCTCCACGACTTGACACAACGCTTCTCTTCTTTTTCCTCCCACCTTTCCTTATTCCTTTCACGACATCTCGATCAAGGTAAATGTGTTATAAAAAAAAGTGCTCTTGTTGGCTGTGAGATATTGAATGAACGTGCATAGTCAGGAAGTGAGCGTGCCCCAGTGCTGGGGAATGAGCGTGTTAGCCATGGCGATATCGTAGCTGCAACAGGTACATTCAAGCCCCAATGCAGCAGAAGAGTGTTCCACTGACGTGCTAGCTTGTATAGACGGCGAGATTCAATCGCAAAGACGTTGGCTCAATCGGCTTTTGTTTCGGCTCGACAACACCACACCATGGTTTCCAGTAGTAGTCAACAGCTACGACGGTCTTTATGGATATGCAAGCGGCAGGTGAAATGAAAACAATGAAAGGTCGTTTATTGTGTATGCGTATGGTCAGGGAATGCAGCTTCTTGGGCATCATCATCTTTTGGGTTCGACTCCCAACCTGTACCTTTGGTCGTTTTAGCAGCAGTGCTCTTCTTGATAGGCTGGTGTTTATCCTTCGAGGATTGCAAAGATGGTAGGGTGTCATTTGGAGAGGATGAATGAGAACAACCATTGGCCCCTGAGTGCTATGAAAGTGATGACTTTGGGGATGATTTGATTATGATGTGATTCCTGAAGACGATGTTTTCTTTCATCTGCCCCGGCGACGATGGCAACTACAGTGAGGCTCACAACGGCATCCGTAACAACAATGACACAAGCAAGCGTGGTTTACCTTTCTCTTGGCAATATGATGATTACTTGGTGATGGATCCCTCTCCATACCTCGCTGATCCTTGAAAAGAAGCATGCAAGTTCCCATTCCTTTTCATTTGTGCCTTGAAAGATGCTCATTTACCACGGCGACGATGGATGAAGACAACGATGGCATAGTAGCTAGAAGAAAACATCATTTACTATCCACTTGGGCTTTTGCTTGTGCCTTCTTGCTTGCCTGTTGATGATTAATGGAGCTTATTATGTCAAGTAGTAATAAATGCGGTTCCAGTTATCAGTCTTGTAAAAAGCATATGCTTCCTTTTCTAAAACAGAATATGGTGAGTTGGCCTTACGAGAAAAAAGCGATGCTCTATGACCCTTTCCAAGATAAGCGACCAATTGCCGTGGCAATTTGTCCTTGGACAATACTGGATCGCAGTAGCCAGTTTCGTCGTAATAAAGAGAAGATAGCACTAATGGATGTTCCTGTACGTGTCATTGAATGGAAATTTCAAGTTGCATGAATTATAGTTTCGTATGATGGTCACTCTGGCAGAGTGAGATTTGAAGAGTAAGGTTGAGAACAGAGGATAAATAACATTTAGGTAGAGCTAGTAGCAGATGTAAGAGGGTGATGATGATGCAAGGACCATAATGGATACATCAAAGTGGATAAGTCTACCTCTAACAACAAAGGGTGGACACTATGGATAATGTACGATGCAGCAGGACCTCCCATTGCTTTGAGAATAGATGGGGTAGTCTTGCATGATGTACCAAAGGTTGGACAGGATCAATCATACGCAAAATGCAGCCCCTTTCCTTCCCAAACCCTTCCTACGCTAGATATCCCATTCTCTTGATGCAAATGACTCCATTCAAATACTACAGAGCTGACGAAAACAAGAAAATCAAAAAAAAATTTCTTTTCTCATTGTCGCAGCAACATACCGGATCTTCTTGATCGGTATTATCTTTTTATACATCTTTATCATCTTATCTTCTTTATGCTGCGCCCTCCATCATTACTTCGCCACATCCATATTACTTAGCCATCTTGATATACTTAGCCCCATCCAACAATTATAAATAGTGGACGATCTCATAGAATAAAACATTATCTTACGTTCTCTTTACTTTATTGTCTATTTGCCTGTGTGGCACTATTCTCCTTCGTGGTTCTATTCCTGTGTGGTCTTATTCCTTCGTGGTCCTATTCCTGTGTGGTCTATCTATCCTTCGTGGTCATTACCTCCTTCGTGGAAGTCGTCTATTATCCTGTGTGGATCCAAAAAGAAAGACGACATCATCACAAATGATGCAAAAACGAATGCTCTCTAGCGGGCTCGAACCGCTGACCTTCAGATTATGAGACTGACGCTCTGCCGACTGAGCTAAGAAAGCCTCGTGGTTTTTCAATAATTGGGAACATGATAGAGCGAAAAATTGCCGTATTTGGTAGTGGAAAAGGTGGAAAAACATTGAAATGTGTGTACTTTTACTAGTATCAAAATGCAGCGGAGTACGTGGTCAATTTAGCGATGAAAACGCAAAAAAAAGATGGGAACTGTGGGAGAAGTAATTTGGGGATGAAGGAGGGATTGGGTAATATGCATAAGAACCAGCGTGGAAGATTATGCTGTGAGCGTGAAATTAAAATGCCGCTCGCATACAACAGCCCTGAGCCCTGACTACGTTTGTTCCTCGTTGCTATGCTACGGTACAACTGATTTCAAGTTGTTGGTCGCTTAAAGAGGAGGTACACTGGCACTGTAGCATTCACAGCTACATACAAGATACGCTAGTTTCACTGAGATTACGATATTACGATTATAGACGACCTCATGTCTTAGACTCTTAGATACGATATAGCTTGAGCGTAGTTTAGATGTATGTGTATAATTACAAGTGTTGTCGACGACCCGACAACCTAAGGCTTTTTCCACCGAATCTCTCTTGACTGTAAGTAAGACGATCTTCATGTATCCCATTTAGTAGCCTGCTATCCTTATCCATCTACGATTGGCATGGGATTTGCAATGCTACAGGTACCCCATTGCGACTGACCAATGCCGCTACTGTATAAGGTACCAAAATTTCCAGTGATAAAATCGCTGTGAGTCTATTGTCAGCGCACGAGTCAATATGACTTTGATGTAATCCTGTGTACTTTACTACCTCCCTCAATGCTATTTTTACACACAATCTTACCGCAGCAACCATCTTGTCGCAGCAACCATGTTGCCACAGCAACCATCCTTACCTCAGCAACCTGTCAACTAGTTTGGGAACAATGGAGATCGACTGTACCTTACATCATAGACATTCAACCATGTTGCCATAGCAACCACCTTACCGCAGCAACCTGTTAAATCTATTTTGAGAACAATAAGCACCCTCGAACCAATTGTGTCTCTTCACATTGCGTCGTTGATAGAATAGACATCCCCCGTATTGCTGTATCCCCCATCTTTGTATCTATTATTATCCCTGCACCAATGATGTGCAACGTCTTTTCACTACTTCCTTTTTACATTTTCATGCCGGTCGTCCATTGTGGATTACTGTGGCAGTCATTTGATTAGACGTCAAAAGATATATAAACCCCCAAGTTGAAATGAATAAATCCTCATCAGCAAAGTGCTCACCTTTTATCTTCCTCGCAAGCCAAAAGCGCTGCTAGAGGCACATTTATCTCTGGATTTAACTTGAACTTTACTTTTGCCTACATCGGCCTTCTCATCACCCATTAACTTTGGTGATCCAATCTTCTCAAATCTTGGCCTGTCTCGGCATCAACATCTTTTTCAATCACTCTTAGCCTGTCACGGCACCATCTTCTTTTCTCTATCACCCTTTTCATTAGCCTGTCTCGGCACTCTCAATTTTTACTCTTTCAACCTTTGCTCTCGCAATCCCTCTTCTCAAATCTTAGCCTGTCTCGGAAACAACCCACACACTCCACCTATCTCTTTCCCATTTTACCCTCATCTTCTTTTGATACTTTTACGCAAAGTATCTGGTGCTCACTATTCAATCTCTCTAAAACCACGTTGTTCACGTATCGAGATTACCCAATAAACCATCCAAATCAAACCCTGATCTTACACGTGGTGCTCATTACAAAGGCCACTCACAAAAGACCAACGTTCAAATCACTATACAAAACCTTGCCCTTACAACTGTATGTCGGACATGGGCTCACCATTGGGACGTATATTGTCCTTCCTGTACACTATTATAAATGTCAGCACGTGCTTAAACGCACATCACGCCCCATTTGATAGGATTATAGCGAAGTCATAAAGAGGGTGAGTTTGCTCATCTTTACTCTGGGTCAAATTTAAGCATGTGTTTACACGCGATACATGTAGTGCATGTACATTGGAGCTTCACGTGGAGTAAACTACGAAATACTTCGCCCAAGTTGTTTGCCGCTGACAAAGAAAATGAGTGAGCTTTGACTGAGACATTAATTTGTACATTTTCCTGGTTATGCTCAGCAAGATTTTCGTGAAGCATTTTAGCGAAAAGTTGCATATAAGAAATAAACTTCCCCCATACAATGTCGGGATCGGCCATTCGTGGAATGTCCCAACCTAAAATTCCGGATACACCATAAACATAATCTACTGGTCTGTAGCATGTTCGCTGAGATAGGCCGAAACCCCCGAATACACGGATGTATGATACGAGTCGCATGGAATCATTCGTAGTGAAATGGACCGAATTTCGTAGATCTCGAATACGCTGATGGGTAGATAGTAAAGAGATGAAATCATAAGGTGATCGCATTCTGCCTGAGGATGAGGGTGGCAATTCCGAATAAACATCTCCCTCTAATACTTTTGTTTGATTAGTCTTTTGATGTCAACAGGTGTTATTTAGTCCTACATTCTGCATGTTTTCCAACATCTCCATAACGATTGAGTAATGATCTCAGCTTGATTGTCTTACGTTCAGTATAGGCATCGCATGTCTCAGAGAGTAATATAACACATGATGGAAGTGTGGCCTCTTGCAAAGTCCATACACGTGTAAACCAGCGGCTGTCGTAAACATCGTAGACATACTGGAATAATTTTTTTAAGTATTCCTTTTTCTCCATCGGTCCCACATAGTTCCCGGTTGGATGAAACAACTGAACCAAATAATTAGGGTCCCACTTTACCGACAGGTACCATATGGCCGAAGTCGAGCAATCAATCATTGCATAACAGCGCTTGCAGCACCCATATACGCCACTCATGATCACCGGTGGCGTATCAGATCTACAGCACAAAACATCGATCCACCAGTATCCAGGGTTGGATTGCAACAAGCTGAGTAGTGTTTTACGTTTTTCAGGTCGCATCGGAATTGGTTCGACAAGGGTACCCTCCTCGTCACTAATAAGATCGCTTACGTCCCACATATGCTTGTTGGGTTCTGTGCCCCACAAATGAGACAGCGCATAAAATTCACGGCCATGTAAATAGGATGACCTATGCTTGGAAGGGGTAATGATGGTCATGCCGCCTTGCTCATTTGTTGAAGGAACATACAGCAAACGAAAATCGGGATGGGTAAATATATCGTCAAGTGTCCATTCTTTCTGAAGTACGGCTTTCCTAGACGCGAGGTATTTCGATGATATAGTAACCGTCATCTAATAAATCAATGAATGGATGGATATACTTGGCGTAGTTTATTTGCATACCTGGCCGAAGTTGGAAAAAGAACGTAGTGCTTTCGTAGTCCACAAGGGAAATATATGAGGGATCCGCTTACTAAGTGTAACCCAACCCGGGTTTGCTGTATAACCTTGACTTTCGTAAAACGTTCCTGGTAGTACTAAGGTATATTGTCTACAGGTACCGTCACCACGGCATCAAAACCTGCATCGCAAAGGTGTACTATAAGACGACAAATAGCAATCGTGAGGGCCAAAGTTTGTGTCTTTGGGAGATGGTGCTATATCAACCAGTAAACTAATCCATCGAACCAACACACATATGCAAGTATCTGCTTCACGCCATTGTCACCATATGACGAATAATACAAGCCTTAAAAAAGGCATGCAGCAATGAGCGAATGATGAACAAATACCATGTTTGTATATTATGCGGCTTAACGCAAAGAGAACAAGGGAATGGCAACATGCTTCTTCAGGTACCTTAATATTGAATGTCTTACTTGCATTCGGTGACTTTATCATACACCATCATGCTTGATTACGTCCAGTACGAACAATCTTCGATAAAGATCACCCCTGATAATAATACCGCTTGAATGCGAGATGCACGCATAGATCAAATTAAGCCATCCGTTCTTTCAAACAACCACCGCCTATCGTAACAAAGTAAAGGTTTATCCATATACAACAAACAAATGTACAAAAACGTCGATAGCAGAGACCATTGTTATTGGTGCTCAATAACATCGCCAGCAGAAGAAGAATGATGCTTCATGTCCTTGATCATATGCTCGAGTTGATTGATCCTATCCTTGTATCTCGATAACTCTGATTGAAGTTCCTTGATGTGATCGACGGATAGTTTTAAAATAGTCCCCTTGTTGATGGTTCTGGCAGCAGGATTACTATTATTGCCTTGTTGTAAAGAAGGTGTCATGACATTGGCTGTAGGAGGTACTGCATCAATCAGGTGATCGGGAAGCAATGAGCCTAGCTCTACACAAAGAAAATGAATAACCATCATTTCATTATCATACACGTGCTGATTACCTTGGATCTTTTCATTGATATTATCCCTTCGCCTACGTTCGACAGCATTATGGGATTCACGGCGTCGACGACGCTTTTCAAACATTTCCTGCAAACTATGCAAAAGCATTAGTATCATTGGTGGACATGTATCCAAGAGCATGATGCCTACTTGCGTTGTTGCACTTCATCTTCCTCACCCGTGGTAAAGCCACCACTACCATCGATATGACCCGTAGACGTTGAAGCCACAAGGTCGTGGCCTTGGAATAAAGGCGATTGGCCAAATGGCGTTGGAGATGCTGGTGTTGCTGAATCAAGACTGGTGCCTAGCCATTGGTGTTGTGTGTGCGCATCAGCAAAAGGAATTGGACGTCCAGCACTGGGACTTAGAGCCATAGAGGCTGCAGCTGCTCCAAAACTGTGTTCTTGATGTCGTTGATATAGTTGATACGAAGAAGAAGGATGTGGTATAGGTGGTGATTGCTGGTTGAAAAGCCGACTGCTGCTGCTACGTCTGCTATTGCTACTACTGGGAGTAGGTACGAATGGATGTTCTTGTTGATGATGGGCAACAGGTGAAGTGGAAGAATCAGAGGGCCCTTCTAAACCATATGATGGTTGTGTAGGTGAATACATGCTGCAAAAAGAAGAGAAAGAAAAGCTGATGGGGGTGCGAAAACACATGGTTCCCTTTTAGGCACCACTGATGGCTCCCTCTTTTTTCAAGGAGGCTGTGTGGCACAGCCTACAAGGCCTGTGTGTTTTTTTCATTATGCTTTTAGGGGTTGCCAGGGAGACTTGCTGTTTGGGCGGGATAGCCGTATAAAGAAATAGTGCTTGATGATATCAAAACTTTGAGCCTTTTCGTAATAAAATCATCATTGGGATGCATCAGCATCATGCATGAATAGCGACTTTTGCTTCGCTGGGTCTTCTCAAACATCCATCATTCCATAGTTGTATTCGGTGGAAGGGTTGTGCATAGCAACGGGTTGACAGGTTCTTCCTTTTTCGAAAAAAACTCAATGCATGAAAGATCATGGGATGAAACACAAGAGCCACTTGTGAGTAAAAAGGCGATATCATCAGTAATCCTGCCATTTTCATTAGCAACGGATGGCTGTAACTGGGCTCCAAAGGATACCTTAAATGTTAATCGACGGCTTTTCACACATGTCGTATAACACATGCTGCTTTTACATTCTCATATTATGTGGGTGTATGTTGTGGCCGAGGACTGGTCAAAGGGACTTTTCATTATGCTTGTACCATGTCTACTGCATACACAGTAACGAGTCGAAACAAGAAAAAGTTACACAGGACGTTGCATTACGCGTCTTTCATCGCCACCATAGTAAATTCCCCCAACACATCACCCTTTTCACTTCTTCCAACAGATACATGGTATTTTTTATACACTGGAGACTGCTCGGCAGGTTTTATTTTACAAGGTATAAGTTATCCATTTAGTGGGTCTCATCAATGTAGGCATGACCGTGCTTCTCAACTTCCTTTTCGGCCTTGACCTTGTCAATGTAATCCAAACCCTTGGTTTCAATGAGTCTGGTAAGAGCAGCAGCAGCGAGACCACCCATGACCTTCTTGGCAGTAGCGTGGTCAGTGGGCTTACCCTCCTTCTCGCAGTGCTCTTGATAGGCCTTGATAGCTTCATAGGTAGCTATAGAAATATAATGTGTTAGACAGGCGATTGATAATCCTGAAAACAAAGCGTCAACTTACCAGCACCGGCAATAGCCTCGTGGGCGTGGTGACCTTCGTGACCCTCCTTGTGGACTTCTTCGTGTTGAGATTGGAAATGATCGAAAAGACCCCTGTCAGTGCAATAAAGCGTATCAGCAAAAGATCGTATGTGTGTGCATAGTGCATAGTTACTTACATGTTGATTGAAATATGAAAAGATATCGAGTGAACGAGTCGAGATATTGCCTCCCTTTTATACCTTTTTTTTGCCACACAGCAACTATTACATGCTTCTCGCGCTTGTACCAAAAAGGTACGGTTGCCACCACCTTGTCGCTTTAGCAAGCATGTTGCACAAAGGGCTGCTGCAGCTGCCAAGAAGGTCCAGCACCAGCCTCATACACAGCTGCTCACTAAAATAAGGTTTATAAACCCAATTTAGTAAAATATTTACGTGCGAAAGCCATACCGTCCAATACCGGAAAAACGGTGTAGAGCGATGATCATCATTATCCGGCGCCTTATGACCTGTAATATCCTACCTCGCTTAGCTAGCTTATTGCCACCTTGCCTTTTGCTGCCACACATCATCAGTGAACAACCGGGTATACTGCATGCATCAAAGTCCGGAAACTTGGCATAACAGCCGAAATGTTTGTAGAGTGGTGAATTTAGAGACAAAAATAGAAAAATGTTTCGGGCCGACCAATAGTATGCTATCCACCTCTCCAGGTGTGCCACCCACCAATGGTTATCCACTACGTTTAACATTACATTATTGCTATATAGGCCATAGGCGCCATCCTCTAGATCATGACGTGTCGGCGATAAACGCGCAACTCGATTCTATATACTAAACATTACCCGAAGACCTTTATCGTAGAAAAAGATCTCCACGCCCATTCAGGAACTCAGCAGCATGGGATCCAGGCACGTCTTTTTGCATTTACACACCATTAGCGTGTACTCAACACATGATAGAGCCTAAAGTGCTTTGGCGGTGTTTTTGTGTCTCTTGCTTAATTCAGAGCACACTAGCGGAGGAAAGTGGACATATGATGCAAAGCAGCAGCACCAGGTAAATAGAGCTGTTGAAAAGGTGCATCATCACATCACCGTGTTACACAAGCTCAGCTAGATGTGTGCATGCATTCGCAAAGCAAGATTTCCTAAAGCGACAAATGAACCGACATCAAGGGTCGATCTCTCACAAGAGATGTGTTGGAGTCAAGCAACACATTACTACTACCGTTCAGCCGATATTCATCTGTGGAACAGCACTATCAGGTAGAGTCGCATGACATGAATAGCTATCCGATACGTAATAATAAACAAAAGGCGACAATACTCTCACACGAATCCCAGCAGCTGCACGATGATATGCATATGAAGAATAGCGTATTATTGGTATTTCCTTTTAAAAGTGCTAATCCAATATCAAGGTTTGCCTATCCTAGTGCAAAGTTTCTCGAATTCACGAATCGGCGCGGGGAGATCGACATTACAATCTGCTTGAAGGATAGCCATGTCAATAACGGACCCTGGTATACTTGAGATGAGTTTAGCCGCAGCTTTATGTTGCTTGGTATCTGTGTCATGGAGATGAAGTCATCGGAAAGTCAAAATAAGGCAATCAAGCAACGTTTACATGCACTTACCAAGAAAGTGGTTCCCGAGCTTGTTGGCTGCTGTAATAGCGTCGAAATAAAGATGATCATCCATAAGCAGCCATGCAAATTGCATCAAACATCGTTTCACGCCATAAGGTAGTTGTTGAATCGAATGGCCATGTGGATCATCGTCGTCAGGGTCACTGTCGTCCTCATCGTCATGCAGCCAGATGCCTCTTGGTGGTTTATGAATGCTAGACCGCTTTCAAAACAAGACGCGTAAGCATAAAAGTTACATCCCTCACTTTAAGCAACCAACCCACCTCATCCATAAAATCATCGAGTGTCCTTTTCCATGTTTGCCGTAAGATAGAGACCATGTCTAGCCCATACTGCTTGCCCATGTCGAATAACAGCATCCTCTCCTCATTGTCCCAAAAGTTCGCTAGTAAAACAAGAATAGCGTTAGTGCCAAGTTGCAAGGTGAGTAGGTGGTTACACGTATATCAACCTGCAAGGAAATCAGACACCACGGGCACTTGTACTGATTGCGGAGTAAAAGATGCATATAATGCAAGCACTTTGGGCTACCAATCGTTTTCATCAGCCATCTCATATTTGGTTCCCAACATCGGATGGTCTACTTACTCTGAAATTCGGCTTCGTTACATTGTGCTTTGCGTAATGGCCGAGGATCTCGTTAGTCATTGAATCACTAGGCTGGTTGTGAAATATCCGGGAATAAAGTATCAGCGCTGATAGTAGACGTAATGCATACGGCCACATCCATGATCCAGGCCTAGACTATGTATTAGTGGAACGTCAATAAAGACCATCTTGGATGTTAGATACCTTATCCGCAGGTTGGATGGCATTTTAGGATCCAAAAGTAATGAACAGCAATAGGATATGCCTTCTTGCATCTTGCCATGTAATATCGAAAGAGTCAATGTCGCAAACAGCTGAAGATATCCATCCCTGGGAACCGCTAGTGAGTTTCATGTATCCCTTCCTTCATGTACACGCGCGACTTACTGCAAGCTCTCCTTCTTTTTGTTGGCAATATCACTGTACGCTTTTTCCACCAGCAGTAGATTGGGTGCAGTACCATTCATCTCGTTTGTAGATGCTTGTGCTTCTTCAGCTTGATGTATCCGACAATTGTAGAACGCCCAAATAACATCCTCCCAACCACGGCATATGGGCAATACCTAGTATCAAGTTATTAAAGCGTGATACCTTTTTTATCCACGTTACACCTACCCTTTCCGTGCGTCCGCATAATGCACCAAGGATTGCAGTTTCATATTGGCCAAGCTTATCCTGCATGGATCATTCAGTTATTGTAACCAATGTATCTTATCGATAACCACTTACCTCTGATTGCTTTTGGTCATATAATCGGCTCCAGGTTTTGCGTTGTTCATCCAACCATTCCACATGTTTCCCTTCTAATTTCCGTATAAATTCAGCCAATGCAACGAGAACAAGAATAAACATGCTTACCAAGGGCTTTTTTTCGTTGTTCGATATAGCGCATAATCAGCTCGGTACGCCATGTTTGTGGCTCAAGTTGCTGGTTGATATCACACGCCTTTTGCATGTCTCCACATCTGAAGGCGCGGAACAATCGTTGATAGGTGGTCTCGGGCTCATCCAGTGTTTGAGAATGCCTTCGTTTCCTTGAACCAATAAATCCACTCAAAAATCGATTGGAGCGCACCAATTCCTCAATCTCATCCTCGATATCGTCATGCATATCCATCTCGCTCGATACGCCATGGTGTGCAATCAATTGTTCAATGTAGGTTGTCATTTGCTGTCGGTGTACGCGAATTGTTGTCAGCTAAATCTTGCATTTCTACACACCATGACAACCACGGCTTACCGCATATTGATATAGGGGTGATGTCCTGGATGCGCGTAGTCTACTCAATGACAAGTTAGGATCGAAGCATATTTGACAGCGTAAATGATCACAATGTACCGTATCAAAAGCTCCAACAGTGTCCATATCCATTTTTCTCGTGTCAAAAACTTGAGTTCTTCTTGTGCAGTATTCGCTTTCTTGCCTTGGATTGAATGCAAATGGTCGATCCTGTTTTATGCTGTCAGTGCATTGGAAAAGGGTGTGCTGTGGTACGCGTTGATACCTGAGCTCCACCAGATCTTTAATGCAAGTAACGAGCTTCTTGTTGTCGATCCCGTCGTTGGTGAGGTCCATTACCTCTGCAAGAGCTTGATCGAGGTCGTGGTTGGCGTTGGTAAATATTTCATCAGGGAGATTCATAGATGGCAAAGGCGGGTATGTATGTGTATGTGTTGGTTCAAGGACAAGCAGTAAGCGTTGTTGTAGTTCCACTACCGCTCGAAATTAGTTCGTCGCTAAGATACAGCATGCTTTAACAACAAGTGCCTATTTCGATGGTGAGCCATTTATCGAGAATATACTTTTGCTATTGTTTTTATTGAACACGGCCATGTACAATAGTCTTCAAGGTGATGATTGGTATAGAGCATATGGATTGAATGATACAAAATAAAAGCCTTTACATTCTAGTCAAAAGGTTGTTGTTGAATACATTAGAGTATCCAGTAATAGACGACGGCTATGGGTGATTGAAAAGCACTGGTTGCTATGATCCCGTTGTAAGGACAAAGATGAGGTTGTTATCGGTGAATTGGGGCACATGTGACCTACCTACCATGAGATCTGGTCTTGAATTAGCTGTACTCACAATGAATCCTCCGTAAACCCTTTGTTTCTTTCTCCATACCATGTTTCCTCATAAACAGCAGCCTTCTTTCAAGTTTGTCATTCGTTCCAAATTGCCAACTGAACCTAGTTCAAGCGACAATAAGGAAGCAGACAAAGAATCAGCACCCGTTACTCCTTCATCTGAGCCAACCACAGCAACGGCGGTTGCTGGGGACACCGAACGAAAGCGCAAACGCAGCGACAAAGAATCAGTACCGTTGGCGTCGAAAAAGGTTTCCTTCCGTGGACCCATCATGGAGACTATGTTCCTTCTCAATGTGTGAATCTGACAGTCTATGCATTATCAGGTGCACAACCAGTTACAAAAGTGGAATAAGAAAAAAGCCGAGCTCAAGGAACAGACCAAAGAAGAACAAGGAGATCAAGACGAAGATGATGATGACGACAATGATTCGAACAATAGCAGCAATCATTCTGCTGCAGCACATCATCAGTTTGCTGATTTGAATATCATGGCATGCCTTTTGTGTCAACGCAAGTTCAAGACTCAACAAGATTTACAGCGACATCAAGACCTATCAGAGCTCCACAAGGTATTGAATGAAAGATCTCACTTTTGCACGTATCGTGTCTAATTTTTTTATGTAAAGAAAAACTTGGCAGATCCAGTATGCGTGGGAAAGGCCCAAATGAAAATGCGTTATGTCAAGAATGAAGCAGAGCAAGCAGAGGAACAGTTGGCTCAAGTAAGTTTGTTGTCACTACGTTGGACTTGTATGAAAATATTCATTCAATCTTTGTGTGTATAGCAAAACTATCGAAATAGAGCAGCTGAACGTAGGCAAGCTTATGGACAACCAGAACGGCCTCCTTTACCATTGTCATCCACATCACCGCCACCTCGTGAGCCAAAACGTCAGCCTCTTTCTCTCACTCAACTACGTGCCAAGAAGCAACAGATGGCCAAAGAGTAAGCACTTATCCATCATTGATCTACATCGATAAGCAAATTCACATTCCAAGGAATGATAGGACATCCACCGGCACATCTTTGGATAAGCCATTGAATGATGACAACGTGGGAGCGCGGATGTTACAACAAATGGGATGGAAACGTGGTGAAGGTCTTGGAAAAGATGCATCCGGTATTGTGGACCCCATTGCAGCAGAACAATATGCACAAGGCGTGGGATTGGGTGCCGCTCATGCAAAGCGATCGGCATCTCCAGCGATAGGTGACACGTACAAGGAACGAGTGAGAGAAACGGTAAGCAAAGAAAAGGACAAATGGCATTATCTACACATACACAGACGTTGGAGGGAAAAAAGAGGGGGAGAAAGGAAAAAGAGGTGGAGGAGGATATGGTATGCACGCACACGTTGATGGTGGGGATTAAGACTCACGGGGCGTATTGCCATTACATGAACTACTCTTGCTAGGCAAGGCGACGTTTCGAGGAAGAGTCATAGTATTGTTATATAGCAGGTCATGAAAAAAAATCATACAATTTATTTTTTTGGGATATTCAATCATTGTGGGGTATACATTGTCCTTCTACTGTTGCAGGCGAAATCTTGGGGTTGGGTTACAGGCACGTACACGTTTATGGAAACGATAAGGGGGACACGTTTTGTTGAGGCATTCGAGTATCTTGCCAGCGATGTTTTGGCCTTCAATCCATGCACCATGCAAATAGCCATAGTACTCGGGTGACATGGCTTCACCAGCAAACCATAGACGAGGAGAAGTAGATGCGTCATCATTGTCGTCAATGGGTAGTGGAGCACGCATATTTTCGTGATGCTCAACAAGCATACCTATGGGCCAATTGGAATAAGATCCACGAAAGAGTGGGTTGGTATGCCAGCGGGGTACAACAATGCCAGTTGGACGTGGGAGCGTTGTATGTGGAAACATGCGTTGTAACACTTGCATAATCTCGTCAGCTACTTGAGCGTCGGGTAAGCGTTCAAGACGTTCAGATGCTTTGTAGGTAGCAGTGACCATCAAAATGTTATCATCATCTTGATTTTGATGTGGCAAATACCCTGGTGCATTGAGGTTTTGCCATACGGTATATTCTCTTGTATCATTTCCAGCATACAATGCAAACTTGTAAAAGTCAAAGGTCACGTTGCCATGGATACGGGTATGTAAAAGAACCTCTTACCTGCCAATCGTCCCAGAATTTGTGGTCAAACCTTAAAAAGATTTTGGTATAGGTGGTCATATGAAAACTTAATAACGCTTCTCGTTTCCAGTCGGGAAAAGCTGGGATCCATTCAACGCTATTGCTTTGGAGAACGCCTAGTCTATTCCAAAAGTGAGTGATTTCACACGAATCCGCATACGCCAGTGGCGTTTGTTATTGACTCTCTATTCGCCCTTTTCTTTCACACACACACACTCACGAGAACGTGCAAATAGCATAATCAGCAAAGATACGATCACCATTGGCGGTATGCACAACCACACCATGAGGACCATCGTATCGCACACGAGTAACCATTGTATCCAATAACAAGCGGCTATCATTGGGTTTGAGAAACCGGTTCGCTTCCTCTTGAAGAATGTAATTGAAACCCCTGTGTGTGTTAAGTAGTACGCATAAACGATCAGTGCCACGTGCCTCTTTATGCATGCATAAACAAAAGAATGTTATTCTTTACCTGTGATCAACCACAAATTCATTACCAAAGGGAAAAGTGCCTTCCGTCATATCCGAAGTGCCCGTTGCATATTCAAGTGATGATACTTCGGCTGGTTCAGCAAGCTCCCATTCGATAGCAAAATACTCTACAGCTGCTTTGAGCGGCGTATCTGGTTCCCATCCAAGCATTCGTAATGCTGCTCGACTTGATAAATCAACTTGGTTGTGGGCTATCCTCTCCTCTAATGATCATGGGTCCTCATTAAGCAATGATACAACATTCTTGATTAGTTGTTTCTCACCTGCATACATGACCGTTTTCTCCATGAGCTCATCGAATGCATCATATACAGGTAAGCCAAGACGTTGGCGAAGGGGACCTTGATCATCAAAAAAGGCAACGTCGCGTTTATCATTAGGTGCCGTCTTTAGCCCATGTTGAGTAGCCAACTTGTAAATTGGGTTGGTGCCTTTGCCATATATCTTTATGATTCATCAATCATTTACCCTCTTCGTATCATCAACGCAAAGATGCACCTACCCAATTGGCACCGAGTTCCACAGAGGAGCGTCCTAATGTAGCATGCTGAACCCTGCCTATTCTAAAGTCAGTGTTCCTTTATTCTCACAAAGCACACGTTGTTATTGTGTAGATCACTTCACCGCCAACAAACGATTGTCCCTCCACAATTATGAAATCATCTTGGCCGTTCTTATGTAAGGTAGATGCTGCTGCCACTCCTGATGCTCCTGCACCAAGGATGACCACTTTGGTTCTATACGAAGTTGCTGATACATTCATGGTCATTATTGACGCTATTGCCAATAGGGTGATCCATATGGAATAACTCTGCTTCATCATTATGGGAAACATGATCGGAAAGATAAGCTTGGAGATCGTAGATAGTAATAGCGAGGGAAAAAAGGAAGAAAGAAAGAAATCAGGAACAAGAGAATCTACGGCAGTTTTTGAGTGAGGTTTGGGGGTGATTGGAGAGGGGGGGACAGGATGGTGAGTCTTTGTGTCATCGGATGGGCCACATGGACGTGATGGTGGGAAGAACAAACAATGACAACATAAATGTCTTATCCACTCCGTTTTATTATTACCATGAATTATGCTTGTTGTTAGAAGAAAAGAGAAAAAGAACATAGGTGCGAATAAAATGCGTTGTGGGGATGAGGGGAATGTATTGGCTCTCTCCCAGTGGGGGAATAAAAAGAAATGCAAATTTGTGTATACGGCCAGTGAAGAAAAAGAAGAAATAGAGGCATAGGTTTGGGGGTGGGGAATCATGCGAGAAAATTTCAAGATGCGCCAAACATGAAAGAAATGCAATAAGTGGTGTGTGGGGTCAGTGGTGGGAATAATGTCTGTCAATCATGAGATCAAAAGGAACCCTCGTATATGAACAAATAGTGTGGTGGTGGTGTTGTTGGTGGATCAATGCATAAAGTAAGAGGTATATAACCGGTCAAAAGAACATACGTGCGAATAAAAAGAATAAAAGCGAATGGAAGGTTGAAAGAAAATGTGTGATGGTACCATTAAAACATGGCCATGGAGACATCTCTGGGGGCGACAAAGTATGAAGGAGCGTAATGTGCTGTGTTGGAAGTTGTTGTAGTAGGAGCTGTTGTTGAATCTTGCAAGTTGTACATGAGATCGTTACCAAAGGTAGGCATCAACGTCTCTGTTGTGTCGTGAATCGGATACATGTTGTCGTGCGATTGTTGTTGTTGTTGTTGTTGCATAAAGTGTTGTTGTGAATGATACATGTCATCCGGCTTGCAAGGAGAGAACAATGTAACGGGAGGCGGCGTTGGCCCTAGTGGTCTTGTTGGAGCATAAACGCGATGTGCATCATCAGTCATCCCCATCCAATCATATATCTCGGGTGGTGCTAGTTGATGATGATTTGGGATGGGATGATATCCAAGGTGTAGGGATGGTGATGATGTGAGTGATGACGATGATGAATCATCCTCCGACGTAGAGTTTGTCCTCGATCGTCCCAAATACGACGACGTCCCACCACCTTGCAGATCCAAATCGAGAATTGGGCTAAGGGTGCTGCATCGACTACTGCACAAACTTCCATTCCCAGAAGCTGCAGCAGCAGCAGCAGCAGATGATGACCATATTGTTGAAGGCACCGTTTCGCACATGTACGTATCAGCTTCTTCCTCATGAGCCAATGTTGCCGATACGTTGCTCATCATGTCGATACTAGGCGTGTGCTTCTGAGATGAAAAAAGTTTGGTATGGTTCACCAAAGATGGCTGAGTATCAAAAGCACATGATGATGTTGAAGGTACGGCATGATTGCTATGATGCTGCTGTTGCAAATCGAAGCTGTCAATGATGGTAGCAGTTGTTGTTACACCAGGATTTGCTGTCGTCGCACAAACATAAGCATTATCAGTATCAGCAATGGGTGACCAACCAGTTGTAGGATTAGCCAATACATTGGGCGTAGTGCTGGTAGTTGAAACTTCAGCAGTAATCATGTTGTCATCGTTACGGTTGTTCGTATCATCACCCGTAAAGCCTGCAGCAACAGCAGCCATTGCCAAATGTGAAGATGGCTGAGTTGCATTTGTGGTGGACACAACTTGACAATTGGATGGCGACGATGCTGATAATTGATGGCATGTTGTTTCATCACCATCAGCAGCAACATTGGTGCTCGTGTTAGTAGCTGGTAAATGTTGTTGATTTGCCGATGAACATGATGTAGCTGTTGCAGTGGACGAAGCTGATGTAGCACGACGTCTTCGTTGTTTGTAAGTAGGAGATCCATCAAACAACGATAAAGTGCCAAAGATGGCCTTTTTCTTTTTAAGGACATTCGAGTCAAGTGATTTGGTCGATGCAATATCATTGTTGGTACGACGTGCTTCGGCACGTGCAGCAGTACGACTACCAGGCGGCATTGATTTTACAGCTGAAAGCTTTGGACGACTCAAAGTGGATGATGATGCTGCTGCAATAGTAGATGTTGCACTAGCGGTACGGTGACGCACGCGTGGTGGACGAGAAGCAGGTGTAGAAGGAGCAGTGTGTCCCGCATGACTAAGGTGATGATAATGGTGCCGGGTCTGTTGTTGTAGCTGCTGCTGCTGATTTGTCCGAGATGCCGAGTTAACGCGTGATCTTCGAAGCACTCCGGTGGTCGGTGCGGCAGCTGCTAATGATCTTTCACAACGACTGCTACGATGATGGTGCGGGGAATTCCATCCATTCCAATAACCTGCTTAGTGGATGAGTAACTCTCATTGCATAATGCTTATCATCATTTTCATCATCAGCACCATCCCTTAAACTTACCACTTGTGGGCGCAGGTTGCTGCTGCTGTTGCTGCTGTGGAACTGCATAACGAGCAGCTTCATCTTCAAGTGCATGTGCTGTAGCTGCAGCTGAAAGCGACATGTTTTTACGCAATTGGTCAAATAACTCTTGTGTAGAATCGAGTGAAATAGACGTGGCAGGTTCAGCTACAGCAACAGTAGTCGGCTCCATATCCATTTTTTCTCGCTTTAAGTCGCGTTCAAGGGCATCTAGAAACAAGCGATCATGAGGCACCGAATACCAATAAAACACCTTTTGCTTTTTTTGAGTGCGGATACAGTTGTTCTTGTACAACATATCGAGCAACTCGGACTTAGGCTCCTCAAGGCGTGCATCGGTTCCTGGCTTCAGGTTACGCAAGTCGCTAAAGATGCCTTCCTCGAACTTTTTGGCGTTGGTAACAGGACGGCCAAACGCGTGGAAGCGGAATGACAATGAGCGTACAATGTCGGTACCGGTAATATAAAATAAGTCGTTCCATAATACGCATGACATATCCTCGCCATTAGGCAATCGAAAACGTTTGATAGCAGCACCTTCGTCCCAATTTTCGGTTGCAGTAGCCAAAAAGTACTTGAGACGGTCGATTTGGTCCATACGTTCCTTCACGTTGTTATCCGTTGGCGAAGGCATTGTACGTGGCGATGATGGTGCATCGTTGTTGTCGATCATCATATCGCATCCCACCGGATGCACTTTACTCGTTGTCATGGAAGATGTCTTTTACAGCGTAGTAGTAGTAGTACAGGAGGTGATGAGAAATAAGGAGGAAAGTAAGTGAAGAAAGAGAGAGAGAGAAATAAAAAGGGTGCGTTAAACGAATATGCAAACAGGAGTAAGCGCGCACGCAGAAGAAAAAGAAAAAGAGGGAATCAAATAGGATTGAGCATATTATAGATGAGAAACCGGAGGTAATAAAATGTGAGGCACGCTTTTGCTTGCTGCAGTGAGATGCTCTATTGGATGAACCCAACCAAAAAGCGGCCAAAAAAAGGAGCATCTTGGCTCCCCCCAATCCCCAATCTCGCTTTCTCTCATTCTTACACTCATATCAAAGGGAAGTACCAATCGTGGATGTGGCGACTGTTATTCTCTTTTTTGTGTCAGCAACTTGCGTGTTAATGCCCCACATTCGTAGAAAGATAAAAGGTGTGCTGATGTTGATGCCTGCAAAGGGCTGTAGTTATGCACTGGGGGGGGGGGAGTGAACTAGGGGGAGTAAGGCGGGGATGTGATTGATGTGGCATTGAGTGGAGATGATGTGCGGCAGGATAGTAGAGCAATGCTATATTACAAACAAAGATGCCAATTACATATGCCAATTACATGTCCCTCTCTCTCTCTCTTTCTTTCTTTTGTCTTGAGCTTACCGCGTGGATGATGCGGTAGTTGTTGGGATTTATGGGTACGTGCGTGATGACTAGGGTACATGTGCGTATTGTTATGTCAAGCGAGTGATCATGAGCGTTAGGATTCGGACCGGAAGGGCAAGCGGATGTTCCCCGCTTTTCGGTTGTTCGATGGATGGATGGTGAATTAAAATGGGCGGGTGATGTGAGTATGGAAACGCGCTATTATCTCCTTAAGACATGATGCAATCTCCTTTTAGGCAGCTTATACATGCAACTCTGCTTCTCCTCGATCATTGGTGTCCACAACCCCACATCACACATACACTGACACATAACATAAATAACGTTTTTTTTTATACATGCACATTGCCTCACCCACATCATAACCATGACTTTACGTGGGTCGGTTTTTTTACCCTTTTATGGCAAAATAGTTAGCGGATGATCGGGTTGCTAGTCCCGAGTGATCATGCGGGGATGATGAAAATGATGATGGGCCATGGATGATGGATGAGGTTCACTACCAAGATTGGGTCTGCCAATATGGCTTGACTAAGGTTAGTAAAACGATAAACATGGATCTGCAGCTGCCGCCATAGTTGCTATAATACGTACTTGATAAAAAGAGAACTTGCCGTGTAGTGAGAATGAGAACGAGGGTATGTGTGACCAAGTTCCCCATCTCTCCTCTCCCCTGCAGCCCCAATGTGATTGCTCTACTTTCGTTTTCGCCCCTCCTCCCCCCAACTTGCAATCGGACACTAGATCAGCGTTTATCCTCTCCACATTTGGATCACCATCAAGATGGATGTTTATTGATCGACATTTTATTTCGACAGCAGCTGGCTTAACAAGAAGAGCTTGCACATCATCAAGCACCTTATTTACATAATGATCAAAATCCCATGGCAACGATGTTGGTTTGCCTATGTATGTTTTGCCCCTAAATGCTTTCAAGGATAAAAGCAGCAGCAGCAGCAGCAGGAGAACTCGCGTTTGTGTGATGCGTGTCTGTGTATAAGCTTGGCTTATACTGTGCATGTATCTCAACAAGAAGCAACAGCAGATGGCGCATAAACAAAGCCCATTTACGTTTCCATCCATATGCTCTCCTTTGTTCTTTGAGCGCGTTGCTCGGATTTGAGCCGATCCCAAGTTTACGCCAAATTTTTGTGTCGACAAACTATGCACGTCCACAGCCATAACTATACTGCAAACAACTCTTTAACTTGATTTCCCACAGACGTCAACGACATAAAGCAGGACCCTTGTTGCGTGATGGTTTGCCTTGCTCGTGTAACATTGTCAAAATAGAGGTTCATGCATGGAATAGTGGTGTTACCTCTCTGCTCGCTCAGATTACCAAGGCACGTTTACCCAAATCGTGCAACCCCCCCACCATACATACCCCTTGAATCATCGAACGAATCACAATGAGCAAAGCATATCTCGCCACTCCATATTTGGTATCGAGGCACTTGTATGCTAAAAACCATGATGCCATAAAAAGGACTATCCGTGTTGTAATAGCCATCATGATTCCATTAGCAGATGGGCAAATCATCATTGAGGATTCATCATTGTGTCTCTTATTCAATATCAAACGCGTGGTTTATTGATTCAAATCCCGCCACATTTTGCAAGAGTTGGGGTTGGCGCGCAATAACGCGGCTGCCCAAAAGTAACAACCACCTGAGATGTTATGTATGGCTTCTTCATAGGAACCTGTTTAATGTTGCTGGGTTGGTTCATTACGTAAACGCGTGACCAAAAGTGAGATGATGATGATGATGCATGTCATTGAATTCTCAACGTCCTTCAAGTCAACATGGTGGTTGTGGAATAAAAACAGCTGTATTTTGATGTCACGATTATTCTTCATCTCAATTGCTTTATAGGATCGTAGATGCACGTGGAACGTCATGCTTGTCACTCCCAAAAGAAAACCAGCTGCATCGTCAACTTAATCCAGCACGCAGCATTACACATTATGCTTGCAGCATCCATCTTTGTTGCATACATTTTATCATCGTACACCCCTTAATTGTCGATATCCACGAGTCCCATACTTGCCCTATCCATACGCTCGGGTCAAACATGGAGGACGTTTTAAGCAAATACCACCTCGCGGATGATTGGAAAACTCATAACAAAAGCATGCAGCTATGCACAGAGCGCAGGACCCCAATAATCATACGTTCCATGTATGCAAGCAACGAATGCATGTTGGGGTAGAGTATTCCTTTGTAAAACGCACTTCGTTTTCCATTGCTTCTATTTGGTGAACGTGAATCGAATCCGCTCCTCCTCTCGTGCCTTTTTTTTTTGGGTAACGTGTTCGCCATGCACTATGTATGACATGTGGGAAGGTAGGTTAGCAGCCAACTCTATCATCATCACCATACGCTACCGTTGTCTGGATATCGTAGAAGCCAAAACGTATAATACAAGCCATTGTTTCCATATCCCACCAATCACATCATCTTATAATGTCCCCAAAGTCATATTGCCTCATTTTAGTAGCATGAACAACTAAGGGACATAGGGTAATAATAGGATGTTCAAATCACTCTTGATGACAGGTTAACGTTAATATGATCAAGATGGCATTGTTGATTGAGCAGTTGCCATTTCAAGGTCCTCAAGGCTTTTGTTGGAATGCACAGTGTGATGTCGTTGCATGTTCTTCGAAGCTTTTCATGCCGCCTTTATTTACCATACATCTCGAGGGGGAAATCACGTTATCAATGCTCAACCTATCAATAAGGTTAAAATTGGATGAGGATCCAAATTCACTTGAAGTTAAAGTTGCTGCTTTCAGGATACCAAAAGCATTCATACAAGTAGCTCTTCTATTTGGAAGACTTTTGTAATCGAAAATTGAGACATCAATTGAGGATGCCATGTGCTACAGGTAAGCCTATCCTCATCAATCATGTATACAAAAGCCAAAAACCAAAGACCATGTATTAAAAAGTTCGCATGATGTGGCATTTACTCACGAAGGCTATGTATTGATTCAATAGAAAGTACAGGTAGTAAGCAGTACATAATGTCATATACTAAAGGTGGAGAAGGAGGATGGAATAAGCGAGGATAAAATGATATCGATTTACAACTATTGATTGGTAAGTGCTTGATAGGAAGCCACCTGAACAGGACCCATGTTGTTGGTGTTCTTGTCGGATGGTAAGTAAATGACGCGTGTGTTGGGTGCCTTGGCAAGGCCTTGCATGGTTTCCAGGTATCGGATTTGCATGGCAGCGGGCGTGTTAAGAATGTCAGCAGCGGCACGCATAAGCTTGGCTGAATCAACCTCTGCTTTGGCGCTAATGACCTTTGCATTACCCATACGCTTTGCTTGTGCGGCAGCCGAGAGTGATTCTTGCAAGTCTTTTGAGAACTGCAGATCCTTGATCAAGATCGATTCAATCTATATTGACATGCATGTATGAGCTTTCTTTGTGTAACTATTTGTGTGTAGTAGATCAATGATGATTCTTACCTTGACACCCCATTGTTTCGCAGCCGATCGAGTAATTTCTTGGATTTCATGTGCAATGGCTTCTCGATTCTCGATACAATCTTGTAACGTCTTGGCACCCAAGATATGGCGTAAGGTGGTTTGTGTTCTAGTACCCCCAAAAAAATGTCGCGTGAGCAAACAAAAAAAATGCAACGGGAATGAATGATCCTTACCGTTCCACCAAAGCGACCTTGACGTTGCTTACACTAAACTCGGCTCGATATGGGTTTACGATATGCCAGTACAATACACTGTCAATCTTGACAGAGACATTATCACGCGTCATGATAACTTGGCGGGGAATTTCTGTGATTTGCATCTTGACATCGACACGATGCACGTTTTCTGTGAGCGGGTTGACCTGGAAGGAAAAGCCAATGAGCCATTGTTATTTTCATCCACTTGCAATGGTATCTACCTTAACCAGACCAGGGTTAACGCATTTGTTAAACTTGCCAAATTGTGTGACCAAGCCAACATAGCCTTGATCCACCTCTTTGAAGGGATTAGGGCAACAAACGCAGCATGGGATCTGGGTACAGTATAAAATGTGTGTGTGAATATTTTATGCATAAAAATGATAGACCCGTCTCACACAAACGCATTCTCTTCCACTCATTCTCACCACCACCACCACTACTTACAGAGCCAAGACCACCGACAATCGATCCGAGGCAATTCATCATGGTACCATACCATCCCTAAGAAGAACAACAAAGGTTAAAAAGGTGTTGTCGATCGATCATACACGTTGCAAACCTACATGGTCGATATAACCGGTATTGGTTTCAAAGTAAAAGTCTTGCTGTGGGGTGCGTTTGGGTAGTGAGCCGCGTTGAAGGGGTGCTTCGTCACTGCGAGTTTCCATTGTCGTGCGTGTATTAGATGATAAAGGGGGATAAAAGGTAAAGGTGTTTTGCAGGAAAAAAAACAAAAGAAAGAGAATAGTGGAGCGTGTGAGATCATGGAATTAAATAGCACAAAAGGCTGCTGAGCAGGATTTCCAGTCATGCTGAGCAAGCTACGCTGCTGAGAGCTGAGCAGGTAGTGTAACCACTCTGACGCTGCACACACAGAATTTAAGTTCCCACTTGATCGCCTTTTTTCGCTTTCTTTCTTCATTCCTCACCCGTTTTTCTTAAATCTACATCGATCTTTTTTATTTCTCGTATACACCATCTCTTTTATCATGAACGCTGAATCTGCATCATCAAGCCGTTATGCACCCTACAAGGACTCGGTTGAAGATGATGAACCTTTGGGGATCCAACGAGAAGATGTTACGGTCACCTATGCACAAGATTTTGGTTACGCGGATATTCATCATGTACGTACCCTTTCAACATGATCAACATCCTCGTTCTAATACCAGCGTATGTGTACATGTAGGGGTTGTATGGGTCGATTATGACTTGTATCGGTGACGTACTTGGATTTTTTGGTTCGGTGAGTTGAGCGTGCTATGCTGATATGTGTATGATCCAATGCTAATCAGAAGAACAAAAGATTCCATGCTGCTGTTGTTGTCCAAATCCCTATCAGCGTGTGGGTCAAGGTATGGATGAGCTCTCTTTTTTTTCAAATCAACACAATTATCTAATCATGTTTCACTACTATAGGCAGCGTTGGTTTGATCTCACGCTTTGGTAAATGTTATAAGATTGTGGACCCAGGACTTGCCCAGGTAGAACAATTTATTATTGATGCAATAACAAGGGGGACTCACACAATCTGCTATAGATCAACCCTGTCACCGAATCTATCAAGCGTGTTGATATGACCATCCAAATCACCGAAGTACCCAAGCAAGAAGTCATGACACGCGACAATGTATCCTTGGGATTAGAATCGGTCTTGTATTGGCGAGTGGTTGCACCTTACGAAGCCGAATATGGTATAGCCAATGTGTTGGTTGCATTGGTGGAAAGAGCTCGCACCGTCCTTCGTAACGTATGTGGTCATCACACGCTGCAAGATATTATCGAAAACCGGGATGCCATTTCTCGTGAAATTCGTGCCAACATTACACCTTTTACTGATAAATGGGGTGTCGAGGTATGGTTCTTTTTACATGGAGAATGAGATGATGATGGTTTATTGAAGAATGGGTTCTTCTATAATAGGTCGAAGCGACATTGATCAAGGATCTTGACATTTCTTCTGATCTTCAAAAGTCCTTATCATCGGCAGCACAAGCCAAACGTATTGGTGAATCGCGTGTCATTGCTTCTGAAGCCGAAGTTGAATCCGCCAAATTGATGCGTGAAGCAGCCGATATTCTCAACACGCCAGCTGCTATGCAGATTCGTTATCTCGAAACCCTTTCAAGCATGAGTCGTTCAGGTCAAGGTCCAAAGACCATTTTCATGCCCATGCCTAGTCACCAACACCAGGATGAACCATCGTCTTCCTCCTCCACTTAAAGTAATATCACACATCATTACCAGACCCCCCTCTTTTGTATCCCATATACTCGCTTACTTGCTTCTCTCTCCCTCGCTTACTTTTATGATTGTAATAACAATATTCTGTGTGTATATGTATAAATATCATGACTTGGTGGATGTGGGTTCTGTGGCTGCAGTGGATGAAGATGAGGTATCAGATGTAGTGGGACGAGTGGATTGTTGTTGTTTTGAATCTTGATCGGTAGTAGTAGAAGTGTTGGTGGTGGTGTTGGTAGGTGAAGTGGTAGATGGTAATGGTGCAGTGGCCGTGACGGAAGGGATGGATGATGATGATGATGGGATACGACCCACACTTGTGTCAATAGGTGGCAAGATAGGTTTGCTGGATCGAGGAGATGGGATACGTGCACGTTTGCTTCTGTCATTGTTGCCACGTTGAATCTTTGCCTTCAATGCTTCCATCACTTGATCATGTGTTATACTTTCATTTTCTCCTCCATCATTATTCGTTGACGATCTTCCACGTTTCTTTTGGATATCTTGATGATGATGTTGTTGTTGCTGATGTGATGGTACTGGCAATGATGGTGGATGATCCCTAGTATCCCCAATCCCCGGTGATATAGGTGTAGTAGGCTGATGAGCATTGTTACGAGGGTAAAAGCGTTGTCGATAATTCCACGTTGAAGAAGAAGAAGAAGAAGAATTGTTGCGATAAGGATGTGGTTCAGAAGGAGGACACAATGGATGAGCCGAGTGAGGATAGGCAACAGGTGATCGAGGAGGAGCAGGAGGAGGAAGCGTAGATGATTCCGTTGCATGTCCATTCTCTATAACCGGATGCTGCTGATATGAATGATGATTGTTGCCAGCATGGGTGTTATTGTTGTGTGAATAGTGATTGCTGTTTGCACTTTCGCCTGTAATGCGAGCAAGTACCTGTTGTTGTACCGGTGCTAAGCCGTAATAAGGAGTACCAGCAGTTGATTCATTACAAGGTGCCGCTAATGCGTATCCGCTGCTGCCATTACTGCTACTGCTGCTGCTATTTCCAATCCCTGTCGGCGCTGCTGTTGTTGGTGGATGAAGCGATGTGGATGATGGTAGTGCTGGTAGATGTTGCTGTGGATGCTGCTTGTCATAGTAACCAGACGTGATCTTATTCTGCTCACGTAACAGCTCAATATCAAGCTCTCTCAAATGAATACGGGCTTGTTCCACTTTGATGGTATCAACCGTTGTTTGCTTCTATAACCCCCCCCATCACAACATTCAGTAACAAGAAAACGGCATATTTCACATCTAATCCATACCTTGTCTTCTTCAACCTTTGCTTTTAAGATATGCTTTAGTAGCTCGGGATCATCCTTGTACCGTTCCAAGATTTGCCTGAGACTAATGTCGTTGTCGCCATTGGCAGTGGTTGTATTGGTTGCGTGTTGTTGTCGAGAATTGGCAAGCGGTGGTTGTGGTGGTTGCGGTGACAACGGTTGAGCAGGAGGAGGTGCTGTTGTTGTTTGCCATTGTGTACTTGTTCGTGGTCGAGGCGGCGGTGAGACAGAAGCAGGTCGATTGCCACTCGCAGACATTTGCAATGTAAAGAGAAAGAAAGAAAGAGAGGAAGAAAAATGGCTGTAACAAAAAAAGCGTCGTGACCCATAAGATTTTCAGTCTCAAGGTAGCTGTACTACAAATGCCTGACGTAGCATAACAACTTGATTTTGGCTTTACAAAAGCTATATTTATATAATACAAAAAGGAGATCTACTACGTGTCTGATGATGAGCCACTTTGGCAAAGCCCCCAAATGTCTATTTATTTTCTGCAAACTTGGCATAAGCGGCACCAATCTCTTCAACCATTTGCGATGTAAGCATAGCACGTCCATATTTCTCGAATGCTCTCTTCGAACTGTCACGTGTAACACAGCAAGCTCCCCACGATGCTAGCATGGCAATATCTTTGGATTCAATTTCATTCGAATGCCTATTGTTTATGCCCATTTTGAGTTCTCTTTTGAGTTGATCCCCACACATCCTCCGACCAGATCCAATGATCTCTTGAGAAAAAAGGAAAAAAGAAAACTTACTTCCATACACCATCTTCATAGCCTTTACCCCATGCTAAAAACGTGGCAATAGTACCAGAAAGAATATCACCTTGTCCACCCACACGACGAAGTCCTCCTTCAGTCTCACAGCGCAAAACTACAATATGCATCCTGAGTTGGATTGCGGCCATATTCCAATTATAGTAACATCAACAAACCTTCTTTTCCATTTGTAATAAGATCCACGGGTCCTTTTTGCACAATCGTAACACCTCCAAACGCTTGACTCAATTTGTATGCCACTGTATCTTGATCGTGTTCTTTTGAATTGACATCCTGTATGATGGCGTCAGTATGAATGCATTGTAATGGACCATGTGTAACTTGCCATGCGTTCGCACAAGCGCTTAAATTCAACAACGTTCGGAGTCAATACCGCTTTTGCATAATCTTTGACTGTCTCAGGATGATTTTGCACCAAAAATAGGCCATCCTACAAAAGGGATGTGTGTAAGCTGATAATGAAACGATCATACCCACATGTAGTCAACATACCGCATCCACAACAATAGCCATATTCTGTTCTCGAGCCTTGAGCATGATCTCGCGTGCACTGTTCTGCATAGCATCGTCACGTGAAAGCCCAGGGCCAACGACCAGGACATGTAATCGGCCGAATGTGTCAGTGACTCGTTTGACAATGTTATCCACGGAGGCATCCTTTTTGCTAAATGGATCACAATGTCAATGTAAACATGTTTAGAGAACCCAGCGGATTGATACTTACTCAGAAGTACGCATGTAAGGGTGAACAATAAGATCTAATAATGCGTGTTGTCAATATAACGTCATCCTGTTTCATTTGCTTTGCTGACCTGGAGAATAGCTCTACAAACATGGAAGTGGTTGTTAATACCAATGCATCATTACACTCTGCAACGAGGTATGTTTACCTTGATAACAGTGCCAGCACCTGGCTCGCAAAAGACATGACATAGATCAGCACCCTAATTACCCCAAAACGTGAATTACTCAATCTTTAGCCGTACATTTATCTACCTTACCAGTCGCATGGCAGAAATGGCACTGAAGAAAGGTGCACCCGTATAGCTATCCACGCATACATAATCAACATGAGTGATGAGTATCCATACAAAGACACACATGCATTCTCGATCCTACTCTTCGGAACCTCCGACGACACCGACGCGTCCTGCAAAAGGAGCTACTAAGCAACTCGCTTCTATATACAAGAGTGGTGACAACACTTACCAGCCTGGCCCTTGTGCATTTCACTCGACAATGGAGGAATGAGTTGACGCACCTTGTTAATGTCTGGGATTCGGGATGGCATGGTCAGCAATGGAGCGAGAAAAAGAAAGGTATCAACCAAGTAAAGTTGGCGGGTAAGAGAGAAAAAGAGCAGCGGTAAACCCTTGCATGCTGACAATCTGAGTAAAACAGGGATGATCACTAAATCTCGATAATCACCTCTATGCTTTTCTCTTCAAGTAACTTTTCTTACGAGCTATGATCAATTCATGCAATAAAAGTTATACATATTGAGACGACGAATGCATCAACCAATGTATTTGATAGACTTGTATAGCTACGTATGATGATCATAAAATGAACCTCCTCTATGAGCTTATGATGTCGTCAACGGCTATTAGATCCTCCTTGTTGACATGTTCCCACCATACATTATGCAGGTAACGATCATCCTCACCCTCGCCATCCCATGGTTTGCGTGTTAAGATGAAATGGATATTCTTGACATGTTCCAAACGCCACATTCCAGCATGGGTTACGGGTAGTGTCTTTAGAGCATTGTAGATGTAGGGTAGCTTGACCCATTTTTCATTAAACACCTCGTTCAAGAAATCTTGATCCGGAAATGTGTATGAGGTCAAATTGTTGGTTCCATATATTTTCTCCATGATGGCTTGAAACTTGGCATGCGATGGTCGTAAAACGATCAATCCACTATTAAAGTAATTGACTTTGGCACCCTGGGGGTTATTGTAGGCACAATCGGTAGGGTTCCTGAGAAGAAGAAGAAATCAGAAGGTGTAAAATTGGTCATACATGGATGGATTTAGTGTACCATTCTGGTGGATACGTGCTTGTCTTTTGTGGATTGCAAGTGCACGCATGGCAAGCGGCTATGTGATCTGAGTCTGGGAGAGGTATGTCCATCAATTCATCCATGTTTTGCATCGGCAACATATCGGCATCCATTAACACCACACGTTCGTATTCTTCTTGGTCCCAAGCAATCATCTTAGTCCATGTCTCCGCAAACCGTGGAAATTGATAATTGGTTGTTCCTGGAGGATGAATCGGTTGAATTGGTTTAAGCTGACAACCATAGCTCGATAGTAGTCTCAATGCAGCTTCAGACACGGCAGGTGTGTGTAATACCACCAATGGGTATTGACTACCCAATCGACGTAGTGATTGAGCAACAGTGATGACTCCATGGATATACTTGTTAGTGGTTGTAAGAATCATCATCCATGCCGCTTTGTCCTTTTTTGTCATGTTGCCACCTTGCATGTGAGTGAGGGTGTAATTGGAAGGGGAAAGAAAAAGAAATAAAAGGTTGTCTCCCACACGCACACACGCACACACAAATGCACATCATCTTGCGCTGAGTTTCATCCCGCAGATAAACATTTGCATTGGCCATCATCCTTACACAACCGAGCTTCTGTTATACGTGTATATGGATACCCAAGTTGAGATACGATTATGCGGCACAAAACCATTGGTATTTAAAAAAGAAGGTTCAGTAATACTATTTGTGTCTATATATGGTCCTTGTCTTTTTCTAATACAAGCTAGATGTCGAAAGGCTTCGATGTCAACATCGCATTGTCGGCGCACTGATCGGCGCATTGCCAAGGTTACCTCTCCAGAATGCTTATCCTGGGTTACCGTTACTATTATCTGCTGAGGAGGCCACCCTGTTAATATCAAAAGGTAGCTCTCAATATATACATTTATGTGTACACATCTTGACGTGGCGTATGATTTCGCGTGTTGCATATCACTCGCATGAATAGATCTTGCCGTCATGAACACCAGTGGGAATTGGACGTTTCCGAAAACGGATTTGGATCGTTTGCGTTATCGCGTATTTGAATACTTGTGGTCAAAGCAGCTGTATATTACACGGGGTCTCAAATTCGGTGGCGATTTCATGGCGTATCCTGGTGATCCTATGCGTTTCCATAGCCATTACATTGTACTTGCTATGGAAAGAGACTCCCCTCTTGCACTATTGGATATCATTAGCAAGGGAAGGCTGGCAATCAATGTTAAAAAGACGTTCGTGATCGCAGGACCAGCGGAGGAATCAAGCGATGATGACATAGAGACCTTCTCAATTCAATGGGCAGGCTTTTAGACTTACTCAAAGAAGTTGGAGGTAGATGTCATATAGATACAATAGTATGCAATAAAGCTCGTATTCAAATAGATTGGATTTCTACATTTACTTTGTAATTATCATGTCTATTCTAATATCATATGACTATGGTACACGGCCATTGAGCTCATGTATTTCTTCTGCAGAGGTATTGAGTCGCATGTAATTTCCCATTTGGGTGGATCTCCGTGTTATCCATGTGATAAATCTTTCAAACACCACTCCAACGTCTCTTCCATCGTCATTGCCATTGTGTATCATTGATTCAGCATTTTCCAAATGTGCCATGTACTTGAGGATATCCTTGACGGTCACCAAACCCACTAGTTTTCCACGCTGCTCCTGGAGAATGACACGTGGTCTATTTGTGGATGTGAGCAACATCATCTCAGCTATACCATCCGCTCTCTTTTTCTTACCCCAGCTGCTTGAACATGTCCATGACGGTTTCCAGGTAAAGCTTTGGATGCACGGTGATGGGAGTTTGATCAATGTAAGACCCAAAATCCAAAACTTCAGGTGAACCTTGTATCACTGGATCGCCACTTGATATATTGGAAAGGTCCTCAGTCTCATCTTCATCAGGTTTGAATCGACACAGGGTTTCATTGTTGGCTTTGTTTGTCGACCGAGCCTTATCTATTCATGGGTTTGGTTATTGATCGTGACATCGTAATAGCATGTAACAACTGTATATGTACCAAGCAAATAAGATAACTCGGTTCGACCAATATATCCTAGTAGCAGCATATTTGATTTGTTCGACACCACAGGGAATCCTCGATAATTGCTAGCTTCCAGTAATTCCTCTATGCGAAAAACAATCATCTCAATACCACATGTATAGTAATCCACACATTCCTTACCAATGTCCTGTATACGCATTCCTTTGGATTCCAGCACAACCATGTCTTGTTGCATTACATGCGACACTAAGATGATAGGTTAGTTTCATGGGATACCCGGTAGAGGTCAAGGAGAAAATAGGTACCAGGAACGTCAAACACATGGTCCTCTTTGTCTAAAAATGGATATCCATTGAGGCGAATGTACCGGTCGGCAATGCCTCCACTGCCAAAGCGATCGCCAACAGCACGGGTGATCATGAGAGCAATCTACCACACACATACGTGTCAAATTCACCTTTCAATCTCGTGGGTATATTTGCTTCAACTTACCATGGTGGGAAGAATATAAGTGACCTGCCCTGTCAGTTCAAACATGGTGACAACCACCGAGACCGTAATACGCATGACACCACTGATGAATTTAATAGTCAGTATCAGCCGCTCATACTCCTTTAATACATTTACCATAGAGCAGCAGCAGCACCAAGGAATGCATAAGTGCCTGGCGTAATGCACTACCATCCGCTATTAGTACACGCGCAAGCCCATATCACGGGTTCACTTACAGGAACATCTGGTTTACAGCTTGCAAACAAAAAGAATTGTGGATCGGATCTATCAAATGTCGACAATCAATAATAGCTCGTATCACCTACTGCTACCTTCCAATACTTACTCTTGCCATGCTTTCACCAATAATCCAATCATGCGACCAAAAGTTGCACCGATAGCCATGGATGGTACAAAGATACCACAAGGAACTCTGCAACCATAAGATACGATTGTTCCAAATGTTCGTAAGGCTGTTGCGATGAATAAAAGTCCAACGATCCGCCCAAGCTCGCTTGCCCTATTCACATTTTAGTACCCTATCAACATCCATTCCCTCGATGATAATACTCACTGGCAGAGTCCATGATAATCTTCATATTCGTTTCCTTCGCATTCTCGGAATAGAATCCCCATGATCTCAGTCATATCAATACGCATAAAGACATTCGGGTATGCCACCAGGGCTGTCACGAATGCCAGCACCGCCGCTTCAAGAACAGGGACATCGCGTAAATACTTTTTCCTGAATTGGGCAACAAGGACATTATACTTGATGACGAAAGTTCCATATAGACCCTGAATGCACATGTTAGAGCCTGTATGTATGAAATCACCACGTGACTTACCCCAAATATGCCAATCACAATCACAAAAATGTACTCAAATCCATGCCATTCACGATCATAGCTGACTTGGAACATGACAAGCTTTCCGGTTCTGAAAGGATTCATGGCCTAGTAATATAATGGGACAGCGATTGTAAGAGAATAACGTACCCTATGGATGGAAAGGGAATTTACCTGTAAGACAATGGTTGCAATCATGGCACAAAAGAAGCTCTTCCACATGCTCCGGTTCGAAAAGGTTGATGTCATTTCCTCTAGTGCAAACAATACACCGCCCACTGGTGATCCAAAGGCAACAGCAACACCCGCCGCACTGGAAGCTGTCAGCATTTCTCGCATTTCCGCTGGTAGAAAATAATGGTCATGTGAGCCATGGAGTTGATTGAAACTTGTTAGAAACCAACCTTTGCTTGTTCGATATTTCTGAAAGCTCCTTGATATAACATTGCCAACACAACATGCCATATGAACCGATGGACCCTCTTTACCGATAGAGAGATTGGATGCTACAGCCATGGCCTAGCATTTTGAATTAGAAAGGTGGGAACACTGGGCATCCATATGTATATGACTACTTACCAATCCAACACTCTTCATCATCAAGGTCCAGCCTCCCAAAAAGCCCTTCATCACAAAACCGGCTATATACAAGAATGATTGATTCAGTATGTTGATGGCAACAACGAAAACGAAACGAACTTACCGATGATGCATTTAATCTCTGATATGCCGGAACCAGCGGCATAAGGAGCAAGTACTTTGACAAGGTAAGCACATGTTGTGGCAAACAAGGTCTATATGTATGATGAAGATGAGCCATCAGCTATACACCGTATACTCACTAAAGAATCATCCTACCGCTAGCGCCACGTAAAATAACCATTGGATAACAAAAGCATCGCGACTAAGACCTAGCGTTTGACTCCAATAGACCCAGTATTCGCATCCACCATCTATATATGTAGAATGAGATGAATGATACCAAGGGACATGGTGGTTGTAATGCCTACCATCTTGCTCAATCTCCCAGCAACAATATTTCTGGTTGAGCCACCATCCATTCGAACAATACCCAATCTTGATATCAGATAACCAATCGGTGACTATTGCAATCAAGGCTGAATTCAAGCCCACGGCAGCACCTATCAAAAAGAAAAGAGAAGGACCATGTTAGATAACCCACCACCCCTGGCGCTATCACCATCGTGTCGTATCCTTACCAACAAGTGATACTACAATCCATGTCTGTGTTGTTTCAAAAGTCATACGCCACCATGCTTCCCAGGAATTGTCATTTTGGTTCCGTTTTTGAAAGGACGATTGCCGATAGCGTTCGAGAATGGCATCCTTGACCCAGTCTATTATGTGTGTATGTGTGAGGTGTTAGCCTTGGCAACAGATCTCCTGGTAACGCATCAACACACAGATACCTGCCAATGGTACTAAAGTCCTCATAGCGACGAATTTGAGCCAATTCTTCTTCTAGCTGTCCCTGTGTTTGAGGTCCATTGCCGGGCATGGCTATGTGTTAAGGTCGAGTTATTGTGTGCGTGTGTAATAAAGAGAGAGAGAAAGCGCGATATTCGCCCCCGCGCGCTATCTATTTTGGGATTCAACTTTTTTTCTGCATCATTCAAGCGATTCGCATGTAGCATGTACTGTGGCATAATGATTCATTGTCCGTGTACTACATTACAATAAACACATCTCTATTCGGGTCTTCTTTGATTGGGGAAACTACCAAGTACTACCACATCCAAACAATACTTTTCCAATTCCTTCACTGCATCTTGCACTGGTTGATTTTGATGATGGCCAGAACATTCAACCATAAACACGTAATGCCAAGGGCGTTGTCCACTGGGACGAGAATCAATCTTGAAGAGGTTAAGTCCATAATCCTTAAACACCTTGAGTCCATCACAAAGGGCACCGGGTTGTCGATGATCCACAGTAAAATGAATAAGTGTGTGATCATCGTTCGTGGCATTGTCAGAGGAGGTACCAATCAAAAGGAAGCGTGTGGTATTTGCTATATACGATTCCGTTAGATTTGGATCAGGTCACGTACGTAGGGCCCTGGAACTTACCTGCATTATCTTCGATATCCCGTGCATGAATATCCAATCCATATAAGCTGGCACAAATCTCACTACATACAGCAGCAGCCCCTTGTTCAGCTGCAGCTTGTTCAGCAGCTTCAGCAGTCGATTTGACAGGAATACGTTTGGCATTGGGAAGATGGGTTGTCAACCATTGTTGCGTTTGACCAAGCCCCTGGAGAAGAATGATATCGCTTCAACACACATGCACACGTACTATCCCCCCACCTTTATCTCTCTTTTACCTGTGGATGACTGTACACCTTGGTGATCTTGTCCATGGTACTATTGGATAATAAGCATTGGTGTACCTAGAGGGGTTGAAAATCAGGTGATGTGATTAAATGATAAATGACGCCAATCTCTTACCGTTAAATATATCTCTGCACGCACATGAACGCTGGTCTTGATGAAGCAATCCATGGATTCAACCACCGTGCCGAATGTCGAGTTTTCAAAGGGTACCAAACCATAGGTTGCTTTCTTTTTCTCCACTGCATCAAATACATCTATGATATCGCTTGACATTAGTTGCTTTCTAATGACGATGTGATTCCATCATGTTACCTGCAATCTGCTTTACTGGCATATAGGCAACGCTATCACCCAATCGTTTGTATGCTGCTTGATGCGAAAATGTGCCAGGGGGTCCGAGATAGGCAATGGAGATATCTTTTTGCAAGGCAATCGAAGCCGACATGATCTGATACGCAATGGGTATGATGTTTTCATACATAACGAATGACTATCTTACCTCACGGAAAATAGCATGGAGAGAGTCGTGCGCCAAAGGTCCTTGATTAAGCCGTTCAAGCTAATACGTTGAGGACCATCAGAGGGAAATCGAATCGTTTTCATCGTATCCCATGTATTTACCTTTGCATACACCTCCTTCTCACGTCCAGGCATATATACATGGAGCTCCTTTGTATCACTTTTGCTTATGTTAAACGCCAACCCAAGAGGAACGGTAATGACCATGACAGCCTCACCTGTCGGTTGCTTTTCGCTTGGCAGCACCAATGTTGAGCGATACTTGAGCGCGCTCATTCAGTAAATCGACCAACGTGTTGTCGAGATCGTCAATGCGTTTCCGTAACGAAGATAAATCAGACATGGCGACAGTGGAAAGGATACAGCAAACTCAACTGACGGATGATCTCTTTTTGATAGGCGCCAAATCAAATCAAATCTCATCATTGTCGCCTACCCCACCCCGACCTTGATCAACACATTTCGCCTGTAGTACTTTGCATATATCACCACATCACTGAAACTCCTCTTAGTATAAAGAATTCATCAAAAATACTGCTACTGAATATAAAAGAGTCTCTAACAACGGCGGTAGCCTGTCTATCATGGGAGAAAAAAAAGATCAAGTTTCAGGTCACGTGATCTCTCCCCAACGCGAATATAAAATGGTCCAGCGATGGTGATGGGACTCGAACCCACAATCTTCGGCTCCGGAAACCGACGCGTTAGTCCATTTCGCCACACCACCAACCAGTTGGCACTTGTTTAAAAAAGTATCCATAGTTTTGTCAACTTCGTAAAAAGGAAGGTGATCCAAATCACATCAAACGAGTGTTATTTTATGGCGGAAATCCTGATATGCATAATCCCTTAATGTCGTATGGCGCTGTGGGAGCTCAATGAGTAGCAATTTCGATTTAAACATAAAATGAAACTTGATTTGGCGGAGTTGGAGGGTGGTCCTGCAGGATGCAGGTGGCCATTATCAGAGCTGCTTGCGACAAGAGAGATGAATTAATGATATCATTCTACACAAAGTACGTCAAAGCTGCCTCCTTTTGTCAAAGCTGCCTCCTTTTACAAGCAACAGAGCACTAACTGTGCACGAATGTCGTACGATCGGTAGGTCCATGGCTTGTCAAAACCAATAGCACTGCTTCCCAATTACATGCGTTCATAGGTATACTCGTGATCCAACCCCATCCCGGGGTATGTCGAAAAGGAAACGAATGGATGGCTTGCTTGTTATCTCACATCGCATGTTACTATGGATTGAATCGACTCCATTACACCGTAGTTTTCGGCATCCAGGAACCAACAAAGAGATCTTCGTATGTATATATGAACAAGACAAGTACAATGACAAGACCACTTATTGTGCATGCGTTCTAATAATGAATGGTGCTATAATTGAATAGGTTTTTTGATTAGGCAATGCGTCTTTAGGGCACCGTCATATGTATCTTTGACTCGACTCTTATCCTGTACCATATGGCTATTTGATACAGTACCATCATCAGCGCGCAATAATACTATACGTCCTTCTCGCGAATGATGAACCTGAAACTCAATGGAAGGATCACTTCACTTTTTCTCTCAAGGTCATCCCACTCCTCCTTATTGTATCGCAAAAGCCATATACTTCTTGCATGACCGATAACCGGACCACCTTTATTATTTTATCTTCGAAGCAATAGTATGTAATCCACAAGCTAGAAAAGTCCAAGCGTGTAATAAATAAGCAATGCTTTATTTCATCTAGCTACATTGCCATCATCCTCGTCTTCGTCCTCCGTCACCAATCGTCAATCTCTTCGCCACCCAATATCCAAAGCACACAAGTAGAAAAGGATGTGATCTTGCAGGCTTCCTTTCAAATCTCGTTGTCGCTATCGCCATTTTCGTGGATCTCGTTGTCGTTATTATCGTCATTGCTGTGAATGTGGTAATCATCGTAATGGTCGTCTCTATATATAAAAACAGCCAAATTAGACAAACTGATAACGGGAACGGTGACGATTTGGTATACCGCTAGGCGATCCTCTCAAAGGAAGGAAGCAGCAAATCAGAAGGAATTCACAAACCAAACCACCACCATACGAGCAACGTCGGGCGATCCCTTGTCTTTGAGAAAGCACTGCACGAATCACACAAGGCCAGTTCGGTCCATGGCAAGGAAGGACATCACTTACGTAGAGTCCAGGCTCATAGTTGTCCTCATTCATCCTCTCCAAAGAAAGAATGATCCTCAATCCTTACAATCATTTCCCACCTCATGAAAAGGAATCCTCAAGGGAAAGAACGAGCCTATCACGAGAAGAGCGTGTTGGTTCAACGCATTCACGAGCTGTTGCAAACCCCCTTTTACCTCAACACGGTGACCATGCTCTTCCAAAAACCCATCGTCATCGACCCATCAACTCAAACGCAGGTCTATAGAGCCCTGGACACGTTGCAAGAAGCTTTTCCAGCACACTTGGCTAGTGCAGAGCAACGCAGCGACCACTTGATACAGGCTGGGACTTGAACCCAAAGAGATGATGATGATGCCCCAAGTTGCATTGCCTGACCAAAGAAACCTATTCAATTCATTATTAGCACACACGCACAATAAACACCCTTTTCATTGTTTGTTTCATTGTACTTGCCTTTTCCATATACACAAAGACCCGTTGTTGTTGGTTACTGGAAACCGAAAACCATGGTGTAGTATAGTTGAGCCGAAACAAAACGCCAAACCAGCCAACGTCTTGAAACCAACTTGCCCTCTATACAAGCTGACGAGTCAATGGAACCAATTCGGCTGCAACATTGGACTCTGAATGTACCTGTTGACACCAAGCGTAGAGCGGGAATAGCAACGAGCAAAAGGAAGCAACAATATCGCCATGGCAACCACCAACCACCAACCACGGTCATTCCTCAGCATTTGGACACACACTCACTCCCTGACAATGCATGTTCAGAACTACATTAACACCTCACAGCCAACAAGAGCACTCTTTGATAATACATTACCTTGATCGAGATGTCGTGAATGGAATAAAAGCAGAGGAGTGAGTAAGAGAAGAGAAGCGCTGTCTAAGTCGTGGAGCTACCGGCCCCCAAGTTTAAATCCCCTACTGCTATTACACTGAGGCCACTCAATTACCCTATACACACACTATCCACCCATCATCATCCTCGTAATAGACAATAGGTACACGCAAATAAAAGAAATGATCCTGACGTATAGCAAAAGGGTGTGTGCCATTTTACACTTTACATGATAATGATGATCCAACAACAGCCATTGCCTTTACTACCAGGTTACCTCGAATCAAGAAAGTTAAATGATGGGAATGATGGGCTGGAGCAGGACAATCGTTCGTATGCATTGGATTGGGGAACAATGGAGAATGGGAGGACTAAGGCTATTAGCTGGCATTTTGAACTATTCCGTAATAGTGTACAAGAATCATGCATCGCCTGTGCTGAATGACTCAAGTTACACAAACACGTCCTCTGCATCTTTTGCTCTATTATAGCCATACTACTTTACATTAAACAAAGACCAGTTCTCATATAGCATCACGCTTACAACATAGTAAAAACATAAAGGTGCCTGTATCTCCGAACTTTACAATCAAACGTGGGGTTTTTATTAGAGCAGTATTATAAACTGGCCAACTGCACCTTGGGTGCCAGTTCCCTGATCAAACTTGCTGATCCCAGATTTCGCAATGTTAGCTACCAGCCAAACTGGATCTGGGGGTCGACCTCTTCGACGACGACGACCAAAAATATTTTGGGCTGTTTGCGACATTGAACGTGAAACTTTCACACAAGGTGCTGTTGGCCAAGCCAGGCCATTGCTCTAATAAAAACCCCACGTTCGGGTATGCAAGTTTGGAGATGAGCACCTTTATGTTTGTAAGCGTGATACTATATGAGAAGTGATCTTTGTTTAATGTAAAGTAGCTAGACCCTGACAGAGCAAAAGATGCAGAGGGTCGTGTTGTGTAACACAGCTACGTTTGCATGAATGAAAGGGTCAATGTATAATTACTTTATGGATCATCTAGGAACAGGCTGGTATTGCTAGCTAACGGCCAATTTTATCCAATCATCATTGTTGCGAGATCCACTGCATGGGAACGATGCCCCTGCTCAGACATTCATTTCCATGATCAAAGTAAGCAATGTGCTCGGCTTGGCCAACAGCACCTTGTGTGAAAGTTTCAAGTTCATCGTGGCTAATCCCAGATTTCGCAATGTCGCCACCAGCCAAACTGGATCCAGGGGTCGACCTCTTCGACGACGACGGCCAAAAAATATTTTTTTAAGCTGTTTGCGACATTGAACGCGAAACTTTCACACAAGGTGCTGTTGGCCAAGCCGATCACATTGCTCTATTCAAAACCCCACATTTCATTGTAAAGTTTGGAGATACAGGCACCTTTATGTTTTACCTATGCTGTGAGCGTGATGGAGTTGCTTTTTCCTAGTGGATGGTGTCGGCTGCATTAACGGAAAGATGAAGAGCTGAGTGAACGGCACGTGGTGGTTACACAGACACGTCCTTGACAGGTTGCTACACAAATGGAGGATGATGATGATTGGCTTTTGTGAAGGTACGTAAGTAAAACAGCATCCAACCATGAAGGTGTGTCAAGGTATGTATCACATTTGCATGTAGGAGAAGGTCGAGCTGCATAAACCAATTTGTATATGTAAAAAGATACGTATACATATTGAATGGGTCACTCATCCTGAAACTCAATGGAGGGATCTCTTCACTTTTTCTCTTCTCAAGCTCATCCCACTTCCCACTCCTCCTTATTGTATCACAAAAGCCATGTACTTCTTAACCGGACCACCTTTATTATTCCATCTTCGAAGCAATAGTATGCAATCCACAAGCTAGCAACCTCCAACAAGCGTGTAATAAATAAACAATGCTTTATTTCGTCTAGCTATCTTTGCTATGTACTGTACATTGCCACCACCATCGTCGTAGTCGTCCAAGTCATCATTCCTACTCGTACTCGTCACCAGTCGTCAATCTCATCCGTCACACCTACATCCAAAAACACACAAGTTGAAAAGAATGGGATCTTGCAGGCTTCCTTTTGAATCTCGTTGTCGTTATCATTGCCATTGTTGTGGATGAGGTGATCATCGTAATCGTCTTCTCTATAAATAAGAAAGCAAGCATGTTAGACCATATGATGCCGGGAATGATGACGATTTGGTATACCGTTAGGCGATCCTCTCCAAGGAAGAAAGCAAATCAGAAGGAATTCACAAGCCAAATCACCACCATACGAGCAACGTCGGGCGATCCCTTGTTCTTGAGAAAGCACTGCACGAATCACGCAAGGCCAGTTCGATCCATGGCAAGGAAGGAACATCACTTACGTAGAGTCCAGGCTCATAGTTGTCCTCATTCATCCTCTCCAAAGAAGAAAGAATGATCCCCAATCCTTCCAATCATTTCCCGCCTCATGAAAAGAAATCCTCAAGGGAAAGAACGAGCCTATCACGAGAAGAGCGTGTTGGTTTGCACTGATGTCAAAGCTGTTGCAAATCCCCTTTACCTCAACACGGTGACCATGCTCTTCCAAAAATCCATCGTCATCGATCCATCAACTCAACGCAGGTCTATAGAGCCCTGGACGCGTTCCAAGAAGCTTTTCCAGCACACTTGGCTAGTGCAGAGCGACGCAGCGACCACTTGATACAGGCTGGGACTTGAACCCAAAGAGATGATGATGATGCCCCAAGTTGCATTGCCTGACCAAAGAAACCTATTCAATTCATTATTAGCGCACACACACACACACACACACACACACACACACACAATAAACACCCTTTTCATTGTTTGTTTCATTGCACTTGCCTTTTCCATATACAGAAAGACCCGTTGTTGCTGGTTACTGGAAACCGAAAAGCCATAGTGTGGTGTTGTTGAGCCGCAACAAGGCGCCAAACGAGCCAACGTCTTGAAACCAAACTTGCCCTCTACACAAGCTAACACGTCAATGGAACAAGTTCTGTTGCAACATTGGGTTCTGAATGTACCTGTTGGCACCAAGCGTAGAGTGGGAATAGCAACGAACAAAAGGAAGCAACGATATCGCCATGGCAACCACGCTCATTCCTCAGCACTTGGACACACTCACTCCCTGACAATGCATGTTCAGAACGGTATTAATACCTCACAGTCAACAAGAGCACTCTTTTATAGTACATTACCTTGATTGGAATGTCGTGAATGGGATAAAAGCAGAGGAGGGAGAAAGAGAAGAGAAGCGTTGTCTCAAGTCATGGAGCTGCCGTCCACCAAGTTTAAATTCCCCTACTGCAATTACACTGAGGCCACTCAATTACCCCACAGAAACCATCCACCCATCATTATCATCACCCTCACAGTAGGCAATAGGTGCACATAAATAAAAGCTATGATCCTCACGTATAGCAAAAGGGTGTGTGCCATTTTACATTTTACATGATAATGATGATCCAACAACAGCCATTGCCTTACTACCAGTTCAGCTCGAACCAAGAAAGTTGAATGATGGGCATGCTGGGCTGGAGCAGAACAATCGTTCACATGCATTGGCTTGGGCAACAAAGGTGAATGGGAGGAAGTGGCTGTTAGCTGCCAATTTATGAACTCGTCAATTGCAAAGATGATATTGAGATTGTCCATCTCGTATTCAGTACTTGGTCATGCTCACTCACATACAGGGTTTTTTCCACAAGACCAAGACCATCATCTTATTCATCTTTACTCTTTCTATATCATACACAGTCAAATAATGTAACTCTGATGATAATAAACACGCGATGAATGAGGAATTATCATCCAACCCTTTTCTCGTAAAGGTCACTAGTACATATCGCCCCTTCACCATTGTTCTAATATTATCGGTCAAATATGAGCATTAGATTACCCCCTTTACCACTGTCATCTACAACCCTGGCATTCTAGAGGACATGATGGAGTAAATCATGACTACAATAATCACTTTGTGTCTTATGGCGATCCATCCCGTTACTGAAAACAACGTCCAACATTATCAGTCAACGTCATACATTGCAGGATTTTTTTAGTCATCTACCATTAGAGCTCTACATTTGCGATTTCTCAATCGTGTACGTGTTAAATTGACGTACATGTCGTATAGTGTGGTCTCCAATAATGGTTACCTATGCATCGCAGGAATCTGATGAAACGTGCTCCTGCACCCCACCATGTTACACAGCGGCCGAACCTTTAGCCTCATGACGGGCACGCTTTTACCAGGCTCTGGCATCTACTCGGCGTCGTAGTGTATAATTTCATGCATACCCCCAGATCACGCTGTAGGTAACCTGTACGACTGGGGATGTATCTATTCTTTACAAGAAAAAGTGGGTGCCTTTGTCTCAATGTAGATTGCTAAATACTAAATGAGACAGAGTATGAGGTCTATTGGCAAATGAGGTTATTATCACATTTACATGCAAGATAAGCAATCTTTTTTTTATGACCTGTTTTAGATAGCGTGGGGAACAGAGAACCAGTAAAGGAGTCCTTGTATCGGTTTGATAAGTACGACAAAGGAAATGGTTGGGTGTGACTATATGCAGGCTTAATCATGCTTGACAGTATCTCTATTACGATTTACAGGGTCATTTTCACGTTATCAACTTTTGCTGTTGTCTGATTAAAGCGAAAACGGAGATAACGGAAATGCGGGTTGGTGCAACGTGGGACACGGCTTCCTCAAAGGGATGTGTGTACATTTGCTCCTTCCTCAAGCTGCAATACCTTTATGCAAATTGTATGGTACAAGTCATTTTTTGTTGGTCCGACCGTGCGGGCGTGGGGAAGGTGGCTGTCAAATGGAATGAGCTGTTTTCTTATCTTTCAAGAAGCCCAACTTCATGGATGGCTTTTTGATGGCGACAGAGTGTATCATCATGTGTAGTCAAAAGTTGCTTATTTTGGAGATACCTCTCGTGCGATATAATTTGCCATCATGCAGAGGAGAAAACACATGATTTTTTTGCCTGGGTATGTATATTGTACGCTTGTGCTTGTGTGTGTATGTGATAGTATCTATCACAGTATCTGCGCTACGGAAAGGGTTTTTGCACGGTGGAAACATTCCTTTGTGTTCCTTGTTCATCGGCGATAAACCCCTTACTCATTTACCAAATACTGCCACTGTCACCCTCCGCCTTCCTTTCACCGTGTCAGTTACCAAAAAAAAACTTTGTTAATCAGCCGAAGAAGGATGCTTTGTCCAAAGAATAGTAATTATCTGCTGGTTTGGATATCGTTATTGCAATGTAGATATAGGCAAAAGATGGTATTTACCACCTTTGCTCACAGTGCATCATCTTGCATATCAATGAAATGTGCCCAATGCATAAGGTTTACCACGCCGGGATGTAAGTGTTCCCATTTGTCTCGCTTGTGATTCCAAAAATCTTCATCGTAATGTGATCCCCGTATCCGCAAACAGCTCTTTTGTACACGCATGGTTCACTTTTCGCACGCATACCCAAACATTTGCTTTCTATCAGACAATTTCCATAAATCCCATTCACTTGTTCGTGCGAGTGTAGCAAATTCATTCTGTAATCGGTAGATACACATTTATGTTGAGCCCTATGAGCATTTGGGATAATTCATTTGCGTATATACCATTTCGGAATCGTAGCAGAATATACCCTGGGTCGGAGGGTAAAGTGGCTGTATGTTTGGTAAGGTAGCTGGTTGGGGGGTAGAGGGGAACGGAAGCATGGGCTTGCCTATTTAGGATGAAAATGTGCAAAAAAGTGATAACAACAAAGGAGAAGTGGTTGATCCACCAGCGTTGTTTAATCTTTCTCCAATCAATTTGGTGGTGAGCATGTTACACATGTTTTGATAATAAGCGATAAGACGGGTTGTAGAGCAGAGCAAAAATACTGTTGATTGATCCGATGATGTATGCTGATTGGTGCAGATAACGGGGCAGCGCTATAGAGTGAGTCGACAAGGTGGAAGAGGGGAATGGACCTAAATCATTATCAACCCAGTTTGCATTATCTTTTTCTTTCACCTTTCTTTCCCTTTTCCTTCATGGTTACTGCTACTCATCCATCTACAATTCCATCACCACAACCAACACCATTGTCACCCGTCAACAATAACACAACAAGTATTCCTAAACGCCGCCGAAGGAAATCTGTGTTCCGATGCTCACAATGTGGATCCATGTTTCGCCTTCCACTATGGAGCCGCGAAAGTGGCAAAGGCCCTGTGTGCGATGCATGCAGCAATGGTGGTTGTGCTTCCCATGATGATGATATCCGCCAAAGAGAACGATTAGCTGGTGCTTCATCATCGCCTGATAAACCTGCACCACGCATGCGAGGCCGTAAACGACGATCACAACACGCTGAAGATGCCATCTGCGCCAACTGCCAAACCACCAACACACCGCTTTGGCGTAGAGATGCTGATGGGAATGCTATTTGCAATGCGTGCGGTCTCTATTACAAGTTGCATATGGTCCATCGTCCTATCACCATGATGACCACCGAAATCAAACGAAGAAAGCGTTCCTCTGATAAAAAGCGTGCCAACAAAAAGGATGGTCGTGATACTGGCGAAGCAGGAGCAATGGCAGCAGATCATGTTGAAGATGAACAACGCATGGTGAAAGAACAAGCTGAATCATCAAATCAACGACAACAGACACCAACAGCAACACAAAAATTGACATCATCATCATCATCAGCAGCATCTCATTTATCTTCATCTCATCCACCATTCCCTGGATCACCAGTTTCTAGCCGCGGTAGCATTAGTACTAGTAGTGCTGGTCCATCATCACCTACATTGGAATCCTCTTTCCTTCTTCCACCTTTATCGCCTATGGGATCACCTCGAACGAATAACACATTGCATCATCATTCACACATGTCAAATAATGTCAGCGCCGCCACTAGCACCACCAGCAGCTCCGAGTATAGCACCCAATACCTGCTTGAAAAACGTCATGGGCTTCAACAACAAGTGGCACGTCTTTCATCCATGCTTTCAGACACCATTGCTATGATTGAAGATATTGATACCAGCTTGGCATCTGCTCAACCATCACCATCGCCACCTACATGCCATCGTCCTTTGCCACGTCCCGAGGATGCAGCCAAATCATTACTTAGCCTTGCACGTTTACCACCTCCATCCTCTGTTCTTACCTCTCCACCTATGCGACCCCACCACCATAATACTACTACCACTACTAATACATCACTACCCAGACTTCCTCCTATCACCTCTGTTGGATCATCTCCACCACCACCTTTTGAATTCTCATGAAACCCTTATGTCTAATAAACCTTGGCTGTACAGATTTTTATATACTTGCTTGCTTGCTTATGTGATAAAATAGAAGAATTGAGCCTTTTTGTGCCGAACATGTTGGTCCAGATATGAGCGTGTAGAATGTGATGCCGATCATGCTATTGATAAGCGCTTAATGAAAAGCTACTTCTCGGCTAAGTTATATTTTAGAAATATACCTTGCTGATCATGTAGTCCATGTGAATGAATGATGATAAAGAGGAACGCAAGTAAAGGAGAAAAAGCTTCATTGCAGTGCCATCGAAGTGAATGCTTCCTCGTTTTATCATACATCCTGCTGGAAATAGATTGGATCTCGCATCGTGAACACCTTACTACTACTACTCGACTACTGCAATGACGTGCTCACTCCATAAAAGGCAATTACTTTGGGTATATTGACATCCATCCATCCATCCATCCACCTTAACACAATGAAAGTAAGCACTGAGCCATACTTGTGATAAGCTATTACTATATCTAGCGAACAAAGTGATAGAACGTGCTAGCACTTTTATTGAACGATATACACGTATTGATGTGGTATGTGAGTTTGGTGCAATAATACAATTATTATATATGATAAAAAGGTGGTATGCAAATAAGGGTCGGATATCAAGCAAGGTTATGATTGTTTTGTCATTTGTAATAACCGTAGATCGTCATCGTCATCGTCATCATCGTCATCACTGCTATCGTTATTTGGACGCCAGCGGCCAAATTCTCTGTGCAGTTTGTTGATCGCTTCCCAAAGAACATTTTTGCATTGTGCTTGGTAGGTTGCACCATATTGTGGATGACGAACGACTGCTGGCGTTGATGTGACAAAGACAGCACCGGGGTCTTTATGGAGTTTGTATCGTGAGCGTAAATATGGAATGATGCGTTCGATGACATGCTTGCTTTCTTGTTCCATGCGGGATGTGGGCGTATTGGATTGATCAAAGACAAATAAAAGATGCTGTAGCCATTGATCGTTGTTATCTTCGGGCATGCAGTTCTGTAAAACATCCATTTGCGTATAAAGCGAATCACTATGAAGGTAGCAAGGTTAGACACATGCTTCATCACCACCACCACCACGACCATCATCAGCAGGATACTTTACAAGTTGGACATGTTGGTATAGATCAATAGCGTGGTGATACCCAAACGATGACCAAGAGCCATAAGTTCAGTTTTGCATGATCGATCAGCTGGAAATTGCATCAGGGTCAACAGCGTGTCGTTGTTACTATTCTGGACGCTCCATTCAACATCGTACAAGTGCTGCGCACAAATTACGCGATTTAGCTATGAGGATCTAGGATCACCTTTTATAGGTCCCTTACCTCGCACGGATGATCGAAAAATAAGCGAGCGCAGTTGGATGTCTATCGCCACCCACCATAAGTTAGTCGATAAAAGAATCATCATCGTCCCGTGATTGTACTATACCATCCCAAATGATGCCACTGAAAAATGCTGTTGTTTTGGTTCAATAGTGCTTGTATTTGATGGTTCGTCGTCGTCGTCGTCATAGGCGTTGGGTACTTGGTATTGAGTTACTGGGATACGGATATGTTGGGATCGAATAGGTGATGTCGGCTCGGGAATGGAGAAGGTGGATTGCCGTGAATGAGTCGAACTAGACGATGCCGAGGATGCAATGGAGCTGTGATGGGAAAGTCTACTGGGAGTAACAACGTGTATGTTGTGTTTGGACTTTAAAAGAAGTTAATAAAAGGGGTTTTGGGATTTATTAAAAGTCTTTGTATACCTCGATTGACATGTCATCCAATAGTTTATCGAGGCTCCAGACTGATGGATCTTGTCGATGCTGCATAATAAAAGAAAAAGGAAAGGGGGGATGAGGAGGGAAAAGAAAAATTAGGAACCAACTAAAACTATTCATCATTTGCGGCGCAGCCAGTTCATCTATTAAAGACGCCATGTGTCACCATTGATATGATGTGTGCGTGTGCGTGTGTGATATCAAGTTTTATTGGAGGAGTGGAGGGATATAAGATAGATAGATACAACATGTTATTGTGCTCGTTGTGGATGACAATAAACACGTCCTTTCTCGAGAAGTGTGTATGGCATAGCATTGTATACAACAAATGGTGGACAAATACAAAACTCAATGACCCCTGATTTGAGACCTTGTTCTTCCTCCATAAGAGCCGGGTTGAATAATTGAGTGCCTTCTTGTACAAGGGTAGCAGCAATATCCACTTCTTGACCTTTCATAGCAAATCCAAGTTGCAAGGAAAACTCGACCAACTCACGCACTTTGTGTTCATATCGACGCGTAGGATCATTCTCCACCTTGTCATATTGTTGCATGTAAGGGTATGCTTCGTTGAGATTCTTGTATAGCCCTTGAATCGTTTGACGAGTCTCCTCCTCGAGTAATGTATTGTTTCGATCCTTTGATGTACGCACAATGGCACGTGCAAGTTCCTGACGCAAACGTACAGCCGCATTACGATCATGATTCTTCAGCCACATTTCAAGTTGGTTGTATTGCTTATGAGGTGGTAAGCCCGGGAACTTGTAAGGTGTCATGTTGAGGATCAAAAAGTCCATCATATACTTTTCAGTAAGCATTCGAATCTGGTTCAGCTTCAGAGGAGTGCCCATTTGCTCGATAGGCTCGCGTAGGTTGAGCCAGAAATCACGTAGAGTAAATGTAGCTCTGACAGGATCGACATTTTCCAATAAATCATCAGCCAAAGTAGAAATCATATGTCTCAACTTGCGAATCTTGGCACTGATACTGGTGAGATCATCATCGGTTGCTCTCAATGATCGCATATGATCCTCATAACTTTTTTGTAGCTGTTCACGTGCTTGCTGTCTTTGTTGCAATCGTTCCTTAAGCTGTCCAAGACGATCCATCAATGCCCGACAATCTGATCGATATTGTTGCCGTTCAATCTCGAGATTTTCCAATCCAAGTCGTTGACGTCGTAACTCGGCACGTAGTTGATTCACTTTACTATCCACTCCTGTAGCTGGCTGTGTACTTTCTTCATCAGGTTGTGTCGTGTTGGTACGCACAGATGCTTTACGTTCAATACCCACAGCTCCTCCTTCGCCACCTGTGGGTGATGGTGATGATGATAAATGCTCACTCGAGTTGTTGTTGTTATTCAGGTCATTCGTTGCGTTGTTGTTGTTGCTATCCGAGAGAGTCGTCGTTGCCGTGGTAGCAGTAGGAGTAGGTGTGGTAGCTGCAGTAGCTGCTGCAATGGGAGAGACAAGGTTGTTTTGAGGAGATGTGCCAGCTATAGAGAATGAACGTTAGCCAACGAAATAAAGAAGCATAATACATAAAGTCCATTACTTACTGGACATGGATGAAGAGAATGGGTCAAGATGATGGTCTGTTGAAGGGTACAAGCCGTGGCTTTGTTGGTGTTGCTGGTCAACCGCTGCTTGTGTTGCATCAGGGTTGCACATGTAATTGCCACTCCAGATATAAGGTTCATCACTCTCTGATGCAGGTGTCTTTTGCTTTTCCTTCTTTTGATGAAAGAACATGGAAATTCGTGATACAACTTTCTTTTTGCTGTTACCACCATCGTTATTGCCGCCGCTGCTGCTGCTACTGCTGATGCTGCTATTATTCATCTCTTCTTCCATGTCATCTATTTGAATCGTTGGTTGTTGGTGTTGATCCTCGTTTGATATCGTTTTCAGCATGCTTAAACTTGTTTCAAGAGAAAAAGAGAGACAAAATCAGTTTGTTGCACATAATTGTTCCAACACATCCATATCTATGACCGCCCATTATTGAGTGGTCTCACTTGCTCTCAGGGCCTAGCCTTTTTTTTAGTGCCTGTCGATCGTTCTTGCAATGGCATTTCCAAAATGATTGGCCCTTACTTCCTTTCAAATTGTCGCTGCTTGAATTAGAGCTTAAACTAGCTCGATTGTATTTATGGCAACAATCCATCCTATGTGTGTGTGCCACTCTCTCAGTTGCATAACAATCGAAGGATGAATTGCTTAACTCCTTGGATACCATAGCCATCAATGACAAGTGGACTCTGAATAGCCTTATTTATGATCGTGATGATATGGGCGTATTCTAATCCTAATGAATTCAACATACTAATCGAATAAATGATTGCATATGGGCAACTTTACAAGTTACGGGTATAGGAAAACAAGTGGATTGAAACGTCTAGGTTTTATTCGAGATTTAAGCCGCACTGACCACCACCTTAACAGAATGACCAGCAATAACAACCTGATGTTCACCCAACGATTTGATACGGCCATCCTTGAATTCGACTGAATGCTTATCAATAGTGATGCCGAATTCATCCTTGAGCTTGCCGGCAAGATCATCCGCTGTTACCGATCCGAATGTGTTTATGCTGTCTGGAACCACGGCACGCTTGAAGTCCAAAATACTTACGCCAGCAAGCGTAGAGCCCAAGTTGCTAGCATGTTCACGTCGTCGAGCTGCTTTGACAGAGGATGCCTATCCAATGGAGAAATAAAACGCTAATCAGCATATAGAAGGATCTCTCTCACACCTTTCCAATGTTAACCTTATCCTGTTGAGCTGCCGATAACTTGTCTTGCTCCTCCTTTTGACGATTACGTGGTCCTTGATGCATGTTGATATAGTTTGCCTTGCCAGCAGGATACAACACATTTCGCATCAATCCAGCTTGGGTATCCATTAGTAGCTTGCACAATGAGATATCGCTTTTTGTATCACTTACGACGGACAGCAACAACATCACCTATTCCATATAGCTCCTATTAGAAACATGCTCACTCATGCTAGGATAGATATAACACACATACCAGCAACACCTACTCCCGGTACATACTCATGCAGTTCTACTTGAATGGAAGGCTTCTTGTGTGCAGCTCGCTGTCAAGGGTTGGCGATTAGCTATGATAAACCATACATTGTGTCATTAGCTCTACCTTAGCGATGGTGATGGGCTGACGGCGAGCAACTAGTTGACATCCTCGAGTCCAAAGGAACATTGCGCAATGAAGTAGGTTGGCAGGGGTTGAAGAGCAATGGAATTAAAAGGTAAGAGTGGCTTCGCAGAAGCACCTCCGCCGATGAAGGAATCACATGACCACATACACAATCTTATGAATGGGCTTTTGGTACTTTATTACATCACCAGCGACACTGCCTAAGAGAGAGAGGATGTAACACTCATCAACGTCAATGTATGCTATGCTGTTCTATCCGTCTAAATTATTATGACTTGTCGGCTGCAAGTGGACAGCAAGCATTTTCATTACAAGAATCCCCTTCGCACCGCAATAAGCAGGCTGATTCACTTGCTTTAAAGGACTATAATAAAGACATAGCATATTAAACATGTGCATTACTAGTACGCTCCTTCCCATAGACACCTTACCAATGTATCGGTTTCTTCGGTATACGTTTCCCGAGAAGAAATCATTGATGTTGAGGAGCTCAAAGATTTGCCATTGAGAAATTCAGGTTGAATAGTAGCTGAATGAATTCCACGCCTATGCAGTAATTTTCGCATATCGGATGCTATAGCCATGTAATCGGATGGCGACTTGAGTAAAACATGAAGCGAAGCAATGTGCTTTGTATCTGATAGCTGCCATATGTGTAATTCATGGACCGATAAAACCTCTTTCAGCTTTAAGATAGTCAATATCCACTATTCATTGCTCTTGAATCATCAAAAGAGACCATGTACTTGCCTGAGAAATGTCATTTCTAACATCATCAATGGCTATGCTGCTAGCTTGGAGTAGAATGTTGCTTGTTTCTCGAACTAAAAACACATCATTCATGAATGGACGTCCTTAGTACAAGAACACCTTTCCCCCCTCCTTGTGTTACCCAAAGGGATGGCAGCTATGAAAAGCAGAATCGCAATTACCAGACTATATATATGTATGTGCATCCATGCAGCATGTACGTTGAATAAGCCCCCGATCAAGTACCATATTTAGCATAATTTACCTCACAAGAGCATCCATGTAGAAACGCCAACTGAAGTCTGTCAGCCACACAAACAGTGCCGTTGCAATAACTCCAAGGTTGCCTAGTGCATCACCCATAACATGCAGAAATATCTATGCGTGGTGTGTCAACAAACAAATAAAAACCCAACTAAGAATAGCCGCATTTTTTTACCCCTTTCATATTCAAGTGACCTTGTTTCGGATGCTGTTCGCCTTTTTCACTGTATATTTCATTTTCATCATGATGATGGTGATGATGATGCCCGTGTCCATGCCCGTGACCATGCCCGTGCTCTACAGTGGTTGAATGTTTATTTCTGGGTCCTGTTGCCAATGCCGGTTCATCCATACCTCTGAAAAGGAGTAATCCTATAATATTTCCACCAAGGCCGGCACATGCCGTAATAAGGACCAGTTTAGGATTGGTAATAGGTTCTGGCGAAACGAAACGTTGAATGCCTTCAATGACGATCATGACACAAAGGGCTATTAAGAACGCTGCATTAAATAACGCGCCAAGTATTTCTGCACGTTGCCATCCATATGAGTATTTGGGATCAACCTCCGTTTTTGACACCGCCTTTATAGTATAGCAAAAGGTGTCAGAAGAAAGGTAGGGTGTAGTAGATGATGCAGCTTACCCGCATAGCCCATAAAGCGACAGCCAAACTAAGCATATCACTCAGCATATGGAATGAATCAGCGACCTATTGTTGTTAACAAGCTATTGGTAAGGGCAACTACTTTTTCGTGACTAGTGGGATCATCATCACATACTAGGGCAAGGGAACTGGCATAATAGCCGACGGCAATTTCTGCCACAAAAAAGGTAGCATTGATGCTTAGCATGAGCGAGATTCGAGCTTGTCGTCCTAAACGTTTCATGGTAATAAAAAGACAAGCCAAACCAGGGCAAGCGGTACGAAAAGGGTGGAGGAAAAGGGGAAAGATATGAGAAAGAAAAAGGGAGGAACGAACGATGCTCGACAACATGCATAACACCAAAACGATGTTGTTGTTGTTGTGTTGTTGAAAAGTAAACTATCCCCCTTCTCCTGAACCACAGTCCCAGGAACGTCGGGTCGCTTTCGACTTTCCGAGACCTTGAATGAATACATTGAATACATGTACATTTCTTATAACTATGTAGTTGCTGTAGCATGATAGGAAGGGAAGGAACCCCGGTTACATTTGCATATTATAACGCCTAAAAAGGTAATCGAATATGTCTTGAGACTACCATTCAAGTTGGGCCGAAGATTGAAATATAAGCGAAGGCGAAGAAACGGCATTTAATACATGAATTCTTAATAAATAAAAAAGAAAGCGATAGACACGAGCAATGTAAGGTGGGTGCCCGACTTTATTTTTTCGGGAAATAAAGTACAAAAACTGATGTATCGTCGAGGGCATAGTTACAAGAAAAACCGAGGGGAAAGGAAATACAGCAGTAGACATGGAAAAAGATTCTTGCAGTTGTGTTTGGAGGGGTGTTTGGGGTAATAATAGAATTCGGGATGGAAGATAGAATAGATATCATAGACCAGATGAGAGGCGGATAGGGTATTGAATGAAAGTGGCGGGTTAGAATGACGAGGTGGTAGTATCAAGGCTACTTTCCCAGAACATTTGCATTTGACGTAGCTGATGGGAGCTCTTTTCATCCAAGTCATCAAGACCCCACATGATTTCCTTGACTCGTTCCTCCACTTCACCTTTTTCGAGGACAACTGCATCATCATCATCCTTCTCTTCCAAGAACTTGTTTATCCGTCGGATGTCTTTACGCACCTCATGTACGGTCTTGGCAATCGATCTCAATCGCAAGCTAAGTTCTTGTACTTGTCTCTTGCTGACGTACATGATTTCCTTGAGTTCTTCGAGAGACTCGGCCATTGAAGTCGTTTCAATATTCAGCTTGCGAATGGCTGGAAGTGGATTTTCATACAAGTAGGTTTGATCATGCAAGGTTGCTTTCACAGAAGAAAATAAGCCTTCCAATTCGCGTATGGTATCAGCGTTCATCCAAATGAGATCCTTTCTTATAGAGCTGTCGACATTACGCAAGTAGCTGGTTTGTCGTTCACGATCCCTCGAGCGATTTTCCACGAGATTGGCCACGGATGTAATAACCAGTTCCAAAGGTGGAGCAAAAGAATTGTTGCTATGGTGACTCTTTTGTCGCATATCATCAGCTTGCAACATGTTGAGCAAGCGCTTGTGTAAAGTCTTCGTTTCCCAAACGGCGGTGTTGAGCTCTTCCAATTGTCGTCTTAGCAGTTCGAAGGGATCATCATCTTCAGCATCCAAGGAAGACCAAGTAGAAGAAAAAGAGGAGCGACGACTACGACCATATGCACTTGTGGAAGTACTCATAGCAGAAGACCATTGTTGAAGAGGAGACGCGATAGGACTCGTTTGTTCTGCAAAGGCTGGATCCATACCTCGGGGGAGTCGGGTGACAGGATCGTCGTCCACTCCGACCAACTTTTGCAGGTCGACCATGGAAGGTTGGATAGGCTTGCAATAGGAAGGAACGTCGCAAAGTGAACTCGACAAGCTTCTATTCATGGCCATCGATGCTAGCTTGCTGTTGCTTTGACTATGGCCGGTAGATGGTGGAGGAGAAAGAGGTGGTCCATTGGTAGCAGAATGTAATTCAGCAGCAAGAGATGAACCCAAAGGTGCTTCCATAAAATAACTCTTATCGAGCAGTTCATCTTCTAACGTTTGTTCAGCAGCGAAGGCATCATGTTCGAACAGGGAATCTGCAATGTGTGTTTCAGATGCCATGGGTCGGAGGAAAGCGAGGCGCTGGGTATAGACAAAGAGAGCGAAAGTAAAGAAAGAAGGAGACGAAAACAGGTGTTGGTGTTTGAAAATCTTAGTGACACTCTCTCTCTTAGCGTAAAAAGTCACATGATAATAGCAGAGTGGCTGCTGGTTCATCTCAAGATGCAAGAAGGGTATCGGCATCGTTAAATAGGGAGGGTGTTTGGCCTTCATGAAAATGACATTGCTTCATCATCATCATCAGTAGTGCTTAAGAAACATTGGATAGTCGATGCTAGGTACGCTCCAATCTACCCAATAAATGGTCTCTTTCTCTTATCCTTCAGCGTAATACACATACATTTATGCAAGCTCTACAACACGTGGTAGCAGCGGTAAATCGCTCCTTTGAATGTTTCATCTACCCATTATTACTAAGCATGTCATGGCTGCAAGGTGTGTATCTCCCCAATAGACTAAGCGATTTGACATTACAAAAACATTGGCGATAGGATAACATCCAGCACAACACTATAAACCGTTCTTTTCCAACAAAGGCACCATTGTTCTTCACCAAAGTCAAAGTGGATAAAAATAAGGATTCATCTATTTTTGATGAACGACGGGTAACGTACATTGGATGGATTGATAGCAATTATGATATTCTACCACTAATTGCCACCACGGAGAGCCAAGACCAAATGCAACACGGAGCCACCAACGATAGAGTATTCGTTTGCAGTCATTTCATCAGCCCTAGAATGAAAATGCATCAGCTGATCTATCCCAAAGACCATACAAGAGTATTACGTACATCTGTTTTCCGCTAAAGATCAAGCGTTGCTGCTGTGGAGGGATGCCTTCCTTTTCCTCGACACGCTCCTTGATGCGTGAAATCTTGTCGGTGGGCTCAATGTCGATATCAATCTAATAGCCAGCCAATGTAAGACCCAGTCCTATCATTCCATGAAGAAATAAACTTGCCTCCTTGCCGGTAAGAGTCTATTTCAGAGTGTCAGTATTGGAGATGTCTACAATCACCCGCTCAACATTGCTACTTTACCTTGACCTTGATTAGCATTTCGGAAGAGACGTGTATGGAGCCAATTTGCAGTGCACAGCGCGAGGAGGTATGACGCTAGTAGTCCGACTCATCGCCGCAGTTTAAAGTTTACTGACATCGAACAAGCGTGTTACCACACTCGGATGGCTGCTTCCATTGACTATCTACAAGCATCATTCCATTCCATTCCACAGCTGTTGTTTACCATCACCAAGCAATCATGGGACGTTGTCAAGCGAATACAGCATATATTAGCTAGGCATTTGGATGAATAGAAAGCTGTTTGCGGTGAACCCCTTGAAGCACATGTATAATGGAGATGTTGTTTGGGTCGTTATTGATAGCTTGCACGCATGGATGAGAATCATTACGTTTATAATTGGGATATAGAAGGGGAGGATTATCGCTGATGAGATGATACTATTAAGTATGGATCAAGGGCTGGCAAATCGTTTTATAGGAGAAGAATGGTTTATTCATCAATCAGGTACGGTCGCCAAACAAAACATGGTCTTGCTTGCTATTAGCAATGATTTTCCGTTTTGGCTCCATATTAATTTGCGAACGTCAAAATTGGCTGCATGGAAAGAATGGTATAAGCGATTGCTGATAAAAACGAGGGTTGGGTTCTTTTGTACTTACATGCTTTAATCGAGAGATTTTTCGAATGAGGAGGCTGTCTCTTGATCAACAGGACATGATTACCGCCACAGCTTGTAGCCAACGTATCCGGGTCTTGAGGATTCCAGGTGATTTGCCGAATAACTTGTTGATGTATCACAACCAAGCGGCAGGACATATGAAGAACATCCCATAACCATAGCGCTGTTGGCATGCTATCTATACAAACCATTTTTGCGTCACTCGTGCGTCGTATATACATCCTAGCTCAAGCAACTTACCGTCAAATGTACACAAGTAATGGCCATCAGAACTGAACTGGCAAACACTCACACCTACTTTGGGGTTGGCTGTATTGTAATCTGGACGCACTACGGGTATATCAAGCGGTCGCCGTGATAGTGGGTAAACTACCGTCAAAGCATGATTAATACCTTGTACATCTTGGGGCTTTTCATGACATCTTACAGCTTGGATTATTATCTGTACGCCTTGATGAAGAATCAGCTTGGTATACGAAGGCCTGATAACCTGATTAGTATGGCGTATTATCCATCGCCTCCACTAGACTCACCTCAGTATCCGCTTGAAGCAATGACGTTTCATGAGAGAGTGTTCCAACAATTTTCCAATCGGAGGTGCGTAGCAGGCGTATCTAGATACTTCATGTCAATGTGTATAGCATCCCAAGATTGCAGCATCATACCTTTCGATCGTAACCACCGATAGCCAATATGCGTGAATCAGGACTACATGTAATGCTTTTTATCCCTAATCCATCTTCGCAAGCTTGATATGAAGCCTCGTAACCTCCATCAGGCCGATAGACGAGAAGATTATACTAGGATAGAATCATCAATGCTGTGATCTCTCGCAAACAAGTCAATATGGCTTACGTATAATGAGTGATCCCACACCACCAAATATTTTCCATCCGGGGTCCAGCATAGACCAGCAAGATCATGAGTATTTGTCGCAAAATGATGAAGTAAAGTAGCACCAGAAGATGTGTATATGCCAATGTAATCCTTTCCTTGACCAAGTTCAGCGATGGCAATGTATCTACCATCAGGACTAGACTCGCACCCCTTGTCATGGAATTTTGGATGTTTGATGTAACGGACTTGTTGATCCAGCAACAGCCACACTGATAAACGCATCTTTTCTCGAATGGATTAGCCTCTTCATCCATGGATACGAATCAATCCAACAATGCTCTTACATTTTGATCTGAGCTACAAAGGATGCTAGACGAGTCAGGGCTCCACCAAACGCGACGTATTCCAGGCTCCATGATTTGACCACGCCAATGCGTATCATCCAGCGACCACGCTTCAACAATAGCTTTATCAAAGTTGGCGGTGCAAATACATGTTGAATTCGGTGACCAAGCAAGGTATTGGGCGGGATACGTGCACTGAAACACATGAAGGACTGCTGGTTCAATGCCATTGGTGCGAATCACAAGACGGTCGTTCGTGGCAACTGCAATGTAGGTTCCATTGGGAGAGAAGGCGCAATGGTGCGATGTATACAAGTGGCTCGTGTTCATGTAAAAAGAATGCTGCCGAGTGTCAACGGCTCGTGCCACAGTGGCTGTTATCTTTGTTGGCGGGATGAAAAGAAGGACCAAGTATCTACTTTGCTGTCAGAAATAGATTTTGATGTACGAGCCCATCACCATGATACCACCCTATTGCCTAGCACCAGGAAGTATGCATGACATGTTACGTAAAGGAAACTCGAGGATTTGGAAAACGCTTCACCATTGTATCACGTGCTGTATATACTCTTCTTTCGTACAATGACCCTCTTTCATTATGACATACAATAAAAGGCACTTGCATTATCCGTAAACGAAGCAATCAAATTTATTATGCGAATGTCCTTGTCACTCTAGTAGATTAAATGTCTTTTCCCCAATCATCCATCTCTTCGATCACAGTAACCGTTGTTAATGCTGTGTTGGACTTGAATTCTGTTACGTTCGATTCCTTTTGCTTTTCTTCCGAGGCATCTGGTGTATCGTCGTCTTTTCCAAAGAGTGTTATTTCCTCCTCATCCTCACTGGGATGTTCTCCTAAGTAGGATGATGTGTCACTGAATCGGTCTTTACTAAGTGCAATGTTAACAAACCTTTGATCATGGCCTGAAGAGCCGCCATTTTCTCCTCGACCTCCCTCCTTCGTTCAGCTCGTAAAATTGCTCTATCTTTGATTTTTTCTTGTCGTAACCTTTCATCATATTTCTCCTTTGCTTTTCTTTTTCGCTCTTGCTTCCGTTTCCGAAATCCCGTCAAAAAGTCTCTAAGATCCACAATCAGCATTGGACCCCATGCCGGATAACAGACAACATACTTTCGCGATGCAGGATCGAACTCTATCGATTCGACAACCTTTTCCTTTTTTCTCCTCTTTTTAGCATAGGCTTTCGCACCGGCTGTGAGAATCTCGGTATTGGATATCTTGGGAGGCATTATATAAAAAAAGCTATACTATTCAGCCCGCATGACAAAAGGAGGGGGATATCAGCGAACACTCAGAAACAAGTCACTCTTCTTCAACGCTACATGAAACCTACCTTAGCTCGTCTTTTACAATCAACCCATCATGTCTTTGTTTGAAAAAAAAAGATCATTGTATTACAAAGTACCATTCTCTTGCTGTGGATGTGATGGAGTTTTGAAGTGCATGTGGCTCGTGTTTGATGGTCTCTATGCTCTCTTAGCCATACCACCATGTTTGATTGTGATAGTACGAGTGATATTCTTGTCAATTCCCATCTTTGTGATTGGTATGTATATGGAAAGCAGAGCTTTTTATTTGTTAAGGATGTCGAGCACACTAGAAAAAGGATGGTGCTTGGGATTGAAATACCATTATTATGCAAGTAACCAACATGATGGCATGTCCTTGAATGCATACGCTAATCTACTTCCCAAATACAATTGTCACGATCATTTACCAAGAGAAGCTTTATTGATTACTAGTATACCAGAGACATGTCATTTTTCAGGTTGCATGAACAACATTGTGGTACAGTAGACGTCGTGTTTGAGATTATCACGTGATCAATTGCAAGTGATGTTTTCCCGACTGACAAATGGTTGGGTACCAGGTTGCTCTTTTTCTGCCCAAAAGGTCTCAATCAGCATGGTGTTGTACTTCGAAAGCAAAGGTAAACTAGCAGCCAATCTAAACCATTTGGAAGCATTTCTCATGCCATGTTGCTTTCTAGTGGTGGATCCTCCTGTTACAATTTATATGGGCAAGGACAAGTTTGAAAGTAGGCTATTCAAAAGGCTCTATCTTTTTTCTGGTGTTAACGGTATATCTAGATGAGGACCTTATCAAGTATGGGTTTCCTGAAGATGTCTGGTAAGCCCCTTTTTTTGGGAAGGCGTATCCATGGAAACGTCAAACCAACGATTTCTTCTCTGTCTCTGTCTCTCTCTCTGAATAGGGTAAGGCTCAAGCATAGGGTTGTATCATAATAAGGTACCGAGTTTTTTTACACTCGTTTATAGTTTCACGTGGACAAATTATCTAGTGCGCACGTTTATGTTCGATTGGAGCCGGGTCAAACTTGGGATGACATTCCAGCCGCTGTTGTTGAAGACTGTGCACAGCTAGTAAAGGCCAACAGTATCGAAGGCAACAAGAGGAACAACATCACCGTGATATATACTCCATGGGACAATTTGAAAAAGACACCCGGCATGGAAACTGGTCAGGTCACCTTTTACAACCATAAGAAGGTGCGACGCGTGCATGTAGAGAAGCGAATCAACGAGATTGTCAACCGGTTAAATAAGACCAAGCAAGTGCGTGAAGTGGATTTGATGCATGAAAAGATCCAGCGAGAAAAGATTGATCGTAAAAAAGCGCGTCAAGATGAATTAGTAATGGTTTGTAGATTGGAGAAAGATAAGTATTAGGCAATTTATTCATATGGATCATGTAGAAAGAAGAAGCACGAAAGTTGGCTGAAGAAAAGAGAAAGGCTGAAAAGGAGATTCAAGACATGTTTGATGAAAACAAAATGCATAGCAATTGGCGAGAACATGAAGTGGAAGATATCAATGCAGCTGAGGAAGATTTCATGTAATACAATAAAAAGGAGGTTTTACCATTGCAATGCTTTATTTTCTTTGACAGGACAAGATTCAGATGGTACAGGGCAAATGTTGAGAGTAGAAATCCCACCTCCTGAACGACCCCCTTTCTCTAATGCAAATTCCCAATAATGTAAAGTGCACATCAGCACAGGCCCAATCTCTGGAGGATACTCGTCTTCAGCTATCTCGCCCAAGTAGCTTAAATCTGCTCCTGCATGTGGACAATATCGATCAGCTGTGTATTTACGCCCATCACTCAAAGTCAATAATATCCGTTCGTTGTCAGATGGATCCACTTCAATTGTTGGTTCGTTTTTGGCATCATCAACATCATCACTCTTTTCATCAGTGGACACCGTGGCTGAGACCGGCTCTTGTTTTGCTGGCTGTGGTGGCTGTTCCTGCTTTGTTTCTCTTGATAAAGGTTGAGTGCTGGTTGGCTTCTCTTGCTCTATAGGTTGCTGATTGACGCTCGATTCATTGCCATTCTCTGGTTCATTGACTCGCTTGTATCGTATAGTGGGAACGAACATTTGTCATAAGAAAGCAACATCTCCGCCGATCATTTCAAGATCTACTGATATAAGATTGGACTGTAATCAGGTGACTTTGATATAGATGGTGTGTGTGTGTGTGTGTGTGTGTGTGAGCGAGAGAGAGGAGGGATTGCGACTTTATTTGTAGCGTTTTTACACAATGACATAAAGTGGGTATTGGATCAAGGCTTTGTTGTTGAAGAAGAGATGCTTTCAGATGTTAATGATGATGCTGGGGGAAGTAAGCTATCTGCCGTTGTACGCCTCCTTTTGGTAGGGCTTGCTACTGAATCGGCACTCTGACCATCATCAGAACGTACGTCGTTTGTATCGGATTCTTCATCACTCAAAAGTTGTTTGACTTGTTCACGTCCTCGTACTACTGCTCCAGCTGAATGTTGACCTGCATTTGATAAAAGTTCTCCCTGGAGACCCAAATTTTCCTTGCCGATCAATGACTGATGCACATGCTCAATCGATTTGAAATATTTGACCGTCTGCCATTCTTTAGAGTTAAATCCCCCCTCCAGATCTTCAGCCCAATCGATAAATTCATATCACTCACGTACCTTAACATGTAATTCCAATGTTGCATCTTCATCACAGACGATAAGTCCTTTTGGGTGCATTTGAATAGCTGATACAGTCCACATATGGTTGACGCCTTCTTCAACACATTTTGCTAGAGCAATACTACACAACAACATGACGAGTAAGAAAAAGGGGTACACTTTGGAAAAGAAAACTTCAATCTCTTACCTCTTATGGGCACCTGTAATGATAATACATACTTCACGGGCATCCATGATAGTCCTAATGGGTCATCATGTGAGTGGTCTATTGTTTCATAGGGGAACGAATAGCCGATACATACGCTACACCCACAGTCAATGCCAATTTCGGAACTTTAGTAATGTCACCATCGAAAAACCTTGCATTGGCGATGATTGTTTCATAAGCTAAGGTCTTGACACGGGTGCGAGAAGTAAGAGATGATCCAGGTTCGTTGAATGCAATATGACCATCGGGTCCTATACCACCAAGAAACAATTCGATACCACCATGAGCTAGGATAGAAGCCTCATAACGTCGGCATTCCTCATCCAAATCTGCTGCATTGCCATCGAGCACGTGGATATTTTCTGGTAGAATGTCGATATGTTGGAATAGATGGGTCCACATGAAGGAATAATAGGATTCAGGATGGTCGCTGTTATCCATTTATGCAAAATAAATGTGTGTGTGCGTGTGTGTGAGCATTTCTCTATCACTATGGGAACCCAAGTCGGAGGGAACTAATAACCCATTGACGCATGATCCTTACCGCGGAATACCCACGTATTCATCCATATTGAAGGTAACCACATTTTTGAATGACAATTCCCCAGTCTTGCAAAAGTCGGCTAAGCGTCGATAGCATCCAATCGGTGAAGACCCTGTTGGAAGGCCGAGTACAAAAGGTCTTTCCTTGGTAGGTTGAAACTGCTTGATTCGTTCCTTGATGTAGTGTGCTAACGAATACCACTCCATGAGTGCCTGTCATTTCATAATGGACGTCTCTTCCGTACCTATCCAAGAAGATACTTCTTCGTAATCTTGTCGAACAACAAGCCTCATTAAGTATAAGCAACTGTGTATATAGGAGAAAAGTAGGTGGAAGAAACGCTTGTTCCGCGGAATTGGTGTGCTCGCGTTACTAACTGTATTTGCTCCGTTTGAAAAACCACTACCACAGGCTATAGTGAACCCTATAACGTTTATTGTTTATCGATGTTTGATCAATCATGATTCCATAAAGATATCATAGAGCTACCCGAAAAGAGAGCCACCACCATTATCACCCATCATCATCATCATCGCTATCACTTTGGACTTTTTAAAATGCTCTACAAATGGCGGTTGCTATGGCAAGGCACCTTCATGTTTATTTTTCTTTGCTCTGTTCAAGGCTCTTAATCCTGTTTTCCAGTTGTGTGATCTGATCTTCAGCCTCCTCACGATATTCTTGGTATTCTAAATGTTGCCAAAGTAGTTGCCAAGCTAATGCTGTGGCCGATGCCACTACGGTGCACTTGACGATGGGGGTGCCGTATCGATAATAAGCGGATCCTCCTCCATTCACCGAGGAAGCGGAATAGCATCGCTTTTGTACACCTTGTCGTATAACCGATCTGAACAACATTGACTAGCTGTATGGAATAGGTGAATCTCTTTGTTGACTGTGAGCTTCCAGGAGCAAGTTGTAGTAGTAGTAGTAGTAGTACCTAGCCTTGCAACAAGAAAGAAAAGACTTGCGGGAGTTTGAATTCTTTTACGCGTTCATGGTTATCAACCCCAGCATTGATGGTGATGAGGCAATTCTCCTTTACAATAGGATGGCATTGAATGGAGCACAAGTTGGAATATATAAATGAGATAGGATATCAAGTCCTCAAGTGTAATAGTAAACATGATGCACTTTATCAAGCATTGTTATCAATGGAGTCTATAATCTACTACTATGCGCACCATCTCAGTGAGTGGTAAATAGCCGCACCCGAGAAATCCCAAGTTGTTGTCAGCTGGTGAAATAGGAAGGAAGCGGGTTCAACAGCTACACCAACTCATCGACGGCATGAAGATTCAGTGCCTTGATTTCCCTAATGGCTCCTCAAAGACCTTCCTCCTTCGAACACACCAGAACACCATTCTCTTCAATTGTCCATTGGAAAGTCGGCTACTTGAAGAATTACGGGGATCCTCGCGTCCACCTTCGCTCTCGCAATCCTCCTCCTCGCGACAAGCACCTGTGCTAGGATCGATCCTGTCGACATTCACCAGTGCTCATAGTAAACGATTGCTTGATATGGAATACACGGCAGCACAATCCCAAGCTGAAAGTATCAGCGTGTTCAGAACAGCCAACCTGGATCTTGTGGATATCAGCAACATCGATGTCGTTATTATTGCCAACAGCGACATGATGCTTGGTCTACCGTTCTTGACTGAATATCTTGGTTACAAGGGAAGGATTTATGCAACAGCACCGAGTATAGAGTTTGCAAGGTCTGTGTTTGTGATTGTGTATATGCCATCGTTGATATCAAAGTATTCATTTTATGCGTCGTGTAGACAGCGGATGGAGGAATTGATCGCTTATCATGGAACATCGGGCACGTATACTCAGCCAGGCTCGTCAATTGGAGGCATGCCTACTGGCCTTGTTGCAGAAGGATGGCGCTTCTTGTACACAATGAATAATGTCCGCGCATGTCTTGACAAGGTGCAATCGGTTGGGTATTTGCAAGAGATTGTATGTAGGCTCATTTGCTTTTCTTTTGGCTCTGTATCTTAATGCTCATTCACAATTAGTCACTTTTCTCAGCTCTCAAATTCACAGCACACAGTTCGGGCTATGCATTGGGTGCAGCAAATTGGGTCCTTGAAGCTAGTGAACGCAAAATCGCCTTATTATCAACTTCAAGCACTGTTCCAGATCGACATCCACAGCCTTTTGATCCTTCAGCTTTCAACAATGCAAACGTGATTCTTGTCAGCGACACCCGGAGTGAGATACCAGGCGATAGGGTGGACTTACTACATATACGTGAAAGAATTAAGGCGAGAGCAGGTAAAGTAGTAGGAAATTTCGTTGGTTCGTTCATCCATTAATGACTTTTATATAGGGTCGGCGCTTCATACAAGGCAAAATCTCTTATTTCCTATATCAACAACGCGTGCTTTGTTTGACATTTTGGAGGATTTACGGATATACTTTTCAGCAATGGGCTTAGAAGCTAGCACGGATGCTGGTTTTCCTCATATCTATGTATTAAGTCCTGTATCGAAGATGAGCCTTGAATATGCCAACATTTGTGGTGAATGGTAAGTTGTACATTTATATGACGCGGAATGATTTCTTATACACATTCTTGCAGGATGACACCTGATCATCATGTTAATCTGTATGAAGCGGTGGCTCCTTTGGGATACGCAAAGTTGGTCAAGTCAGGGGTGCTGAAGGCTATCAAATCAGTTGCATCCACGCCAAATGTAAAATACGACCTTGAAGAACCATGTATCATGTTTGCTGGTGACTACACATGCCTTGCACGAGGGCCTGTTGCTTCGCTTTTGAGAAACGGTTCAAAGAATAGCAATACCCTGTGTGTGATTACTGGTAAGTGCATACTACTGCTAATGAGCGTAATTGGAATACCAACATCAGATGATAGAAAAAGATACCCCCGCGCTATCAGATATTGCCATGCCTATGGAAACAATCATTTATGATCCACGAATGAGTCTATTGGATATGGCTTCGTCTATTATAACGCATAATCAAGCAATTCCGCCACAGCACATTATCATCCCCGGCGCCCTGGAATCCATGGAAGTCAAAAAAGAACTTGAGCAGATCCTTGGTAGCCATATCCATGTGTATAGCCCTGGTGAGATCCTCAACATCGAACTTGATCGTCCTTGGGAAAAGCTGATGATCACTGAAGAGGTAAGTCACTCATCAGGAACAGAGTGTACATACGGCGATCTTGATACGAAATTGTATTATAGCTCTCATCCGACATATGCCTTGAACCATTCCCGCTTAATAACAGCATTGCATGCGCCGGTGTTATGGGAGAGGTAGTACTCTTCAATAATCGTCTCGAATTGCGTCCAGTGACATCTTATTTTGATCAAAACTTTGGTCGAGAATGAAGAATAAAAAAAATGCGATGGTTTGATAAGATTGGATACAAAGTTCCATCCCCTCAACCCCCCCCCCACACACACTCGGCTTGCCTTTTCCACCCCGCTTGTCTTGGTGCCCTTATCTCTCTATGTCAGCTTTATTTCTTCTTCAGCTATCGTCTCTAGCACCTATCCAGGACACTCCTCAACAGGCTCTAATATCCGAGGCCGTCAAGCAATGCATTGAGTCGCAATGCGACAAGCTGATTATGCTCATCCGTTTCGAACAAGCCATTTCCAATGTCGACGCAAATTGGGGCCAGTTTCAAGCACTGCTTTGCTCACTCTATGTCACTCAACTGCAGGCTTCATATGCCATGGAAAAGCCGCTCTTTGATTTCACGGTTGTATTTGAATCATGGGCAGGATACAGCGTAGGATTGAGACCTGATTTGAAAATGGTATTCGCCACCACCACCCAAGGTACATGATACATCAATAATTGAGAGAATAATATGTATGTACTCATTCAGAGAATAGATCTCAACGAGGTGCAAAAGTTGAATACAGAAAGACAGAAGCGTGATCTTCAAGCCATGGAAGTTGTGACCTTACCAGGAGGCATTGATCAAGCCATCCAGCAAAGTACTCAAGACGCTATGGAGAAACTCGACGCATTCGACCGTGTGGCAGTAGGCGGAACTTTTGATCATTTACATGCAGGCCACAAGATCTTGCTTACAATGACAGCTTTGCTTGCCAACAAGAGCGTGGTGGTTGGTGTAACAGGTGAGCTTGGATGACTCTATGTTTGACATACATACTCACATTGGATGATTCAATTAGACGATGTCATGCTCCAATCAAAAAAGTTCCATGACCAAATCGAATCCATTGACCAACGCATCAACAACGTACGAGCTTTTCTCGATACCATTCGACATGGACTTTTATTTGATATTGTGCCCATAACGGACCCATTTGGCCCAACCATCACCGATTCTACCATCCAAGCGCTCGTGTGTTCGAAAGAAACAGAAAAAGGAGGGGATGCAGTGAATACTGAACGATCGAAACGGGACTTTCCACCCTTAGAACTACGGCTCATTGATGTCATTTCATCGGACAAGGTGTCTATAGCTGGTCAGGATATGGTCGATCTCAAGATAAGTTCAACTTGGATTAGAAAATATATATCAGAGCATGATCAGTAGTATAGATTTGTTGTATTGTACTAGTAAAGTGTCATTATGACTATCAACCAAATGCGTACTTTGATTGAGACTTTTTTATGACATGTCATTTGCTTTCATTGGCCAGTAAAAGTCGCCTATGTTGCAAGCTTTCGTCGTCCCTCATCTAAAAATGGTTACAAACTTTGATTGTCCTCATCATCATATGCATGGCCTTATATGACAGCAAACAACAACAACGATTCGCTCATTAAATTCATTGTCTTTCATTAATACGCCATAGGCATTCGCATTCAAAAATGATACATGGCTGTGACACCATGCTTCAATGATCTACTAAACGATACAAGAGAGGTTGTCGCATTCCATCCATTGAGGATCGTAACTTCCCTATAACACTAGCAAGGAAACAGAGCATGTAATAATTGTTTCTTCCTTCCAAAACAAAATTCATCATAGGAGGTCAGGAGGAAGTCATTTCGGCGATCAAATACGTGGCTATTCCAATCTTTTGAATCGGGTATCCCTTTCGAGAAAGTGGCTCGAGTCTATTTACCAACATTTCATCCTGATTGCACCTTCTTGAAATCTACCGTCATCTACGTCATTGAACCATTGGTGGTAAATTGCCCCGTTTATTCACGTTTATATAATGGCGCGCTCAAATCGAGGTATAGTATATATAAGGTCAATATCTCTTTTACATGTTTTAACCTGGGTCGCAGTAACCAACTCGCCACGCCTCGGAGGGAGCCGACAAGCATCCGATATACGATGCTTCAAAGTGCTTGGGCTGCGGACAAATACAGTTGCTGCCAGTATCCGTGATGTATTTTCACGCTGGGGACAAGTGGAAAGAGTGGAACTCAACTTGGATGAAAACGAGATGCCAGATGGAACCGCTATTGTTCTATACAAGTACGTATTTCTTATATCTTATTCATCAATCAAAATCATGTACCAATTCCTGATGACTTTTGTAGACATCGTCCTCTTACCCTCGAGTTTTTATCGAATCAAGTGGTTATTGACAGACGATCGGTGAAAATTGAGACCATCAAGGATGTGCAAAACACTGACTCGCTCTTTCGTGATGGACGAAGAAGTCACCGTACACGTGCATCTGCCAAAGCTTTATCCCTTGGTGTCATGGGTGGACCCACAACCTTTATTGAAGAGTGGAGCACTGACAATGAGGTGGCAATGGTGATCAATTATGACCGACGGCAAGTCCATATCTATTTCAACCAGCATCAAGAAAAATATCGTCTCGAGTTTTCGTTCAAAGATATGGCTACCGGCGATATGCTCATTGAACGTGACAACAATACAACTTTTTTGACGATTGAGCTCAAATTCCCTGCGAGATATTGGCGACAAAATGCGAATGCTGTACAAGAGACAACAACAAGCGTGGTCGTTGGTGGTCAATGGGAAAGGATTGTTGATATTCCACTTCACAAGGATGCAGGCAGCTCAAGGTCTTCTCCAGAACCCACAAAGCGTAAACCCGTCATGCCATTGACTGAGCCTGGAAAAGCAAGACTTGGCGTTTGGACCACATATCGTCTCATGTTTAAGCCTGGTCCACGAGCTATGCAGCAATTTGAACAAATGCTACGTGAGGCGGCTGAATATAATCTTGTGCCACGTGATACCCGTTTGAAGCGTCCCATCCTTGAAGTGGTCAATGCATCCAAATACGGCAAAATCATTACACATGTCGATAGGACAGCAATCTTGAAGAACAACTTTGACGTGCTCTACATGCTCGAATCGCTCATTCTCTCACATCAACTTTGCGAGTACAACCTGGATGAGAATTTTTACAACACTATACGAGAGCTTGATCCTTCAGTAGTCATCGGTGTCTTTGAAATTCTTGTGTTGAGCAAGAAACGTATATGGTCGCCGCTACAAGCAATCGAGGAAATATTCAATCAGAGAGGTGTTAAAGTCAGCCACCAACGACAAATCCCTCCTCATTGTGCACGCATACGAAAGATCACCGTGACTCCAACAACCATGTACCTGCATGCGCCGCAAACAGAGACCACCAATCGTGTCGTGCGTCACTTTTCAAAATACGCCGATCGTTTTGTTCGTGTGCAATTCATTGATGATTGTGATGGCCGCATCAGTGCTAGTCATACAAAGCTGGGGAATGATGCAATCTATGATCGAATATTCAAAGTGCTCAAGAATGGGATTCAGATTGGTACTCGGCGTTACGACTTTTTAGCATTCTCAAGTGCGCAATTACGTGATCATGCTTGCTGGTTTTTCACGCCTACCTCGGAGCTCGGCACAAATCAAATCCGTCAATGGATGGGCACGTTCTCCCAAGAAAAAATCGTTGCAAAGCATGCCGTTCGAATGGGTCAGGTAATTAGTATGTTTTTCTTTTCTATGTTAAAGATATCTAACGTCCCATTGTTAGTGCTTCTCCTCTACACGACCGATTACATGCCTTGAAAGAGACGAAGTTGAAACGGTGGATGATGTTATTCATAATGGCTACACGTTCTCAGATGGCGTTGGCAAGATTTCACCTGCTTTGGCGCATGAAGTAGCTCTCAAAATGGATCTCAAGACGGTGCCAAGTGCATTTCAATTCCGTTTTGGAGGAGCCAAGGGCGTTTTGACAGTATCCAATTTTCTGAAAGGCCGTAAAATTCAGCTGCGTCCGAGTCAGATAAAGTTTCAATCGGATCATTACACACTCGAGGTGATTCGGACATCGACATTGATTGCGGGTTATCTTAACCGCCAGGCCATTACGATCTTATCCACGCTTGGAGTACCTGACCAAGTCTTTATGGACAAGATGCAAAAAATCATCAATGGCATGAATCGTATGCTGAGCAATCCCACCGAAGCTATTCGCACATTAATGCGGAATATCGACGAATTTGGCACAGCTCGCACTATGGCCCGGATTATCCAAGCAGGGTTCCTCGAGAAGCGTGATCCATATATTGTCAATATGATCAACGTGTTTCGTATTAGCATGTTGAAGGATCTCAAGAAAAAGGCCAAGATCATGATTCCCAAGGGTGCCTTTTTGCTTGGCGTGATGGATGAAACAAATACCTTAAAAGAAGGCGAGGTATTTTGTCAGATATCAGAGGCCGACATGACTTCAAATGCTCCAAAACGACGTATCATTACAGGCGAAACGGTCGTGTTCCGCAACCCTTGTTTCCACCCAGGAGACATTCGCGTGCTTAAGGCTGTAGATGTTCCTCAGCTTCGGCATCTTTGTGATGTACTGGTTTTTCCCGCACAAGGATATCGAGACATCCCCAGCATGTGTTCAGGGGGAGACTTAGATGGAGATGATTACACGTAAGTACTTTGCCATCATAGAATGCAACATCATGATAACAAGTATTCCCTGTATAGGATATTTTGGGATCAGGATCTTATACCAAAGGTCAAAAATTATGACCCAATGGAATACAAAGCCGACGAACCACTCCGAGTGGATGAAGTCAAGATTTCTCACATTCAAAAGTTCTTTGTGAACTATATCAACAATGACAACCTTGGTCAAATCGCAAACGCTCACTTGGCAACGGCGGATAGGTCAGCTAAAGGGGCGTTAGATGGTGCATGCTTACGCCTTGCACAACTACATTCATTGGCTGTTGGTAAGTGATGGATGGATATGTAAACAATGGCTTTACTAACATGATGATTCAGATTTCCCCAAGAGCGGTAAACCCGCCAAATTTGAGAATGATCTACGAGTGCGCGTTTTCCCTGATTTTATGCAAAAAAAAGACAAGGATATGTATGAGTCCCAAAAGGTGCTTGGCAGGATATTCCGTGCAATCGACAAAGCTGATTACAAGGAATACAAAACTCAACTCACGGAGGTCACCGCATATGATCCTCGCTTACGAGTACCAGGAATGGAGCGATACATTGCCGAGGCACGTGAGCTGAAGAGGGATTATAATCAAGATGTCTTTGCGTTGATGAATCAATATGGTGTGCAAACCGAGGCAGAGCTCATGTCAGGCTATGTTGTCAAGTGGTTGAAAAAGGGCAACCGTAAAAGTAATCACGAGATCCAAAAGCAGACAATGACGGCTGTTGCAACCATGAAAGCCACATGGAGGAGAAGATTCGAATACGACTTTTTGGTTGGGAACGATAAGACCATTGGCAAAGATCAAATTTCGGATTTGGAAGCAAAAGCGGCTGCTTGGTATTACGTTACCTATCATCCTGAAGAGCAAGTAAGAGACACGTCTGTAGAAGGCAAATTCCTTAGCTTTCCATGGGTGGTCGATGATTATCTATGTGAGATTGCCCGCAAGAATAATAATCGTGTACCTGCTGAAGATCAAACTCGAGCTGTTGATGATGAGCTGGTGCAAAGGCTTAGTCTCGAACAAGCAAGCCGGAAGCCAGATGGCTTTTTCATGACGTTTGAGGAGGATACCGATCTTAGTGACTTTGAGGCTGAGGATGAGCAGCTTAGTGATGATGATGAAGCTATCCCAACAGACGTACTATCGCTTAAGCATATCTCACCCCAATCCCAACAACAACAGCAACAACAACAACAGCAGCAGCTACAACAAGAAGAGCACAAACAGCCTAAAAAGTCCGATGGCCACCGTACACTTAATGTCAATGCCACAGAAGAGGAGCTTGCTGAAGCATTACTATCATAATTTCGCTTTTTTTCTTTTACTCCCCCAAGTCCATATGCTCAAAGTACCTTTACCCAATACATACATTGCACAATAATGATTACACATTACACATGTTCTATTATGATCGCCATTTTAATGCTAAGCTAGAAGCTTATTAAGCTGATCGAGTAGCGTCTGATCGATTTCTGATTTATCAAATCCCTCATGAGCTGATGCATTTGCGTCGCACACTTCCAATGTCTGCATCACCATCTTTTTCAAGTCTAGTGCGTAGCTCGGATCCTGCTTACGAAACTAAAAGAAATCGTTCTATTAGACCATCTCCTAACAAAAAGTCCCGGACCTACCATCAATTTTCGGTTTTTCTCGGCTGACTCGTCAAGTTCGGCTATGTCGCTTGCTAAATCAGGTTCACCATACAAGAAGGCACTAATACGGCAAATGAGTATGACAAGGACGACTGTTTTTTGTCTCATCAACCCTTACTCTTCCTCTGAATCATTCGCTTCTGCAAGAACGTCAATCCATATGGCCATAATGTTGGGTAGCTTCGCGAGAACCGTGAGATTACGTGTCGAAAGCAAGCTGGTTAAACCAATGCAATGTAACTTTCGCGTTTGTGGGTGTCCAATGTTGTCAAATTTGTCCATCCATTTGTCAAGCACCTCGCCACAGAACGTATCACCAGCCATCCCATGTTGTTGACCAGTCATATGGAGAAAGTCGAGAAGGAATTGAGCATCGCAAATAGCAAGCCTTGCAATCACGGTCATGTATGACATGATTTTGTGGGCATAGAGCTGTAATAAAACTAGTGTTAAAAGTGAGATGCTAAATCGCTGATTTATTCTTACCTCCTCCTTTAAGAGCACGTCGATGATATTTACAAGAAATCCTGAATGCGCCAAGGTTTCACGATATGTTGCTGGTTCGTACGAGAGTAATGCGGTTTCTCCAGCGTGAGCAATATGAGATGCTACTCCTGATTTTGCACATCCAACATAAACTGCTAGATTCGAGAATAGTTGCACGCCATATTGCTAAGAATAAGCGGATACTATGAATATCATGTCCTTGATGATTTCAATCCGGTTGGATAATATGAGACATTACCTGGATCATCGTTGCACCATCCAATAAAAGATGACTCTCCAAGATTTTCAGCACTTTAGGGAGACACTCGGTATCATAATCCATCAGACTTATAGCCACGGGAATAAGCATAGAAATCTCAGGTGTGCGTGTCGGGGTTGTTTGCAGTAGCGTCCACCATAAATCCAAAGCATCCTCAAGTAGGTAGACATGCGCTTTCTAATATGTAATGGATATCACGTGAGTTTAGGAACCATGAAAGTAGAGCTTCTTATGCATACATTATTGCGATCGACACAGCTTTGAACGATTGGTAAAAACAGAGAATGTACATGAGTGGATTGTTCTTGGAGAATCTACAAGCAAATTCCGTTAGCAGACGTTTCCGATACAACAGATTTGCTCCTTACCCCAGTGATCTTTGTGAAAGTGACAACCAATGCTGATTGAAATAAAGGCTCTTCTTGTGCTCGTGACCAGTAAGGTGCGAGCAAATCCAACATCTTTGGTATGTAGGGCATCATCTATCCGAAAAAAAATTAGAAACCTTGTAGCAGAATAAATCACGTGATCACTTACATGAGCTCCCGTTCGATCCGTAATGGCATTCAAATCCGATATGAGCTTCATAATTGTGTCGGTCTCCTCAACTTGATTCAGTAGCTTCAAGAATAAATCCATGGATGACTCCAAGTATGGTAGGAAGATGCCAATTTCAAAGTCCCAGTCGTCCACTGCTAGCCGCAAGCTGTGAGCAGCGGTTAAGCGTACAACCATATCCTCTCTTGACAAGAGTTCCACGAGACCCTGGTACACAAGCACTCGGGAATCAGCGCTGATGCCTTCATTAACCCATTTTCCAAGCAACCATGCGATTCTGCGATGAAGAACTTTCATACTTGGATAGCCTTAGTTAACACGTTACTCATGACATATTACCAATCCTTACCTAGGATCCTTGTTTGATATCTCCGGTAGCAGCCGGTTGGTAAGAAATGCTTCAAAGTCAAATCGGCCATAGATGGATTGCACGCTAAGTCCAAGTGTGGCATAAACCGCATCCTTGAATAGAAATTCGCGATAATTCGATACATCTAATCATCACTGTTAGCTCAACAAGCAATTTGCAGCTCCCAATCTTTACCTGTGACACTGCCAATCAGATTTAGAATAATAGGACACAATTGATCGCGGTGATGTGTAAAAAGATCCATAAAGGTCATTTCAGCACAAGGCTAAAGAGCATCATTTCATGTTAGGAAAAGATCCAACGCTAGCATAATCAACTTACTCTAAGTTCGAATTCCCAATTTTCTGAATCCATCGCATTCACAAAGCCTTCAGGATCGTCTTCCCAATTCTCCATATCACTTGGCGTCAAGAGCATATATTGTGAAACGAGGACTTCGGCACATCGAGCGACAAATTCGGAAGTAATCAATCGAGTTTGCAGGATACCACGTGCTTCGCCTTCAAGCGCTTTCTCTTCGTCCGTCACAGAGAGTATGTCTGACGCTTTGATATATGTTAGTAAGCGGTTGTTTGTTTGATGTAATGCTCCTTACATGTGCTCTCAGTGGTAGATGCTGCCATTTTGATGGTATCTTTGATAAGTAACATTCCTTGCAAGAGTAACTGCTCGAAACCAGGATCCCGTGTGGTTGTTTCTTTGGCCATGTTAAGTCAAGAACTAGTTTCCATTTCTCTTGTAGCATTTACCTGATTGATATTGATCAATTAAACGCTTGCCTTCTTGCACAATATGCTCCCAGTAATAACCCAAAATGTCAGGCCATGCAGGACAAAGAACACACGAAACCGGATGTGCTTTTTGTAGTGCCAAGTATAGTGCTCCATGCTCTTCGATGACTGAATGTATCAATTCGTGGGTCTTTGGATTTGTTGCAGAACCAAGTTGCGGGTCTTTATGGAGTGGTGGTAAGTACAGCAGGCACGGCAGTAGTAATCGTCAACAGACTTACAGATCTTCATGTAGTTCTCTAGGCGCTCTTTGCTCATGGTAATGAACATCTAAGGAGGCTATGTTAGACACCAACTCGTAAGCGAATAGCAAAAGTAGTACCTTGGTCTCATCAAATTTATGCACATCATGAATACCGCTAACCAATAGAATCCGCAAGCATTTCACGCACATTGACACGATATTGAGCTCCAATTCCAGATTTGCCATTGCACCCTTTATGAGCTCTGAAATGGTGTTGCTTGTATAATTATCATAGGTCGCTGCCACTGTCTGAAATATTCGGGGTGCTACTTCTGCGAATTGCCTGCGGCCGGAAGACAAGAGTCGTGTGCTGAGTTCATAAAGTACTTCATAGAGCATCTCAAAGGTGCGATCATGGATCAAGCGTAGATGTGCTTCGCTGTTTGCTCCGGGATCTTCAATCACTTGAATCAATGTAGGCATCAAATCAGCCCTGTGTAGCGTCAATAAGTCAGTTACATGACCAGCCATAACCAATACAATTCCCCCCTTACCATTCCAGAGGATAATCCATCCTTGCGATACGAGCGACAATGACCGCGTTTTGAGCAGTGAGCTACTTTTACCAAATCAATATCCCATGTCATATCCAAGATTGTCATCCATTACCTTCTTGCTAGGCTCCGAGAAAAAACATAGCAGCCTCTGCCGAATGATTGCTTTTTCCTCCGCATTGATAGGACTATAAACTACTGTCAATATCGCGCTTGCACAAGACCATGAATCGAACTGCTTACTTCTTTGCCGTCTTTCTCCAAAAACGGTTGATGCCATTTTTAAGATAAATGCCAGCAAGGAATCGCACGTCGTGAGCCACAGCCGGATCGTGGAATATACTCTGTTCAATGTATGTATAAGGTTCTATAACATGTTGAATGAGGTGACAGGCCAATGTACCTGAAGAGTAGCGAAGAAATGCGGTTCATTTTCCCATTGTTTCAGTAGCTGTTCGGCCTGTCGAATCCTTGCAAGATCTTGGGATGTCGCTTCATGAAGTACGCCAAGGAGTTGACTGCGTGGGTCGGCCATTGTCAAGTAAAAGTGAAGAAGGCGATCGGCGTTGTTCACGCCTTGAATTCAAGGAAATTCACTTGATTCCCCGCCGCCGTTTGTGTGCTTACTCTTTGATTGTCATACTACATGTACTGCTATCCCATCGCTTGCATGAATCAAGTAGCTACTTGATAGAATCACCTTTATTACACAAATAAAAGATCTTGGCATACTTATCGGTATATCTCGTTTCTACTTTTTTGATATGACCTGAGACTTAAGACATGTTTAAGAAAAACTCGCCAGCTAATCGACGTATTCTTATGTAAGATGAATAACCCGGTTGGCCGGAAAGCTAACTGCGCCTGTGCATTCGAAAGCTGATTTCCGGAATTTAGGCTGCACACAGCTTGTTGTCGAATATTACACACTTGTTCGTCGATCTTAACCTTGAGCAAACGAACATGATCTCGTGTCTTTTCGAGCTGCTGGATTATCGTATCGCAACCTTCCAATATCAAATGATGTTCTTCGGCTGTAACCCATATATGCTGTGCACACATCTGATGTAGAAGGTTTTGCGTTTCTTCATGTTCATTATGCAGTATGGCTAATTCCTTTTCCGCATTGCGTAGCAAGCCCTCATTATACCGAACATGCTTTTGCCAAAACAACATGTGTATTGGATGCGAAATCTCCGTGGGATGGCTCCACATAATCAATACGGAAAAAAAAGAGATGATCCTGCACAAGAGCTTAGTTTATTAGTTTTTGCTAAGAAGAACAGCGCAAATCGTAACTATTTACATTTGACTTGTTTCCTTTAATAACAAAGAATGAGTCTTGCATGAAGGGAGGGGAGAGGACAAAGAAGGCTTTCAACTATAATACTTTTAGCCAATGCCAACCATTTAAACGGGTATAATCTCTAAAGCAAAAGATCATTGAGTCAAATAGAAATTGATGCATAAAGCTCTCCCATGATGCGGCTATTTACCCTTCATCTGGTTTGTGAATTTGATCCACTGCTACCTCGCCTTGTGTAGGCCAACCGGATAATTGCTTATCATAATGCACCACCGCATCCAAATGGAAACCAGAATCCGAACGTCGTGGTGTGTATATTTCTTCGCCATCAGGACAGAGCTCGAGTGGGATTCTTGGAATATTCAGCAGATCAATAGCATTGATATCCACCCGCGCTCGTTTCAGTGGGTCACGCTCTACTTGTTCGTATATCCGTGGTCGCTTATCCTCCTGAAAAAATGGATGTTCAAGTGTCTCGGATGCTTGCAAGCGGCGACCAGGATCATAATATAGGAGTTTGGAAAGTAAATCCACCATAGACGGCGACGCAGAAGGTATTACTGTATGCAATGGCTTCGGTGCAATCTAAGTGAAGAACGTAAGTCCAAAAGATCCCATATCACACACCATACAATAGTTACATTGGGGAAAATGAATCCGATACGCTGCGCAAGCCTTACACCTTCACGCCATTGATTCTCTGAAACTAAAGGAGGTGGTGGCCTTATTGTTGACGTAGATACGGATTTCCTCGCAAAGCCTGGGCTCGATCGCTCCGGTCGCACGTTTGCTTTTCTTACAAAAGGCCTTGTACCAGGACTCCCCAAGATGTTGCAAATACAGTGGATTTGATCGATTTGACTCTTGCCAGGGAAAAGAGGAGACAATAGCATAAGCTCTGCAAAGATGCTGCCTGCTGCCCAAAGATCCACGGGAGCCGAATAATGCTGTGATCGCAATAGTACCTCAGGTGCCCGATACCTTTGTAATATTGAATTATATAAATGATCATCCTTTATACACATGTCCAACGCAATGAATACTTACCACCGTGTACTCACATACTCGGTATATGGTTCTCGGCTATCAATTCGTCTTGCTAATCCAAAGTCGGCTAGTTTTATGATAGGATATTCATCCGAGGTCTTGGTGATCAGGATATTCTCTGGCTTGAGGTCGCGATGGAAGATGTTTTCACTGTGTATATGCGCTAAAGCTTGCATGATCTGTCGGCTGTAGAAAGAGATGGTTGGTATGACAAACTAGCCCTAATATGTATGTCAGACTTACAAGAGGCGCCGTATTTCACAGTGCTCTAATGGTATACGTATGTGCCGTCGATGCTGGATATACTGATACAAGTTGCCACCGTCAATGTACTCCATCACCAAGTGAAGTTCATCAGTGGAAGCAATGAAGCTTTGGTGAAGCTGAACAATATTCGGATGTCGGGTCAACAAGCGAAGCGTTTTGTATTCTCGTAAGCTGTAGTCGGTCACTTCTTCCACGCCATCAGTTGATCGATGTTTCACTGTCTTGACGGCAACCTAGCAACGACAACAACAACAGCAGCACATTAGAAATTCCTTTGCCTTCAGTTACTTGGGACAAAGCCGTAAAGTCACTTACAACTTGGCATGAGCGTTTATGTTTGGCACGATACACTTGTCCAAAAGCACCATCACCGATCTTGTCAAGAAACTCGTACTCCAATCGTGACGAACCAGGTGTTGGCATGTTCTTACAGAAGCAAGAGGTGGAATAGGGCGCTTATCAGTAGATAAGGATCAATCCTCTAGCCAATCAATTTCTGATGATTGCGCACCGGCGCGGGTCATTACCAAAAATCCCCAGTACAGAATAAGGTGATTGGGCATATCTGTTCTACACATCATACACGTTGCAGAGCCTTCATCATAATGCGTGAGTGTCAATCATGTCATTGGGATTATTGAATGTTTGATCTGTGTATTAAGTTGTTGAACGTGATACGATACTCGGCGCGGATTTCAGGTATAGCTAAGTGATGTTACTAAATTGATAAACTATTTACAGGTGAACTAAGCAAAGTCTGTTTTTTCTTGAATGCTTCTCCAAGGCTTGTCGGAATCTTGGTGTGTTAAGGGTCTCCCTGGCATTCTTCTCCCATCCTTCTTCATCAAGGGCCGGCGTTGTAGATTCCACGGTGCGATAAATATCCAAAAGTTTACCAAGGTCATTCAGAAAAGTGGGCATTTCTTTGAAGAGAGGTAGGCAGGGTGATTTGGCAAAGCTCTGCTAACAAATAGACACCTTATCATACAAGGCTTCAACATAAAATGTGATTTTGCAACCTAAGTGATGTCTTAAGTAAGTCTTTCTGCATTACCTTGATGATGCTTAAGTATTGTTATGACTTACCAATCGCTTGAAACAATATCACCTTATTAAGCTTATGCTGATCAATTGCATCCTTGCCGAACACACCTATCCGTACAAAGTCCACACCCATGCTACGACTATCAGCACCATTAGGCTTCACTTCTCCAAATATCCTGCTTTTTGTAAACTGCATCTTTTCAATGTCACTCAAAATAGCATCTGGTCGTTCAACTCGACTGGTCCTGCACTTCCTTTCCTCTGCATTAATTTCTGGTCTGTTTCCTACATTAGCTTTCCAATAAAACGTAGAAGATGTCTTTCCTTACCATTACAATCTACTAGAGAATGCATGCATATACTTTTGTCACCTACAAAGGAGTCTCGATTTTCCCATCAGTTTAGACCCATCAGTTTAGGCATACTTTTAATACATGAGTGGTAGTTATACCTACCCTAAATAAAGGATTCATCAAGGAACACAGTGTAATGCAATGATGTGAGCTATAGATGGCAACCAAAAAGATGAATGCATGAGTACCCTCATCTTGGGGATCGCATTAAGACCATCCTTGAGACTTACTAAAGGCCACTGATGAGGATGTGAATGCAAGTAGAAAGAAAGGACGTATGATAGTGTTGTTGCAAACAGCCTTGTTTATATATGAGTGGGCGTGGAAATTGTTGTCATGGTTGATCAAACTGGTAAAGTGATCAAGCATCTTGGAGTACGGAGTCTAAGTGAGTCTAAGTGAAGGTTTTCTTGAATCCATTTTAGTTACTGTGAATTTCGAGCGACTCTAATGAGTTACGCATCTGCCTACTTCAATGATCCTTTATGCTAAAGGACACTTTTTTCCCATTACAAGGGTAGTACTTGAACTGTCTGAGTTCTATGCTTATCATTGCTATACTTATTGGATATGCTGTATACAATAGAACCCTTTGCAGTTATTTGAATAGCTCGTTGGCGTTAGACATACGCTAGAACTTAGATATAAATTATCATTGCGTTTGAAGAGCCAGCACCAATGATCAGTGGATGATTGTCATTGACTGTTAGTGGTCCTCCACTTTGCATGGATGAGAGCAGATGACCCAATAACACATTTCCCTAATGGTGGTATTTTAAGAAAGTGTAGCTTTTATTCTCCCGCCAACTATTAATTCGTTTAGGATATACGTTGTCATGCAGTGTAAGAGGAGTCGGACTGACGGGGAAGATGAATAGGTTACACATGTTGTTGACAGGTTGCACAAACGGATGGTGATGATAATCTTGGGCAATGTTAGTTCTTCATACACAAGCTATCGATTGATGAGAAAGCTATCCATGATATACACGCATACCATGTTTGAGTATTTACACGTTTACATTTGATGCAGGATTACACATTGGATGTTCCAAGTTCAGGAGTTTGTTGGCTGCATAATACCAAGGCTGGTGTCACTTTTGCCAGAGATACATAACGAGGGACTAGTAGTTGATCCATACTGATCGAGGTATACATGTATGCATATTCATAAGAGGAGCTGCGGGGGGTGGGTGGCTGTATCAAGGACGGCGAGAGGCACCAAAAAGAGTCCATCCCACCTTTCTCCACTCCCATTTTACACATTCAAGGTGAGACACACCCCCATTGACGACCTACAGCGCATTTACTCCTGTCATGCTCTTTAATGCAAGACCTAGATGGGTGAACCGGTGGTCAATGGCGACTCTTTCAACTACAACAAGCACGCGCGCAATCTACCCATGTTTCAAACTTCCATTCCCGTACAACAGGTACGGCCAATCGCTGCAGCGCTTTTACTGCTCAAGTTTGACATTGTGGCGCTGAAGCTCGTGTGTAGATTGCTGTTCTCTCGTTTACAAGATCTAATGGAGGCGTCGCGTGTAGTCATTCCCAAGTTGTCCACAACAACACTTCTTTACACTGCCTCTTTTGGGTATGTTGGCAAGAAAACGCGTTTAGATTGGTTTTCCTTGGTATCTCACATTGTGTTCATGGTAGATCGACTTGTTGGATGATGGTACCTGTGGACAGTAACAAGAGATTGATCTCAAAGCAAGAACGCTGTACGTTGGTTCAATGGTATGTATGGTGTTGGATCTACAATGCAGGACCACTTAATTAATGAGCCTTACAACGAAACAGCAGCAGCACATACTGGATCGGATGGATACAAGGTTATTTGCAAGCAACAATGGAATGGTATTGGGAACACCTCAAGGTAAAGTGATCATTTTTGGATTTGTCACCTTCAAGTGCACTGATGAAAGAAATAGGCTCTCGTTCGGCGATTACTATTATCACAGCAGCACGTCAAGGGATGGAGTGTACTGTCTTAAGGGGGAAGGCCATGTTGTGGTACGCGGATATTACGTTGGGCTCACGGGGCGACTTCGGTTTAAAAATGCACCCTCTGACCTTTCGTGGAGAACAAAGTATATGCTTCCCATCATTGCACGGCTATACTTTACTCGACTTGGAAGGCGATGGGTGTCTTTCTTGGCAACATGGCTGGACCCACGGCTAGTGGTATTAAAGTCGGCTGGGGAGGGGCTTCATGTCACCGTTAAAACCGGTGTTTTGACGCCACGTTCCTACGGGAGGCTAGAAGGCAGTACGGATACTACATTTCTTGGCAGTGCGCTTTTATTATTGCTATTATTGCCGGCGGCAAGATTCATTGGTATGTATAGCATTGGATCTACAATACAAGTGCTCTGAATTAACGAGCTTTTACAATGGAATAGCAGCGGCATCATGATATGGTTGGCATGGTGATATGGATGGCATGGAGATACGGCTCTTATTTGAAAGAAGGATGTTATTGTGAAATACTACAAGGTAAGAGTGTTCATTGTGGGATGTGTCGCATGCAAATGCACTTACGATGGAAGATGTGCAACGACAGGATCAAGAAGGCTATTATCAGAGCAGCACGTCAAGGATGGAGTGTACTGTCTTAAGGGGGAAGGCCATGTTGTGGTACGCGGATATTACGTTGGGCTCACGGGGCGACTTCGGTTTAAAAATGCACCCTCTGACCTTTCGTGGAGAACAAAGTATATGCTTCCCATCATTGCACTGCTATACTTTACTCGACTTGGAAAACGATGGGTGTCTTTCTTGGCAACATGGCTGGACCCACGGCTAGTGGTATTAAAGTCAGCTGGGGAGGGGCTTCATGTCACCGTTAAAACCAGTGTTTTGACGCCACGTTCCTACGGGAGGCTAGAAGGCAGTACGGATACTACATTCCTTGGCAGTGCGCTGTTATCATTGCTATTATTGCTGGAGGCAAGATTCATTGGTATGCATAGCATTGGATCTACAATACAAGTGCTCTGAATTAACGAGCTTTTACAATGGAATAGAGCGGCATCATGATATGGTTGGCATGGAGATATGGATGACATGGAGATACGGTTCTTATTTGAAGGAAGGATGTTATTGTGAAATACCACAAGGTAAGAGTATCCATTGTGGGATGTGTCGCATGTGGGTGCACTTACGATGGAAGATGTGCAACGACAGGATCAAGAAGGCTTTTCCTCGGCTATATCACTTGGCACGTCAAGAATGTTATTGTACTGTGTGCTGTCTTGGGGAGACCATGTTGCCCTTACCACCTCTTGTGGAAACATGTGCTCACGGTGCTATGGCAAGACCAATTTAAATACGCATCCTCTGTTCGCAGTTGCAGCATGCGGATCCACGGCTCAGGTGGTGTCAAAGTCGGCTGGTGAGGGGCTCATGTCACCGTTAAATCCGGTGTTTTGGCACCATGCTTCCTTCGGGAAGGGGCTAGTAGACAGTACAGGTACCTTGGCATTCTTTGGCATTGCGCCTTTCTTATTACTATGCTTTGTGGTTGCATCCTGATTGTGAGAGATTCAAGTGCGTATCATTCGAATGTCTTTGAGATGGAAGTACATTCTTGCTGACATGTGTCTTTCTAGATGAATCATCTTGCATTGGAGTCCCCAGGATTACAGCTATCATTGCTAAGTGTTGTTTTACATGTTTGGAGGATTGTTTACGGTGCATCTATTATAGGTGAACCATGTTAGGATCAAGCAGCATCGTCTTTTGCATCATTCGGTATCAGCAGGCCTTATTACATCGTTCGATAGTTCTCGTTACCAAGTATTAAAAATTCCTTTTGTGTGAATCGGCAGCAACTTCTATCATCTTACATATGGCAGCTGTGATTGTCAAGTACCACTCCAGTGGTCTGGAAAATCAACTATCTGCAAGTCGTCTCTTTTATTGGTGGAGCTTCAAAGCAATGTTTGTTATCGGTGCCATGGCGGATATCATTTCTCAAGTACCTGTATGGATACCTTTGACGTTCTCTTTGCAAGTGAATATTCTCTTGTGTGCTATTCCATCAAGACCGCATGTCGCACCTCTTGTTGTATGTCGCACCTCTTGTTGGACCATAATCGTTTTAATTATCTAAATGCGTTTGTGTATAGCAACATAGGACAAAGACTCTGACTTTGTTATGACCACAAGATATGTATATAAAGTTGACAATCTTTTTAGATGGCATGTTTACTTTTTTTTTGTGTTGTATGAATAACAGCATCCCCAAAAAAGCTATCACAAAGTACTCAGTTCCTTGAAGACATCTGCAGTGGGTTTTATAGATCTTGACATATTGAATGGGGAACATCAACGTAGCAAGTAGATGGCGTATTGTATAGCTAAACCGGCCAAATGCGACATCTTCAATTCATTGTATCACTATTTACATATATTTGTTTTACTAGCGGTTACTCCTCAATGAGGGTGCTGCTGTTGATGGCCCTGTCGCCGAAGACTTGGATCCGTCTTTAGCTTGTGTGCAGATGCTAAAATGCCACCTATTGCACAAGAACGTTAACAAAAGCAAAAGCTTGGGATCAGTGGCCACGCCTACCCGTAACAGCAGTTCCGACGCATGCCACCAAAGGGTAAACTTCCTTAGGCATCCTTAGCTTTGTGAATGGTAATCGACTCAAGATCATTGTTTGGTAAAATGAAGAGAAAATATACGTCAGCCTTTTTACCTCACTTTATACGTCTATTAAATTCATGCATCAAGTCTATTGGAAACACCACAAATCATATTAAAAACAGCTTAACACCCATGTCATCATACGTCTTTTGAAAGGGTTTTTGTCAATGGGTAGTTGGGGGGTTGAACCCCGTCAATAAGTGCTCCGCCCTTTCAATGCGATAACGAAAGGGGTTTTAAAGCTGAAGATCGAAGTATGAATTTGTGATGCGATGTATGAAAGTCAAAAGTGTGTAATATGGATGATACAGCCGAGAGTTTCTTCGAGCGTTGACCGAATAAAGGCAAAGTTGTTAACAATCAATATGAGATATGACATGACAGTCCTTTGCTATTACGTAGGATACAATGTGCTCTATGAACGTCTAGTTTTTGTACAAATGATAAGGGGTTGATTTTTTATCTATATGGGTGATCACCATGACTCTGCAACCTTCAAGACTCTAACAAGATTGTCTCGATGAATAACACATTCAGCATCCATAAATCCTAAGATATCAGGTATGTCCTGGCTCTTGCAGCCCTTAATGCGAGAGATTTCCGAGCTTGAATAATTCACAAGTCCCTTCGCAACAAGAACCTCTCGCTGTTCTCCTGATACTGTCTTTCTCCCGTAAACTTCTATAGCCTGGTGGTCCGAAAAATGGCCTTCGACTTGTATGATTCCTGCAGCAAATAGGCTTGATCGCAACTCGGAAGTGATTGCTTTAACAGCTCCTTCATCTACATAGACTCTTCCTGCCGTATGTAACCCATGTAATATCCACCATTTACGATCAATCAATGGATTGTTCTTTGCCGTAAATAGCGTATGAAGTGGCAAGCCGCGTGCGCTGAAATTATCATCAGTCACCACAGGGGTCTGTACGTCTGGAATTAATTGCCCTGCATCGTCGGCTTCGATAATTGAAAGGATGTTTTGTGGGTGAGCTCCATGAGTGATGACGGTGCGTACACCAGCCGCTGTTGCAAGATCAGCTGCAATTAACTTGGTCGACATGCCACCGGTACCCAACGAAGATCCACGCGATGTCACGCATACTGAATGTGATGTAATAAGTAATGACCCTTAAGTATATCATAAGATTGTATTAGCTTCTTACCCTGCTGTTTCAATACAAGGATATCACGGCAAATAGATACAGGTTTTGCTTCAGGATTTGTGCGGGGATTATCCGTATACAGGCAATCAACATCGGTCAAAAGGTACAGGTAGTCTGCCTTAAGCATACCAGCAACAATGGCAGATAGAGTGTCATTATCACCAAAGCGGATTTCCTATGACCTATTTAGCTGCATGTATGCCTAATCAATGTTAATGTACTTACTGAAGGGCAAATCGTATCATTTTCATTGACTATAGGAATAACGCCCATGTCCAGGATTTCTTCCAAACAACCCACGGCATTCAAATATTGGCCTCTCTATAAGAAATATTGAATCAGCCATGTTCGGCTATCCTACCCGGTAGATAAATCTTACATCTGACAAATCATTTTTCGTTAAAAGGATCTGGGCCACAGGTTGATGGAATTGTCCAAATAGATCGTCGTAGAGTCGTATCAACCGCCCTTGCCCTACAGCAGCCACTGCCTGGATGATATCTGTGAGCGATCGATAGCATATCATTGTCAAATGCATACCTGTAAAGCGGCCATAGTTTTAGGTCTTTCTTCCATATTGAGTCTTCGTAGGCCAGTACCTACGGCAGCACTCGTAACCAGAACAACCCGGTGACCAAGAGACTTCAGTTTTAAAACAGTCTCGACGATCGAGGACAAATTCGAGAGAACAGGGAAATGGGTCTTCTCATCGCAGATAGAGGTTGTTCCAACCTTAATGACGATCGTCAATGACGACTCGGATAGACGATGGTTGTTTCGTTTGTTTCTGTATATCATGTCCCAAGCGCGACGCTTATAGTTAAACGAAAGTGATAGGATGAGTCACCAGGTTTTTGTACTTTGATCAAATACACCGAATCCCCGCTATCAAAATCTTTGTGCTACGTACTCAGGAAATTCACTGGAAACACCCGTTTTCCTAAATAATGACATGTTCGTTAAAGATCGCATCCACCGCATGTTCATATACCCATATAGTTATCGGAGGCTGGGTATATAAGTGATGAGGGTCTCCTTGGCTCGCTATGACGATAAACCATCCAACGCTTGTTTCCGGACTTGTCAATTTTTCATGCATGTGTGTACCAATAAGAATCCATGCCTCCAATTGTTCGCCTCTTCCTTTTCCCATCTCTCCAACCCAACATTTACTAACCATCTACAACGAGTTAAGAGGCAGCATGTATTTCAGCGTGTGTTTTATGGATGAGGATGATGTCTGAATACAAGATACACATATGGGTGCTAATTCAACTTGCATCTAGGGTATTACAGCCAATCGGCTATCTTTATCCAAAAAGTTTCTTCAACCCTTTTTTCTTTTTCTTTTCGGCTTTCTCCTCAGATGACCTTTCCACTGGTGATCCTGATCCTCCACTACGAATACTGAGACTATTCAGGCTCAAATGTGAGCTGGAAGCGTTTAGGTGCGGCATGTGTTGAAGTATCGCAGATGACTTGGTTGCTGGTGGTGATGGTGGTGTGTAGGGTGTGATGATGGATTTGATAGGCTCTGCTGGTAGTCGCAAACGACCTGTTTCTTCCACAAATCTTACAGGACGTATCACATCCGTTGTACCTGAAGAAAACCAAAAGAAGTCGATGATGAGCGAAAAACGTCATACCCACGAATAAATTTCCATACCAATATATATATCACGATTGTACGCCTCAGCTACTTCGTAAGCCGACCTTATCTCAGAGTAAGTAACATTCCCAATCACAAATACGATCAGCTTAGCGCCGGATGATTGTCGATGTTGACCCTGCGCAAAATAGTTAATTGGCTTTGTTCCTTGAGTCTATAATAAACGACAAACCTGCATCGCAATATTTGGCTTCTTACTCCATGTGGGTTTGGTGGTTCGTAATGAAACCCCACTTGACGGGATTCCTGGTGCACCAGAAACATTTAGGCTAGGATCCGCGACATCCACATCTGATTGACGGGTAAATGCAAACTGGGAAGCGTCCAAATTATTGGATAAATGTGCCTAATCATTCAAACATAAGACGTTGACATTCTTTTTGACCTTTTAATGACTTGCCTCCATGACTTTCTTGACGGTTGGAACATATCGTGAGAGTTCATATGGCATCTCTTCATGCTGGTTTCGCTTTCGATCTTTCTTTTTGCGAAAGGACTTTTCACCAGCCGTACGTCTTTCTCTTGTCACTTGCACGCCCAATAGTGATAGATTGTTGACGGCATCTCGAAGCTCGCCTTTGAGTTTGGCATGCTCCAGTAACTTACGTTTGTCATCTTCAAAGACACCATTTTCCTTGGATATGATATACAGCATCAACAACCTTGCTTTATCAGCAAGACTATCACGATGGATATGAGATACCTTTGTTTTGCCCGTTGAAAACACCCTAACTCACCTCACGTAAGAGTCGTCCAATAAAGGAACCATATCCAGCACGATTGTTTTTGGTGTTTCTCCATCCGATGTTTCGCCCGTCGCAATGTTCTTAGTAAAACTCGACATTAAAGCAATGGTATATTTTTTGGGGGGGCATCATGTTTGTACATACCTGTTCAAGGTTCCCCACTGAATTAAGCTTGTGTCTTTCAAAGACGGACAGGCACTCTTGAGCAATGTTCAAATGTGCTGAATACTATAACTTTTTCTTCAGCAAATGTTAATAGATCGATTCTGCATTCTACCTTCGCCTTCATTTCTTGAAATTGGGGCAGATTTCCAAGCATCTCTTTCATATCTTTCAAGCTTTTTGCTGAATCCTTGGGAGGTCCATCTCGATCACTGAAATATACAGTAAGATGAGCCGAACTTTTAAAAAAATATGACGAGTCTCCCTTACCCATTCTGCACGGCAGTCTTGTTCTCTTCCAAAAATTTGTTGAATTCTTCGATCAATCGATCTGTGCAATCGGCAATGTGCAAGTGGCGTATAGACATGTAAACTGGATCATCTTCGTCGAGAATGACTTCCTTTGTTCCAATAGATCCATCGACTTGGTTGAAGCTGTATGAGTATTTGATGCCTGTGCCGTATTCCGTATCCTCGACGGATAGAAGATCGTTTATCATAGCTTGATATGTAAATTCATGAAGAAGAGGAGCGTTTGTGTCGATTGTGCGATCAAGTATCAATAATGTTGCTCGTGGGCGAGGAGGGTTGTGAGATGGCTACCGAGCTTACGTATAAGAAAACACTCTCATGTTCAAAAGAATACAGCAGACTCACCGGGAAATTGGGATTGAGTCGGCAAAAATTGTCTAATTCAGCCTGTAGCATGCTGCCAAGCTTATGCGTAGCGGAAGATGATTCAGGAATATCGGATGATGGTGTAACCTGGTATCGGATAATGGGATCTTCACCTAACGTAGCGCATACTGACAACAGCTATAACGTAGCAGATGTTAGCATTGAGTATACAATTAACACGAAATCTCACCTGTTTTGCCATCATACTCAGCGCAAACTCTGGATTTGCATGTGGGTCAGTGCCATACACAGATAAGAACCCTGCGGAAGGATCTACTGTGAATACAGCCGATTCTTTCACTACAACCAAAATGTGAATTTCCAAAGCTTGTTCCATTTAAGCCAATACATACCCATAAAATCGACATACATTTCCTTCAAGCTTTGGATGTATTCAGAAGCACCAGCGGCCTTGAATTTCCTGTTCAATTCACTGAATAGCTCATCGTCCAGACCTATAGTAAGATATTGTATCAACGTAACGATTCTTCTTAATATTGAATTTACATTACCGCTCGTGAAATGGATATGGGCTGCTTTATACATTGGCGTTTTATGAGCTGTGAAGTCATCCACTAGTCGAAGTACTGATTCCCGGCACGGTGTCAGAAAATAGACTGCATCTAACGTTGGATAAGGCTGTCGTTGTCTCTCGATGTTTTCCACCACTGAAGAAGAATCATCACATAAGGACTAAATCAGAGAATCCGTCTTGATTACAAAACCTACGTGTCACCTTTTTCACGATGGTTAAAGGTAGAGAAGCTATGACAAGTTTGTTCCGGCTTACATTCTCTTCCAAGATATCATACATCTTGCAAGCAGCATTCAATATACGCGTGCTCTTCGAGTCAACAATAACGATCTTCCATTTTCCAGGAGGTTGTACAGCCTTGATGCTATCCATCAACCCTATTGTCATCCCATCAGTATAGCTCCATGTTAGATGAGACATACCTACGTTTACGCATAATCTCTATTATCCCTGTCATTTCGCTTTGTATATCGTAATTCGTAGGGCTATTTTTCCAGCAACCTAAACATAAAAGTATTACTCATATATATGATCTTTGTCATACTTGACTACCACTTTACCTTGCGTTTCTTGCAAACCGAATCAAGCAACATGAACAGGAGCTTCCAACGACTGGGTTGTTATCTGCATTGGTTGGCCAATAATATTTGAATGCTGCACGAGGTCAATGTAAGACCCGCCGCATTTTCAGATCTTACCATACATTGTACATCCTCTACTATAAAAGTCAGTTCAACCACACAAGCTGTGACCCTGTAAAATGGTGGGGGGGAAATCTTGATGCTTCGATTTGAAAGAGGTAGCCATATCAAATTCATTCTCGCTGAAATGGAGTACGATGCCCTATATGTATTACTTGATTCAACGAGATACTTAATAAGGTGAACACGATCATCCACATGTTGGTATATCACAGCCTAATCTTTATTTGAACTTCATGATAAGCCTAAGAATAGTGTAGATCCCAACGCAGTAGGATTACCGGTGAACATTGTTTATTGTCCATGACTTCGTCTTGTCCACTGAGAGCGGTCTTGCGTTTGATTTGGGAACATATTCCAAGCCATTTCCCAGTCAGAGATATCCAAGCTATCAAAGGATGGAGCCGATCGCGCTGATGCTTCCAAAAGTGTTGATGATAAACCGTTCTCAATTTGCGCCCTTGGATACGAGCTTTGCACTGTGTTGTTACCCAAACTCGATGATAATGTAGCTGCAGGGTGCCCCAACGGAGGAATGGTTGGGGGCTTATAGTATTGATTTCCAGCAGCACTTGTATTTGGCGTCAAAGACGAGCCTTGGTTCATCATTATTGTGTGCACGAGTTGTCCATTATTAACGGCCGCTGGGGTGGACCCTACGGCATTTTGATGAGTGATCCCCCGATAACTAATATCCGCTTCAGGATCATTGGTAGCAGGCAATGATGATTCTGCGGTAAGTCCCGATATTGCCCAGCAATTTGAACCTGTGGTGTGCGAAGTCGTCGTCTCAGTGATGGCTGCAGGATTTGTTGTTGGTTTAACTCCGTCAAGTAGCTTTGGGTATAATGTGCCATCATCAGAAACCCATCGATAATCGGTATTCAATGGCCATTTTCCTTGCAACAGGTTTGCATCGATGTCGCCCCTTGTTTGCGCACTATTAATGGCATTACTTTGGTCGAAAGCAGTTGTAAACTCATAACCTGGTTCTGACCGGTTACTTTTGTTGTCGGTGGTGTTGTCAACCTTGGGAGACAGCTTGCGCGATTCATCGCTTAAACCCCATTTGACTTGTTCTAAATTTGTTAGAGGAAAAGCCGCCGTTGAAGATGGGATTATAGGAAACTGCATTAGATATGGATCATCTGAAGGAATAGTCACTGGCTGCTTTCCAACTTGATGTAGATGGGTATTGGTTGGGTTGAAATCGTGTGCGTGGGCAACCCGCTCTAACGAAGGACTCTTCCCTTCTGGAACCGTAATCGCGCTGTTGTTTTCTGATCGATCCTCATGGTGTGGTGATATGTCCTCAATTAATTCAATTATCGCTTGTGATTCCTTAAGATACATAAAAACGCGGCTCTTCAATATTTCACGCAGTTTCCAAAGGCTCTCCTCAATATTCGAGGACTGAGTGATCTTTTGCCATTTGACGAGTATATGATGCAGGCCCGGAATAATGACCTTCCATGTGCACATGTTAAGCATATCACCATTGCGAACAAGTATTCCTGTCACGGCTTGAAGAGCCTTATTGCAATTGTGGGAGGCGATAAGTCCAAGGGGGCCTGGACTATCTAGCAGGCATTGATACAGTTGGATCTTGGCGTATTGGAATTTGGCGTTCAAAATGATACCAAGTTCGATGCACAATGTATCTTTTTCGATGCAATCATCATTTACGCTCGCGTGTGGAGGGAGGATAGACTCCCATTGGTTCATATGATCCTCGAGTTCCTTTCCCTTTTGAAAGATCATGCTGGAATCATAACTTGTTCGGAAGCCATCTATCATCAACTTTTGTATCTGTAATAATTTGATGGACATGATGCAATAATCGATACAATAGCCGACATCCAATGGTTCGTCTGGGAGCTTTTTAGGAAATTCGGTTTGAATATCATCATCAAGAATCAGCAGGGGACGTTCAAAATGCACAGCAGCATATAAATTGCACCAGTAAGCTGCCCACCAGAGTCGTCGGTCATCCTCATTCGTATCTTTTCCTTTATGTAGATCCAGATCCTGTGCCATTCGTACCGCCAAATCTCCATACCTAAATGCCTCCTCGGGATGCTGATACATATGGAAGTTGAATAAATATAGCAAAGCGCGGATAGTGGTGCGACTGCTCGTGGTATAGCACTCTTCGAGGAGATGTTTAGCGCACTCCATATACTGATAACCCCTGGATGTTTGAATAGGGTATTCAGAGTCCTGATGCGAATCATTTTCATGTTGATAGACAAATGCTCTCAACGACATGGCAAAAAGTAAATCTTGTTTGCAATTTTTTGAGGCAAGGCGACGTAAATTGGCTGTTGCACATGATATCGTTTCCTGGCCGACCATCTGGTACATAATGAAGCAACGTTTATGTCGAGATGATATCACCATATCTACCCACGAGTCCCCAATTGGATCGTCTGCCATAAGGTAATCGAGTAAATGTTCGCTGGCCTCGTACCTTTCACCAACGTGGTCACTTTTGTTTAATGATCGTATAGGACCAAATACTTCCCGAACACGCTCTTCGACCTGGTTTGCATCCACCGATTTGAACAAAGCTTTAAGAAAATGGTGCGCTTCGGAAATATCGGTCTCAATGCATAATCCACCATTTTCAAAACGGAAGGCAGGCGCGCGGTTGATACATGCCACTGTTCCTTGTTGCTGTTGCTGCGGCCGTTTATCCATTTGTTGTTGCTTCTTTGTCGGCTTATTGCCGGCAGCACGAGCAAGCTGTGTCTCCATTTTTTTCAGACGACCTTCTATATCACGCAAGTGCAACGGATCGCGTATTCTCTCGGCAAGTGTGGCGGAATCATATCGACAACTCAAGCTTTCATTGATGCATTCACCACAAGTTGGCATAGCTCCATTGCACTTTACTTTACGCTTAACACAAAGAATGCACTATATTCTACCGAGTGAGTGCTCTACTAGTGAATTATTTTTCTTTATACTTACTGCTGTTTTTGAATATTGCTGTTCCATATCAGCAGCAGCTGTAGGATTCCCGGGTTCCTGTACGTATCATATCAACAGCAATATCAAATTCAGCCTCAGATCGTAGACGTGTTGTGAAGCCCCCGATGATGTTCAATCACACGACCATGCATCGTAACCTTAGCAACATCGTCCATGCACCCTATAAATTCAATTTCCTAGGTGAGCTCATTACAAGATTAAATATCGCCACGATGGCCAGCACGATAGTAAGAGTAGGAAAACAAGAAACTATGACGCCACAAATATCATCAGTGGTACAATGAGGACGAGCAACATTTGCTAGAGCCAAGGGTTTTATGCTTCAAAATGAAAAGTTACATCTTCACACCCAAATGACTACTACAACTACGGCAACATGAATAACTCTTATCCAAAAATACTATCTATGATATGTATATAAACTTGAGTTTGGACGACATAAAGCATAATCAATCAAAGAGTATAAGAAAGCGTGGAGTATAATAGACGATGGCATCATCTCTTCTTTGCATGGGACCATAAAAATAAAAAGATAATAGATATCCGTTGGGGAATTGGTGTGTAGACTGATGAAAGCGGTGCATAGTTGATAAGTTCTGCAGAAGAGGATAAAGCCATGATAGTATCCTTACGCCAAGAAAACATCTGGTTCTTCACCGATGAGCCTAGGTGTGATGATTGCCTATGGAAAAAATCAGCAACCAACATCCACATAGCACTAGCACAATGATGCAAACAGCGAAACCATTTCTCGCCTCTGCGTTGATGGGGGACATCCTTTTATAGTTGGAAGCTTAGAATTCAGAAGCGTGAACCATCCAACTGCATGATGCCATAAGGACATTGCCATTGGAGTGCTGGGCGGCAAGATGGATTAATCGTGATCAACTTCTCTCCGTAACAAAAAGTAATAAATCAACGTACGCTCCATGTATTTACGTAGATTGCTAATGTGTGAATCTTTGAATGATGCATATGGGAATGAAAATGGGATTTGGTAGATGGTCTAGTGCACTGCATTTGAAGAATTACCAAAAGTCAGTCGTCTGCAAGTGAAACCGACCAAGTCCCAATTTTTCTGCACTCGCGTCTCTTTTTCTCCAACAGTTTTCTTTGCAAAATGTCAACTCAATCTAAGGTATTGTTGTTTTCCTTCTCTTTTATGTATTTATTTATTGTCTTGACATAAGCTGACGTGTGATTGTAGCTGGCTAAGGCTTATCGTACTCTAGCCCGTGATTTCGAAGCAGTTGCTGATTTGCTAGATGCGACCAAGGCCGACACGATTGAGTCAAGCAACGAAGTAACCGAGAAGGCTGATAAAGTCGACAAGAAGAAGAACAAACGCAAGGCGAGGGATCCCAATATGCCCAAGCAGCCCAAAAGTGCATATATTCTTTTCAGCATGGATAAACGCGAGGAAGTCAAAAAGGAGATGGGTGGCAATGTCCGCGAGGTTATGAGTGAACTCGCTCGTAGATGGCAAGCCCTTTCAGATGACGAGAAACAGGTATATAAAGTGGAAGAAAGTATGATGACGGATCCTTATATGCCATTTTTTGCGTAGCCTTATGTCGCCCGAGCTGCAGAAGAAAAGGATAAGCACGAGAAGGAGATGGAAGAATATCGATCCAAAAAGGCTACGGATGAAGGCAAGGCGGAACCTGATCTTACAACCAAGACTAAGCGTGACAATTCTCCCTCGAACGACTCGGATTCATCGTCATCAGCCGAACCTGCCAAAGCAAATAAGACCGAGCACAAGCCAAAGCCAAAGAAGCATGATTCTGACATTGTTTCCCATGAAAAAACTAAGAAGTCTATCAAGAAGAAGGATGCTGCTACCAACAAGAAGGACAAAGCTACCGAAAAGCCTAAGCAGGGTATAAAGAAGAAGGAACCCAGTTCGAGCACACCCAATAAACAGCCGAAGAAGAAGGCCAAAAAGGACAAGTCTTCCAAGTCAGCTTGAGTAGTATAGTCTTCTCCTTTTCAGCTGTATGTTCACCGTAAACTTTTAGCGCTGGAATAATTGTTGTACAAAAAGCATTAAATATCATTATATGAGGAACGTGATATTACCTTCGTGCCTTTTTTTATTGCTTTCAGAAAACCGTAATATCAGCACGTACTTAAGTATGTCCTATTCGGTAGTGTATAGCGATGACGACCCAATTTCGTTGATAAACAATCTGGTATTGTTACCAATACGATGCACCACCTTGGTTGTATAAACAAGGATTACTGTATATGAAATGCAAGAAAGCTGTTCAAAGAACAAGAGCATGTTATTAGGATTGTGGCTGTAAAATGTAAGAGGGGAGTGGGTTATGCAAAGGCAATCCCAGGTGGGAGATCCAGTTGGTTAATTGGGCGGAACACATGACGTTGTTCGAGGATGTTTGAAGCATAAAGATTGCCTTTCATACCACAAGTGTTGACATCTATTACATCTTTCTCAATAAAATGAATAAAAACGAGACGACGCCTTTGACTAGTAGATAATCTGTACTATCCAAACTTGAATCGGCAATGTCACGTGTCACATTTTCGCCGGTTGACTTAGGCGTCCGAAAAGTTATCTGTAACCTAGCCCAACACTATCACTGCTGCTCTCCTGTAGTTTCCTCATGGCAAGCGTTCCTAAGGTAACTATTAGATCTCATAGTTTATTATTCCATGAAACTAAACAATACTTAGGATGGCATGTCACAACAACCTTTTAGGACATTCGATAGTAATCGATCCTCCAACTTGCATCCTTCCTCCAATTCTACAGAAGGCACGGGATTGTCTACAAGCCATAATCCTGACAAGTTATTTGACTCACGGCAAATAAAGTCAAAAAAGAGGATACTCGTCAAGCCAAACAGGGGTTCACGGTAAAACACGCTCTCTAAGCTGCTGGATATCGTTCTAACAGCATGGATAGTTTAACGCAGGAATGCAAGCAATGGTCACTGAGAGACTTTGAAATAGGCAAAGCACTGGGGGAAGGGAAGTTTGGGCGCGTATACCTTGCACGAGAGAAACAAAGCGGATTTATCGTTGCATTGAAAGTTCTCTATAAGAAAGAACTCGCCACTCATGGCGTAGAAAGGCAGCTTCGAAGAGAAGTGGAAATACAAGGAAATTTACGGTAATGAAATACTTGTGCTAAGTAGCCTTTTTCCAGATGATAAACGTTCCAGTCTTTAGTCATCCCAATATCCTTCGATTATATGGCTATTTTCACGACGAAGATCGTATCTTTCTGATTTTAGAATTTGCTGCCAAAGGTGAACTCTACAAAGAATTACAGAGAAAGAACAGAATTCCAGAACCATTGGCAGCCCAGGTAACGTACGACTGCATTCATATGAGAGCGACATAGATTCTCTAATATCCAGATAGTATATAACGCAGATGGCAAACGCTCTCTTATATCTTCACAGCAAGCGTGTCATACATAGAGATATCAAACCCGAAAACTTACTCCTGGGCATGAAAGGAGAATTGAAGATTGGTGACTTCGGATGGTCTGTGAGGACAGGTGTTACAGAGTAAGATGATGCAATTGATGGCATTATTTGTCTTCCTCTAATGGTAGCATTTTAAAAGTCGTAGGAGCACGCTCTGTGGTACGTTAGACTATTTACCACCAGAAATGGTTGAGGGTCGTGTACACAATGAAAAGGTGGATTTATGGTCTCTTGGTGTCTTGCTGTACGAAATGATCTGTGGGACCCCACCTTTTGAAGAGCCTGAAGGTTATCAAGCAACGTATCGCCGGATTGTTAACGTTGATTTACATATACCAAATTTTGTGAGTAGCGATGCAGCGGATTTAATTAGAAAAGTAAGCAAAGAGCATGTAGAAAGAGAAGTTTCCATGACTAAATTATCTCATAGCTTCTCGTTTACAAATCAGCAGAGAGAATGCCTCTAAGAAATGTAATCATGCATCCATTCATAGAAAAATATAAAAAATAAACGCCGTCTTATCCGGTTTTAATGCAATCAAGCCATGACCCATCATAGCCTTTGACACTGGAATTATGTATTACTCCTTTAAAACTAGCTATCTGACGGCAGCTATGATGAGGGGAGATAACAGGATATGTTTCGTCTTCCGAAGACAGCTTAACAGTATTTGTATTCAAGAATGGGGGCACCTGTTTCCGTGATTTCTGGAATACTGCATTCTAAGTCAAATGCCTTTGCGAAAACAATCTTGTAGATCTTTTGAATGTTGATTGACTCTGCAGTTGAGCAGAATATCAATGGCGCCCTCATAGCTCGAGCATACTTGCGGGCCTAAAACAGCTATACATGAGCGCCATGTTCATTACTTGTCTCAATTTTATTACGTACCTGTTTTGTAACTTCTTCTTGGTCTTTTTCCGATAATCGTACAAATTCATCATATTTTGTACCAATTAGTAAAGGAACAGCATGCTGTAAAAGGATATCAATCTCATTGTTCAAAGGTCATTGTTATTGTAGTAGGTGGCCCATACCTTATTCATCCCACGAGCTTGCCGGTACCATTCTTTGATGTTATTAAGCGTTGCCTTTCGAGTCAAATCAAACGTAAACAAGATAGCCGCCGTTTCATTGCACACAAGTGGAAGCATGCTCACGAACTCTTTTTGACCTAGAAGAGTGGGATTAGTCTTGGTTTACATCCTTTCAATTGGCTACCAGTTTAACAAGATAGTTACCTCCTAAGTCCCATATACTGAAGATAATCTCTGTATTACGAATAATGATCGACTTTTCCATAAAATTGACGCCTAAGGTGGTTTCGGGGTGTTGGTTAACGTGGTTTGCTGCTCGCAGTAATTGTTGCAATGGCTCACCCAGTGTTTGAATATATTCAGGATCAAAGATTCCTTCCGCATATTTCACCATAAGGCTCGTTTTTCCAATATTTGTGTCGCCCACTATGCCTGTCTTCAGCACGACGCTAAAAATCGATTGGTATTATCAGTAACCTGCAGCACCACACATTTTAATCTTGTTATCCATTAATACCTGTTTCTGGGTTGGACACTTTGGCCAGGCTTCGTTGCAGCGTTCTGATCCTGGTGCTGTACTTGCTTATTATGTGCTTGATATGGATGTGAACTCATGAAAGAAAGACGTCAGCACAACGGGATAGAAGATTCAGCAACATCAATCCCTTAAAAATGGATGTGCATTGAAACTCAGCATGAAGACAATGAGAGTATGGCTTCCCTGTTAATTATTAAACGTGCCACTTCGGCTTTAAACATATCTCGCACACTTACAATATGTCATTGAAGCATCTTCATTTGGTAGTGAAATTATCAGCTACTTGTGCTTTGATGCCATTGAATGTGTATGTGGCAAACGGAGAGCTTTATGAATATATCTTATAAAGATGTGTAGTTGAACAAAGAGCAATGCTATCGTCCACGATACCTGTGTATACCAAGTACAATGGAATACTTTCGATAACATAAACTTTAGCACAGCACAGCTGGACACAAGATTCATGCATACCTGGTGTCACTGTTACTTTGTTTACAAATGAGGCTAGACTTACCAAACACAAAGAAAACCACCTACCACTCATCCTTTTGAATTGCCAAAAAGAAGTAAGAAAAACAATATGTCTAAAATGGCAGCTGATTATATTGTATAAAATGAGTCACTAGAGAGGGATATTTTATTCGCCAGGTGATTTACGTTTGCGTAATTGAGCTAGCAAAACCTGAGATGACATTGCTCTTTGGCCACCGTTTGCTTCACCACCGAACCCGGGAACAGCGCCTGATCCAAATTTAGGGGATAACGATTCTGTTCCTGCCACAGAAGATATCGGTGCAAGTGACTTCTGGCCGAAGCGTGGCGATGGCATATATGGAGAGTTGTGACAATTACTTGGTAATACAGGTGCTCCTGCAACCCCAGAACGCCCAGTCCAAGTTGGAGTAGCAACACCCATCTTTCGCCTCTCTCGACGTGATTCTTTCAGGACTTCGGTAGCATGCTTCGCCACAAGTGCAGCTTTAAACACATTTAGCATAGGTTGCTCGATTCAAGGCTTCTCCAATATACCTTCATTATCAGCAAGTACACGTTCCTGCTGTCCTGAGTCCATTATTTGATCATGCTGAAGAGCACTTTGTATACCTGTCATCTCAAACAGGCTTTTCAGCACGTTATCCTCCGCATGTGTCTCTGAACTCTCTGCTTGTTGCACATTAGGATTCTCAGCTCTAATAAACCTTTAGCATTAAGCTCCTATCAACGCCAATTGTTTAAATACTTGCAATTGCTCGATATTGGCAACACCATTCAAGGCAAGGAGTTGATCTTTGTCATCAGTGGGTGATTTTGACCTGGTCTCTGGCTTTGGACTTTGATAACTAATTTCAGTTCCTTTAAACAACTGACCAGTTTCGGTGCCTGAACTTGATTCATCATCACCGAGAGTGAAAAGTGCTTTGAGATTACTCGCCTATTGTCCCGTTTAGTATTGAGTTTTCCTCCCAGGATGGATCCACTTACATCAAAAAATCGCTTCTGCTTAGGATCTTTCAAAATCTTGTTCGTTAAGAATTGCTTGTATATTTGTCTATGATATATCTTTTCTTCGATGGTTCCACTAGTCATCAGCCTGTAGATTGTTACATCCTTTCTCTGACCCAGCCTCCATGCGCGCTCTCGCGCTTGCATATCTGTAGAAGGATTCTAAAACGATCATTAGACTAGAATATAACTAAATTGCTTATCTTACCCAGTCAGGATCAAAGATAATCACGCGATCCGCACCAGTAAGGTTTAAACCAAGGCCACCAACTTTGGTGGTAAGTAAGAAAACGTATATATCGTCCTGGGTATTGAAATCGTTTACAAGTGCCATTCGCTGTCCGACCGCTGTATTGCCATCCATCCGAAGGTAGTTAAAGCCTAAGCCTTTGATTACCCGCTCAATAATGTCGAGCATCTGCCGTGTTTGGCTGAAAAGAAGAACCTTGTGATTTTGTGTTTTCCAAAGTCTTAAGAGTGCACACACGACGACTAGCTTCCCACTTTTCTCGGGATCTCCATAACTTGGATCCTCCTTAAACAATTGCACTTTTAGATATCTTGGTTGTATAACGTGGAAGGACTTACTTCAGCAGGTGCTGAGGTCGTTGTGATTAAATCGGGATGATTGCATATTTTTCGAACAATGTCAATCCCGTAGAGGACCTGCCGTCTACGTTCAAGAATAGCATCCATGTCCTTGGAATGAATAAATCGCAGGTACGCCTCACGCTGTATGGGTGTGAGCTTGCAGAATAAAACCTGAAGAGTAATTTAGACGGGTTAAACGATCCACAAACTAGATATTGGTACCTGCTCATTTTTTGCCGGAAGATTAGTAGCCACGTCAACCTTCATCCTCCGGAGAAGATATGGATTGATCAGATCTCGCAGGACACAAGCACACCGATAAGCTGTTTGAACCTGCATATTGGTAGCATTTGCATAACCGCCAATGGTAATAGGTACAGAAAATTGTGTCTGAAAAACAGGTAGGGTCTAATTCCCGGTGTTGGTGAGCTTTGTGATTCGTATCAAAAGAAATACATACGCCTAGCCTTCCCGGGAAGATAAAATCGAACAATGACCAAAGCTCTTTCAAATTGTTTTGGATCGGTGTACCAGACAAAATGATACGATGAGATGTCTTGTACATAATTAGTATTACAAGTTTATCGTTCAAGATATGTCTTACCTTGAATTGTTTACATGCTAATGTCGTTTCCGAGTCAGGGTTCCTTATTTTGTGCCCTTCATCAAGCACTACGTAACCCCAGCGATGTTTAAGCAATATTTGTCGATACGCCTGTACTCCATTGTATGTTGTGACAAGGACACCGCCTAACAATTCCGTCAGTATTGCTGAAGAAATTAGCGCCGTAATTACAACTCACCCAATCGAACAAAACGCTCTACCAACGCATGTGCTTTTCTTCCGGTTTTAGTGCGAAGAACATCTTCATTTGATAGGCTTTGTCCGCCTTTGCCTTTACGTCTTTTTCTTGCCGTGCTTTTTGACATCCATAAATCCACATCTTCTAACTCGGAAGAATCATGATCACTTTGGGTTGGATCGAGAAATTGTTTGGCATCCGTACGCATAACACTCCCAGTAGCATGTAAAACCGCCACGCGGATTGGTGGCCACCATCGATGAAACTCTTCAACCCATTGCTTCATCACCGTAGCAGGACACACGACAACTGTTGCTTTACCAGGTCCAAGTATTTTGGAATGGTAAAGTCCTGAAATGAACGCTATCATTTGCACAGTCTTGCCAAGACCCTGTCGATCCATTATCAGCTTATGGAATGCTGTTGTAGAAATGAAGGAAAGGAATCTCACCATCTCGTCACCAATTATGCCGCCAACCTTCTGTGAGTGTAATTCCCAGAGCCATTTAACGCCTATATCTGGAGTTAGCAAAGTGATAATACGTAACATTTTCTTTTCTCTACTAACATGTCTTTTGATAATCAAGTAAATTCATCCATATCTCGCGTGGGATGCGTAATCCGCTGCCTAATTCGACATCTTCGTAGCTTGGACTCGTGTCATATGGTAGGACCTCAGGTTCCTGCCGATCACCTTGATGTAGATCTCGCGAACTGCTTCTTGGCGTGCCCTCATCGTTATTCTTCGTTGGTAGCATATTAGCATTTGAACGTCAAAATGGCAGAATAATAGTCAGAGCTTACATCCTCCATATTTGCCAACATTCGTTTTCTGTTATACAGCCAACCACGCATTCGTTTCTATTATATTTGTGTCTTCAGTGGAGTTCTGAGTAAGCGCTCCTTTCTTATTTACCTGATAAACATCTTCATCTCCATCATCAGCGAACATGGTTTTCTTTAATGTAGCCGCAATCTCCATAGAATCATCGGTATCTGCGTCGGAGGCGTAGTCTTCATCACCTTCCGAATCTGATGCTGTATATTCATAATCATCATCAGACATTGCTAGCTGTTTCTTGCGAGTCGTTTGCTTCTTATCCAATGGTCGAAGTCCACTTGACCTCTGTTTTGTCGATGGTGACCGCTTACTGTTACCATGATGGTTATCGGTTACTGGTATTGGTTGTCTTCTGCCTCCAAAATGGGCATCACCCAGTGGTACACCAACAGGCGAAGTCATCCAGGAAGTCGGAGTGCCTTCATCAGGACCTTTCTCGACGTCGGATAACTCAGTGAACGGTGTAATCTTCCCTGTACGAATCAAGAATTCTCGACGTGTTTCATTTACAGGATGTTGTGGATCTGCGTTCCTTACGGAATAGTCTTAGCATGATCACTCTGAGTTATATTGGGCAATATAACCATACCGCTAGCAAACTCTCCTTGATTTTTTTGTCGATCTCTCATCCGCGTAAGAATATCGTTCTCATCTCGATCCAAATTTTGAAGACGACTTGTCTTGGATGTGATATTTTCAATACTTGCTTAAAAACCCAGAGACTGCACACATACCTGCATGTTTATCTTAGTCAGTAATTTCTCTTGGGTTGCCGAATTTAGAACTTTATCCCCAAGCTCTCTCTGCAATTTCTCTAATTGCTTGCGCGCATTGCTGAATACAACGAAATGAGTTGCAAGTCTTCTAACACATGTATCAACTCACTCCTTTTCTTTGCGAGCTTTTGCCAGCCGTTTATAGTCAAGCGCATTATCCCGTTCAGCAATCGCCTTGTCCGCCTTTGTATATGTTTAGCATAATTTAGCATAATATGACTCATAAAATCATGAGTTTATGGCCATACTTTGACCATTATCTGGCGTTCTAGAGCATTCTGATCCATGAGGTTCACTCCCAAATTCTGGAGCTTTTCGTCGATATCATTATCTATGGTTGGCTCTTCGGACGTTTTGTGACCCGCAGAAGCAGAATCCGAGTCATTGGAATTCATGGTTTCATTCGAAGACGATGGATCCAGTTGATCGCGCGAATCCATGTTGAAGTAAAAAGGGAACTTGAGTAACTTGGGAGAAACAGTGTGTGATCAAAAGTCTCCAAAACCCCAGTATTTGTCTGAGGCTGGGCTCTGCTGGCTCTTACCATTCTTGGGCTCTTTACATCTGCATGTAGCGACTGCGGAAATTCAGCCTGGATGCTGTTCCCCTTGGCTTTACCTTGCACTATATGCTGAATACAGTTTCATATATCCCGAGATAGAAATAGAGAAATGCTATCACAAAAGACCAACGACTACCTTTGTCCTTTGACGTTGGCTTTCCACGTGACCCGAGACGTTCCCCTTTTGCTGGTTGGTATCTCTTTCAACCATGATATGAAATCCGAGCACAGTTCGTTTCCAATTTCAATGATAATACATAGAAGTTATACTTTTTACAGCTATTTTGAGCAAATACATAGATTTGGAACATGGATTTTCAACATACTATAATTGAGCTCCTCACTCTGGCATGAAATCCATCATTTGTTTTTGCGGTTAGAGAGAACGCTTGATCCTTTCAATGCACAGGCTAGTGAATCATGAATAGCTACTTGTTTAAGCTTGTTTTGTTGTAACAAAAGATAGCGGTTAACGGCTTTCGCTCTGTGGGTCATCACAAAATTGGCACACGTATCGCTCACGAAAAGGACTTTCAATCATGACAATCATCAAGGGATTTTGGAGGTTCCAGTAATCAAAGAGTGATATTATGGAAAGAAAGGGATGTGTGGGATAAAATGATAGGGGACAGCATTTATCCTCTTGTCCATATTTGCACTCATCACTGTGGGCGAAAGTAGCTCTATGAACACAGAAATGAAGAATAATGATAAAGTGTCTGTTGAGAATGGTTAGCAACCATTACAGAGATCCTTGGTGTTGATTGAATGTACATCATAAACTAGGATCTGAGATAGACCGCGTGGCAATCTCCATCATCCAACGATGGTATCACTTAAATCACTTGTTGCTGTACTCCAGTTCCACGAAATAAGACGTCGTCCGCGGATGTCTGCGTAAGTCTTCGTTTCGAAAAGAGAAGCCGCTGGCATCTTCATAGTTGATATAAGCATAGTACAAAAAGGTAAATGTTTCCGGCCAACACAGCTCACCCATGGGGTGATGATATAACGGCTTCCTTTGATACGAACGCCACCTTTGCCTATATTATAATGCTCATGAGGGTCTCCCTTTGGCAGAATAGCAAGCTTCGGTCTAAAGAGAAATCAAATGTAATGAACAAGGCAAGGGTAGGTCAATGATACAAATGTTATCATTTTGACAAAGGCTACCCACTATACGAAGACCAAAGGCATTACATTTAACATCCTGCTTAGTAGTAAAATCTATTCGCTTGCATTACCTCTTGTCAAAGCTCGACCAATACATATTATACAGTGCTACATTATTCTGAATGTTGACTATGATAAGTGGTATAGCAAGTCACTTATTAGTAGCAAATGAGTGACAGTTGTCAACATCGATATGCCCCGTCGTCGCTCATCTGGTTTGGGCAGGGCACCAGTCAGACCTTATTTGTAAGGCCGATGACAGATTTAAGGTATCCCGGCCCATTGTGCTCACCTTGCGCCGCTCTTGCTCTAAATATCTTGCCGTGTGGATAGCTACAATGGCTATCCATGCGATGTGAGGTACATCTTAATAATTGTCCTCTCATGAAATCTCATTATGTATCGAATCGCATGTATACCAGGCTGTGTGTCAGATTCAAGTCCCTTGACCGCATGCCTTATTTTTCGCCTTATGGCGAGCTCTTTGGTTATATCTTTGAGACGGACATGCGAAGTGCAATCTTCCTGTAACAATGATACATCGTTCAAAAAGCATATGAGAATGCTGACCTGGTGCTAAGCGACATGATTAAAATGAAAGGGAAATGTGATTCCGAGGTCCCCCAGATCTACCCGCCTCGTACAAAAATGTAGCTGTCGATATAGTGCAGCCCATCACATAAACAAGAATACAATAAGAATTGGATTTCAGAGAACTAACACAACGATAGAATGACTTGATTGCTTTATTGATGATAATCTGCTTCCGCTTTATATTTCTTGCTATATCAATTCTAGGGAATCATGACGTTATGTGATTGCTTGATTGATAGGATATAAGTTCGCCGCAAGAATTGAATAGCGTCATACTGTATAAGACGAATTTATGGGTAATGGGATGTTAGGACACACAAAAAAGCTGCCGTTACAGTGACTGGGTCATATGAATGGTTAAATGTGCTGCAACCCGTACTCCCCGGTAACTAATGGGAAGTGTCGGTTCACATGGCTAATCTAATATCCCTTCCAGTCGCCGCAATTACAAAAGTTTTCTGTTTTATTCCGCTTAGGTGTCTTTCTCTGTTTTTCCTATTTCCCTTTACCCTTGTAAACTCCAGCATGTCGTTTCTTCGCACTGCCTCCGCTTTGAAGACTGCCGCTAGCACCACTGTCAAGGTATGTACGCGTTCTATGAAAAAGTAGACCGCGACTCACCGCAGGGTAAATAGTTCAATGCAGTTCGTGGCATTACCACTGCCGCTCCTTCTGTGACTCAAACATTCAACGGCCAAAAGAAGGAAAATGTAAGCAAGTAGATTTGCAAGGAAGGAATGAGGAACATATTGTATTGACCTTGTGTGGTAGGGCAACTATACAGTGACTCTTATTCCTGGTGATGGCATTGGTCCCGAGATTGCCGAATCTGTCAAGAGAATCTTTGCTGCTGCAAAGGCACCCGTCGACTGGGAAGAGGTTGATGTGACACCTATCATCAAAGACGGAAAGACTGCTATCCCTCAAGATGCTATTGATAGTGTACGTCGTTCGACTGTTGCTCTCAAGGGTCCCCTGGCTACTCCAATTGGCAAGGGTCACGTTTCGCTTAACTTGACCCTCCGCCGTACCTTCAATCTTTACGCCAATGTTCGTCCTTGCCGTTCGGTACAAGGCTACAAGACCCCTTATGAGAATGTTGACACGGTCCTTATTCGTGAGAACACCGAAGGTGAATACTCTGGCATTGAACACGAGGTGGGTTGTAAATATAGCATTTAAATCCATATACTTGGTGTATATCTGATACAATCACTGCAGGTTGTCAATGGTGTTGTTCAGTCGATCAAGCTCATCACTAAGGAGGCCTCTGAACGCGTTGCACGTTACGCATTCACCCATGCTGAGTCTGTTGGCAGAGACAAGGTTACCGCTGTTCACAAAGCCAACATTATGTAATTGCACATAGAGAGCTACGCAGGAATATTTGGATTAACGCACACTTTAGGAAATTGTCTGATGGTCTTTTCTTGGATGTCTGCCGACAAGTTGCTAAGGAGTTCCCCCACATCAAGTTTGATGAAGTGCTCTTGGACCGTGCTTGTCTTCACGTGAGTTTTCAGCGGCAATGAATGGAAAATTTTTGGACCGAAAGTAACCTACAGATTAGATTGTTTCCGATCCTTCTCTCTACGCTGACACTGTAATGGTTATGCCTAATCTCTACGGTGATATTCTCTCGGATATGTGTGCTGGTTTGATCGGTGGTCTTGGTTTGACACCATCCGGCAACATTGGTCGAGATGCCTCCATTTTCGAAGCTGTGCACGGCACTGCTCCTGATATTGCGGTATGTGAGAAAAAATATAAGGCTGTTAATATACTAAGTATATACAATTATAGGGCCAAGACAAAGCTAACCCCACTGCTTTGCTTTTGTCTGGTATTATGATGTTGAGACATATGCGTTTGACCGATCAGGCTGCCAACATCGAACAGGCTGTCTTTAAGACTATTGCTGAAGGCCATGCTCTCACCGCTGACTTGGGTGGTCGCTCTTCAAACACCCAGTACACAAATGCTGTTATTCAGAATCTCAAGGTCTAATCCCGCTTTGAAATATCAGTTCATGAACGATGATCATCTTTTATTCTCCATTTCCTACATAGAAAATTGTTTTGCAACTATTCATGTCTTATCACATTATCAAGAGATAACAATCACGCTTGTGTTTTACCCAGTGAATCTGTTTTGAAAGTTCGATATTGATACAAGCACCTAAATTCTTTACATCATTGACTTGGGCTTGCAAACAGGCTACATACGCCAATGTTGAGTGGTTAAGCTTTCTACGTTGTACTTATGTGTATCTTTTGTCATACATGAATTCTTCCATATAAGAGATGTGATTGGCTGTGGTATTGTTAATACTTATTGCGGGATGTCGCACCACTTAGTATTTCCCAACAGATATCAGGTAGGGTCGACTCAATATCTCATATCATATCTCGTTCAGCAGGAAGGGATAAAATGATGCAGCTATTGCATGAACCCACAGAGTCACAAGTGAAGTGTATTAGGATAGCTGCATGAATCCTCGATACCTTGTCTCAGAGTAAAATCATGTAATGAAATCTGTGTTATGGTTGTTTAGGGCAACTTGGAAAGACAAGGTTGTCTGGACACTGCATGAATCTTCGGTATCTTGGTGGTAGAGAAAAAGCATGGTGTTAATGCTAGGGATCATCCATATGATGCTCGCTCTCACACCAACCCCTATCTCGATGTCGGTTTATTCTTATACCCACAGAATAAAGAACACGATCTTATTCTTCACTATGAATAAGAAAAGTATCCTCATTGTCTCATTACGCTACTAATCAACGAGCGTATCTTGATAAAAAAATGCCTGGTAAATAGATTATCGATGAATGGCTATCCTCCATCCACCCCCTCTCTCCCATAAAGTCACTGCATATCCCCTTTCGTCATCTCGTATTGTTCCACGTGACCTTTAGTATACAACAACGGCCCATGCATTGCACGGGCGTATTGCTGACCTTTTCCCTTGCCGTTATTAAACGACGAAGAGCTACATCCTTGCTTATAAAGTTCAATCCAGTAACGATCAATGGAAAAATCCTTCCTAGAAGGCGTATCATGGTCAAGTACATCAATTTTATGATATCCAAATGTCGGAGCTAAATGAACGGATGCCGCAACAAGGCTATCATGTGCATCTCACCCACGCTTTGGGGTGGGCCTATGCTAATAAATTTGCTTCCGACTGGTATCCATGTCCGACATAATGAACGGCAACTCCTTTTACTGCGATTCTGATTCTCCAGTGGAAGTCCACTCTCAACGGCACGATGAATTCTCACTCGAATTCGTCAATCAAGAACACATCAAGGACCTTTCGAGAGCTCTTGCAAGAGATCCCAGCAGTGGTTCAGAAACTGGCGCTGAGCACTTGTCAACCACGTCAAGAAGGAAAATAAAAAAAGAAGATACGGGAACACCTAGAGGGATCTCATATTCAATTTCTCGGTATCCTTTAATCGTAAGGGATAACATAATTTACGGCGATGAAAATGGCTGATTAGCTTTGCCATAGATTGGTATCGGCGCAGTCATCATATTTGAATTGATTTTATACATATGCCTGCGCCAGTTGGTACGAGCATGGGAAAGCCTGTTTAGCTGGTAAAAATCATACATCAGTACTATAGCTCTAGCTCACCTTGTTTATATTATTTTTCCAAAGGAGAGGCAAGCGAAGACAACTACGTGCAAATCTTCGAGCAGCGAATTCTTATGAAGAATGGTGCACAGCAGCGGATGCACTGGACAAATATATGGGCAAAGATGTTTGGAAGGAATCAGCACCTTACGGTTATTACGATTATCGTCTTATTGAAAAGGTTATTCGACATCTACGGAGCTATCGAGAAAATGCGAACAATAGCTATGAATCAGCAGCCAATCTCAAGGATGTGCTATACGCTTGTTTGAAGCAAAACTTTGCTGGAATTGAGAACACAAAGTTATATAGCAATAGTTATCTTGGAACCAAACGACTGGTGGAACAATATGTGGATGAAGGTAAGTACCGACTATTTTTTGACAACTACCATTGCTCATAGTCATTAAACCCCATTAGTTACCCACGCGATTGATGTTTTGACAAAGAACAAATATATATCGATCGATGACAAGCGTCTCGCATTCAAGCTATATTCAAAAAACTTTGGACGAACAGCGTTCTGCTTATCCGGTGGAGCTGGCTTCGGTTACTATCATCTGGGTGTGATTCGCGAATTATTGGACCAAAAGCTGTTGCCCCCGATCATTACAGGGACCTCAGCCGGTGCACTGATGGGTGCGATCGTGTGCACTCGTACCGACGACGAATTACGTCAAGTCCTCGTACCAGAACTTGCACATAAAATCAAATTTTGTCATGATTCATTGATAAAGCACTTGACTCGATATGCAACAACCGGTGCTTTTTTCGATACTGATCAATGGTGTCGTCTTGCTGTGTGGTTTTCACGTGGATCACTTACGTTCAAGGAAGCATATGAACGCACTGGCCGCATCTTCAATGTTTCTGTGGTGCCCAATGATCCACATTCACCGCCAAAACTACTCAATTATATCACGGCGCCTAATTGTGTTATCTGGAGTGCTGTAATGGCGTCAGCTGCTATTCCTGGAGTAAGTATGCTCAACAAAACTTATAATTCAACTTTTGATTTAACTGCTCAGCTGTAGATTTTGAACCCAATGGTCCTTTTACAAAAAACACCGAGATCAAATCATCTGATCCCATACGATTACGGTCACCGGTTCAAAGATGGCAGTTTGCGAACAGATATTCCTACACAGACACTATATCACACTTTTGGTGTCAACTATACCATTGTTAGCCAGGTGAATCCACACATTCATGTATTCTTTTATGCCAATCAAGGAAGTCCAGGACGTCCCGTGACCCATCGTTGGGGCAAAGGATGGCGTGGCGGATTCCTCGCATCAGCTGCGGAACAATTTTTAAAGCTAGATCTCTCTAAATGGCTCAAGGTACTACGAGATCTCGATCTCCTTCCAAGAGTAATGAATCAAGACTGGAGCAACTTATGGCTTCAAAAATTCGATGGCACAGTAACGATATTGGTAAAGTTACACAATAACGTCAATATTTCGTCACTCCTAAACTCATGCTCTTGTGCACAGCCAAAAACAGGTTTACTGGATTGGACCCATATTGTAGCCAACCCTACAGAAGATCGACTCAAGCATGCAATGAATGTGGGCCGAGCAAGAACATGGCCAACTATTTCCATGATCAAAAACAGGTTACGGATTGAAAATGCAATCAAAGAAGGGCAGAGAACACTTCGCAGCCGCCGCCATAACACCTCAAAAACAGGTGCATCCAATACGAGCGATGACACATCAAGCAGTAGCAATGACGAAATCCGATTTTTAGCAGGTCGTCGTGCAAGCATGCCTGATGGATCTGGGCTGCTACAGGAAAAGCAGTGGAAGAAAGAAGAAACGCGAAGACGGAGATTTCTCGCACAGTTCACTGATCGCCGTGAAGTAATTGCTGGCAAGGAAATCGTGGCCCAGGAGGCTGAAGCAAGGGCATACGATTTCGACACAGAAAGCGAAAATGAATCATCTGATAGTGACACCGCGTAGTTAGCAAGATAGTACATATGACGTTTTTTACCCATACCCTTTTCATCCAATCCTTGTTGAAAGCAAAGTTCTTTTTGTAATACCATTATCAGTACGAATGTTACATTGCATGGGTTGTATGGCGTGGTTGTATTCCGCTATATAAAATTAGGGTCGGGTTTGACATTATGCCGTCATCATGACGACAACACCAGAAAATTCATGCAAGTATATAAAGCAAGCACAATTCTTTTAGCCCAATTTTCACTTAAAAAAACATGTCGACTTTGTTAGGTGAAGAAAATACAAAACTCGATAAGCTGGGTAACACTGTATCCACCGAATCATCTGAAGACGCATCTCCCCCAACCAAGAAGGAACAACGAGCTGCTGAGCGAAAGGCTCAACTTGGATTAGCGGGTATGTCAGCAATATAGTATGATGGTCCAAGCATGGATGATTAACAATCTGCCATTAGCTTCCCCACCAGACCAGCGAAGAGGGCCTGACCGGGGTATATTTCGTGATGTTTCTCGGGAACAGCAAGAGCAACAACAGGAGCGCCAATACGACCAGCGTCTTGCAGATGAGCGTGAGGAGCTCCGTGATGATCGTCAGCGTCGACAATTCGATCGACATGGTGGATATGGTTTCAGGTTCGGCTTCAACGAGAATATGTACAATATATTACTAACATTGCCCACAGCAACAAAGATAAAAAGTCCAAGCAAGGATGGGGTGATCCTCTTGACGAGTAAGTCAGGCGATATATTTGTGCAAGAGCAGACCGATTTACGTATTTCTTAGCTTGAATGCTGACTACGAAATGGATCCAGCCGATCCAGCTGCCGATCCCGATGAGCCAGGTATATAGATGCATTCGATCGAGCAACTTGTAACTTACTCATAGTGTTTTCTTAGCTCAATGATGTTATACGACATACAAATAAAATTGGTATAGCACAATTTATGCAGAATCATTTTGCGATACATGTTGCTGTAGTTGCTTGGAGCTGGCCTTGACTTAGGCGTTTCATGTTCAAGTGGTACATGATCATAATCGTGATTAAAAGGTATTGGATGCTGTACTATGACTAAAAACAGGCTGTCGCAAAAGTGATATGAAGTAGGATGTGAGCTCTTCCAAATGTAAAATTCCTTCTATACATTCAGCTCTATCTATGATCTTGAAACGAAACAACCTAATAATTCCCTCCATTGAAAGAATGGCTAGGATGTTTGGCTCTGCTAAAGACTTACCCAACTAAATAATCGAAGGCTTCCTACATCATAAAAGCCCTTCTAAGTATCAATTATTGCCAATGATGTCCAAGGAAGATGCGTGGCAGCTGATAGCAACACTGCTTTATTTGCAATATTAATGAAAGCGATGTGATTCGGAGGGTACACGACCACGGATAATGGAGGGCTCAGTGCCCTTGATGTATATATCGCTCCAAAATTCTTTCAAATCGGGTTCTGGCGACGCTTCCGCTTCCTGTGTTTCCTTCTCAATCAATTTACGTGCCTCTTTATCGATCGCTTTGATTTCTTCTTCGGTAGCCACATTTCGATCGATTATCAAGTCTCGGAGGTGGGTGATAGGGTCTGCTGTGGATCGCATACGTTGGATCTCATCTCGTGACCGATAGGTTGTACCGGGGTCTGACATTGAGTGACCGCCATATCTGTATGTTCTCATTTCCATTACAAGTGGACCTTTACCTGACAAAACCCACTCCTTTGCCCATTCACATCCTCTCTTGACTGCGAGAACATCCATACCATTCACCTAACATTAATATGAGTATGAAAATGTAAGTTTGGGTGCTCGGGCAGAAATAATTACCTGTATCCCTGGGATGTATTCCGCTCGAGTATAGTATTCAGTTGATGCAGATGAACGACTGGCAGATGTCCCCATTCCATATTTGTTGTTCTCACATACGAATATACATGGTAGCTCCCATAATGCTGCCATGTTAAAGGATTCAAACACTTGACCCTGGTTGGCTGCTCCGTCTCCATATAAAGTGAAAGTCGCCGATGGAATACCAAGGTACTTTTGAGTGAAAGCGATTCCTGCACCCAATGGTACCTTCACGCTTGATGTTAGTATATAAATTCAAATAGTATACCAATATCTTACTTGAGCTCCAACAATCCCGTGCCCACCATAGAATGACGGCGAGAACATGTGCATGGATCCTCCTTTACCATGTGAGATACCGCTTTCACGTCCCATAAGCTCAGCTAGCACGCTCTTTACTGTAGCACCTCGAATAAAAGTGAAACCATGGCAGCGATATGCAGTGATCACATGGTCATGGTGCGTAATTGCAGATTCCATACCCACAGATACAGCTTCCTACAATACACGATGAGCACAACACGCATGCTTTGTGAATTATCTATTGTCACCTGTCCTGTGCATAAATGACAAAAGCCACGAATCTTCTTAGCTTTATAGAGACCATCCGCAGCTAACTCCATCTTCCTCATAGTGGTCATTTTCGTGAAAATATCTAGCAATTCACTGTGTTCGATTTCCATATCCAAGTTTGGCTTGTGGTCCACTTTATACATCTTGAAGGAGTCTTCTGGAAGAGTAACAGAGACCTTTTCATGACGGTGACTTGTTGTGCTAAACGCACGACGCTGGACATTCCTTCTGTCAGTGTATCGCAGAATCATAGATAACGTACTTGTTACTTACCCAAGTTGATTTACAAGAGAATATAGTACGAAGCATGTGAAAGTAAGGAAAAGAAGCCCCAGCACCGATATAATTCAACTTGGGTGTATCTATTCACCACTCGAAAAACATGGGTTCAGTGCATAGTTTGGCGGCTTACTGACGTCATTTTAGCCCGGTTGTTTCAATCTTCTCACATTTTTCACAAAGATACGAGTGAGAAAGCAACAGTTCATCATCGTTGTATATAGCATATTGATGCATTTGCCACATACAAAATCTTAGGAGACACCCCGAAGTGTGAATTTATTGCAGTGAATCATTGTGATCCATTAATAAACCAGCGATATTTACATTACTACAAGTCCAAATGTAGATTGGCAAAAGATTACGTAACTCGTCTTGAAACTAGCAATCCTGCAAGTATATACAAGCCAAACATCCCACACCTTAAGGTTCGCGTTCATGGAGAAAGTTGCAGTTGTCACCAAATCGGCACCCACGATATGTCCCAAAATACCTGCATTTTGGCGGTCGTTTTCTTCTAGGTCGTTGTCCACTTTGCCTCGCTGCATGAGTCTCATAGCGGATATCAGGGCTTGAGGTGCTCTCTCGAGAACTACTTGCTCTACCATCTTGTTTGGTATCTACAAGTTGTGATGGGTGTACACGCGTGTCACGCTCCGGCTATCATTCATTGTGAGCACAGCAACATACATTATGCGTACCAGCCACGTCTTACCAGAAGATCAGCAGATTCAGGCTGCTGAGATTGGAGCATATCTAGGAACATCTGCATGATTCTACAAGCGGCTATAAGAAATTGAGCTACACCATAAACGGCATGCATGACATACCCAGGATTGTTCAATAGCATTTGCGATACTTGGGTTACTGATGGTTGCGGCTCGGTGTTTTCCATCAAAGGGGTGATATTCACCTGAGGTACAGTTGGCACGGCCACAGTTGTTCCCACTGGAGATCCTTGCTGTGTAGGTAGAAAATTGTCAGATACTTCTTCAGGGTGTGCATATGAATAGTTTTCCTGCGCTGTAACGTCGTCTAACGGAATGACTTTAACATGAACATTGTTCTCGATAATATCCGCCTGCTGTGGTTCAGCTGGAGATGGAGGTATCTGCTGTGGGCTGGCATATACTGCAGCAGGTACGATAGTCTCACGAGCACGCTGATGCTGCGCTTCAGGCGTATCAATAACACCAGGCCTCTTATCATCAGGGATAGGATTCAACATCTGCGGCGTCACCCATATATGTAACTTCGAGTTTATCAGTTGCTGTATCCACGACCTGAAGCGATCAACTTACCTCCCATTCTTCCGGATCAACATCATATTCCCGTATCTGTACTAGCCGATGGTCTGCTTCAAATCGCACCCGCTTTCGGGAAGGCCGATCGTTTTGATCGCCTAGGGGTCGTTTAATCATTCCTGACGCAGAGCTCTTCCAATCCTCTAGGCTGCTATCTGTTCCAGAGGCGGTGTTGCTGTGTGTTGCTGGCCTAGTGATACGTTATTAGTGGTATAATATGACATGTATCGATCGACCAAACTTTACCGAATAACATAGCTTGCTCTTGGTTTGTTGGTGGAGACGAGGCTCGTAAAGAAGTCCTTGGTTGTGATAGCTTTGGCACGCTGTGGAGGATCCTTTTGTAAAGCCAGACGTGTATTTGACTAGGTCTCCGCTTTTAGTGATAATCCTTCACTTATCAAGTCCTTTGCTCTTACATTTGACCCTGTGGAGGAATCATCACCGTTGACTGGAAGCAATAAGAAAAAAATTAGCATTCACGGGTATTTTGTATGATGCAACATCCACTTACGTTTTTCTTTCATAGCAGCCCATTGCCGCATTAGTTCTTCAGCCTGCTGTTCCAGCTGTCCTTTATCTGGGTTGAACCCCCAAAAAAATCTGAGCATCCCTGATAATAGAACAACCTGTCAACTTACCAGCCTGCTTCGCTTTATCTCTTATTCGTCGAACCGCTCGTCCTATCCCATATGTCATAAGCATATGCAGTTTCATGGGTATATGCTTAAGAGACTACATATATGCGTTAGGAAATTAGACATATAGGGATTGTTTACATGGTGCTATGTACCTTGATCAAATCTTCCAGTAAGATCCAATTGCATTTTTCGATTGCTTCCGTGATATAATCATTGCAACGACTGCTGAATTCAGCAGAATTCGCAATACTGTATGATACCAATGTCAATTCAATAGGAACCAAAATATAACCAACAATGTGACAAACCTATCAAGTACCTCATGGGACGATGTCTGCTGTATAATCTTGAAAATTGCACGTTGCAGCTCAGGCGGCATTCGAATGGCCATCATCTCCATGACATTTTTTGCGCTCTCAGTATCTTCAAATCCCTTGTATCCAGATCCACTATAGTACTTGCTTATGTGTCTGATAATAGCGTCCTTATCCGCAACTGTTGCATTGTCCACTGGGTAGCATTCGCCGTTCTTTGTTGGTGACAGCAGAATATCTGATCTGTCGGATCCCGAATCATGATGCATTGGAACCCCTAAATTGGGGCTTGTCTTTTGTATGGATTCTGATAGAGACGACTGATGCGTAACAGGTTCAACAGGTATACCCTGTGACGTTTGCAAAAAGCTGGGCTTTTTCGACATTGTATCTAGGTCGACGATTGTATACTCAGCTCCTACTTCCAATCCATCTCTCCACTACCTTGAATTACCTCCATTAATATTCGGTTCCTGTTTGTATGTTGCTTGCATTATGTTTCTCGGATATTCCTCCTCTACAGACGTGTACTACACACGTACATAATATTAGAGAGATTCCGATCCGTCAACCGCCTAACTACCTTATTCACTTCTGTTGATGCACGTTCTTTTATCCTTTGTTGTTGATATTCATCCGTAGAATCTATGGAAGAAGGAAAATCTGTAAACTTCACTGTCCAATTTGCTTATCATAAATCCCATATAACGGCAAGATAACAAAAGCGATCAAATACTATGTCACCATGCAACGAAAGTGGATATTTTGTTGTGCAAAAGCTTTATATGCCATCATTCGTCGCGGGAACTTGATTTACATTTGCTCCTGCCGACTGCAGCACATGTCTATTGACTAACGGCGCAAGGATCCTGCAACGTACAAAAAGGAAGTAGACGTTACCATGCACATTGTTGAACCCCAGGCCAGTCGAATTCTGCGACATCAGATCGATCAAACAAGCGTTCAAGAGACTGATGAAAAGGAATACGTTTTTTTTGGGTTTCAGTCGTCGGTAATTGTTTGGCCCAATCACTTTGTGTCCATAATAGTAGTCTAGCATACCCTTATTGAATCGACCAATATCATACAATACGACAAAACCTATGCAAATGGATATTTTGAATAATACGACAATGTCAGGATCTGACCGCTTAGGGGACCATACATCATTGAGACTGACAATCAATAAAAATATTGACCATCGGTTCCCTTTTTCGGGTTGTTGCCAACGAAGTATTAACCCTTACACTTCAACTGCTTTATTGACTGTAATCGTTATAGTAGTGGTCGTATCTCGTAACACTTACACCTTTACTGACTCAAGCGAGTTTTGTACTAGTATCATTTACTGCTTTTCACTAAATACTGCGCCTAATTTTCCCCACTTTTGCATGACACAATATCTTATGTAGTTCTTGTAACCAGCTGAACACTGCTTTTGAAATGCCAATAAAAACTTTCATCCAAACGCTTTATTACTGTGTTACTTCATTTGAATCATTTCGTAAGGGACTTTTCTTAAAAATTAAGGTAAGAGTGTGCGTGTCGCTTTTGCGAGCACGAAACATCACATTTCTTTAATACCGCGTTCCATTTTCAAGCTAGACCTGATCGTTTGACTTTTTTTACTTTGCGTCCTCCTTTTCTTTGAAAATCACGCCAGCTATTCACACGTTGATCTCGAGTAGCTTCCCACTGTTTAGCTTCCTCCTGTTTGCGCTTGCGACGCTGAGTCTCCTCCTCCGCACGGCGCGCTTCCGCCCCTGTTTCTAGATGAGTATATGACATGTAGAACTATATAAATGATTTACCTTCAGCTTCCATCTCTTTTTTGACTTGTCGCCTTCGTCGTAGTTCCATCTCAAACAGGATTTCCTTTACTTTGGCGCGTACAGCATCACGTCCCTCGCGTGTTTTCAGAAAAGGATATTGTTCGGTGTTGACAGAAGTGGCAGACTCAATCACTACTTTTGATCTCTCGCTGTTGGGTTTATCCGCCTTCTTTTCTTCTGCTGCGTCTGATAATCCTTGCACATCCGAGTTCAAAGAAGTTGCCACAACCTGTGTCTTGACCTTGTAACCATTCTCTCTAAGCACTTCCACTTTAGCTTCTTCCACTATGCTGAGCAAATGTTTGACTCTCGCTTCATCTTCAAGCTCCAATTCAGCTTTCTTCAATAGGGCGAAAGCTTCTTCTGCGCGATCGTGCTTGACCTTGTCGGGATGAATCATGAGGCTCTTTCTACGGTACTGCAGCTTAAGAGTCTTGGAATCCGGTTTTTCATATGGGAGATCTAGAATGGAGAAAGGATCCAGCTTGAAACATTGCAGTACACGGTCGATTTCAAGCTGCTTCTCGGATTGAGAAAAGTAACGTTCAAGGTCTTGATCAGCCATATAAAGAAGAAGTGGGTGGGTCAGACAACCAATGCATTTCCAGTTTCGGAATAGATTGATCAGCTGTAGTATCTTTCAGCATGCATGTAATAGTTATTCACACCATTCACCCATCCATCTCTATCCCATGTATCCATTATTCATGAGAGACCTACTCGAATACTTGAATGTAGGTCTCTCGTTAAATGATTATTAATTATAAGGATTGGCCTCGTTCTAATATAACATTGTACTTGCCTAACGAGATCTAATTGCAATATCTGTCTAAACATGGAGTTTATCAAGTGCATCGTATAAACGAGAGTTGCACGATGTCGAAAGCAAAGACATGAAAAAGGACATCACATTATCCTTCTCGCATGTATATTGACCAAGGGTAAACCCAGATTGTTTATATACCAAACCCCACATTGAACATTATTGAAGAACTTTTGCGAGAATTCATGCATACACAGTGACTATCATCCCGTCACTGAATGGAGAAGAATGCTTGTAGTAAGCGTATATTTTCATGCTTGTAAAAGTACAATCGAAAGAATGATGAGTAAGATACTGTAATTCATAAGCGGCGTTTGAGATGCGTCGCTCAGCACGAGTCTTGCTTCTTCAAGTTGCATGCGATTACATGTAGGGTAACTTGGGCCTAGTTGCACAGACATACCATTAGCATCAATGGTGCTACGCTTCCAGTAACCATATTGCAGAGATGCTAAATCCCCCTTTGGACAATTGAAAGCCATGAACGGTGGGCAACTCTGCACCACTTGATAGCACAGATCGATACAAGGAAGCAGCTCCGTCCAGGTTCCAGGCTCCAGTGTTTCGTCGATCCAAGGATTGCGTGACTCATTAGCATCGACGACGCGTACAGCAACTGTGTCTGCTATGGTTTGGGATATGCTTGTGCAGCGGGGAATAGATACAGCACAGAGCCAACGTTTATAATCCTGGTAACAATCGGTACAATTACGCACGAGTGAATATTGGGTTGTTTCGCAGTTGAATTGAGAAATGGCAATATTGAACGGCTCAAATAGCTGTCGGGCTTGGTCATCATATCTTTCACGAATGCTATCTGTGGTATCCGACGCCTTGGCTGGAACACTATAGGCAACTTGGTCGCAAAAGCCAAGACCGTAAATCAAGCGACAATTGTCATCTTCGAAAAGAGAAAAATTAGTGCCAGCTCAAAGATGGTTGTAGTTCATAAGTAGCAAACCTGCTTTTGTTTGTATGTGAATAGGAGCTGACATGCTGCGGAGTGATCCAGTAGACTCGATCAGGTATGTCATGTAAGACGAATTACTTGTCAAATTGGAGACTAAAAAGTGCTGACCATCAGCGGTGCGCGTCGTATTAACCGTGTAATCGGATATCGCTGCTCGATCGACGGCACAGAGCGAGTAGCGTAACTCTGGAGCAACACTGGAAGCCACAAGTAAACTACGATTATCCTTCTGATGCTCACCGGAAGCAGTAAACAACGCATGTGTATCATCTGTATCCTCCAGATAGAAAATCGTACTACCACCATCATTATCGCTGATGATGGGATGCATCCAACCTAAGTTGATCCTTCCGTTTAAGCGTCTCATCGTAACAAACAAGCAATCTAGCCTCCTGGCTTACCTTGTGTTGAGATAGCAATCTGATACGTCCAATTACCGCTCCAATTGTCAGTCAACGTAGGTGCTACTACACCAATCCATACATTTTGCACTTGACCACCACTGTTCCATGAGATACGACCTAAGTTTGTATCATTGACCATTGTCCCGTGGCTGGGTCCTGGAAGCGTAGTCTCCTCACTTGATGTTGAGATAAACATGTTGAGTGATGGTACTTCTCCCTCATAGTTTCCAGGTGCGATCGGTTGTGAGCAGCTGGTCAATGTTAAATACACGCTCTTCGCTTCTGGTTCCTGGAGTCCTGGTAAACTTTGAGCGGCTGTGTCAAAGTAGTAATGCTGTAGGTCACCGGAAGCAATGCTTGCCGACCACATCTGGCTGTCGTTGAGTTGCACAGTTGTTTGTGCATACGCTACACATGCGAGACCAATACCAGCAATCAGAAATAGCATGCAGATTGAGGAAGCATTCAACTATCAAAATAGGGGAAGAAAGGGACAACCGCTTTTGGAGCTCGTTTTGGCTCAATTTTCACATTCCATAAAGTCGGTAACATATTTCAGCTCAGAACTACTCCATAACAAGCACTGTATCTGTAGCAAAATAATGGTTGATAACCACCATCAGCAGTGAAAGTGTTCTCTGCGACGATGCAAGAGCAGCATCCAATAACTACGAGCATCAGTTCAAGCTTGTTACAATCAACAAATGCATCCCACATCGGTCATATTATATGTCGCCAGCCTTGGATTTCTGGCCTAGAAAAGATACGTTGGTCATGACGGTGGAATTTGTTGTGCTGGTGAAGACGTTTTAAACCTTTAAATCTGCAACCAAACTCTTTCTCAAGGAATCAAAAACTGCCATGTCCAAAATTGGTTGACCAGCTCAATTCTACTATATTCGTGTATTGTTCGCTAACGTATTTGCAAGGGGTGGTAATCACATGGCCAGAGTGTCAAATTGAGGTAAAGCGCTTTTTGCTAGATGAAGATTAGAATATTTACACTGTATTATCATGTAAAGCACAGAAACTAGCAATAAACATAATGGTGGTGCGGAGCAAGATGGAAGGATAACGTTGTTGTGAAGTATTTGTAGGGCGCAGCGGCATAATAGGCGTTCTGCCTAGTAAGGCTGGCGGGCCCCATTTTCAGTATAAATCCCATACTATTGAACAATAAACCACGGACTCTCTTTTCGCTTTCTCTTTAACATCCATCAGACGGACAAAGGCTGCCAACAAGACGAACCTGGTTGTTATAGGGTTGTATGTACTGGGCAAGAAGACGACGACGCCAAGGGATATCTGTGCTAAGACACAATGCTTGTGGTTAATTAGTGAATCTTTATTGTCTACATTTCTCGCTTGTATCTTGTTTCTATACACACTTTCCCTTCATATACGCACGCTTCGGTATGTTAGAGTCTCCCTAGCACTTTCCATCCCCATGTGCTTTGCTGCTTTGTATGTCAGATGTATTCATTTAAGACGATGTTTATTTTGCAGCTTGATAGTCTTGCTGACTTAAGACGATCTCACAATAACGTCGGCTTTGTCACACAAACAAGACCTTCTGCATTAATATTAGCGAGCGATTTGCAATGGAGAACCACTTTTGATACAGCGCAACGGTTACAGCTCCTAGCTCTAAATTTTGCAACCAAGCATGGAGTCTTTAATAGACCAAAGCTGCTCGGCAGGGCCGAAAGCATATACTGCTCAAATCTCAAGTTCATCATGGGCGATCCTGGATTTGGCGAATGTCGCTTCCAGCCCAAAAAAAATTTTTTTTGTGGTCGTCGAAAAAAAAGCTTGTCGAGATGGAGGGCGATGGAAGAATTTGGGATCGTCCTTGTGGAAGTTCATGTTCACACACAAGGAGGTTTCGAGCACGGCAAGCAATTTTTTCTCATAAAGATGCGACGATCGTATGTAAAAAAAGTTTTGGCGATCTCTGCGTTTCTCCCGTTGCAATGAGGCAAAAGAGCTTGGGTATGGTGCCATGGACAGCATTTAATATCAACCAAGTAAAATAGGTTCGGCTAAATATACAGCCGGTTTAGTGTTGCAAAAAATTTCTACCTCAAAAAATCTTGGAGGTGGTAGGAAGCCCAGCCCCAGAAAAAAAAATTCACTTCGAAATCCGCTGGCAGTACAATACGCTCGGTGGGTAGAGTACAAAACGCCCGGTGGGTAGAAGTACAATACGTCGGTGGGTTAACCCACCGACGTTATGTGCGAACTGGGGTATACACAAATCGTCACCCGGCGGATGAATATTGTGGCGGTCTTGGAGTCAAAATGGATCTTATAAGGTTTATGGAGCCTGCTTTTAATCATTTAACGTCATAATTAGATGTTAAATGCATCCAGAGGTAATCTTTTTAAGCTATTGATGCAGTGATCAGGGTTTAAAGGTATTCAAGTGTACCACCTCTAAGCTATTGCTGGGTTCAGAGGCATCAAAGTGATCACTTCTACGCATCTGATACCATTTTTATGTAGCTTTTACACATTTAATAACGTTTTGAGCTTCCAAAGTCACATTTTATCTACAAATACCCGTTTAATGCTATGCAGCCAATGTAACATAGAAAACTAATAATGTTAAGAATATTCCAGTACCGTTGTGGACTTATATTAATATCACCTTTGTTAAAATAAATGAAAAAGATAATAAATTGGACACAATGCATTGGTAGATTGACGCACAGTCTTTATGTATTCTTTACACCGGAATATATATTACCCACCGGGCGTATTGTACTCATAGCCACCGAGCGTTTTGTACTGTTTACTCACCGGGCGTTTTGTGTCCCAATGTCAGCCAATTTCATCGCAGCCACAATTTCTAGACCAAAAAGTTCGTGTAACTGTGACTCGCACTAACATTTACCCGGAGTATTCGCACCCGTATCGTTGACGTTACACCAGCGTCTTGGGCTCTTTGCATCCTTTTCTCGCACGTGATTATTGAACTGCTGTTACCAGTTGCTATAATTTCTCGTAAGGCCTAAGGCGAGAAGAGATCAAATGCTCACAAGTCACAACTGCATGGCTTGATTTCCCTCTGACCGCTGTGATACCTTAGTCAAACTTAACCACAAGGACTGCTTTTATAATTGTAAACAAAGTTTCAGGTTACGTTGACTTGTGGCTTGTCGAGAAACAGAGAAAAATTTCGCTCGTGTGGAACAAAGGGGCATGTTTCATGTCTTCACTAATCAACTTGGGCCACTAACCAAAGTTGGAGAACATGGGTGGTTTTATATGTAGTCGAGTGTTCAACTTGATCGCATCAGCAGATCCTACAACTTTCAATTTCTACATGTCCACCACTGAGCACTGACACCTTGAAGTGGAGTCAGGTCGTGGCCAAAGGTGCTGGCATGAAGGTCATTGCACCTTCCCGAGCACCTCGCGATGGCAACATCTCATCCGACATTTTGTATGAACACTCAGATTTCACTTGGCAACAGCTATCTCGCAAAGCTGCAGTCCTTGTAAAGCAAAGCTTGGACACCTCAGTCCGTTTTATTTTCGTTGCCGCAACTATCCTTTGAACGACGCAGTAAGGCCTATGCTGAGATTGAATCGCAAATCGGCGAAGTGCAGGGTTTTCGACATATTAGCGCATATAATGTCCGTTCTCGCCGAGATATGCTGATCGAAGCAAAATTCGTCAGCCCAGACCATGCCACGAAGGCCATTGAGGAGGGTATCACTGTGAATGAGATCATCTACAAAGCATCCCCCACTGTATCTGGCTCAGAAAACCCTTTGATTCGAGTACAGCTCAGCCTACTCCACATCGACAGTGACCAAGCCATCCGAGATGATTTGCTTTCATCACTCAGCTATTATGGCATGGTTCTGAGTGGTCCCCACGTTGGCTACTAGATCTACCACTCCACTTAGCCCTGCCTTCTGAAAATCGACCGAAACTCTCACTACGCTATCTTTTATCAGATATCGTAAAGTTGGATCGCTCTCGTCAATGTTTCCTTTTCCAGTCTCATCGACTACCGCCTCTTCTCACCAAATTGATTCACAGTCTCCGCCCTTCTGACCGCTTTTCACCCTCCATCATCACCCTCAACAACTCGATCACTCTCTCGACGTCAATGTTTTCTCCTACATGCACACCGCCTGCCGCCCCTCTTAACCACCTTGGTCAATATCATTCGCTCTACTGGATCGTCCACCTCCTTTCGTCATTTACAGCTGACTGATTCGATTACGTTACACATCCCAGCCACCCTCCTTTGTGCTCCCGATTATGCATCTCAACCATTCATTCCCTCACATCATCTCCCGTCATTAGCGCATTGGAACACAACCATCTCTCACACCAAGACTTGTCCCGTTCCTGATCTCACATTATCCTCCATCCGTCAACTATGGCATGACAATTGGCAGCTAATGCTAAATCGCCCTCACCCTCCTCAAGTCTGCAAACTGCAACCTTTGTGTTATCCTCCTGCTTTTTGGAAACGGTTCTGGAAACTACCCTTACCGCATAAAGCAGTGACTCCATGGTGGCGTCTTCTACACAACAGCATTGGCACAAGGCACAAGTTCCACAAGTGGAAAGTAAAAGAAGTTTCCTCAGCGGAGTGTGTGATTTGCAAGGCCGGCAATGAAAACCTCTACCACATGTTCGTTGATTGCCCTTTCAAGCGGCCTTTTTGGATTGATGCTATCCATTTCTTCAACCTCACCGATATCCTTCCTGACCAGAAATCCATCTGGTGGGCTCTCTTCTCCTTCCGCTCTCTGAATAATCGACCTCTCGACGACTCAGTGCTCTCCCGCCTTGGTTGTATCATTGCTGTGCTTTGGCGCTATCACTGGCGCTGCGTAATTGACAACGAACACTGGTCACACCAGGCCGCCTTCCACCTTCTCACACATGACCCATTATTTTCTTCATTCTCAACCTCTGCTCAATGTAACAATGCTTAATAAAGTCAACACTTATATACAAAAAAAAATCGATCACTCTCTCGATACCAGCCAATCGACTTTTAGCCCCACCACCTGCACCACCACCCCCATTGCGCAAATCACGACTTCCAACTCTATCCCATTGGACAGCACAGATATCACTCACCAAACATAGCACCATTCCTTCGTTGTCGTTATCACAGTTACGGCGCCTTTGGCATCCCCTATGACAAAAAATGTTATGTCGCCCTCGTCCTCCTGAAATTCCGCTGTCATGTCCAGGGATAAACAAGGAGGTTGAATTTGTCCTAATAAGGGATACATTATATATGACATTCCTCTTGAATAGTATAAAAGACCACTAAGACACGCATGAATAAAGACATCATCACATATACACGGTCTCACCGTGCTTTTATTGTTACCCATTTAGCATTTACTATCTTCAAAAGATAAACATCACATCCGCGACCCAAATGCTTCTTCTTTCCTTCTTCGTTTTGGACACACTTCTGGAAACTTCCTTTGCCTCATAAGGCCTTTACTCCCTGGTGGAGACTGCTGCATGATAATGTTGGCACGCGCCACAAATTACATGAATGGAAGCCCCCCATTGTGGACTCTCCTTTATGTCAAATATGCAAAGCTGGCTCAGAAGATCTCTTCCATTTTTTTGTGGACTGTCCTCGGAAACGCCCATTCTGGATCGATGCGATACAAAGGTTTCAGCTCACAACTACCCTTCCTAATCAGGCTGCCATTTGGCTAGCTTTGACTCGCCTACAAGCTCCCAACGGGAGATATTTATCTGATCTCACTCTGTGCCAAGTCGGCTGCATTCTTGCTGTTCTCTGGCGATGCCACTGGCGATGTATATATGATAACGAAGACTGGTATACTGATACTGCCATGAATATTCTCAATTCCAATGTCCTCTTTTCGTCCTTTATCCCTGATTTCTCGTAACAACTATAAGTAAAGTTCACACTTACATACAAAAAAATATTATGGCAAGGTTTACCAGATCCGCCGTATTCTGTATGATGGGTATTTCGAAGGTCAACTCACTGTGACGATTGATCCCAGTGAGGGATATGAAGACTCAAAAGGAGAGCATCATGAAGCACAGCCTTTACAACGCATGCTTTATTTGGAGACCTGGGATACGTTCGCACCAGCCTCTTTCAAAGGCGCTGCACCGGTGTGTTATTAATTCCCACCCAGGACCTAGTCTGGCAAGCTCTCACCACATTCCTGTCAAGGCGCAATGTTGTGGAGTATGGCAGAGGACACGTGACGAGAAATCTCGGCAACAAAAGACCACCATCCGAGATCCCATATTGACACAAACATACCCATAAGCAATATCAGTACCACTACCTCTCCCCTTAGTGCAGTTTTATCGAAAGTATATAAATACCCCCCACATCGAATAAAGAACTAGGAGTGATCTTCCCGATTTTTGTGGGTACCTTTGTGAGGGCCTTGCCAGCGAGTGTGTGTGTGTCTATTCGAAGGAGTGTATACCCATATTCCCATCATTGCACAATCCTATCATACATCATCTCTGTTTTCTCCCGTATTCCATACCATATCTTTTCCCTCAGTGTATCTCTTTACGTGTGTATTTGTTGAGACCTTTCGAGTCATCCATAGTAGCAGTTGTGCATCAAAGGGTGCTTGATAGTAGAAAGTAGATAGAGGACTTTCTATTTGGACACCTCGACTAATATGGCAGGGTATACAGACATAGGCCTTGCTGCTGGGCACGTTCCGGATACGTTATTTCAGCAATCGCCCTTTGTGTGACAATGATTTACGTCGTCTGGGCTGTATTGTGGCAGTGCTGTGGCAGCATCATTGGCGATGCAGGATTGATGACCAAGCATGGATAACTGCAACTGTTTTACACACTCTTCAATCTGATTTACTGTATGCATCCTTTGTACCTCCTACTCCCTTTTCTGGTTAATAAAGTCTACACTTTCATACAAAAAAAAAGAGATCCGTTGGAGCGAGATTAGAACGAGACGGGACTCGCAAATGCCAACCCCCTAGCGAAGACATCCCATGTTTCCAAATACAGCATACGTTGGAGAGGTTGTGCGTCTTTCCTCAACCCCCTTCTCATCCACATATCCTGCGCTAGGGTCAATCGTCACTGTAATCTGTCCTTCGAAGAATCCATTGCAAAGCGTGCGGCGTATTTGATACACCTTTCCATAATATTTCAAGGACTTCATCAACTCATCTTGAAGATTACTATCATCAACATTATGGAGTAGGTTGAGTTGGACACGAACGAGAGGATTCTCTGCTCCTGAGGCCGTAGGGATGCTTTGTATACGACATCCTCCACTGTGATGCCAGATTCAAATGCAGCCTTAGTATGAGCTTCATCACGGAATTTGACAGCAATAAGCAAGTCCCTGCGTGCCCGGGCGTCATGATTGCTCAGCGGACGAACACTGGCAAACGGACCAATTTGATCCTGAATCTCCTTATATGCGTCTGTACTCTGTACGATGGTCAAAGAGCATCAAAGGAAAGGAAAAAAGTACTGATTTTGGAGCGAGAGCTTGACGAATAATTGCAGCAGCTTTACGAGCGAGCAGTTGCTTAGAGAATTCAGGTGCTTCAAACAAAGTGTCCATTGAGATTGTGGCGGAGTTCTCACTGGTCACGCCTCCCTTTTACCATGGTTCCTCTTTCCATCCAGCTTCACCAAGTATCTTGCCAAAGATGACAACATGACTCACCTGAATAAGCTCATCGCTCGCTTACCATCACTGGATATCTCACCAGAATGGTCTGGTCGTTGGTTCCTTGATCTACCTTTAAAAAATATCCTACCACAAGAAAAGGATAAACCACAGTTATCAAGCCGTTATCTACTTTCTCTCTTTCTGATATTGCCAGCTGGCATCCTCGCAAACATTGTTTTACTCAGAAGCTGCGTTTAATGAAGCCATGTGCTTCCATCATCCAGACACTCTTTTTCCTTGCCCCCCCAAATTCATTGCAATCGGCCGAGTTGTTACGAGAAGCACATGGACGTTTGATTGTGTTGTTTAGCAAAAGCAAGATAAATAAATGATGTACATACACGAATACACCCACGCACACGCACACCCACGCGCGCGCACGCACATACTGTATTGGTCGTTCTTGGATTTAATAATCTCATAAGAGCAAGGAAGTTGATTGGAAGGGCAAACATTGATGCTGTGAACAACTGAACTTATGCCCGCATCTCACAGCATGTCAGCTCGTTTCTGGAAAGCGTTACCATCGGCACTAGGAGGAACACCGCTCACAGCATGAGTTAGGAAAATCAAGCAAGAGGCCATCATAAGAATCTTTATTGTGTAATAGAGAGTAGGTGACTGTGGGTAAAACTTCAATGGTTATATCTTAGAACTTAGATGGCATCAAAATACGCCACACTGCCAAAAAATCGTTCTTGTTGGTGTGGCCGATGCCCATGCTAGAGCAAGAACCTGCATAAGTCTGGCCCAGGTGTAACATGTGAGAGCAGCAGTATCTTAACCTTCTTGATGTTCATCTTTATTGTCTTCGATACTTGAAATTATGATAGAAGAAAAACAGATTTGATAGTGCTTGCAATTGATTCATTCGCTTTGGTTAATCGGGGAGAGAGAGATGAGGCAATCTTTTGCAGGATGTTGTTAAGATCATCGTTGTCGATGATCTTCACGGTTCCGTTATCACCCATAAGGACGATGATGTCGTCGAAATGCTGTACCATGTCACCCTTCTTCATCTTAGATCTCAAATGTTTCACTGTTTCGATATTGATGATTTCAATTCCTTTGAGCATGCTGTTGGCTACTTGCTGCAACAATAAGGATCCAACCCGGTAATTGCTATCTTCATTGACAGTGTCGTATTCACGTAGCGTGAAAACTGTGTAAGGACGCGTTCGGATATCA